TCTGCGGGCAGTGTACGACGAGTTCACCCTTGACCCGCACCAACCACCTCTACCGCCACCCGCGCCCGACTCACCAGAGCAGCTCCCAACCAGCACCACCGGTATACCTCTAGATGAACTCCGATTCCAGAACTGGGTCAGCATCCACGAGATGATGGACACAGCCTCAGACTACGAATCCGACCTTCAATACGCCGTCAACTCCGCCATCAAAGCTGGAACCCCATTGCAAGGTACCCCGGAACTCCTCCGTCTACGCAAAGATCCTGGTCCAAAGCGCTCACAAGCCGGGCTGAGTCTGAAGATCAAAGAGCTCAGAGCGAGTCGCCCAGAAGATGTGAGCATCTTTAGGAGAGTCGGATCAGAGAATCCCGAAGGCGTTACTATTTCTAAGCACTTTGCCAAGAGTGAGGAGCCGATTGTAGCGGGTGAGAAAGGGGCGCCGAGGATTAGGAAGTATGTTGGGCTTCAATCGAATCATGATGCTCCTTCCAATTTTCTACGGAGGGCGAAACGCAAGGACGACAAGACTATCGAGCACGTGGAGGATGCACTCACGGCTGAGGTTTCCCAGGCTTCGTCAAGAGAGACCTGAAGTCGGATGATGAGAGGCGAGTAGTTGCATGGAGCTCTAAATGTGGACTTCGCGTTCATCTATGTATAAAATTTCATGTACAGACACCGAGCAAAATCTTTGCACTGTTCCACATTTCCAAGACACCAAAATCTACCCTCCCGCACCAATCCACGATGTAATATTCAAGACGCCGACAAAAGCGCCGAACGACTTCACACACCCACACTATCCTTCGTTTTACCATGACATCCATCCCTCACCCCACGAATGATTCACTTGCCTAAACGTTTTCAGACACACCATCACCAACGTTCACGAAACCCTGTCATCTTACTTATCCTAAATCCCACATCCAACACCCAACGCCCACGTCTAGAATCTCAGGTAAGCTCTTTCCAATCTCACCTCACCTCACGTTTCCCTGGGAACTGTCGCCCGGGACGACACCCCATTTTATACCCAAAGGGAACACCTGGCCCGAAGACAATCTGCCGACAGTGCGATGATAGGCAGGTACTTCTGAGTACCGCTACGGCTGACTGGGCTACCTTATGGGTCATGGTTGCTGACGAGACTGTGTTGGATGGGTGATGACGTTGGGGTGGGATAGTAAATCCAGGGTTGGATCAAGTGTAAGATTGAGCGAAAATAGTGTGGCGGTAGTTGGGGTAGTTGGTTTACATAGTGTGGAGGTAAGTCCGTGTAGTGTGGGGGTAGTGAAAGGTTATGATGTGGGGTAGTAAGGTATTATGATGTCGAGTGTAAGATGCCATCACGAGCATGATGACGTGGCGTAGCTGAGTGGCTACAAGCTGAGTTTGAGTATGAAGTCAGGGTCGAATGCTTGTTCCCGAGAGAGACGTGCTCGACTGTTTCGGGTGTGGGGACTAGTGAAGTTTGTTGTCGAGACTGGGGTGTCGTAGTATGGGAGTGTAGAGGGTTTGATGATGTTGTCTGGGGGATACTTCGCGTTGTGTGTAAGCTTGATAGTTTGGGAGGACGTCGTTTGGGGGGACGGTGTAGTCCGTGTTTACTTGATGATACATTATGACGTTGTTTGAAGGAGACGATATAGTGCGTGTGTGCTTGGTGATTGCCGATGACAATGTTTGAAGGGAACAATGCGTTGTAAATGAACGTTTAATTGGATATATGGTTGATTGATGCATATCTCGTTACGGAATAGTAAAATCCGGCCAGCCTTGCGGCTATGTAGCCGTCTGCCCAGGAACCCACATCTAAGTCCTCCAAGAAAAAAAATGCCAAAACGTAGTATAATATTGTAAGTTGCCAAATCGACGGGGAATCAGAAGCAGAACAAAGAGTGGTGAAGAATACTGTGAAAACCAGAATGAAGACACGCAGCGGTCAACGCGCAACAGAGCCATATTAATGTACAACCCCAAGCATCCAACGCCACATCAAGTAAACAAACGAAACCCGCTAAGTGCAAAGAAGTAAGAACACAGTGAAGAGCGAGGCGCTCTAATTCGAGCCCGAGCTACCCCTCCGGCTGTCGGCTGGTGTGCTGGGGAAGCTGAAGTCGACGGGCGATGGCGGTGGTGCGGGGGTCTCGTTGACCTCCATGGAGCGCGAACTCAGGCTTGATGAAGCCTTGAACGCTGCGCTGACATCGTGACCGAGAGTCGAGTTTGTGAAGATGGATAGGCGCTGGCGGGGGTTGAATGCGGAGGCTGCTGAGGCGGGCATTTTGGTGGTTATTTGTGTGGTTTTGTAAAGTTGAAAGGTGGTTTGTTTATGTAGACCGATGTACTCGGTACGTAGACGACGATGAGTCTTGTAGGAAGCAAACTTGTAACGGCGCAGTAAGAAGGCTGGTGGGTAATGTGAAGAATGCCCGGAACGGTCGATTAAACAGTTCGCAGCGGAAGCCGAAAAGCTGGTACGGTCCGGAAGTATTGATGCGCTGGGGCAATGCAGGATAATGAATGCAAGTTTCGCTCGGGGGAAGGCGCAAGAAATATGTGATGTGCTGTCTCGGGCTGTGACAACAACTAAAACTTCGGGGGCTGACTCGGTAACGAAGACTGGGGTGTGAGCCTAGAGAAGGGTGAGTCAGATTTTAATATACCAAGGTAGAATGCGCTGAGGGAGAGGGGCTGTTTGCGACAGGGCTGATGTGTGGTTTGTGCGTTGGCCATGCAGGGCCACCAGATTTGGCGGAGCCCCGGACTTGAGGTGCTCGGGTATGGGGAAGAGTGTTGCGTAAGGGGCTGAGCTTACTTTTTGGTAGATGCGTGTCACTGAGCGAGACGTGTTACACAAGTTCGGTGTTGTAGAGGGCTCGTGTGTGAGGAATGCTTTGGGGGAGTGTTTGAAGAAAGCAAACAGGTTTGACGTAGATGTGATTTTTGAATGTCAAGTAGAGGATGACGTGTAAGGGATGAGTCTTGGGCTTAGGGCCGAGTTGTACTTTGCGATGTGTTGGAAGTGTCGATACCGCGCCGAAGGGGGCAGCTCTCTTATACAAGACAGAGTGCGAGACCAAAGTACTGATACGATCGCTATTCACCGCCGGAAAGACAAACCCTGACTCGCATCATTAGCCAGGGTTGTAACGGAATCTCGGAAGGGCCATACGTTTTGAGCTAAAAGCAAAAGTATAATCAGCAATCAAATGCGGCGGCCACACGGGGAAGCGGACGGTTGCAACTCCTTGCTTCGCAACCATCGTTGCACCTGGAGCGCAGAGTCCACCCCACGCCCTGATCCTGCTCCCGGGTCGCAGAATCAAGGCTGTTCTGGGGCGTCCTGTCATCATCGACGTGTCTGAGACGACGTTCTCGAAGCGAGGATGCGACAAACAAGGCGCACAAGCCCTCAGGCCCTTGAGCAGCCTCCCACGCACTCCTCGACTGCATCAGGAGCTTGCTGGGTGAAAAACGGATGCCTATCGCTGTATCGTAGACGGCCCGAACCAGCAAACCAATACCTTGCGATACACGGCGGCGGTCCGCGGGTAGGAGCCGACAAGCGTATGACGTGGGCGAGCAAGACACCACAGTGTCCTTTGGGCGGCTGTCGCAAGCAAGGCATCATCAAAGCCGGACCGAACAAGTCAATTCTCTGACCGCTTGTCCGATATGCAAGTGTATGCACATCCCACGCGAGGGCTTGCGGCAGAGCAAGATGGGGTAAGTGGAGCTTCCGGGCTGCATTCCCCGGATACCAGCAGGCTGGGATTCGCCCACTCGAAAAGGAAGACGAGGCGTCTGGAACTTTGTCTCTCCACCTTTGATCAGCGCGATGCGCATTACTGCTTGGTTTCTTGATGCCCATCCAGGCACAGCCTTTCGCATTCGCAACGGCTTTTTCTACCGCTTATCATCGACTCATGCTCCCTGTGAGTCGGACGCACCCAGATAGGCAAGCCGTTTTGGGTTGCGACGCGGAAATAATCTCTGCAATGCAACGGGTGCCCGGCTGGAATGAGGCTTCGAGAACGCTGTTGGAAGGACGCTCGAGCCGACAGGTGTTACGACCAAGGCGTCACTGACGTTTGTGCCATCGTGCCGCCCCTTTTCTACCGGTCGAAATTGCGGCAGAAGAGTGACATCTCAGACCTCTCTCCGTCCTGCGTTGGCCGCCCTGCGCAAGGCTAATCCAAGTTGTTCTCGCCAACAGTTCAAGGCATCGCGGATCGAGGAAGTTCGGCGCCGTAAACACTCGTGTCAGCGCCAGTCACGATGCGATCTCGATGCGCGACGCGTCCTCTGCAAACAATTTTCTCTCCGCATCATCCGAACCATGAGTCCATGTTGACGTTGAATATAACGAAAGACATTATTACCGGGCGACTATTCCTGGTGCAAACCTTCTCTGCTTCTTCTTGTCTAGTAATAGCCCGAGCCAAGCTCACCTGTCATGGCATCATATCGTCGAGACGCCGAATAGGAAGCCATGGAAGTCGCGGGTTAGACGCGAGCTAACGCGACCTCAACGTCGTTTCATCGTTGGTAATACGACGTAGCCTTTACATTTAGCTACATCCGACATGTTTCGTCCAAGCCTTATCCTCGCCGCCCGCTTTCCCCGGACTGGCGTATAACAGCCTGGTCTGGGGAAATTGATCCTCGTCCTTGCCTTAGCCCTTGGCGGAACAAACTTCCCCCCGTCATACTGCGCAACGTTGCTCACTGGGATCGCGGACAGCAAGTCGTACGATGCCGCGCCGCGTCGCGCATACGTAAATTCGTGTCGCATCCGAAAGCGGATTGTGCCATTAGCGAGGTGGTGGTTTTGAGATGTCGCTGTCGTTTCCCGATCGTCTGCAGCTTTCCGACGATATTCCGCGCGTTATCTGACCGACTGTTGAAGGGCTTTCACCGCAACTTGATCGACGACGCGACGAAAAAAGAGTGAGAGAAAGTGGGGTAGATCGTAGTCGAGGGGTAAAGAGAGGGGAATGAGGCTTCGCGTCTTTAGGCGTACCTTCCTTGGGTGAGTTCTGGTAGTCGAGAGAAGCGACAATCAGAAAGACCACAACCGACCTACCCGCTGGACTCACTTTCTAACCACCAAACACCAACAGCGAACGATTCTGATATGTTTGCCCCGGTAGATGACATCAGGTAGACACATGTCGCTTTGCGCAATTAGCTCAGCAACATGGTCTTTGTCGCCGATGCAAGACTATGTCGTCGTGTTGGTGAGCGCAGGATCGTAGCGGTATGAGAGCGCTTGCCTGATGACTGTTTGCTGTCGCGAAATGGGAAAAATTCCTCTCACTTGTGCCTCTTTGCGAAAACCGGCCGCTGCAGCCTAGAGTCATTTACGTCTGCGCACAACGATGCAATCTATTCTCAATTTCCCTACCTCTCTTTTGAAGCTCTAAATCTTGTGTCGTCATCGCCAATCGACCCAGACATGGAGTCGACCGATCAGTACCGGCAGTGGCTACAATCTCTTAAATCTTTGCCCGAACCCGAAGCCTCTGAGGCACTGCGCCAGGCGCTACTCAAGGGTACAAGATCTGGCGGTCTTACATTCACAAGAGCAGGTATCTTCCACTACTTCGAGCATGTACACCATTACTTCGGTTGCCCAGAAGACGACCCATGTGACAAGGACATACAGAAGGAACCATTATGCTGGGAGAAAGCCCTCATGATCCCGGTGGAGCACATCATTAATACAGAGTGCGAACCTATGGTGATCAACCTTATGGTTTGGTCAACGCTGTGTTGTATCATCACCAAGTTTGAAGGTGAGGTTCGTGCGCGTTGGCTCAAGAAGTCTAAGGCGCAGCGGAAAGCTATCCTGGAGAAGGCTTGGCCATCACAGCTACCAAAGAATCATCGTCCCGACATCGACAGGCCCGTTCTTAATGCGTGCCCGCACCAGAGGCATTCGCATGGCCTGGCGCACTACGCATTTCCCCATCTCAACCTCGAGGACCTCACCAAGCCGAATCCGCTGCTCATCCTTCTCAACGCACGTGGCCGACATGGAATGTGGAAATTCGCCCTTCTGGATTACGAGTTGGCCCCTTTAATTCATCTACGATCAGCACTTCTCGAGAAGACAAGATACACTATGGGGCTGAACTGCGAAGGATATGGGCGGATAGTTGAGTGGGATACGGAAAAGGACGCCGCTGAATCGATGAGCAGAGGAGATACCATACACCCTTTGCCGGGCTCACACGTTATGGCGATGCAGGCAACGGTGTACCAGTTCCTTCTACTCTGTGTCGGCGAGATCTTGTCGGATAACCCAATGGTACAATCAGCCATCACCGAGCAATCGTGTGTGAATCTACCTTGGATCGATAAAGATGCTCCAGATATACCCGAGCCTCCAGCTCTCACTTGCAGCGACCAGGACTTCACCTCGCTCAACGTTATCGTACGCGAAGCATGTTATCGTGTGCCCACGTTAGCAGATCTCGGCCGACTTGAAGCACTGGTGTCGGCATGTCAGAATGCGACGGAAGACCACATCTGGTTGCTCCGAGAGGACCCAGGATACTTTCGAGAGTCTACACTTGAATGCAAAGAACATCGGCCTGAAATACTGCCAGGTATTCGTTGTAAACAAACACACAAGAGTGCGCGCAACGAAGTTCTTTGGCCTCGTGTGTTACATAGTGTAGCCACCGACTGCTACATTGATCTGTTCATGTGGAACGAATTGCGTCAACGTATATCTGAGCTCAACTATCTCTCGTTGCTATACAAAGAGGAGCTTGGGTTTGGGAAGATTAGTGGCAAAGAAGAGCTCCCGGAAGACTTCTCAGAGTCACTTGTCGAAGCATGGTCTTTTCTGGAATTCTTCCAATTGGAAATCATACAAGAACTGAGGCTAGCCTGGTCATCCTCTTTGGAGATTCGCGCCTATTTCTCCCAAGAATGCGATCACAGTGTTGAAGATATGGTGGTGGGTATCAAGTTCACCAGCAAAGGTAGTCGCAAACGAGACAAAGAACTGGAGCGCATTTTCACTCTTTTCAAGTATCTTTGGGAGCCACCTGTCCGACAGTCGTTAAAGGTGCATACTCTGGTGGAGACACTGGATAATCTCCTGCAAAACAGCGAGCGAGCGAGCGAGAAATTTGACCTCCCCATTCGCAGCTTCTCTCCTGTCCAAGCTTTCCATAGTCTTGGAATGTCTTCGTCAACTCAGCTTCTTCCTACCTTGGGCAAAGCGAGTTCAGTACTCAGCCAAGCAGCGACAGACAGAGCTCATAGCAGCCTATGCCATCAACCTCTCTAGGTGGCACTCAACTTTGAACACAACCTTCGAGGGAACCAACCTCGCTGATCTTGGAAAGCCAGGCGCAAGGTTTCGCTATCCAGTCAACAAACGCCGAAGCAGGATGACCGTCGAAAATCTCAGGAGTGCAGAGGCGGCCCTGGACGCGTTCTGGCATGCTGCAGATGTTCGCTTTAGGATGTGTACCGGTACTACTCCTCACGACATAGTCTCCGGTCTTATCAAGGAACGTACACTACAGCGCACGCCGCTTTGGGTCGAGCCCGACGAGGCCTCCGAACCCTCTACGCCTATTGAATACATATATGTTCCAGTCTCCAATGACCTTCATGACCCTTCAAAGCAGATCACCGGCGCATTCGACAAGACCAACCTGAACAATACCAAGAAAGCAAAGTCGCACGGTTTGGCAGTCCTTAGCACCGAACATGGTTACGAGAACAACCCCGACATGACAGCTGCTCCCGCCGATATCAACGAAGAATCGACCTTCTGTCTCGATAAGCGCGCACACAAAGTCTTCAAGATCCTGTTTCATTCACCACTTTCACGCGACCATCCTGGTGATATTCCCTGGCACGACTTCCTATACGCCATGGTAGCTACCGGATTCGCCGCGCAGAAGCTGCAAGGTTCCGCCTGGCAATTTACTCCTCGAGACCTAGATGTGGAGCAGCCCATCCAGTTCCATGAGCCTCACCCAACACACAAGTTGCCTTTTACGTGGGCACGACGCTTCGGTCGCCGTCTTGCGAGGACGTACGGCTGGAGGGGCGATATGTTCCAGCTCGCTTGAATGTCTCTTTCTAGCGGATAATGTTGAGGAAACACTATTTGTCACACTTTGAAAGGTACAACATCCAGAGGTCATGGCGTTCATAGAGCTTTGGTATAAAATCCTTACTCAAGACGTAGAATTTAAGTTATGCTTTCCATTATTTGGCCAGTTCTCAGTGATCTCAAAAGTTGGGGGCGACCTCGATATCCCCGGTGTGAGCTACGAGGAGCGAAAATGGAGATTCACAAAGAGAAGAGCACCTCCAAAACCGACGACGGATCGGGCCGTAGCTAAGGATTCGGATGATACCGAACATAATGCAAAGATCTTCGCGTATCTCAAAACCAGGAGCAAGCCTGGAGAGGATATCTATGAGATTGAGTCTCTCGGTGAGCTGAGATGGGGCCCGTTGCATTTGAGTCCAGAAGGCATTTTGGAGGTTGCGCGGTATTCCGGCATCCTCCTGGAATTAAGGATATCGCAGCCGCTCATCAGATGTTGAGCTATCTCCAGCGTATCGGACGAATACTGTCTTCTGGAAAGACAGAATAGAGCTCTTTAAGTCATCTTGAGCAAAATTCGTATATCGATTGATGTCTTCGAGGTACTTCCTTTTGGGTGAGCGACTCACAACTTCCGAAATCCATATGTATTCTCCCAATCAGGTCCTCTCGAAAAGAGAAGTATCGTCAACACAAGAGCTTACTTGCTTTTGGATCTCCTAACCATCACCATAACCTAGCAACTACAGGACCCACTATGATATTTTCTTCTCGATCATGCACAACCCGTAGCAAGCGCAGAGTGAATACCTATAAGGATAATCAGATGCTTCACTATTCCCGAAACACTCCCTTTGCCGCCAGACTAATAGAAGCCTTTGAATTGCGTTTTAACTTCGTCACTTTCATGGCGTATAGTATAGTCAGTGCGGCCTTCAACTGGAGTCGGCCAGGGACTTTGTGGCGATGGTTCCAAGCTACAGTTTCTGCCCTCTTCTCCTTTTAATACCCAGCCCTCTTCTTATTCCACCCACCCGTTCGCTCTCAACCGCAGACAGTATATCGACACGATCAGGATTTTGGAATGACACCTTTAGTTCCCAATGCAGAGATGCAATCCATCTTCAGGTGGCTCCTCTCAAGTCACAAACCCGGAGATTTCTACCCTATGAACGAATTCGAGGAGTTAGCCACCGAGTATGCTACGAGGGCTTCGACAAACTATCAGAGGCTTCACGATATAATTCTTCATCACGAGGAAGTTATACGCAAGAGATATATACAGTCATACACGACCGAAGCGAAGCGAAGAGAACTCCTGTTGAGCGTTTGGCCTGATATGCCGGACAAGCATCTTTCCGCCAGCTTCGACGATACTACAGGGAAATTTGTCCCCACTCCCGCGAAAAGCATCAGTCAGTCAACCCTCCTTAGCTTCTTTCCTTCCTCTCGCAAAAGGTAATCTTGGAGGTTGCCGATGTGCAAGGTGCTGCAGAACGTTGGCATTAATACGATTACAGAAGCGTCAGACAACACCAATCCAAAGCGAATACTACCATGTATCAACCTTCAAGATCTCGCCAACGACCCGAAAACGCTTCTTCTATATCTTAATACACGAGGACGAAGCCGTCCATACGCTTTCGGTGCATTTGAGCGTATGTTCATACTGACCGCTCGGGTCAATGACCACCTCTTGCCGACAAACAAAATGCGCTTCGACGGCGAAATGACCTACGGCAAGATTCGTGAATGACCAGACGTTGAGATTGCAGAGGTTTTAGAGGTTTGGAAACTCGCCCTTGGTCTTGGTGAGGGTCTGCAAGTCTTGCTGATACAATTCCACATCTACACTACCCTGGTCAAAGTTTGCGAGGTTATACTGAGCCCCATGAGCCCAGCAGAGCCGACGGACGACATTCGTCCTATCAAACCGGAAACACCCAGTCTAGTTGGACGTGGAGAGCTTGTGAGTTCCCTTGCCAAAGTTGCAGCTATGTTGTATTACCAAGGACCCATTGGCGTTGATATCGACAGAGTCTGCCAACTTGTCAAATCTGCTGCCAAAGACATCCAAGATCACGCTTTTCATCTTCGGGAAGATCCTGGTTACTTTGAGGATGCCTATGACGATGTTGTAAGCCATGACGTGTTCATGGTGCCACACGAACATGTCAGAAAACACCCAGCACTGGAAGAACAAGATTTTGTGAGACTCATCCTGAACGGTATACTTCTTCGGTCGCATTTCCATGTCATGTACTGGTAGGAACTAGCGGACTAAATGCGCGAGCTCGAAAAGCTAACTGAGATATATCCAAACAGGATCATCTAAAGCGAACTTGACGAGGCGGAGGTGAAGGCCATCGACTACACACATCTCTTACTCGGAGAGATGAAGACGTTGTACTTGGTGGAACTCAGAGGGGTTTGTACAAGGCCCGGGGTCCGCAAGCACTTCGTTAAAGACTACAGGAATACCAAAACTAACCCAAGTATGCTTCAAGAGCCGTTACTGAGAGAAACTTATATGATGTTGTTCAGCATCACTGGCGCTTACGAGAGTGAAAAGATCCCGGACTGACAGGAGCTCTACCATTGCCTTGACGTTCTTGAGGCCTTTCTCTCACGGAACCCGGCAGCAAGAGATCTCTTCAGTCACCAGATCGAGCAGATATTGACAAAGCTTTCAGTCCTTGCTGAATGCACCTTCCGATCGATGATCCAGCCCTGGTACACTGAGTCGGTATACTATCTGGAATTAGAACCAGCACACTATAAAGCCAGTCTCATGGGGTCATTTCAAGGCTGGGGAAAGGTCTTCCAAACTAAGAACGGGCTCATCACGGATACAGACTTGGGAGATCCCAAAGACGAGAAGTTCCTTTACCCTTCCGAAAGGAGCGCTGCCAGAAAGCCAGTGCGACAAGCCCTATGTAAAGCTGAGAGACATCTAGACAAATTCTGGGCCATGGTGGACAGCAATATCACAAAACTTTGCCACCGGCCTCAGAGGAGAGCACTTAATCACATATTCCATGAAGGAGGTGCAATCAGACGGACCAAGACATGGCATGAGAAGTTCCCAAGGGTGAACCAGTCAGAGCGACCAGAAGATATATTCCAGTTCCAGCCAGCTTCAAAAATCTTCCATGACTCATCTAAAGACGTCACTGCCAAATTCGACAAGCTTGCAGTGACGAAGAAGACCAGAAAGAAGACCCGTGGCGAGCCCGGCCCCGCTGCAGTTTCAACTGCGCAAGGTCCAAAGCAGGATTTGGAAGAGAAGACCGTTTATAAGGTGGACCAGAACGCCCATCGCGTCTTCTCGGCGCTCTTTCACATTCCGGATGAAAAAAGTAGTGTGCCCAGGAAGGTTATACATGGGAGGAATTCTTGAGCGCACTCACCAAGCTTGGCTTCGCGACCGAGCAGATGCACGGCTCAGCCTGGGAGTTTACCCCAACAGGTGACTTGGAGCACCTACAGCGAGGTGTACACTTACATCGACCTCATTCGAGCAACGGGATACCACTCAAGTTGGCGAGGAACTTTGGGCGGAGGCTGACTCGGGCTTATAACTGGGATGGAACCATGTTCGTGCTGGGTTGAGGGGGATGTAACGATGTCCATGAGATGTCGAGAAACGAAGAATGAACTGTTAAAGGTAGTAGGTCAAGCTGATACACTTGAGTTAGGCCATCCACTGAGACTGATCGCATTGGAATGCGTTAGTTTGTGAATGTAATTAGCGCGATGTGGGTCTTGGAAGTGATGCAAAACGACAGCTTTTGTTGTAATGTCTAGCGTTTCCAGGACTCGTCCTAGTCTTGGAGATAGCTAAACATGCTTTCGAAGTCATGTGTTACGTGATCGCACAACAGCCATGTACTTAATGCTTGCTTTTGTGGCCCGCGGCAGCCAGATACTTTCTCAGAGTTCGTGCGGGCAGATAGGGAAAGCACGTATTGAGTAATGATGTCGTCGGCTGTGATACAACCTTGGAACGATATCTGATCTTCTTCTTTGTGGGTACTAACTCCGGTGAAGGACCTACAGGATTGTGCGACATCCCAAAGTTCGTTGATCGACACTCCCCTGAAACGCTTTACCCTTTGGGCTTTAGCGCTGACGCTGAACCTTGTCACATACGAACAGATCTCCCTCGCATTGTTACTGGGCGCTCACAGCCAGCGTCTTATATATCTAACGGCTTTCAATACTGAGAGGCTCTGCCAGGTAACCAGCGGAGATTGGGCCGCCATGAGTGGGTCGCCGGGCGTAACGAGGCTATGCCCGCTGATTGTGACCGCTGCATCGGCAGGGCGTAACATGAAGCTCAGCCTTCCTAGGGCCTGCTATAGTTGCCTGAATGCACTCAGCCTCTAGATCTGTCTTTCCCGGACACTCTGCGCGATCCACAAGCTCCAGTCAGACTGCCTTATAACCTGCGTGGGACCCACAATCCGTACTTGAATGCGCGGACAGCATGTCGCATTCAAACACTAGCCCATTATCTGAGCGGCGCGAACGTTATTCATGGATATCGCTTCCTAATGGCGAGGACTCCAGCGGGATCACGCACCATGAGCATGCCGCACAGCGCGACAGCATTGACCGGACTCGCAGGCCCGAATCCCAACTACTGGACCAACGGGAACGCGATAACACATCTTTAAATACTGCGCATGAGAACGAAACGCTCTCCGCTTCCGGAAGCGACCATGTGTCCGACCCAGCATCTACTGCACTCGGTTTAGCGAGCGATGACCGCTTGCTGAATGAGCCGCGCTCAGGGAGCCTGGATGATACACGCCAGCGTGAGTGCATTTTTGAGGAGCCCAATTTACTGTATCATAGATTCTCTAACTACTGCATAGCAAAGCTTCAAACCGAAAAACTGCGACCACCAACTAAGTGGCTGCCATACACGCTGCGGCGCCCATACCTGATCACTCTTAGCCTAGTATCGCTTATACTCTCTACCGTCCTAGCAACCCTTAGCTGGCAGTCTTATAAAAACCATGGGCTCGGAGATGAGGATGGGTCCACTGGAATACTCATTGGATGGAGATATACCCCCACTATCGTCGCCATTTTCTTCACGCAGGCTGTTGTGCAGGTTGCCGAGGACGTAAAGAGGACTGAAGCATACGCACGCATGGCCGACCCCAGATCCATCGAAGCCAAGTTCACCCTATTCTATCTGCCCAAGGTATGGTGGAAAAGCATCTTTGTAGGTTTCTCTCGAAAGCGGAGCGGCGGCCACCGGAGGTGGAATCTGGCCTTGTCTTCGCTCGCAGCTGGTATCAGTGTACTCAGCATTTCGACCTTCTCATCGTCCGTGTTCGTTGCAAAAGAAGTCTTGTATCAGGAGGATGTGCAGCTTCAACGGTATGCCGCTGGCCAGACAATTGGCAAAGAGTTGTCGCCCATTCAGCTTTCACCTCGAAGGGATACGTATCTCCGGACTATAAGTGGATATCTCTACAACGTATCTACATCTATCTGGTCTTCAGATTCGCAAGTCATTGTACCTTTTGGAGCATTAAATGGCAACAAGAGCCATGCAACGCTTCCGAACGGTATATGGCAAGCAGATACTGAGGTGTTTCATCTCAACTACAGTTGCACATCGATGGTTCTGGTCGAGAAGGATATAATCGATATTACGTACAAGTATACAGACATTGCAAAAACGTCGTGTCCAAACGACACATGTACTGTCAACTCAAAAGGTTTCAAAATTCGATCAGAGGACGGATGTGAGGTCCAAATCCAAGGCCCAATCGCTCAGTGGAATAATTTCGGTTCCATGTTGTCCTCGGATGGCTTCATCAGCGATACCTTTACAGATGATGGCGGCTTGCTCTGGACGAACATGTCTTCCAGTTACGTGTCGTGGGAAACACTTATTCGAGATTATGGTCAGCCTCCAGCAATTCGCTCCAGTGGAGAGAAGGTCCTCGATCAATGGTCTCGCACGTTCATTTACAGTTTTTCCGATCAATGTACTGGGCGCGACTTGCTACTTGCATCGCCTCAATGGATTGTGCGGCCGTCACCTGCCGATCTTCCTGCGGGCGTATGGGAAAAAAGCTCATGGGACAACCTCACGATACGGGCACAAGTATGCACCCCGGAATATCGTACAGCTAGTCTGGCGGTCTCTGCATCCATTGATGGCGCTGAAACGTCCATGTCCTTCGATATATCAGAGTTTGAGCGGCACAATCAGCTTGTGTCAAAACAAGCCATCGATATGGACTTATTGAATGACCTCACTTTTCGCAGTGGCAGTTGGGACAAGTACATGGCCGTACCTCCTGATGTCCACGGTTCTTTTGAGGGTATATCGTTACTTCTTGCTTCAACTTTCGCTCACAACGTGTCCAATATTTTGGAGAACGTCACTCTAGAGGCAGAAGCTAGCAAACTTCGGACACAATTCACAAGAGAGCTTTTGCTATCCTCTCTCATAGAAGCCGACAACCCACAATTCGAAGATACAAAAGGGCTTGCTACACGCGTAAGGAGACGGATTCTGGTCGTCACTGAGGTCGCAACAACACTATCGGTGTTGTTTCTGCTCTTGGCATGCTATATTGCAATAGCAGTATTCTACACATCGCCCAGGAAAAGACCACTTAACCTCCATTCAGATCCTGCCACTATTGCTGGAACAGCGTCCCTCCTTAGCAGTACTTCGCTTTCTTCTACCACGTCCAGTACATTCGTTGGATATGACAGATCACGCACACAAGGCATCATCCAATCACGGGTTTATAATCTACAAGGCGGAATCCTCTCGGAGAAGCGATCGATAGCTGAGTCGATTGCAGATGGAAAACCGAGTGCATTCGGCAAGACAAGCGAGCTCTCCTCGAAAAATGGCTTTCAAGATGACTGGAGGCCTTCAATGCTCCACAAAAGATGGCTTCTTACATTGCTGGCTACTCTCGTCGCTATCGTCATAACTATGCTCGTTCTTCGCAATTATGCACGAGAAGAAAAGCTTTCCCAGACTGCATTTACCTACCAGGTCGATTTGGGTTTATTCGACACGTCTTTTTCTCCTCACTCTGTCATCGCAACGCTAATAGCTGTTTGTATTGGATTGAGCTGGGATGGTATTGATAAACCTATGCGGATTCTGCAGCCATATCTCTCCTTGTCGCGGAGGCCCTTAGCCTCAACACGAGGAGCATCGTTGACATACCAGTCTTCACACTGGATATGGGCCGCGGCAAAATCAGCATCGCGGAAACATTGGATGCTATGTCTCATAGCTACTGGTACAACCTTGTCACAAATTCGTAAGCATTTCCTCGCTCCCTTGAGTCATGTAGCTAACCGTGTAGTTATTATCTCCATGGCAGCCGTCTTCGAAAGACAGACCGCACTGATCAGTCGAGGGACTTGGGACCCATCCCATAATGATGTACTTTGGGTGACAGCACCTTTTGAGCTTCTAGAAGAGCCTATCGAATTTTTCAACCCAGGCCAACGTACACGCAATTTCGAGATAAACGAGGAACTGTTGGAATCATCCACGATTCAATGGCTCTACCACGCATTGGACGAGATCGTTCTGGAAGCACCGCAACTGGCGTGGACTAAGGACGAATGGACGTTTACTCCACTCGATATGGAAGAGCTGCCAAATGTTACAGTATCCTCAAAATCGAGTTCCGGTTTTGGGAGACATACAAGCTCGAATGCTATAGCGTCACCCGCAAACGCGTCTTTCATTACTTCCGCTATCCGAAGCCGATTACAGTGCTCTCCGATCGCCGTACCAGACTCCGGCTGGCTTGACCAAGCTGCAGACGTTTTTCCCAATCGTACCAATGAAACGCTGCAAGGATTTGCACTACCGACTACTCTATTTGACGGCAAATTGTACAATACGTCTGTCTTCTCGGCCCGAAGACGGTTATCATGCTGTACGAATGGCACGGATCCAGGTGGGCAAGCTGTCGTTGCGTACTGGAGCAGTAACAGCTCAATGATTGAACGGATAGATCCCAATTTCTTCATCCAAGAATGCACTTCTGAACAACTTACCAATGGCAACTGCACGAGTGCCAATATGCCGTCCGATCCCCTCAGCGAGGATGGTCCAGAAGATGTTCTCGTTCATGGCTCTTGGTACCGCAACTTCACCATCAAGTGGATCGTGGGGCCAGGTGTGACTGCGAACATATCTGGAGCTAATCCAGCTGCGAATCCTAAGGTACAACAAGTCAACCTACCGTACGCCTCTGCAGATGAAGAGCTTCTCTACTTCACGGAAGAACCCAAGATGGCCATAATGGACTGTATCATGGTTATCGAAAATACATCCGCCAGTGTTACTGTAGCTAGGAGCTCTGGGAACGTTTTGGACTACAGCTTGGTGACTGACCCGCAGCCTGCTCTTGACGCCTGGGAGTACGCCTGGGACATCCTCTACTCTGATCCAACGTCCTACAATGGAAGAGGAAATGTCAGGTAAGCCATCCATCCGGTTGAGCTACTATCTCGAGCGTGTTCATCACAATCCAAATGCTAACCACCACCGCTACTAGTTACGGCCATTTATTCATGACGCAGCTCCTCACCGCCCCACACATCATTACACCTCATATGCCACATTCCTGGCTCTCCTACAACCGCAGCATCGAAGAAGCAGCAAGCGAACGCTTCAACATTCGCGATCGGGATCGTGGTCTCAACGTCGACTTCATGTCCTACGCCAACTGGAATCTCGCGGGCAAAGACACCGAATCCCTGCTAAATACAACGACACTATTGCGTCATTCCGAGAAGACATTACAAGTCTTCTTCAAACACTTTATCCATACCGGGTCGTCGAATCTCAGCGGGCGCCGTTCAGTTGGAGAGCCTGATAGAGCAGCTTACCAGCAAGTCTATTCACCGGACCCTGTGAATGGGACGTTTACGAAACGGGTTGAAGTTCTTGCTATGAATGAGACGGCGACGTGGCTCTCGCTTATTATACTCATCCTACTTATCGTCATCCTGATCGTTCTGATCGTGAGCTTGCAGATCGTATATCCGAGCTCATGCATGCAACATCGCGTCGAGTGCTTGGCAGACGTACTGGCTATGGTAGCTGGAAGCGAGGGACTGATCAGTTTGATTGAAGAGCAGGGGGTCGACGGCTTTGCCAAGAGTGGTAGGCTGACTAAGTTGGGTTGGTTCAAAGATGCGAGTGGACATGTTAGATGGGGTGTTGAACTTGTGGATGCAGAGGGCGTAGAATGGGTTGATGGACCGGAGGAAGCTGCCCCGGCTGGACACGATGAAGAGTCATCGATTCGAAGCGGAGAAGTAGTCGATGCGAATAGTGCACTTTTGGAAAGCGAACGAAGGTCATTTTCGCCACGAAAATCCGTTCAAGAGCAATAGACAGAGTCAATGCTAAGACCCAGCAATGTCGCCAACAACGCATTGTGGCTATAGAGCGACGAGACCTTTGACCCTTGCCTAGCTGGCCATGTCTATTCCGGTGCTGTCTACGTGTACCCCGTCTCCTATCCCGACACGTGTTCGTCAGTCTACCATACATGCATTCACTCGCCGAGCGCAAGTGAGGCAAGCGAGGCGGACAGGCCAGCCACACCGGAAACATTCGGCAGCCAGGCCCGCGCCAACGCGTGTAGTACCGGCACTTTCCATTCTCTTACCGTACCGAGGCCATGCTCTGGAATCTTGGGAAAAAGGAACGGTGGGTAGCGTCGTGTCCGCAGTGTAGTGTGGGGGTGAAACGACTAAGTGCTGTAGCCCGAATTAGGATGTCGCCCTATGCAGTCAGACAAAAGCATGAACGCAGGCTGAGGTCAGTGCTGGCGTCCTGCATCACATTTGCGGTGAACCAGTACAGGGTAACGGTGAGGAGGGTAGAAGAGATGCGATTGTGATCATATCTTACACGATACCAGCAGGCTAGCTGCAGTATCCGATCTGAATGAATCCTATCATGCCATCCATCCATCCCAACTCAACTATGTAGATAAGGAAAAGAGAGAGAAAGATCCATCGCTGCGTAGTTCATGATCCATACGTCCATCATCATAAGCGTCGTAGCCGTTGCCAACACATCGACCTCTTGCTTACTTTTCTTGCGAAATAGCGGAACGAAAAAAAGGAAACCCCACCAAACATTTCTGCCACGTACATGATCCAGCCACAACAAGTAGAAAAGGAGATAAGGGTATTACATCCGCCAAAATCGAGAAAAAGTGCCGAAAAGCCTCCGCGAGGAGCAGGTATAGTGCAGCATAAAAAAGAAGTAAGAAGAAGGGGGGAATAATGTGGGGAACGCTCAAAATAGGGCGCGACGAAAGGCAGGAAGAAGATAACCGTACAATCTGATCGGTCCAAACAAGAAGTTCAATGGCGGTGACCGCCCTTACGCATTAGATGTTGGTGTGCGTGAGCGTCCCAGTCTGGCAAACCATAACAATGTGACCTGCACTGTCGCAGGGAACGCAGCAAACATACAAACATGAAATGCGAGTGGGCAATTGTGCCGAAATCGAACGTGCGATGAAGAAACCGATCCGACCTTTTTTGTTGAGCAGGTCTGCCACCAAGGCCTGTCCACGCTCGTAGAAAGCTTTTGATATGGAAATCATCCACCCAATGAAGAAAAGAGATCGAAAGAGATCTGCCGCGCAGAATTGAGGATAGGAACGTACGTGTGGCGAGCAGAGAAGAACGTCGAAGTCGAGCTACGCATCTTCGTTTCGCGCGCGAGTGTCTGAGGTTCGGAGATCCTTAGTTGTAATAATGCGAACTGGTGTTGGCGCGGCGACGCAAAGGTCGTGGCACCTCAACGATTCGATCATCGTAAGAATCTCGTACTACTCGGCTTTCGCGCCTACTACGGTGGCTGCGCATGCTTCCTTCGGTCATCTCCTCTGGCTGCTTCCGTCGTACAAGTGCCTGCCCGTCTCCTGCGTTGCTGCCTCTTTCACTACTGTGATAGTTGCTCTCGTTATCACGGCTCCCACTGATGACTAATTCTGCCATGCCGTCCTCAGTCGGGATGAGCTGCATGGTGCGGCCTTCCATATCGCCATTGAACTGCAGACTGAGTGGGGCATTGGCGTCAACGCGGAGGCGAATCTCGTTATTACCGCTACTAGTAAGAGCAGTGCGATTGGACTGGCTTTGCCTGTCGCTTCCCGAAGAGCCGGAGTGAGAAGGCATTGAAGGTACCCTCGAAGCTCTTTTTGCAGCACGATGGATGTGATCGTTCAACGGGACATCTGTGCCACGTTGGCTGTTGATGTAGTCTAAAGCCAGACTCTCTTTGGCTTTGCGCCCACCGGCGTCAGTAGGACGACGAGGGCGGGGAGGCACTGGTGCTTCGGGAACGACGGGTGCGACGGCTTCATCGGATTGATACTCCTCGTCGCTATCGTCGAACGCCGCGGGAGGCTGATAGTAGACCTTGGAGTTGCGCTTCTCGCGTTTGCGCTCTTGCTCAGCCTCATAACGAGCTTCGTTCTCCGCTTGTCGTTGAGCTTGTCTTTCACGTTTAGCACGGTTCGCGGCTTTGAGTTCTTTCCTGGCTCGCTCTTCGGCTTCGAGGCGTTCCGCCTCCTTCCTGCCCGCGGCATACTCCGCATACTCCTTATCTCTGGCTGAATGCCCGTAGTGAGCAGACCGACGCCGCTCAGCCTTGACGCTGTCGTTTACATAGACCGAGCCACGTCGTGCGGGATATTCAGTCTGTGTATGGGCTGGCGGAAGAGGTCGGCTGATTGACTGTCGACGGGATGGCTCGTTTGTACTTTTGGTAGTACGGTGACGGCTGGAGCGGTCCTCATCGACGACAATAGGAGGAGTCGACATCGAATGGCGGTGGCTGCGAACTTTCTCCACGGTTGTGGTAGTGTGAGCGTGAGGCAAGGGAGGCCGTTCCCCGTTCTTGGTCTTGGGCTTGGTCTTGGTGTTCGACTTGGACTTGGGAGCCTTCGGAGGCGGCGGGGGCATAAGCGCACGGCGGGTACGTGGGTCGTTGGGATCGACCTCAGGCTCGGATACATAGTAATCGTCATCCTCAGACAACTCAGACTCCGATTCGTAGTCGCTCTCGTGGGGTCTATCGTTGAGCTGCAACGGGGCTGGAAGCCTGGGGTGTGTGGCGCTCTGAGGCTGGCTGTACCTTGTGGAGTACTGCTGCTCGCGCGGAGCCTGGTTGATGACAGGCGGTGCGGGTCCCCGACGTGCGGCGTTGGAGGAGCTGCGCTGCGGCATGCCTGGCCTCTGTCCGTCATCGTAAGGCATCTGATAGAATTGAGGGGGATAGCCGGGTGGCACTCCATAGGGCGTCTGTGGAGGACCCATCTGACCCATGGCAGGCATTGGAAAGCCTCGCGGGTAGTGGGCAGAGCTGGAAAGAGGCGGTCCACGCTCTGGGGGCGGGGTAGGATATCCAGGTGCACCCTGAGTCCAGTGGTACTGAGGCCCGGGCTCACCACTGTAGCTTATCGGTCGACCAGTGGTCGATATCGACGGCCGACGACGTGTTGCGGCTGGCTGGATGACAGCGGCTCCATGTGCGTAATAGGACTGTCGATAGTGCGTGGGTGAGGGCGGAGCCTGCTGGTACGAGGGGGGATCAGAATGCATTGAGCGTGTGTCTTGGGGGATAGGACGGGTCACGTCGCGAGCGGATTGAGATGGCTGTATGTCAGGGCGACGACGGACAGCTGAGGCAGGGGCGTTGGGGTCGTACTTGGTGCGTCTAGGCTCGGCACCATCCGGTTCAACTCTGCTGTCACGACGATCTCTGCGCTCCGGGCGGGACTCCTGGGTAACGGTCGGCCTGCGTTTACGTTCCGGTGGCTGTTGTTGGACGACAGCGGGAGGCTTGGAGGCAGACGAAGCAGTGCGAGAGGGCTTGGGCCGCGAAGAGGACTTGGAAGTCTTCTCGGTCGTGTCCGTCGGGACAGGGCGTCGTCGGGCCTTTGGAGCCTCAGGCTGGGGAGGCGCTGGGGCAGCGGCGGCAGGCACCTGGGGCGGGCTGCGCTGGGGAGGAGCACTTTGAGCGGAATTAGTGCTGCTGACGGTGGCGGTGGTGTAGCTGCTGTACCCTGAGTCGGAGCGAAGGTCGATGTTGGCCGGCGCCCTCTGCTGCGCGGGCGGCATTTCTTTATCCAAGTCGGAAGGGTGCGAGCGCTTGGTGGAGACGTTAGCGGCATTGGGCGACCGGCGGCCCTGGAAGGGGATAGAGCCGCCTTCGCTGTCATCCGAGTAGCAGTCCTCGACAGTAGGCTGCATTTCCTGTGGGCTCGCCATGGTGGCAGCGGCAGCAGTAGCAGCAGCGTTTGTTTTGGGGGGAAGTGAAGACAGGAGTCGGCAAAATATCTAGCGGCTCCAGCAGCGCGCTCTATCGATAATAAAGCGTCGCGGGGCGATCCTGGACAGACAATCAATCAGGCGAGACGGCGAAAGCGCATTATTCGCACGGGCATAGGGCTGGCTGCTACCGTCTCATCAAGGCGGCGGGGGCGTGGTGTGGGTGAAGGGGAAAGAGGATCAGAGCGAAGAGACGAGGGAGGCAGAGGGATGAGGGATATGCGAGGCGCTGCAGAGTATGACGGGCGACTTGGTGTGCAGCAGACAGGCATGCAGGCGTTGTTCGGGCTTCGACACACGAAAGTTTTCCCCCGCCCGTAAAATTCAAAACGGCGTGGTACTATAAACTGCCTTATAGCGGGCTAGCTCCTTCATGCAATGCGTCTAATCGTTGGGCGCGCACCGCATCCGTCGCTGCCCAGTCAACCTCCAACATCTAGTGGTTGGCCGAGGGGCTGCTCTGCCGCCCTCTACGCTCCTGGCTGTCGTCAAGTGGTCGCTGTCGTGGTGACGCAGCCTCCACACCATACTTTGGGTGGCTGCATGCAGACGCCCTCGTTGCCAGCCGCAACACTGCCATTGCCATGTTGCTGTCCGTACCAGAACCACGACCACGTCCAAGTAGTCTACTAGGAAGGCCTGCTCTCCGAGGCCGAGTCTGCGACAGTTTCGCCATGCACCCACACTGCTTCACCCTGCCGCCATGCCACCCTGATGCTGATCACGTCGTCCTGGTCGTAATAATAGCCAGTCGCCTGGCCATTGGCTGCCTCAGATGCGCAACATCCATTGGTTTGAGTGGTCGTGGATCGTCTCCGTTCGAACGACATGAAACCGGGATTGCCCGGCCCTCGTAGATGCGAGCCGTTCGCCTGGAGGGCTGAATGGGCGAATCCACCTCAACGCACCACCTCACCGCCCTCTCGCGCGTCACGATATTTCGTCAAAACCGCATCTCAACGCGCTCACGCTCGATGCAGCTGTCATGAAAGCTTGTCGCCTGCCTGCTAGACGGAATTGGCGTTCGCTGCTGCTGATCACTCCTCGCCTTGGCACTGTCTATCGTGTATTACCACGACGCCCTCGATCCTCTGCAGCATCACACGGTGAACGGTTGCAGGGCAGAATTTCCTAGCTCCATCCAACTTTTTCCTTGCGCTTCCTCGCTTCCTCACGGTTCACGTCATGGAGCCTCACCACTGCGTCGTTTATTAACAGCTAACTCGTTTGCTCCTGGCTCGGCCACGTCAATCACGCTTACCATGCAGGAACAACAGAGCACTCTCACCATCGTTACCTTCATTAATCTCCAGGACGCGACGCATAACATGTGTCCTTTCGCCACTGCGAGTCCTCATTGTCTGGTGTCAAGCATGGCTGGCGTTGCGTCCTCAGAACCACGCAAATCACAGCCTCCCAGCTCTTGCCCTGCCCGACACTAACGCACTTGCCAGCAAGACAGCGTATCGGTGTAACAACCCCATCGAATCGCCTCGGACGCAGCTCTCATCACGCGGCCCGTCAAGCGTTGCTTACTCGCCTAGTCGTCGACACTACCCCACCAAAGCTTCCGGTGAACAGACGCACCGCATCGAGCAGCGCAATGCCCTCAACAATTCTGGCCAGAACCAGAACAAATGATGCGCTCTTGAATACACCCAATCCGGCAACTTGCGGCTTCCACGGCACCTCGACTCCAAACGTCACACGCACGACGACCGTTGTCGTATTCCGAGGTATTCGCCACTGCTCTCCTCGCTGATGTCCCTCATGCTGTGTTCGACCGGCGTCATGGTACACAGCCTGCAGACAAAGTGCAGCGTATTGACTTTTCGTCGTTGCTAGATCAAGCTTCAGACGTTCGCCATGAACACCCCACCACCAGCTACCGTGTGGTGCATCCTTGACAGCTTTGCCATTCGCTCGTCCCAGTCCCGTAAGACGAAATAGTGCAGTGGTCCATGACGGAAGGGTGGCCGCTCATCCAATGCTCCTACACCACCAGGCATGACGTTGAGTTTCGTGTAACTGTGGCTACCCTTCATCCACGCCTGCGCCAGAGATATGCTGTGATGCTTGATAAATGCCACTCAAGACCATTCGCTTCGGCTCAGATGCAGCACTCTGCGCGACACCAATTTGTGCCGACCGCCAGGTCTTGCAAAGCGCTCGTTGCACACATTGAATGATTAGCCAACCTTCTACGTGACATCCCGCAAGTTCTGCGGCGGGGTAGCGGACAGATACGGCATGACAACACGCTCGAAAGCGTCTCCGCATATAACTGTCTTCCACTGACGTCCATTTAGACTCTTGGTGTGACCGGCAGAGCATCGAGGCTGAATCATCTCGGCACATCGCACACGCCCTGCAGACATCAAGGTCTTTGGCTTGAAGCCTGTGTCAGATTGATGCGATATCGGCAGCTCTTGTGCGACAGTGACACAGTCAGGTGCACGGGAACTGTGAAAGTCATCATACTTTTCAAGAAAGGATGGTGGGAGTCGATGCTTGAGAACTTGCGATTCATCGCCGACGTGAAGAGGCGATGGGCGTTCGATGCCGCCATGCGCAGTGGACATGCGATTGATGTTAGTATCATTTGCCTTGAGCATCATGCAGGTAATGTACCCACAAGCTCAAAATAGTCTACGCCACAACCCATCTTGCATGAACTCCTGCAGTTTTCTTATTTCTTGTTGTCAGACATGCAAACTGCACTTTTCGTTATATCAAAACAGTGGTCGCGTCTTCCTGACCATTGTCGTCTCCGCCGTTTGGCTAGCGCTGGTTGGGTGGAGGAACGCGTGGGAACTCGCTAAGCGAAGCCCACTACAAATCCACCATCTCGTTGGAACCCGCGCGAAATTCGACAATGGCATTTCAAACGCTTTCATTTCACCACGCTATCCAGCTTCAGTTCGTTCGCGCGAGCAATTCCTCTCTATAGACTACGTTTCCATCAGGACGTGTGACTCACATGCGGCATGTCACTTCGTCTCAGCAATGGATCCTTCGCTGCCCAAAGTGTCTCCAATTGGGTCCCGAACACTTGGTCTTGCGGCTCTCGCTGCCCTACGGACCCACTTCTGGCGCTGACGCCATGGACTTTTGGATCTAGGATGCCCAAAAGACCCACCCAGCGGCTATTGTGGGCGAAAATTTATACCCTCCGCTATCAACTACAGGTACCACGCGACGGGGGAGCGAAAAGCAATAGTAACAATCCCGAGCTTTTCCATGACGACCTGCGAATGAGAGCTTCGGATGAGGACGTCTCGTTGGAATATGTCTCAGCTCAACAGCATTTGGTCCAGAATTTGTTGTACACGTGGGGGATCACCTGTCTGGTCAGGCGTCAGTCCCGGTCTTGTCCAGCTGACGTCACTTGCTCCCCAGATACTCCAGGTGTTTAGTGTCCGTTGAGGCCTGAACGGAGACCCTCATACAGGTCTGCGGGAGTAGGCCCAGTCATTCCGTGATGCGGGCGGCAGCCTCATCAGCCATGGGATCCCCACCGCTGATTACTAGACTCACTAACCACCTCGTCCAATCCACATCAATTATCGTGCAGGCTGAGAAGACACACCTTCAAGGTTTTCTCCAATAATGGGGATTGTGGCTTTTGCGCTGCGACTAAAAGAACACCTCATGTATCAGACTCACACATTGTCCGAGGCCCATGAAACGTCGTGCAAAGGTTCAGACGTGACTGAAACGGAGGAGCCAGCATCATACAGTCTCCCAAAGACACTTTCCACGGGCTTCTCAAGATTTTCGACACTCCAGCATAGACACAGACGGGAAGCGGGGTGCTTGGTATCGCGACTTCTGTCACCCAGCTAGCTGACTCGGGCTGAAGAGTCACGTGAGCTCTCTACGACTCAGGTGCGGCTCGGCACGAACATGGTGATCACTGATCAGCGACGCCGGCAACCGCAACACGCCCTCGGATCTGACCCCAGCTTTCGGTAAACTAACTATATAGACCTGCACAGACAACATGTTCTTTCTGCGTCTCACTTTTCACACCTTTTCATCCTGATGCCCACTTTCAGAAGCAAACTCGTCCTGCCTCGGTACGGCTTCGGGCACCACCCGGCCAGCTCAGCTAGAAAAGGCGCACTGGTTGGACTTCCAGTAGCGACAGGCTAGAGCCATACGATGACCGCCACACCTTGGGCAAGAGACATCTGCATCGACGCCGTTTTTGAATCTCGACACGCTATACAAGACGTAGTATTCAACAAAGAAAGATCCCATCACCAGACGACACCACTCCGGAGTAACAACAGTAGGTGCATCTTGCGAGACTTCTGTCAATCAACACGAGTATGCAGACGGGAACATGGCTCCTGATATCCTTGGCGTTTGGAGAATCTGAGAGGCCATCCGAGAGCATCTGTACGGGAATCCCCGTCAGAGATTGTGCTAGTACAACAAACTTTGAAACAACATCCTACAATACCCGCCATCGAAAGTCTCAAATCATGAAGACAAGGCAGCTACGAGCCGGAAGAAGGGCCGGTTAGGTACATGATTAGATCACGAACGTTAGAAATTCCGCGTCTTGCGCGAAGCGCAGATGAGTTCAGACGACGGTAACACAGCGTCGGAGCTGAAAACCAACCGAGTTCGGTTATATGAATGGTTGCATCAATGTGCAGCGACAAAACCAGCATACGTGTAGCTGAACGGGGTAGAGGTTCACGCACTTACTTTCGCCGCTCGACCAGAAGGTATCGTCTTCACATGTACCTAGGCATCGTGGAACGCTTCCGCTCGTAGTACATCAACACCTCGATAATCAGTCGATGAGCCAGCGGAAGATGCCCTGCCAATGTTGGATGGCAATGGCTGTCGGCAAGTTGTCTAGCAAAAGGCCTTGGTTTGAGAGTCTGGGCCCACGCCACGTGCCCTTAGCGTACAGCGGACACCCCGCTAAGTTTATGCCCAGGCCCCAAAACACCAATGCGTACCCAAAATGGTCGCAGCCACCTCCGGATTTCCATCATCGCGATGGCTGTTCACGCGGGGTATAAGCTGGGCGTGACTGTCGGAAACGCCTTGACATGCGCCTGCGCGCTGTACCGGAGTCAAGACCGCCAGACTGCCGGGTCCAGACAGCACTATCACGGATGCTATGCTGCTTGGAGCTCCTTGGTATGAGTACTGCTAACCGCTGTGGTGAATCGTCTCCGGAGCTATGGGCTTGAGGCTCCGTACCAGTGTCAATTCGATAGGTTGTAAGCGAGATAGCTTGGAGAGCTTGTCAATGTCCAATGCAAATTGCTAAGTTTTGGGGAGTCTGGGGTACGGTGGAGCCGACGCCGCAAGGAATCTGGGGAAGGTGAGTTCAGTAGTCTGGGGAAGCAGATGTGTATATGAGGTCGAGTATCCTGCAGGTGTAGGTTTGGTTCTACTTCAACCTTCGCCATCCAACCCCAGATCTCCTCTTCTCTTCTCCCTTGTTTCTTGCTGATTTCCTCGTCGTTCATCAAGGTTCACATCTTACCCCTTGACAGGCCTCAGAGGTCTCCGAGAGTCTCCAACAACTACCATGGCCTCCTACGCTGAAGAGAAGGGCAACGTCGCCACCCTAGAACGCATCGAATCCGACACAACTGCCAGTAATGCCGCCATCAGTCGTTTCACACCCGAGCAGCAGAAGAAAATTGTCCGCAAGGTCGATTTTCGGCTCATCCCCACACTTGGATGCATGTACTGTGTCTCCCTCATGGACAGAACCAATCTAGGTGTCGCCATGGTAGCTGGTATGGGCGTCGATCTCAAGCTCACTGGCGAGAGATACAGCATCATCGTGCTACTCTTCTTCATCACATACGTCGCGCTCCAGCCACCAGCTACCGTTGTGCTGAGGAAGCTTGGTCCAAGGCTCTTCTTACCATCTATCGTCATCATCTGGGGAGCAGTCATGATTGGCTTCGGTTTCGTTAAGGAGTGGCACACACTCATCCCACTCCGTCTACTCCTCGGTATCTTCGAGGCTGGTTTCTTCCCCGGCTCCGCATACCTCCTTTCATGCTGGTACAAGCGATTCGAGCTCCAGAAGCGCAACACCGTCTTCTTCCTCATCGGTATGCTGTCGTCTGCCTTCTCGGGTATCCTCGGCTACCTCTTCTCTCTTCTCAACGGCAAGGGCGTACAAGCAGCATACTGGCTTGGTCCCCACTACGGACCTACCAAGAAGGCACCCACTACACCAGTCAGCTTTGGACCGGGTCTCTCAGGATGGCGATGGATCTTCATCATGCAGGGAGTCATCACCGTTCTCATCGGCATCGTCGGATGGTATTTCATCGTCGACTTCCCCGAGCTAGCAGCCAAGCCCAGCGCGACCCAGAAGAAGTTCCTCGAGCAAGATGAAGTCGACTTTATCGTGGCCCGCATTGAAGAAGACCGCCACGATGTCGTCGCCGAGGAGTTCAATCTCAAGAGCTACCTCGCCGGCGCCATGGACCTCAAGGTCTGGGGCTTCGCTCTCATCTTCATGTTCACCACCACCATCACCTACGCCATCGCCTACTTCCTTCCCATCATCTTGAAGGACGGCATGGGCTTCAGCCCTGCCGCAGCAAACTGCCTCATCGCACCGCCTTACGTCTTCGCCGCATTCGTCATGATCGGCTTCGCCTGGGCAGGAGACAAGTACCACATCCGCAGCCCATGGGTCATCGCCAACGGTGTCCTCGCTCTCATCGGTCTCCCCATGATCGGCTTCAGCTCCAACGTTGGTGTCCGATACTTTGGTAAGTCATCTCACACCATCCTCCTATTCTAGCATTTACTAAACTCCCTCTCACAGGCGTCTTCCTCGCTACCGCCGCTGCTAACGCAAACGTCCCTTGCATCCTCACATGGCAAGCCAACAACATCCGCGGCCAATGGAAGCGCGCTCTCTGCAGCGCTACACTCGTCGGCGCTGGTGGTATCGGTGGTATCATCGGTGGCACTGTCTTCCGTACCCAGGATGCACCTTCTTACGTCCCTGGTATCGTTGCTTGCATGATTGCATCTGGCATGATTATCATTATCTCGCTGCTCCTCAACTTGAAGTTCTGGATGGCGAACAAGCGTGCGAACAACGGAGGCAAGATTATCGAGGGCTTGGAGGGATTCAGGTACACACTTTAGATACCCAAGGTGTTTATGCGAGAGGGGGATGAGGATATGAGTAATGAATTATTATGTGTTCAAAAGATACTTCAAACTATCTTGCATCTCGTGATTTACCCGAAGTGACCTGACCTCCTGATCCCTCTCGTTAACCCTTCATATCGCAGAGTTCCAAAGCAACCTGGACGTCATCCCCACCCGCGGCGAAGTTGAGGCGGAATCAACAGTACCTGCCGCTCGTCCGTCTTGGCTCTTCCTTCCTCCCCAGCCGCTTCGCGACGAGAAGTATGGCTTAAGAATGTACCCAGACATTTCTTCTCGGAGCGCGGATTTCTCCCTCTTGGTAGGATACATGTTGTGAACCAGGAACAGACCAGGGGGTTGGTGAACGAGACGGCGCAGGGATGACGCAAGTACGCAGTCAGGTTGCGAGTGGAGAATAATGTGTAAGCGATTTTTGGTTGTGGAAGATATAAAAGACCAATCCTCCCTTTACATCAAGCACAATAACAGCTCGCTTGAACATCTACTACCTCTTCAGCAACAGCTGCGACCCAGATGCACGTCGCCATCGCATCCGGCCTCTTTACCCTCGTTGTCACTTCTCTAGGCTACAACGTTCATTTTATACTGGCATCCAATCCCGAGGCGAACGTCTTGGTGAAGCAGTCGACTTGACGCCAAATGATGGTCGTCAGGACGGCAGCCTATACAGCATCAACGCCCAATCAGTGTACATAGCCCATGGAGACACCGAGGAAGACATTAAAATCGCCTTCTACAAGGGTGACAAGTGTCCTCTCGAGAACGCAGTCGCAATAGGGAATATCGGTGCATGTCTTAATGTCGGCGGTGTCTACCAGCATTTCGATTCCTACAACGCTTTTCCCATTATTCCGCGCAGCAAGCGTGGAGATTCTGCTGAATCCCAAGTTAATGACGAACCTTTGAACTTCCAGCATGGGATATTGTTTGAGGATGACGGTGGTGTGAGTTGCAAGACGAGAGCGATGATGCTGTTCTCTATTCCGGAATGCGATCGCTAACTGTGCATGTGTAAAGGTCCAATGGCGCCTACAACAGATAGCAGAGAACGCCTTCAGAGGCGTACGTGCAGAGGAGTGGTCTTCCACCATGCGCATTGCCAACACGCAGCCTCTGCCCGAGTTTGACGACATGCACACCGTCAAAGTCGCGAAAGACATCAATAAGAACGCTACCGAAAATGCCAAGTGAGTGCTGTAGTATCAAAGCAAAGTCGAACCCAGAGCACGAGGTCGAACTTGCGCTTATGCTGTTCCCCAACCTTCAGCCCGCCTGCGCCGCCATCGCTTCATGCTTCGTTGCTATCGGCGGCCTTCCTGAGCAGTGCTTTCCTCGATCGACTCAATATGTCATCGCCCAGATCGAGCGTGCATGAAGAGCGTCAACCTTGTAGAACCTGTGGAGTTTCCTCAATTCGCCATTCTTCATCGCCACAGGAGCAGTACAAATTGCTGCGTAATTCGTACCGGCATCCCCAAGCACGCCGGATGCGCCTGCCGCCCAATGTACACAGGGGCAAAATCTGGCCCTTGGCACAGCAGAGCAATGCATCAATCGGGTGGTATCAAGCAGTGGTCGACGTTAAGATGACCATGTTCAGTGCACTTTTATTGACGAGAATACGGGTGAGCGAGGAGTGGTGAATCTTTCATACTTGCCAAACAACAGAGACTCTCAGTGTGGAGCCCCACGACCGCCTCGTTTGTCAGCGGGACGTATCAGCCGTGCCGAGCGGGCTTTTCTGGGCGACGTGCCGGCTCCGCTCGCTTGATGAGATGCACGTGACTGGCTGAGAGTAACCATGTACATACCTTGGTAGTCTCCGGTGTAGGTTGCTAGTGCAAGGCATACTATTCAACATGGTTCTGTTAGTGGGATGAAGTAGTATGAATACGAATAGGATGACTCAATACATACGTCTGATTGGGAGGTCCATCTGCTGTGCTGCGCGCGTGTTTGAAATTGCCAAGACGTCAGCCTCGAAGCCTACAGGGCTGTGTTCTTGATGCTTTGACGTGAGAACCAGCGCAGATCACCCAGCTGTGCTTATTAGAGCCACGGTCTCTCCATTTCCTTCGCTTCCGAAGTGAGTGAGTACCTATCTCCTTTCGCTAAGAAGACATGTCAACGAATTCATTTCAAACTCACGGTGGCAACGAGGAGAAGGCGCCGCTGTACGCGCTTTCGCAGCCTATCATCCCAGAACCCGACGCTCCTCCCGCCGATATTCGCGAGTTCCTGACTGGAATCCTGGCTGTCTCGCGCAGACTCTCCCACGAACATGCAAGCGCCATAGCGAACAAGTGGAAGCTTGGCACCGGACGCGAATTACGCGAATACCCCCCGAAGATGTATCTCGAGATCTTCGGTCCGGAAGAGGGATGGTGTGTGTATAGAGAAGTCAAGACCAGACTCCTCAGCAAGAAAGACCAAGGTGCACTACCTCGTGACACTCGTGCTTTCCTAAGTATGTCCCATACATGCCGGCATACTTACAGCTCGGTGCTAATCAATATCACAGTTGGCGCAAGTATCTTCTTCATGGTATCAGCCTACTATCTGATTCCTGCGTTCTGTTCGTCATCACGTGCGCTACCTCTGCGGGCGATGGCTTTTGTGGCATTCTCTTTGTTTGGTGGTGGCGGCTTGATCTGTGGCGTGGCCGCCGTGCAATCACCACGCACTGTTGACGAGCAGGTCGAGCAAGACCTCATAGAAGCATTCGTGGGAGGAGATACAAGTTCCAAGAGATAGCAGAGCTTGGAATGGTTGTGCGTTGATAGAGAAAGCAGCTCCGGGAAATAGGCGAGCTCTGCATGAATGCTATTAGAGGGAATGACCGGGCTGTCGCACTACCCCAGCGGTTAATACCCGGCTTCCCTTCGAAACTGTTACTTCCTTTTCCTCCGTTTGAGACAGCACCATGTTTGGCCCGCGGAGCAATTTATATCGCATGATGCCCCTGAACTAATAAGTGTCAGATTTCTGGCCGACGAACGGCGACATGTTGGGTTGAACCGAACCGTGCCTGCCGTTACTCGCAACGTCATGCTTGCCAGCCCTATAAACGGCCCACCAACAAAGACCATCTGAGCACGAGCTGGAAGACCAGAAGGCACCCGCATCAGTTCGTTCGTAAAGCGTGTCCGAGGTCATTCGGGCCTAGCAGTTGAGGACTTGTAGATCTTATCGCGTTACCAATCTGTCAATCGCGACTTCCCGACAGTCCTCGCGCCGCGGACACGACCACACCATTGGAGGAACAACTCTGTTCCCTCGAACGATGAACTACAAGTAGCGAGCTGAGATGTAAACGCCTCTTAGACTTGTTATCGCAGCTACCGAACGCCAGGAACTGAGTTACCAAGCTTTCCGACGCGCCACTTTTCGCCGCTAGTCGCAGAGCTTATCCCACCTGGTACCATATCCGATGCCCAGAACACTGGATAGGCCTACCAACCCCCAAATGTCGACTTCTAACGCCTATTTCGGGAACGCTGGGTTTTCGCAATGGCCTCGTGGTCCAACATGGGTCCAAGGGTTCTTCTCCAGGAAGATTTTCATATCCACAACACCCTGGTCCTTAGAGCTCCAGACTGCCGATGCACAGGTGGATCGTATGTACAACACACGGCCTACTCGATCAACGCCGGGATGCTACCTGCACTCTCGGTACCGATTCTGTTTACTCACGAGTACCGTCGCGGCTCGATGTTTAAGTCTCGCCTTCAAATTGTCCAGGCTAGCGGCCCTTTCGTGCGGTGAAATTGGCCGGACCGACACTGAACGTAAGCCACGTCGCGCTAACACGCGTGGAAATTCGTCAAGCAACGGGCGACGCTTCTAAGATTATTCCTCCCCAGACGAACGCCACACAGGAACGGTCGTAGCCTTACCCTAGTTCTTTTGGCATCTTACTTTCGTTCCTGCATCCTATGCCCGTTAGTAGAGGCCGCATGACTCTAAAACCGGCACCATCAATATTGATGAACGAGACTATCATCCCGACATCAGAATGTCATCAGCGATGGGCTTGACCAAAGCGGCTTGCCACGGTAGGCATCTCACACGGCAGCAGCTATCGATTGTGGCTTTTGTCCCCTGGCCTCTCTGAAGAGACCCACCGGCTATCTACCCTGTCAGATGTACCTACGAGTCGGGCGACAAGCGTGAAAGCGGGTTTAACGAGATGTCAGATTGTAATCGGGATCCAGACCACGTTGTCGTGGTATACCCCATTCGGTGTCAGCCCCGTGAACCCTTGGTGAGGATCATCGAGCTTAAGTACCATCTAATATCAAGTACTCCCGATTTCTATCGATCACCTCTCATCCTCGTCGATTGATCGTCATTCGCTATGCGTTCGTTCGCTGTTGCCGCTTTGCTCGGGCTTACGGCTGCTCAGAGTAGTGCCTCTAATGCCACTTTGAGTATTGCGAGTCGTTCTTCCATATCGCCAACGCCTCTGACGACCACTTCGGCTACCTTGACGGGCCCCAAGTCGATCATTACTGTTGCCACCGATGGATCTGGAGACTATACCGCCATCAACGTAGCTGTAAAGGCTGCACAGGATAGCGGTATCGCCACTGTCTCTGTCCTTCCTGGAACCTACTCCGAGGCCGTCACTGTCATCGGACAGGCTACTGTTACGATCGCCGGGCCCTCTCCTACGGCTTCGGATGATTGGTCCGAGAACAAAGTCACAATCGCTGCGACTACTGTCCCATTCAGCATTGGTACAGATAAGATCAAAGGTGTCACCGTCCGCAACATCAACATCGTCAATTCAGCTGCTGTGGGTCCAGGAGCCAATGCGGCGACAGTTTCGCTCAGAGGAAGCAATGTTGCTTTCTATGGGTGCTCTGTCATCTCACCTGGTGGCACTGTAGTCTCAGCTACCTACGGAACGGCCTTCTTCGCCAATTCGTACATCGAGGGCTCGAATTATCTCTTCTACAACTACCCGACTATCTATCTTTACAAGTCCACCATCGTTCCTCTCAGCTCGAGTGCTCTTATCGTGTACAGCAAGGGTGGAACCCCTAACGGAGGTACCTTTGCGAACTCCACGGTCGTATTCGATTCGAGCTCGATACAGCAGAAGACAGGATATACCAACAACAATGTATTTTTGGCGGCTCCAGCCGCCGACGGTGCAGTGGCAATCTACCGGAACACAGCAATGGGAAATCTGATTGCCACTGCTGGGTTTCACCCCTCAGCGGCTACCACTCCATCTTTCTACGGCGAGTTCGCTACCACCGGTGCCGGTTCTTATAGCAAGAACGCCGCAGCTCGTCCTAGCTACGATGTCCTCCTCTCGGCCGATCAGGTGTCTCAATTCACCATCGACAAGGTCTTTGGAAATGCGTTCTATCCTTACGCTAGCTCTTCGCTTGCATGGGTTGATCAGAACGTTGTTGCGTCATTGAAAGCATCGAATGATGCTCAGATTGCTTCCGCTTCATCTGCTGTGTCGACTGCTTCTTCCACCATGTCTCCATCAATTTCATCGATGGCTTCGCTGGCCAGTACCGCCAGTTCCAGCTCCATCTCGAACGCTACTATCACTGCTTCCACAACGACCAGTGCTACCCCAGTAGCCTCTTGCATAATCGCAGCTGCGTCCCCGACTTTGATAGTCTCCAAGACACCCGGACCATGCGAGTTCTCGAACGTCACATCCGCTATCAGCGCCCTTCCCAACGACGGCAACCCATATACTATCAAGATTGGCGCGGGTACATACGTTGAGCAGCTTTCCATAACACGCAAGGGAAAGGTCACCTTGAGGGGCTTCACCGATTTCACGAATGGTTAGTAATATCCCTGTACGAACTGTATGTGAGACAAACACTGACTTCATACACCAATCTTTAGATTACACACAGAACGAGGTCCGCATTGAGTTCTCCAGGGGTGAGCTTACCAGTGCTGGTAAGAACGAGCAAACACCCGTCGTGTACTCCAAGCCTAGCGGCGATTCAGGAATGGCCCTATACAACATCGACTTCGTAAACACATATCCTCAGACCTCGAATACCGCAGCGCTGGCTGCTGACTTCTATGGCGCGAATATTGCTGCCTATGGGTGTTCTTTCGTCGGTTTCCAGGACACTCTCCTCGCTAACAAGGGTACACAAGTGTTCAGCAACTGTTATGTTGAGGGCAGTATCGATTTTGTTTGGGGTTTCTCTACTGCATACTTCCATCAGTGCATGATCGTTAGCAACACTCCTGGTGCTTTCATTTCTGCACAATCCAGGGCCACTGCAGATGCCCCGGGTGGATATGTATTCGATTCCTCCGTCATTACATACAGTACCACCTACGGCAATACTTTCGGTACAACGTACCTCGGTAGACCTTACAGTCAGTTCTCCATCGCTATCTACATGAACTCGTATATCGACAAGCATATCTCTAGCGCTGGATGGACCGTATGGCAGACGAACAACCCTCAGACATCTGGAGTTACGTTTGGCGAATACAACAACACGGGCCCTGGCAGCTGGACAGACACAGCCAAGCGGGCCGACTTTGCCACGAAGTTGACAGCGTCTCAGGCCGGGAAGTACACGCTTGCTGCATGGATCGGCAGCACGGCATGGTTAGACATGGATGCGTACAATGCGATCCCTTCGTACAGCCTCACAGGCCCCACGACTACCTCGCCATCACCATCTCCATTTCCATCGCCTTCCACCAACGGCACCGCAACTGGACCAACTACTACTGCAACTATCAATGCCCATCCTGACAGCGGCAACGTGCCGCCCCTAGGCGCTGTGGTCGTTTCCAAGGACGGCAGTAACGGTGCTACGTATACCAACATCACTGCTGCACTCGCTTCACTTCCGCAAGATAAGACGAACCAGACCATCTTCATATACCCAGGCACCTATAACGAGCAGATTCCGTCAGTCAACCGTCCTGGTGCCGTAAGGATCATAGGGTACACCACAAGCAATCCTGGTCAAGCCTACAAGGACAACCAGGTCACCGTCTCCTTCGCTCGTGGACTTTCCGTCTCCCCACTACCCGTCGGACACTCAAACGCGGAAACATCCGTCTTCTCTACTGCATCAAGCAGGATTAGCATGTACAACGTCAACATGATCAACACTGACAACCTCGATGGTGCCGAGCCTAACTACGTAACTCTCGCGGGCTCAATCTACGGCAACGACATCGCCTTCTACGCTTGCTCGTTTGATGGTTGGCAAGATACTCTTCTGAACGGGGCTACTGCTGGTTACCAATACTATGAGTCGTGCTACATTGGAGGTGCCATCGACTTCATTTGGGGCTACTCCAAGGCATACTTCAAGGGATGCACGATTGGTGCGAAGCGCAAGTCATCGGCCATTACTGCCCATAGCAGGAAGTCGAGCACCGATATTGGTGGCTATATTTTCGATCAGTGCTTGTTCACTGCCGCTCCCAATGCAGTCGATGATCTCACCAACAAGGTCTACCTCGGTCGTCCTTACTCCCAGTATGCGCTTGTTGTCGTGAAGAACTCGTATCTCGACGCTACGATTATTCCTGCCGCATGGAAGATCTGGTCTGTGACTGACCCACGTACTGATCACGTCACCTTCGCCGAGTTCAACAACTCGGGCCCTTCGAACTGGGAGCAGAACGTTGCTGCTCGTCAGTCCTTTGGATATGCTACGCTACTCACCTCGGACACCTACTCTTTGGCCTCCGTTATGGACTCAACAGAATGGATTGACATGACCTACTTCAACTCTATCGTCACGCCGCAACCCTCTGCGCCCATTGTTATACCACCTGGACCCATCGTAGTCGGCGGCAACTCTACTTTCAACGGCACGACTCCACCGGCCGATGCTCTCATTGTCTCCAAGACACCGATCGCCGGTGTTGTGACGTACGATACCATCCAGGGAGCCCTTAACGCTGCGCCAACTACGAGTAAGACGAATGCTACAATCTTCATCTACCCTGGTACCTACGAGGAGCAGCTCATCATTGCCAAGTCCGGTCATACCATCTTCCGTGGCTACTCTGATTCGACCGATGACTATTCCAAGAACCAGGTTACCATTCAGTTCAGCCGCGGTGTAGATACACAAGGTACCTCCGGTAGCAATACGGACGGAGCGACTGTCTACGCAAAGGGCAACTACTTCCATGGTTTCAACATCAACTTCAGAAACAACAATGGCACGCAGCAGAACATTGCTTCGCTCGGCTTCGCTGTTCAAAGCAGCAAGTTCGCCGCGCTGTATGGATGCCAGATCTACGGTAACCAGGATACTCTCAGCGTCTCTGGTAATCTATTCACTTTCAAGACCTACATTGAGGGTAACGTTGATTTTATCTACGGTAGTGGATCTGCGTATTTCTTAGATTCGACTATCGCCTCCAACGAGGATGGTATCAGCATCACAGCTCACAAGCGTACGACCAACACAACTGCTGCGGGCTTCGTGTTCGATCAGTCAAGGATCGTGCCTGCACCCGGATCTGGGAAGTTTAGCAGCGTCAGCCTTGGTCGTCCATGGAACAGCTTCTCTCGTGTTGCGTATGTTGGCTGCTACCTCGACGCCATGATCAGCCCGGCTGGATGGTCGCAATGGTCAAAGACCAACCCGCAAACTGATGGTGTCACATACGGAGAGTACCACAACACTGGCCCAGGTTCTGACATCTGCAAGCGTGCTACATTTTCCAAGCAGCTTTCGGACACGGATGTTGCTCAGTTCCAGCTTTCTTCTTTCTTCGCGACGACTGCGTTCATTGATTTCCGATTCGTCGATACTCAGCCTTTCGCGATTGGCATGGGCTCGCCACAGGTCTGCAGCACTGCGTCCTCGTCCCTCGTCTCATCTTCGTCACTGTCAGCCAGTGTTACAATGTCTAGTATCAGTCTCACCTCTTCGAGCAGTCTTCCGATGGTTACTGCTTACACCACGACTACCGTGACAGCTCCGCTTACTGCAAGTACCTTTGTCACCGCCCCTGAAGTCACTTCGACTACTGTATTGAAGAGTACGGAGACGCTCTCGATCAGTGCCATCGATGTCATCAAGACCAGCACGTTGAAGGTCACTGCCACCACCTCCATCGTTTCTCCCGACGTGACCTCTACTTCCACTTCGGTAGTAACTGAGGATGTTGGCCTCACTGTCACCCCAGAACTTATCACCAAGACCAGCGTCGTCAAGGGTACTGTGACCGAAGCTGGAGTGACAACCAAGGGTGCTACGACTTCGACGATCAAGGGCACCACGACTGTCACCGTTCTGTACACCTCTTCGCCCAAGCCAATTTCAGTCACCGTCAGCGAGGGATCCACAGTTTTCATCACAAGCTCCAAAACCCAGAAGGCAGTTTCCACGACCGTGAAGACTACTATCTCGATCGAGCCGACTACCACCAAGACAACTACCGTGCAACCTAAAGACTCAGTCACGATCAGTAGCACGTCCATTAAGACGACTACAAAGAAGTCCACTACCACGCTCTCTTGCATCCCCACTCGCAGCGCTGAGAAGCTGGTCCGCCGAGGTGCCGTCCTTCCTCGAGCTGTGGCTAGCACAACTACAGTCACCATCAGCACTACGGTGAGCAGCTATGTAGCCACAGCTACGGTAACTCAAGCTGGATCGACCGCCTTTGTCACGGTATCGTCCATCGCTACTAAGACAACATCCCTCAAGGCCAGCACCAGCACAGTCACGCTTACCACCGTGGTAAAGACATCGACTATCGCTCAGGCAGGCTCTACTTACTACACAACGATTCTCTCAACGGAAAAAGTCGGCAAGACCACGACCCTGAAGGCCTCCACCAGCATAGTCTACTCCACTGACCTCGTCACCAAGACTGTTCTTTCAACGGTCACTGAGCCAGCGGTCACGGTCAGCTCTCTCAAGACCACTTCAAAGACTTCGACCATCCTCGCAGCGCAGGAAACCGTCGTCGTAACCAAGTCGAGCGACGTGACTTCCAAGACCACGATCACGCCTTCCGCCTCTACGAGCACCAAGTTTGAGACGGTGACTCTAGGTGGTGGAGTAAAGACGGAGACCGTTATTGGAGCCCCCAAGACTAAGACGGTAGTCGTGAAGAGCAGTGCCACGGTTGTCAGTCTGGTGACGAAGACTTCGAAGGGTGCGGCGGCTTGCACGGGATCTTAGATGATGCCAGAGACTTGTTGTTGGATTCTTGTACATATGTAGTGTGTAATGCTTAATGAAGAGACGCTTCAGTATGATTGTGCTTCCATCTGAGATATGTTGTGCTGAGTAATCGGAGCTGCGTGGGCAGTTCTCGCGGCGGAGACGGATGAGGCTAGCGTAAGCGAGGGGTTCCAGGAGCTTCAGCCCACCAAGCCTCGTGCAGCCCACGTTAGAGGCGCGTCATGGCACCAAAAGTCATTGGGGCCGTCTCCTGCTCCGGCGCGCGGGATGGCGGGGGGCAGCTCAACAGCTACCAATTTTACGCTCGTGCCCCTCGATTGCGCATCCGCTCTGTTGGGCTATCGCCTTGCACACTGACGTCTCCCCATATCATCCGACGCTTTTCCTGACGACTACACCGCTTACTGAACAAGCCCGCGAGCCGTTGGCAGACTCAACAGCGGGGGTCCGTTACTGCACTATCTTGGTAAGCCGCCGCACCCCCGACCTATTTCCAAAAGCAACCTGGGCGGGTGGAGAAGCAAATATCGTGTACAAAAGTGGGATTGGCCGCTGGGCATGGCCATTGAGCTGTTTTCTAGTGTTCTAGCCAGCCCACACGGCCTGTTCGTCATACAGAGACTAACAACCTACGTCAAGGTCCCCACCTGTCGTCCTGAACCCTCGATTTCAGCGACACCACCGCCTCTCTCGCGATAATACCAATTCTTCCTAAACCACCCTCACAACCGCAATCATGGTGCTACTCGGCGCAAGGAAACCGCCCTCCCGCAGGGGTATGCTTCGACCTCGCTATCGTACACAAGGACAGATGGGATAACACCGTGCTAGGCTCCATGGCGGACATGCCCAAGGATTTGAAGGAGCAGATCGACAAGCTTGAGGAGATGTTCGTTGTGAACACAGACAAGCTCAAGGCTATCTCGAACCACTTCGTCAAAGAGCTCGAGAAGGGCTTGTCGGAAGAGGGCGGAAGCATTGTGAGTCGCCGCTCGATTTACGCTCTTCAGGATAGAGCTGACTATGATAGCCCATGATTCCCACCTGGTGTATGGCCTTCCCCGACGGCAACGAGACCGGCAGCTACCTCGCGCTCGACATGGGTGGTACCAACCTGCGTGTCTGCGAGGTTACCCTGACAGAGGAGAAGGGCGAGTTCGAGATCATACAGTCCAAGTACCGCATGCCCGAGGAACTCAAGACGGGAACTGCCGAAGAACTTTGGGGCTACGTAGCCGACTGTCTCCAGCAGTTCATCGAATACCACCACGAGGGCGAGCAACTAAACCATCTGCCTCTCGGTTTCACCTTCTCGTACCCTGTCTCGCAAGACGCCATCGATCACGGAGTTCTTCAACGATGGACAAAGGGCTTCGACGTCGCTGGCATGGAGGGCGTGGATGTTGTTCCAGGCTTCAAGGCGGCTCTTGAGGAGCGCGGTGTGCCAATCAAGCTTGCGGCTCTGGTCAACGACACGACTGGTACCATGATTGCTTCCGCGTATACCAACACCAAGATCAAGATCGGCTGCATCTTCGGTACCGGCTGCAACGCCGCCTACATGGAGGAGTGCGGCGACATCCCCAAGTTAAAGCACATGAAGCTCGACCCCAGCCTGCCAATGGCCATCAACTGCGAATGGGGCGCATTCGACAACGAGCACCAGATCCTCCCAAGAACAAAGTACGATGTCATCGTTGACAAGGAGTCACCACGGCCTGGTCAGCAATCTTTCGAGAAGATGGTCGCTGGTCTCTACCTCGGTGAGATCTTCCGTCTCGTCCTCCAAGATCTCCACAAGGGTAACGAATGCCACATGTTCGAGGGCCAGAACGCCAGCAAGCTCGACAAGCCCTACTCGCTCGACGCTGGGTTCCTGTCTCAAATCGAGGAGGACCGATTTGAGAACTTGCAAGACACATGCGATCTCTTCCAAGAGAAGCTCGGTATTACCTGCACCAAGCCCGAACTCGAGCTTATCCGCCGCCTTGCTGAACTCATCGGCACGCGCGCTGCTCGTCTTACCGCGTGCGGTGTAGGTGCCATCTGCAAGCACAAGAAGTGGGATGAAGTACACGTCGGTGCCGATGGCTCCGTCTTCACAAAGTACCCTCACTTCAAGATCCGCCAAGCTCAGGCGCTCAAGGAGATCATGGATTGGCCTGCCAAGTACGGCAAGGGCAAGAACGACCCCGTCGAGGTGCTTCCCGCTGAGGACGGCTCTGGTGTCGGTGCTGCCCTGATTGCCGCGCTTACGGTTAAGCGTGCGCAGCAGGGTCAGTTGGCTGGTATTCGGGATCCAGACACGCTTCTGGCTATGGTTCCTAAGGATGCGAAGAAGGCTTGATGACTGGACATCACATGCTGACAAATGAATGAATGATAGAATGTATATACGAAATGTGTCACATCTACCAAAGAGTTAGTCATTGCAGGGTGAAATTGGTAAACGTTGTGAGCGTATTCTGAGGCAGATGATGCACAGAAGGCCAAAGAACTGATAAACACAGAAAGCAACGTCGTTCAAGCACCTCACACGCTCTCAAGCATACTGCTCCACCTGCGTCTCGCTCCACTCCCAGAACGCTCTCGCTGTCTTCTTCCCCGTCTCGGACCAATAGTCCTTCCTCAGCGTCCCAACCCTCCCAAACGGCATAACCCACTCGCCCGTTTTGAGCTTCGCAGCATCAGGGGCGAAACCGGCAAACAACTCGGTATACGCACCATTAACAGTCGGGTACAGCATGAAATTGACGAAGAAGTGATGCACAGGATTCATGTTGCGTGCGAGCTCCGACTTGAGGTTCCCCGGGTTAAGCGCCTGCGGCCATTCCTTGTCAGTCGATGGAAAGAAACGTTGGAAGGTAAGTAGTACGAAGAGCTAGAGTAAGGAGGGAGGAATCAAGGAAGAAAGAAAAGAGAGAATACATACCACACTAACCACCCCCGTCTCCCCATACCTCCTCTGAAACTCCAAGGCATGAAACACGTTCCCCCCTTTACTCGTCCCATACTTAGTCCAATTCGCCACGTCCTTCTTATACTCCAGATTGTTCATATCAACGCCGCCAGACGGCGCGCTCATCTGCGACGCAATTGAACTCACCCAAATCACCCTCACACTACCTTTTGCCTCTCTCTTCGCTGTCTCCAGCAAAATCGGCGTGAGCAGCTTGGTGAAGAGGAACGGCGCAACGCAATTTGTCCCGAGTTGCAGTTCATAACCTTGTTTCGTCGTGCTTCCCACCGGAGGCACCATGACGCCTGCGTTATTGAAGAGAACATCTAGGCGTGACTCTTTTGCCAAAAACGACTCGGCGGAGGCTTTGATCCCGGATAGGTCGTCGAGGTCAAGATGGAGGTAGTGTAGTGTGCCCTTAGATTCTGGACATGCTTCTTTGATCCAGGATATCGCTGCGTGCGCTTTTTCGGCTGATCGCGCGGCGATGTAGACGGTGGCGTTGTGGGTGTAGAGGAGGCGAGATAGCTCTTTACCTATGCCCGCTGAGGCGCCTGTTACAATGTAGACCTTTCCGCTGAGGTTGGGGAGTGAGGTCTCGGTGAAGGAAGGGGCGGGGGGGAAGAATTGGCTGAATCGCTGGCCCATTTTGGAAGGCGTGGTGGTTCTGTTAATGGATAAGTTAATGATGGAGATGTTCAGTAATCGTGAGAGGGCAAAAGATATATATATACTCGTTTACATCGTGAGAGCAAGTTTATCCCGTTCCATCGCATTGGTACTTCGAACGGCCCGTTGCTCAGCACTCGGCTTCACCGCGGCATGATTGTTACACCAGCCATCCATCCTGTAAGGTAAGCCTATGGGAGGCCGCGAACCTTGATGGCAACTTGCGCTATCACGATACACTTCGAATACGCCGTATCTCCCTCAAGCGCCGTATTTGGTGCGTCCCGTGGGTGTGATTCGGAGTTAGGACGAGCTGCGCGGCGGAGTTAATGATCTGGTAATCGGACCGTTATGCTTTCAAGGTTCATGTGTGTGAGTAGAGATGCGAAGTGGTGTTGCCGTTGACGACACGGGCTCCATCGACAAGAGTTCATCTTTTACGGTACGGCCCTTTTTGCTATGTCCACGGCTGCTTGGGAGAGGTTCTCACATGACCTTGTAGGCGTAGGAAGGAAACTGGAAACTGGAAACGGCTAGGTACGAAAGAGAAGCCTTCTTTCTTTGGATGATAAGCTACCTAGATAACGCCTTGACATATCCTCAAAGGTCCTCGCTGTCTTCTTCAACTCAGACGTCTCCCTCCCACATTCTTAGCCCCGCCATTCTCTCCATTCGCACCTCGTTTACAACCCAAATCGATTCCAGATCACAATTGACGTCCATGTCTTGTGACTAATTCTCAATAAGGCAGCAAGCCCAGCAGTCCTGCACATGTCAGCTCAGTCCCAAGAAGTATCGCTGCGAATCGAAGAGTCGATAGTTACTTACACCGAGTTGTGCAGGTTCCTACTAAGAGTTAGCACAAAGTCACTCTTTTACCAGAATCGGATCCACATACCCACAGCTCACCACAGGTGGTAGGCGGCTCTGCAGCGCATCTACGATCGCAAACCCTGGGCGGTGGAGTAGCAAGAGCAGCACGCGCTGATGGCGGTGGTTGCGTGGGACGGGTGTAGTGTTGCGGCTTTGCAGCTGCAAGGGCGGCGATCAGAGTAATAACGACAAAGGTCTTCATGCTGACTATGTTGATCAAAATTATGGTATGCGTGAGGGTGAAAGATGAGGACTGAGATTAAGGGAACGTATGTAAGGATATATACATACTCGCTACCAGAAAGGCGCCCAACGCCACAACGAACGGGATTACTCGAAAGAGCATTAAATGAGAAAGGGCGCTCCAGACTCGCGAGAAGACACCTGTTTGTGCGACTTCTCAGCTTATGGCTGACGTGCAAACATCACTGTGGATCTAACACGAATGCGGAAAATGCGACCAGCAAACGAAGAGGCATACTTCATTTAGTCTTGGCCAATAACACGACAAGTAGCTAGCATCGGCTCAGTAAGAGCTTAGAGAAATGTCAGGTTTCGAGACAACATGGCATAGTGTTGTAGAGAGTGAGGAGACGTCCAGAGAAACACTGTGATCGTTTACGGCCAGCGCGTGAGCGTTGAAGATCAGACAGCTTAGGGTGCCAAAAGGAAACACTTAAAAATCAAAGGTCATGTTTGCGCAGGTGTAGCTATAGTATTGATTGAAAGATAGTATTCCTCGTGTGATACAACATCTATCTCGCCTTCCGTTTATTCCAGAATTACATCAAATGATAGTCCAAATCCCCCGAATCTCCACCCAAATGCCCTTTATTTGGTGCAGCAGAACCAGCAATCCTACAAAGGTTAGCTTACAGACTGGCCTCACCAATCAGGCAACACAAATGTAGTGGGTACTTACACCGGAGTTGGTGGCCACCTGATTCACGTTAGCACAGTACACATCTTGATCGGGAGAAGCAATAACATACGCCATTTTCACCACAGTCTGGCTCATTGAAGAGACAGATCTTCGTGCAGAGCCTAGGGTTGGTGGCTGGCGTAGCCGCTGCGAAAGCGGCAAGAAGAGCGACAAGAACGAAAGACTTCATGTTCGCAATGGTAGGTTGTTGAAGTGTACGAGAAGTAGAATTAATGTGTAATTGATGTAAAGAAAGTAGATGAACACGGGCGTACACAAGTAATATATACGCCGCATTCCACTCAAACACCCACCAAAAGCTTCACCGGGAAACACGGACACGAAGATCTTCCGCCGTCGCCGTTGCATATAGGCCGACGACGCTTCACTACTACGGCTTACATTTGGACTCAATCCCACACATTCCAAATCTATACATTTGACGCGAAAACAACGGCCACAATGCTCCCTCCACGTGCAGCAAATTGACGGGGCTGATCTACCAAAACAGCAAATGAGCATGATGACGTGAAGGAAGCGGGTGAAACGGCTACGATGGCGGTGGTGGTCAAAGCGATATGCTTTCCAAGCCATCGAGATGATGTTGGCTTGCCAGAGGAAATGAAGTACAAACAGCCTTGGCGCAATATACTGCTTACCCGGTTTCGGGGACATGGGTTCCCCGCATTTCACAGTCTGGGATGCGTAGGGCTTGCTGGGATAAAAATAGATGTATTTGGAGTGGAAGTGTGACGCAATGGGGTATCATTTGTAGAGGAAGAGTAATCGATATAGATGTGGACAATCTGTGGGAGTATCGCGAAATTGTGTGCGTTGATTGTTCGTACGGCAGAGTTCGGCCCGTCAAGGTTCGCGATGGCGAGTCTCTGACAGTTTCGTGTGCTGGCCACTGGAGAGAACTCCGGGCGCGGAGAGGAGATGAGCGTAAGCACCGACTTGGCATTCCGTATTTCGTATCACTCTATCACCCGAGACGGATACTACAATACCATATCAGCGCATTACCATCTTCTCATCTTCATGTCACCTCTCCCTGATGCCAAGTGCCACGAGAAGCGCCTCTCAGCTAAAAGATGGCAACGGCATTTGGCGGACTCGCAACACCACCTGGTACCTATGCAACAATCAGCTCATATCTTAGTATCAGCAACTTGGTGAGACGTTACCTTCAACGGCACACTACTAACAAAGCAAGTACTCCGTCCCAACTGTTTACTCTTCTCACATAACCGCTCCAAATCCCACATCTCACCTATCATAACACCCCATCCACCCAGCAGCCATTGATGTACTAAGCCACCGCCCTGCATCTCGGTTTCCCAGGTTTCACCCGCGTTGATACCGCCTGGGGCGCTGTGTGGGCCTACGAGAGGGGACATTTCGAATGACGGCGCGTCGGATGCTGCGGAATTGTTAGAGGACTTTGGGTTGTGGTTGGAGGTGTTCGAGAAAAAGCCAAGGAGACGTTGGATCATGAGAAGATGAGATGAGGTAAGACGATCGAATGCTTACCAACAGCGACAAACCCGTTTTCCCAAATCCATTGTAGCGTGTGTTTATCGGACTGCACGCCTAGGAATGTCGGCGGCTTATCCTTTATTGCTTGTCTATCTTCCTCATTTAGCTTGGCGTAATCGCGAGTGAATCCTGTTCGTAAGAGGAGCAGATCGCCTTCTCGCGTCTTGATACCCGTTTCTTGTAGCATGTCTTTTAGTTCTTCGGCCGTGATGCTGTTGGCTTCTAGCGCGTACACTTCTGTCTTGCCTTTCTTTTCTAGATACCGCGGATAATCTAGGATGACACCCCGAGCGGTGATGCCGCCAGAATTGGCCACACGATCAATGCCAATGACTTCCGTGGACTCAAGATCTTGCTGTGAGCGCCCGCCGTAGTACTTCTTTGCACTCTGGTACCCGTAGTGCCGGAAGCCGTCCCATTGGCTACTGCCCTGCGTGTTAAAATCCAAATGGTCATCGTTTACAGTTCTCTTCGCGCCATCTGGATGCTCTTTATTCTTCATCTTCCAGGAGAAAGATGGGCGATTAAAGGATGGATGGGATGGGAGGTTGAGATACCAGTCTAGTGAGACTCGGTCACCAGTTTGTATCTCTTGAGCTGCGGATTTGACGGCTGATGGTGTAATCATGTTAAGAGCACCAAGCTCGTCGTTTGAGCCATACAGACCCCATGCATTTCCGGGTGGACCATTTTTGTCGATTGGGAGGTCCTGAAATGGAGGACGTTGTGGTGGTGACATAGTAGCGTCATGCATATATGGATCGGTCCAGAAAGTGATCAACCGGAGACCGTATTCTGATTTGACGAGTTGATTCTAGAGAAAGACGATGTAGAAGTACTCGTCGGTTGTTTAAACACCATCTGGATACCTAGGTACACTGCTGGAGCTATGTGACGTATAGTGGGGTAAAGGGCGGGGTAGCTTCCGCTCGGTAACTGACAAGGTGGAAGTGGCGACCGCGACTCAGATAACGGAAAAAGCTTTCTTACCAATATGCTGAAGCGCGAGTCGCAGTGCTGGCTTTACTCAAGAGTTCACTCTCCTTGTTTCACCACGTTAGGCAACAACTCGTGTAGGCGTTGCATACGTGCTTTGGTATTACTATACCTACTATGCCGCAGCAATTGATTCAGAAGTCGGGTCCCATCCCTACGCCACTTCCTCTTGAGCTTGTGTTCTTTAAATGCGCCCCACTACCTTTGAATAGACTTTGCCAAATGAATGCTTCACTTAACAACAATTCAATGTCCTTTTCGGTCCATTGACGCGTTGGTAATGATTGCAAAAACATCATGATCTCTTGAAAGTCCATCTTTCGTAGCTGATCGGACCACTTCACGAGGAACGCGGCGCAGACGTAGAGATGGAAAGACGAAAACCCATCCTCTTCGGCCTAAAGGAAGTTAGTGATGCACTTTCAGAGAGTGGCTACGTAGCTTACCAGGTATGTATCCCACATCCGTATCGTATTCTTTACAGATATCTCGCGCATCAGAAGACAGTTCATCCATCGGAAGCTGAACTGTATGAACTCCACACCCTCGTTTTGAAGATGCTTCGCCAGTTGGTCATCGATGCGCGTAGTAAGATCTCTAAGACTAGCCACTTGTCTTTGAATCCCTGGTTGATGCGCGATGTAATTGTCTTGAATCCCATCAAGGAGTTTGGTAAGACACCAAAAGGAGTCCGCCTCCACGGCGTCCAAAACTTGTTTTGGTAGTTGTCCGGGATCCATGCCAAATTCAATGTCCGGATCTGAAATGTAGGCGCCCAAGAAGACCTGCCAAAATGGGGTCACCAAGTCATTGATGCCCTGGACATAACCTGACGCGGGATGCCGTATCGCCCATACGTATAGTATTCGCTCGAGAGACCGCTGCGTCGCTTCGTAGCTATAGAGCTCGAGATGGGGGTTCGTCCGAGGCACATCAATGCTGATCTGATGCCATATCGCTTCGTCCAAGCCCCGTCCTCGTCCACGGTTTGTCGAAGGATAGCCGGCGCCGCCTGCCATTCCAGATGCTACGGCGCTAGCGCTGCCAGATGTACCTCGTTCGAATGCCTGTCGTACTCCTTCCAAGTACTCTTTCCGTTTGCGCTCGAGTGTGGCGACCCTCCGCTCACTGCTTGTTGGCAGGTATCCCAACAAGATCTGCCATGTCATTGCGCGTACTTCAGACGGAACCCCTGACCATGCTGAGTCGCGGAGATCTGATAGCGATATGGTACTCGCTTGCAGTATCCTTTTGAACTTGTTGATCCTTGTTGTGCGTGCGGAGTGCTCTTCGACCTGCTTCGCCGAGGCGTTCGGAGGTAGGCTAGGATGTGAAATGAGGTGTAGAGAGTTTGCGGGATCTCGAAGAATTTCTTGGTACTGTGGTCGTAAGATCTTCCCTTCGATCTTCTTTGCGGTCGGGTAGTTGGGTATGCCTCGCTCCTCTGCAATATCACCACTGTCTATGCCGCGCCACGCTGTTGAGCCCAGGCTGTCCCTACTAACGTGCCCAGTTGTGTCCTTCGTCTTGGATGGTTGTTTCCGCCGGCCCTTCCTTCGCATGTTTGCGATGCTCGGCAGCCCAAACTCGTCTTCATCATCCTCAAACATGTTGTCGGCATCGTCTTCGTCCCCCTCATTCCAGTCTTGGTGTGTGTCATTGAGGAAGTAGCTGTACGTGGCTCGCGCAGGACGGGGCGATATGGTCTTGCTAGACCGGCTCGGAGCAGCGCTTGACTCGCGACTGTGGGTTGCCGATGGCGGGGTTCGAGGTCGTGAATTGGATCCGGAAACGCTCCTTTGACCATTAGTTGTAGGCCCAGTAACAGCATCCAAAGCAACGTACAAAGAGCTGAAGTTGAGTATGTCGGCATGGGAATAGGATGCGCCGATGACCTTCTTGTTCTGCGGTGAGGAAGCAGAATTGGACGTCGTTCGCCAGAATGGAGAGCCAGAGCTGCGCATGGAATATCAGCAATCAAAGCCGGTATGCGACTGCAGTGTACAACGTACGAGGACCGGTCTGTATGCAGGGAAGCGATATGTTAGCTACCCCGGATACTATGACGCTCTCTGTGACTTGGATGGGCACACACCGACCTGGACCATTTCCTGGCAAGTTGTTAGCAAACAGACAGATTGCGCGCACAACTGATTGGACAAACCTGCTGCTGTTTCTTGGACGCCATGTTGGAATATGTGAATGCTTGTTCCGTGTCTCGAGGCGGCCCCGCTGCGAACCTGAGCTCAGAATCGCTCGACCCGGAAAGTACGAAGGAGTCTGTAGGTTTGGTGCCGTAATGGAGAACTTTGTATATCCCAAGATAACAGCCTGTTCTTAAATCACTGCACCATCAATAGTACAGCTATTAGACACAACATGCCTGTACTTGGTATGTCGTAGGGCTCGTGCATGTATCCGTCGCGCCTGCCACGCCAAGCCCGATGCTAGCGCGCCTGCCCATTGCTCTGCTCTCATCTCCTCACTCCGGCGACAGACTCTTCCTTTTATCACCTCCCTTCCTTCTAAATACCCCGACAGTCCCACCCCACTAATCGCCGCCTTACTTTCGCGCGCTTACTCCTGCTTCATCCCCGATATAGGTTTTAGGAAAGTCTTCTTCAAGACTACAACATGGCCGATGAGAACTACGAGGACGACATCTTCGACGATCTGTCAGTATTTACAGCGCGACTTAGCTTCGCGCGCGTAATGCGACACTTACTAACGGCCCACCAGCTACGATGATGAGCCCGCACAGAAGCCTGCGGCTGCCGCACCCGCACCAGCCCCCAAGACCGAACCTGAGCCTACTCCAGCCGAGCCCGTAAGCGCGCCTCCTCAGGATACTGCACAAAACAACGGTCAAGATAGCGCGCCCTCTTGGCCGGCCCAAGGCGCGGGAGACGGCGATTCGCATATGGACCAATCCGGTTACAACGCTGGCGGCGAGCAGTCGTACGACAATGCGCCCATGGACGATGACAACTATGGGCCAATCAACGTGAAAGAAGACGGGTAAGTCGTGCAATGTCTAACATGATTCTCACCTATCAGAGGCGCATCACAAGGTAAAAGAGCATGTATATCCCATGTAAGGGCATCCGCCGAGGGCATGTTGTTACCAGGACCAAAGTCATCAACAATCGCATAAGACACTCTGCTAGAGCACCAGACACCATGAGAGATACCAACTCTCGTATGACACTTTGCATGTACAATCAAGGAAGAAGCTTTGGACACCGTATGTGTCTTACATTCAAAAGCACCTGGGGTCATGATTGGCGCAGAGTCTGGGATGAAGGTCGAGGAGCTAGACACCTTGCGAAAGATTGTGGTCCATATCGCCCACTGGCGAGGCGTTCGATGCATGGCGGAATGGGCCACCAGTTTTGGTTGTTAGAAGAAGCTGGAAGACACAAGTCAACCGCTCAGCGATACTCAGAGCAACCATCAACGCGCCTCACGCAGGGACTATCGCGGCTTGCCCGAACTTTGGCAGCGCCTCATGTCGATATATACCTAGGTACTTGATAGCGCGTACCAGCAACGCAAGCAGAGGATAGCTACCGAGTCGTGAGATAGTCTGAGACTTCCACACTCGAATTCATAGCAGAACACAGACGTTTCATCCGAATCAAACTGTGCCTTTGCAAGGGCTACTTTTGCACCTCGAAACTTGGACATGAGTACGTGGAGTGCGTTCTTGGTCGATATGATTGGTGTACGCCACGGCATCGACACGTCCAGGCTGGGATGCGGCGCAGGAGTTGGTGTCGCTTAGCCATTCGTCAGCGGCTGCAGTCTTCCTCGCGAGCGACAAGGGGACCTCACGATAGCAACATGCATGTTCCCATCTCGGTCACCAATCAATCACGACAGGCCATGGAATACGAGCTTTGCGACCTGCGAAAACACTCTCGGCACCCCCGCTGGCGAACAGCTACCAGCGGTGCAGCGCGACCAATTCGACAAAGTCTGCAACGCCAGCATCCTACACCAACCTTATCTACCGAGATTATCTTCTCCCCGAGGACGACGACTGGAGACACGATTGGACTGTGTGCGACTATGCTGCACTTGCGACTTTATGCACCTTCAGTCTCACCAAGATGTTCTGACGACCACCGCCGATCTTCATGCGGAAGGACTCCCAACTACATACCTACGGATGCTCTATGATGCGCCTCGTCAATCTCGCCTGCTCTTCCTAGAGATGATGCTGTTGAGCGAAATTTTGCTGACTTCAACCACAGTAAAATGTTCATTGGCGGTTTGAACTGGGAGACAACAGAAGGTACGTGATATCACTTTAGTGGAGCAAGGCATGTCCCAGTGTCATCTCTCAACTATATGCTCAAACATGTAGTCCTTACTAAATCTCCGCGACAGATTCACTCAAGGGTTACTTCTCACAATTCGGCGAAGTCAGTGAATGCACCGTAATGCGCGATGCTGCCACCGGACGCTCGAGAGGGTTCGGCTTCCTCACGTTCAAGGACCCCAAGTGCGTTAACATCGTCATGGTAAAGGAGCATTACCTCGACGGCAAAATTGTATGTCTACTCCACTCGATAGCAAGCTATAGCTAACATCATACAGATTGATCCCAAGCGTGCTATCCCACGTGAAGAGCAAGAACGCACCAGCAAGATTTTCGTCGGTGGTGTGAGCCAAGAAGCGACAGAGGAAGACTTTACCAACTTCTTCAAGCAATTCGGCCGCGTTGTCGATGCTACACTCATGATGGACAAGGAGACTGGTCGACCCCGTGGTTTCGGTTTCGTTACCTTCGACGGCGACGCAGCCGTAGACGCCACCCTACGTGGACCTCTCCAGATTCTCGGCAAGCAGATTGAGGTCAAGCGCGCCCAGCCCCGTGGCAACATGCGCGACGATGATGGCGGCGATGGCAACAAAAAGTTTGGTCGCAACAACAAGTTTAACAAGTTCAACGATGGCGGTAACGGTAATCAAGGTGGTGGCAACAACTACGACAATGGCGGCGGAAACATGCAAGGCCAAGGCGGTAACAGCGCCATGTCTCCTGCTATGATGGCTCAATACTGGCAGCGAATGCAACAGTACTTCCAGTCCATGCAGCAAACTCTCGCCCAGCAGCAAGCCGGCGGTGGTATGCCCGGTAACCCCATGGCTGCAATGGGCGGCATGAACCCTATGCAAATGCAGCAGATGCAACAGCAAATGATGAACCAAGGTATGAACCGCGGCAACGGCTCCCCGAACCCTCAAATGATGGGTGGCCCAGGTGGTATGAACCCGATGCAGATGCAGCAAATGCAGCAGATGCAAATGGCACAGATGCAAGGTGGAGGAGGCCCAGGAGGTCAAGGTGGTCCGGGTATGATGAATCCTCAAGGTGGCCAGAGTGCCGGTGCACGCCCAGCTTACACCGCTCAAGATCAACTCGCTTTCGAACAGCAGAAATACGAACAACAACAGGCTCGCCGCCAGCAGCAACTCTCCGGCCCCGCCGGCTTCGGTAACCCCCAGGGTGGCCCTCAGAGCTGGGACGGCATGTACGAGGACGCGCCTCAGCCGAACATTCCCTCCGGTCCTGGTGGTGGCCGCGGCGGCTTCCGGAACAACCGCTCTCGCCAGGGCTCTAGCCAGCCCCCTGCTGGTGGTGGTCAGGCTCCCATCAACGCCCCTACTGGCCCCAAGAACGCTGGTGTTAGAGGTGCGAACTACCGTGGTGGAGGTCACCGCGGTGGTGGTGGTTTCAGACATCAGCCCTACGGCGGCCGTGGCGGTTAGACGTGGGTTCAAGAATATTCCGGAGAAGACGCCCGAAAGATGTGTCCGAATCAAAATGGAGAACAGTTTACTCTTCCGAGTGGAGTCGGGTTTGTACATGGTGGACTAATGGGAGTTCGTGATATGCATGGCCGAGACCTTGATTTTGAACTTCCTTTTCTTCCTCTTTGGGATGGGATGGGAAAGTAATGACATGGTATTCGGACATGCCGCATGGATTGGTTGGAGGCGGTCTTCTTTCTGTATACTAGCATTTTCAAAAACAAAAAAGTCCATTTCGGCGTTCTTGGCCTTTCCGTCACTTCGAGCCTTTGAGTTTTTGAACCTTCCACAATATGATTAACACTTCCACTCGCTCATTCTTGGTGGGTCCGCCCATCTCAGTACGAGGCAAGGATCTGATAACCTTGAAAAGAGACGGTCATGGAATCCCGGGTGTGAGGTTTTTGGTAATACAAAGAGGATACATACACGTCAAAGCACATTTTGGTGGAGAGCAGCACATCGCGCCCATGAGGTAGCGTTGAAAAGCAGAAGAGCAACATCGTACATCTCCCTCGGCTTTTCGACAGAACACATGTAAGTCTATGTCCACTTTTTGGTACAAAGATTCTCAAGGTTAGGTTTGTAAGTGAAGAAACACGTGGAATAGCTTGTGATGTAGTAGTTCATTACATTACGACATAGTCGTCATTAGTCTAACGTTCAAGAGAGCCTGAGCCCATATCTAAACTCCACCCATGCGATGCGATGCGATGTTGATGTTACACAACAGCTAACCAAACCCAACCTAAGCGCTATGCAATTAAAATCCAAACAGCAACCGAAACCAGTTCCAAACATCTATATACTCTCTTTTCCTCCCTTTAGAGCCCTTGTTCTGGTAGCTCAATTTCCAAGCTGTCGCTGGCCAAGGTGAAGCCCATAACTTAATCGAGACTTTGAAACCGACATATCCTTTCGTAAAACATTTCCTGACACATGCACTCATCGCGACGATGCCAGCGACTACGGTGTAGAACGCTGGACCGAAGACCATCGTATCCCATAAGTTTGTCCAGCCCGCCTAGAGGCCAATGCATCCGGGGATGTGGATGAGGACGATGACCCATGGAAGTATGGATGAGACCATGAGCTTCCATGATGCACCTTGCGCTGGCGCAGCAGGGACAGCGTCCTTAGCAGCGTTCTCCAGCCCGTTGGAAGTCGGCGCTGGTGTTGTGGCAGGGTATATCGTACGGATAGTGGTGAAGCCGCGATCGTCGTATCCGGTGACTGTCTTAGGCCCATTGTCGTATGAACCCGTAGGCAAAGCTTGCGGCGATGAGGTATAGGAACCGGGAGGGAACATCTACAGGTAATTGTTAGCATTTCGTCGTTGAAAGTAGACAGGGGCTCGAAAAAGGCTTACTGACAGTGGCTGAGCTGGGTGGAACAACCTTTCCGGAATCCGAAACGGTCCACCCGCTCGGGAGCCCGGGGTAGTTCGCAAACGTAGGCTGCGCAGTGGGAGTCGCCGACGGGTCGGGGATCCAGGGGTAGACGCTGGGACGTGTGTAGTCGGAGGTCTGGTGAGGAGTGAAGGGCAGAGGCTGTCCGGTTGCAGTCGCAGTGATGGCGGGTGCATCTGCGATGGGAGCGTTACCACCAGAGAAGACGGTACCTCCAACAGATCTAATGGATCCCGAGGTGCCAGATTGATCGCCATAGACGTATTGAGTACCGGTGGAGTAGTCCTGAACCATGAGAGACTTGACCTTCATGCTGAAGGGGCCCTGAGAGTAGTCGGTGGGTCCACGAGCCCAAGAGATGGTACCTGCAGGGTTGGCGGAGTCACCACCGCTCCATGCACCGAATTTGATCTGCATGGGGGTCTGGGGGTACTGGTTGTTGGCGTTCGCAGGCTCGAGAGTGCGGACAGTCTCGCCATTGATCTGCCATACGATCTGTTCTGGGGTCCATTCGATGGTGTACTTCTTGAAGCCTGACTGGCTGCCGGGGTCGGCATGGAAAGCACCACGGTTGTAGTCTGTGGTTTGTCCCTTGCCGAAGTAGTTGCTCTGAACCTCATCGGGGTCTGCTCCAAGCCATTCCCAGTCGATCTCGTCCAAAGTGTCGGATTGCAGTACGAAACTGCTGACGATACCCGCGCCTGGCGCGGCTTGAACCTCAATATCCACCTTTCCGAACATGATGTACCACAGCGAAGTAAGCTGAGGTGCATCGCCGGACTGTCTTATGGTGAAAGACACGCCATCATCGCCGTATGTGGGGTTGCCTTGGGGTGTGAAACTCTCAGATTCAGACGAGAAATCGATGTTGACGGTCCTTCCGAGCGCCGAATCTGGGGGGCAGTCGCTTCGCAGTGTGGGGTTGCAGTTGGACCATGTCTGGGCGGCGGAGGGGGCAATGAGGGCGACCGAGGCCAGAGCAGTGAGTGCTCGCATGGTGGAGCGCATCTTGGGTGCGATGTGACGGCGGAGATGGCAGGTAGCGAGCGTTGCCAACGGGATGCGCCGGCGCTTGTGGTACAGCGGCGTGATGCGATGCAATGTCCAAGATGTGCTGTGATATCAAACGAGTACTAGCGAGTAACACGTGTGAGTATCGTGGTGAAGAGAAGAAGTTTGGTTGGGTACCCGCTCAGCACTTGAGAGGTAGTGGTAGAGGTGTGTAATGGTGACAGACACAGCTGCCGGCCAGCATATGTAGTGTACCAGCCATCTCTGAGCAATGACCTACATGATGAGGTGTCGCGCGGGCTAGCAGAGCGGGCCAGGGCTTGTTGCGATACAGGATTCGGTGGAATTGGACGAGGTTGGCTGAGCGACGCCGGGAGGCTGGTAGACGATGTTTCCCAGCCACACCAAGACCCCTGCCTCAGCCGAGCGCAGCTGCCAACACCGCGCCCAGGCAAGGATGCATCTCGAATATGACGCAATCAAATTTCTTCTTCTCAACAAACTTCATGGTAGTTTACACAATGCACAGGTATTGCGCAAAGTGCAGAACACGGTGTAGGTGACATGGCGGTATCCCAGAGCTCAATTCGGGTGTGGCGTCGAAAAGTGGCGCAATGCATATCAGCATCCAGACCCCGCAACACCAGATCCTGCACCTATCTTTAGACACAACGCGCACTCCGCATACTATCCGCTTCTAGTTTCCAATAGCACCTGCAGCGGCACAAGACCCTGCATACGATCCTTCCGAGAACACCGTGGAAGACTTTGTCCCTTTCTAGACGAATCTGAGTCACACGTCCATCAAGAATTTATCGACTTTACGAGGTCTCACCACCTCACGAAGTAACCCAAGTGACAATGTCTCTTACCAACGCCACGCCACTCGAGGTCGCCCAAGCGGCAAGACTCGGATCCCGGAAACTTGCAGTCTTGTCTACCGAGGAGCGAAATGCCGCACTGACAGCTATCCATGCGGCACTAACAACTGGGAAAGAGGAGGTTCTAGCGGCCAATGCGCGGGATCTGGAAGCTGCGAACAAGGCCGCAGCAGGAGGCACGCTAAGTGCAAGTTTGGTCAAAAGACTGGATCTGGGGAAGCCGGGGAAATATGAGGATATGCTGCAGGGGATACTGGACGTGAAGGAGCTGGAGGATCCTATCAACAAGACCACTGCGAGGACGCTACTCGATGATGACCTGGTCCTCTCAAGGATAACATGTCCTATTGGCGTGCTTCTCATCATCTTCGAAGCCAGACCTGAAGTCATCGCGAACATCTCCGCACTCGCCATCAAGTCTGGAAACGCAGCTATCCTTAAAGGTGGTCGAGAGTCCAGCAATAGCTTCGCGGCCATTGCATCCATTATTTCTAAGGCTCTTACGTCAACAGCAGTTCCATCAGACTGTCTACAGTTGGTCCAAACACACGACGTCATCGCCGATCTGCTGAAGCAAGATACATATATCGATCTCTGCATTCCTCGCGGTGGGAACAAACTAGTCCGCTATGTGAAAGACACGACCACCATTCCCGTCCTCGGCCATGCAGATGGAATATGTTCAACCTATCTCTCCGCAGACTACCCCGTCGAAAAGGCCACTAAGATAGTCCTTGACGCAAAGACAAGCTACCCAGCTGGCTGCAATGCTCTCGAGCAACTCATTGTGGAAGAAGCAGCCCTGAGCACCACTCTCCCCACCGTCGCAGAAGCCCTCCTACAAAAGGGCGTATCCCTCCGCTGTGATAACACCTCGTTCCTCGCCCTCAAAGGCAAACTAGACCCCCACTCCGCCACGCTTCTCCAAGAAGCTGGACCAGAAGACTACGACACCGAGTTCCTAGACTACATCCTCGCCATCAAAACAGTCACCAACGTCGACGAAGCCATCAATCACATCAATGCACACGGCTCTCACCACACCGACGCCATACTCACCACCTCGGAAACCACAGCGAAGACCTTCCTCGCTGCTGTCGACTCATCCTCCGTTTACTGGAACACCAGTACCCGCATGGCGGATGGTCAGCGATATGGTTTCGGAACCGAAGTCGGCATCTCAACAAACAAGATCCATTCTAGAGGACCTGTCGGACTAGAGGGCTTGACAATCTACAAATGGGTTATTGTAGGTGACGCGCAGGTTAGTGCCGATTACGGCGCTGGAGGCAAGCAATGGAAACATCAGCGCTTGCCAGTTGGTGATGAAGAGAGTGTAGCGAGCAATGAGGAAGAAAGGGAAGTATTGAGGAAATTCAGGGCAAGCAAGACTTGATTGAGTCCGACTGAGAATGTGTCGATTGAAGACAAACACGTGATCTATACAACACCCGATATACGTCAAAAGCATGTCCTCTACATAGACCGAATCGTAACCTGCATACAAACCATTGAAACAAAATGCCACGTTACCACCCACCTTCCCCATCCACTCCTGCATCTCGCTCCACCTACCCCAAGCCCATCGCCATACTACCTATCGCGTACCAACAAGAAAAAATTCTTCCACCTCTTATCACGAATTCTCATCTACCCTCCTGCTATTCCCGTAGTCTCCGTAGTACAACCGTGTATCGAATGTTGTACGCGTCTTCCAAGAAATAACACAGCATTTGTGGTGCAACAAAGCAGATTATCATCGGTTGGCATACTATACATAATCGGGCCGTTGTACACACGGGATGGAGTGGAGTGGGGGTGCTACCCACTTGTTAACATGCGGCTGTAATTGCTGCGAGTCGCGCAAAACGAGATGACGATGTGACGCGATTTAATTAGGGCTAGTCATGCAAAGTGAGGTGTGTTTGCGATCGATCGATCGAGTTGAGGAGGCGTTTTGGTGGTGAGGGAGGTTGTCAGTTGGTCGCGAAAGTCGTGCGCAGAGTAAAGAACGAAGTCACTGACGGAAGGAGACGAGATATGTGTGTGCAAGTCTAAGAATATGATTTTTTGATCTATATCCTCTCAACAAGCAGAATAGATGCAAGTGTCTACCTAGTCTCCGCACAAATGCGCCGACTCCATGTCTTCCATTCCTTTCTCATAACATAACGTGGTATCCCATAAACATTCCCGAAACTACACATATCGAACATCTGATGTGTATGCGCTTACTCAACGCCCTTGTTCCTCAGAGCAAGAGGGCTCTGACTGAAGATCTGAGCACCGTCCTTAAGACGACGCTCCTCGTTCTTGCGGCCGTTGACGAAGTCGGGGTGGTTGAGGGTAAGCTCAACAGCACCGTTGACAACGTGGTCGACAGCCTCTACACCCAACATGAACGAGTGGTCCTGGTTACCGACCTCGTAGCGCCATGAACCGAAGCGGCCACGCGACAGAATGTCCTTGGCCTGGAGAGCAGGGAGAAGCTTGGTGAGAACACCTTCACGCTCGAGAGAGGGAGTGGGGTATCCATGGTCGAAGCGGCGGTGGTAGGTGGAGACGATTTCGTCATCCGACTTGATCATCTCGGTGTTGATGAGACCCTGAATGCAGTCCTTGAGCATGTTCTTCTCATCGACGGGCTTCATGCTGGACTCGGAAACCTCCAACATGATGGACCAGTATGGGCCCTCCTTGGCCTCAGTGGAGCTGGGCTTGGAGCCATCTGCCATCTGCTGAGTGGCGAGCTTGACGTCCTTCTGGGGCTGGTTGTATGGCGAGTAGTTGGAGAAGATGGTGGCGCGGTAGAATGGGCAGTCATCCTCGGGGAAGTACAGCCAGCACTTGTCACCAATGCGCTCTGGTCGCTCGCCGCGGAGACCAACACCAATAACGTGGGTGGTGGAGTAGAAGAGACCCTTGCTGAGATCGATGAGCTCCTTGTCGCCCATGAACTCGACGAGCTGATCGACAGCCATGGTGTTGACCAGCTTCTTGTAGTTGACAACTGTTCCGTCGCCGAGGTGTACCTTGTGGCCGTCGGCATCAACCTTGGTGACCTTGCCGTGGTCACCGTATCTTGTCTTGGAGTCTGGCAGTGTCTTTGCGACGGCCTTCCAGATACCACCGGTACCGTCTCGTGCGGGGAAGCGGAAGGTGGCGTTGGGGCCCCAGTTTCCTGCGGTCTTGTTGTGGATGATGTTGTTGATGACACCCTTGACGTTGGGGGCGGCGACACGCTCTCCGAGCCACTGGCACTGCATCTTGGTGGTGGGTACAGCCCAGACCTTGAAGTTGTAGGGGCGCATGAAGAGGTCAGCAATGCCGACACCCATCTGGCGCATAATCCACTCGTCGAAGTCCTTGGGCTTGGTGTTTGCCACGCGAGCCTCGAGTGCGGCGTCAATCAAGCCGTCGACACACTTGGCCTGGTCGTCCTTGTCCAAGATGGACAGGTTGTTCTGGAATGGGTAGGGGACCCAGTTGCGCTTGCAGCGGACGTAGGACACACGCTCGTGGGTGAACCAGTCGTCATCGTTGGGGAGGGCCTCGTCGATGCAGTCGTCGAAGTACTTGTAGTGGGAGAAGATGACATGGCCACCAACGTCGTAGAGCTGGGGGAGATGTTAGAGGGGGTCGGTCAATTGGCGGTGGGGATACTCACGAAGCCCTCTGGAGTGACGTCGGTCGAAGCCAGACCACCAGGTGTCTCATTGGAGTCGACAATCAGCCATGAGGGGCCATCCTGTTGTTGTTAGCATCTGCCCCGCCACTTGGACTCTGTGATGAGCATACAATCTGGTGGAGGCGCTTTGCTGCTCCAAGACCAGTCGGACCAGCACCGATAACGAGCACGTCGACCGAACTATGGCATTGTCAGCTCGTGCTCAGAAGGATGCAATGTGGGTGGGCAGGCGGTGAACATACATTTCTTCCTTGGCGGATCCCATCTTGCCCTGTAGTATTTCCTGAAAACTCGGAACGCGCTTCAAAGTCTGGCGGGCGTAGTTGAGCATGTACTCTATGGGCGAGCAGCACTTGTAGTTATAGAGAGGGTGTGGAGCAGAGGCCAAACACTTGGGGCGTGGTGGAGGAATATAGCTGGCGATAAACTAAGGACGCCAAGGGCGATGCTGCGTTAAGTGGGTCCAGGGTAACAGAGGGCCAGCCGCCGAAGGACTCGCCTGGGGAGAGCTTGGAGGCTTCAGACGGCCGCGCTGCAACGGCGAGAAAAGGGGCAGGCCGCCATGGGGACCGGCGATCTGGCTGGACATGGCTGCTCGTGGGCGCGTTGATTGGTGCCGGTCTGCTGCTTCACCACTCGTGCGTGCAACATGTTCATTGCCCATGGCCTCGAGGGCCGTGATAGTTGCGTTGCCCGTGTGTCACCATGGCCTCTGCACGTTCCCGCGGGTGGAGCCTCAATCTGGCTGGTTGCAGCACATGGTGAAGCTTGACCGACTCTATCTCTGGGGGACTACAGCCTCAGATCAACGACGCATCGACTTGGTGTCGTGCTAGTGCCACGGTGCAACGACGCCTGTGTGCGAAGTAATCTGCATACCCCTAACGGTGCGCCTCGCCCTGCTCTCCAACGACACGGCACAGCTCCTGCAATGTAAACCGCTTGCGCGTGGCAGCAGAGAGAGTGCGCGATGTGCATGAAGCTGTCACTTTTCTACATATATGTGGGACCGGTGTCTTCGGCGCCTCTCTGCAGGGTGCCAGTACGCGTACACACCTACACAAGCAAATGCAAGAGGCGGCTCAAAATTTCGGGGCCATTGACGGGAGCCCTCGCCGCTGTGGTCGATTGCGCGTCCACTCAGGGCTCCACAGCAGATCAGTTTCACCTCATCGAGCATTTGCAAAATCCCGCGCGGCTCCTGGCAAATCTTCATCTGGCCTCATATCAGCTCTAGTACATAGTCGGCCGTTGCCCAGTGATAGCACGCCTAAACCAGAACCCCCCCTGTGCACCGGCTCTAGAAGGTCGTCTGGCTGATTCCCGCTCCGCCCCTCCCCTTCCCTAGCGCAGTCGAGGTATTAGTACCGTCACATTCACAAGTGCTCTCAACACTTCTCGTCGCTCTTTATCTCCTCATTGCTCCAGCGCTGTTACAGCTGCTTCGTGTTGCTTGTGCCACGCTTGTCCCCTTGACGCGCAACACCCGCCATCAGTCAGCAGCGCTAGTCCACTGCTACTGCAACCTTGCAACTTGCATTCTCCAGCACCGCAACCACCTCCTTTGACCTTCACTCAACACCCTTACCGTCCCTCGTTAGCCACCACCCGCAGCCATGTCAGACGAGAAGATGAGATCCTCGGTCGAGGCCTCGCGCGACACAGCCCTGCCTGTGCTGCCGACGGTCAACCCAGATGCGCAGAAGCCAGCCCCCGAGGCGCCATCCTTCCATCCTGCAGTATACATTGCGTACGTTGGCTCAATGCTACCCCCAGCGACATGCACTGACGGCCTTGCAGAACATGGATCTCCCTCAGTTCCAGCACAATCGTCTTCAACAAGTACATCTTAGATACAGCCAAGTTCCGTACGTGTACTTCTACTCCGCCGCAACACCGCATCCTAACACACCGACAGACTACCCCATCTTCCTCACAACATGGCATTTGATCTTTGCGACCGTCATGACCCAGATCCTCGCCCGCTTCACCACCGTCCTCGACTCTAGGAAAAAGGTGCCCATGACCGGACGCGTATACCTGCGAGCCATTGTCCCCATCGGTATCTTCTTCAGTATGAGCTTGATCTGCGGTAACCAGGCATATCTGTACCTGAGTGTGGCTTTCATTCAGATGCTCAAGGTACGTCACGCATGAACATGGATTCGTGGCAGCTACTGACCTCAACAGGCTACTATGCCCGTCGCTGTCCTCATCACCACCTGGAGTCTCGGAGTTGCGCCTGTCAACCTCAAGACCCTCGGAAACGTCTCCTTCATCGTTATCGGTGTAGTCATTGCCTCGCTGGGAGAGATCAAGTTCGTCATGATCGGCTTCCTCTTCCAAGCCGCTGGTATCGTCTTTGAGGCTGTCCGTCTGGTCATGGTCCAGCGCCTTCTCAGCGGTGCCGACTTCAAAATGGACCCGCTCGTCTCCCTCTACTACTACGCTCCTGCTTGCGCCTTCATCAACGGTGTTATTCTCATGTTCACTGAGCTTCCCAAGATGTCCATGGCTGACATCGACCGCGTCGGTTTGATCACTCTGCTGGCCAATGCATCCGTTGCTTTCTTGCTCAACGTCTCCGTCGTCTTCTTGGTACGTCGTCCTCTTTCACACTTGAAGAACATGTACTTACAATCTCCAGATCGGCAAGACCTCCTCGCTCGTCCTTACCCTTTCAGGTGTACTCAAGGATATCCTCCTCGTCTTTGCGTCCATGTTCCTCTTCAAGGACCCCGTCTCTCCTCTCCAGGCTTTCGGTTACGCCATCGCGCTTGGCGGTCTCGTCTACTACAAGCTCGGCGGAGAGAAGCTGAAGGAGTACCTCGGCCAGGGCAGCATGAAGTGGCAGGAATTTGGCCACACCCGCCCGGTTCTCCGCAAGTTGATGGTCTTCGCCGCCGTCATCATTGGCATGTTCCTCGTCCTTGGCTCTCTCGGACCCCGCTACGCCCCCGACTCGACCAACCAGGTCTACAACGGCATCGGCAAGCTCATCGGCGACAAGGCCGTATGAAGAACTGGTTCCTTCTAAAATCGGTCTTGGCCATTTTCTAGCTGGGAGTAGGCCTACTTGCATTACGCTGGTCTACCTTGATTTCCCTTCCCCCTTGTCGTTTTATCTTTAGCTTGGAGCGGGCTTGGAGTGTACGGTGATCGGTGTTTATACGCATAGACGAGCAGGAGCTTTCATGCCGACGGAGCCTTCTTTGATGCTTTTTGTGGTTTGGTACGCGACTGGTGTCGATCGCATGTCAGGGAGCAATGACAGGGAATGATTAAGTAACATGTTTTTGGCACATAGATCTTGCAGGCATTCGCAGAAACTGCAAGCGAAAGTATATACTTGAGCTATATAATAGTAATGCTTGCCATGTGAGCATCCTATTTAATTCTGCTTTTACTTGTGACGTACATGGCAGCGAACTTTCGTCGGCAAGGTATGCAGAGCAGATGTTGTAAGCTGAAACGCTATCATTTGTAGGACAAGTTCACGGGTATGCATAACGAACATTGAATGTCAAATTCTGATCGTCGAAGTGTGAGGTGCATGCGCCGTCTTCGCGCCTGCCCAGTGGAGTTTTGAAGTTCTCGCTACGCACGGGCCACACCACGCCAAGCTGCCCTTTCCTGCCAAATTCGAATCGCGAACTTCAGCTTTCTCCCTCAGTCGTTACTAACCCACAGCACAACACGCTCAAAATCAGTCAAGATGGGAATCGACCTCGACCGCCACCATGTTCGAGACGGGCACCGCAGTACGTGATCCCCCGTCGAGTCGGCGCAGCAATGCGCTGGCGTTAGCTGTCTTTTAGACGCAACATGAAGCCTTCGAAGGAGAGAGATTGACGAGTATACAGAGGTCCCTAAGTCCACCAACCCCTACGTCAGGCTGTTGGTGCGCCTTTACAAGTTCCTGGCTCGTAAGTACTTCATTTTCAAATGCGCACATTGTTTGTGCTAACAGCGGACAGGCCGTACCGATGCCAACTTCAACAAGACCGTTCTGCGACGCCTCATGATGTCGAAGACCAACCGCCCCGTAAGACGACTGATCGCATGCACTGTAGAACAGCGTCACTAACACAGCACAGCCGGTCTCCGTTTCCAAGATCGTCGCGAACGCCGCCAACAAGCACTCCGCCAAGGAGCACGCCGGCAAGACCGTCGTTGTTGTACGTTAAGCAATACGCATAGCGAAGATCAATGGCTAACATACCGTCAGGTCGGCACCGTCACTGACGACAACCGCATGCTCGAGGTCCCCAAGCTCTCCGTTGCGGCTCTCCGCTTCACCGCCTCTGCCCGCGCCCGCATCGAGAAGGCCGGTGGTGAGTGCCTCACCATCGACGAGGTCGCTACCCGCTTCCCCACCGGATCCAACACCCTCCTCCTCCGTGGACCCAAGAACGCCCGTGAGGCCTTCAAGCATTTCGGCTTTGGTCCCCACACCCACAAGAAGCCTTACGTCGAGAGCAAGGGCCGCAAGTTCGAGCGTGCCCGTGGACGCAGAAGGTCGCGTGGTTTCAAGGTTTAAGCGTGTGCTGCTGCACTCTTGGTTTCTCTGGGTTGGCGTGGTCATGGTCATGGGAATTCTTACGAGGCGCGCTTCATGACTGGCAAAGGCTCTTCGAAAGCCTGCAAAAAGATACTCAATGCTCAACATGAAATGAAAGCATACAAATGGGCTCTTCCGAGCTCATGGTTAAATCATGAACAACCATCTTCTTCATCAACGTGCATGTCATCTCTATTCAATTACCAGCTTGAGCATTCGCAATTTTCACATGCAGGACAATTTGCCCGTAACAGGAAATGCTGTATAGGAACGCTGAACGACGAAGTTTTTCGCGTGCTAAATTTTCTGCGGCTCCCCCACATTCAGCCAACCAGCGCTAGCCAAACTAAACAACCCGACGTAATGCCCCGACTAGTCACTGCAGCACTTGAATGACTTGACATCAACAACAACACTGGCAAAATGGTCGACAGTCGGAAAGTAGGCGTACTAGGCGGCGGCCAACTTGGTCGGATGCTGATCGAAGCCGCCAACCGATTGAATGTTCAAGTCAACGTCCTGGACGTCGGGGCATCTCCAGCAAAGCAGATATCAGCGCACGACGGCCATATCGAGGGATCTTTCAAAGATGCAGCGGCTGTAAAGAAACTCGCAGAATCATCCGATGTCGTCACTGTCGAGATCGAACATGTCGATACCCACATGCTAGAAGAGGTAGCGGGCCAGGTCGTGGTTGAACCCAGCTGGAAGACACTACGGACCATCAAAGATAAGTACGCCCAGAAGCAGTACCTGAAAGAGCATGGAGTGGATGTCGCAGATAGCATCGATCTCGAAGGAAAGGGTGTTGCTGGATTGAAGGAAGTAGGTTCGTCATATGGCTATCCGTTCATGCTCAAGAGTAAGACAGAGGCGTATGACGGTAAAGGAAACTTTGTGGTGAAGACTGAGGCGGATGTTGATGCAGCATTCGAGGCCTTGGGGAAGAGGCCGCTGTATGCAGAGCGTTGGGCGGACTTCAGGATGGAGCTTGCAGTCATGGTTGTCAAGACAAAGGACGGTGTACTCACATTCCCCACTGTCGAGACTGTTCACGAGGACAGTATCTGCAAGCTCACATATGCACCACCCAGGAACGTAGCAGAGGAAGCTGCGCAACGAGCCCAGGAGCTCGCCAAGAAGGCTATCGGTGCTTTCGAAGGCAAGGGTGTGTTCGGTGTTGAGATGTTCTTGCTCAAGGACGACAGTCTACTCATCAACGAGATCGCACCTCGTCCGCACAACTCTGGACATTACACCATCGAAGCCTGCCCCATCTCACAATACGACGCGCATCTCCGAGCCATCCTTGACCTACCCATCTCCCAGTCTAGCCTCCGCCTCCGCGAGCCCTCCATCATGCTGAACATCCTTGGCGGCAAGGCGCCAGACTCCCACGTCCAAGTCGCGAAGAGGGCTCTTGAGTCACCAAACGCCTCAATTCACCTCTACGGTAAAGGCGATGCACGTCCCGGACGCAAGATGGGCCACATCACCATTACAGCCCCCACACTCGCAGCCGCCGAACGCGAGGTCCAGCCCCTCATCGACTTTGTCGACGCCCAAAAGGGCAAGACCGTCGAATCACGCAGCTCAGAAACATCGAAAGAAGAGCCTCTCGTCGCCGTAATCATGGGCTCAGATTCGGATCTCCCCGTCCTCCGCGCCGGTCTCGAGATCCTCACTAAGCTGCAAATCCCATTCACTACGCGCATCACCAGCGCCCACCGGACCCCCGACTGGCTCCGCGAGTTTTCCAAGACCGCTTCTCAGACGTCTTTGAAAGTCATCATTGGCGCTGCGGGTGGTGCCGCCCATCTGCCCGGTATGTGTGCGTCGTGGACCACACTTCCCGTTATCGGTCTGCCTGTCAAGGCGAGTGTGATGGATGGCTGGGACAGTCTTGTTAGTATGACTCAGATGCCGCGTGGCGAGCCTGTTGCCACTGTTGGTATCAATAACTCGACGAATGCTGCGCTACTTGCTGTGCGTATCCTTGGTGCGGAGGATAAGACGATCCGTGAGAGGTTGAGGGTTTGGATGGAGGGCAATGAGAAGGAGGTTATGCGCAAGGACAAGGCACTGCTGGAGGATGGGTGGGAGGCTTATCTTAAGGGTATGGGAAAATAGATGGGGATTGGGAGGTGACGGGATGATGGGCCCACGGAATACAGGATCTGTCAGGCAACGTTGGTTAGTGAGATGTGCAGGTAGTAGAACATCTAACTTTGGCCGGAGATGTTTCATTGGTCTATGACTCCGTTGAATGCGATCAACATGCAGTGCTACTGAAAACTTTTGATTTCGACGCCCATTACGAGGATGATCACCACCACCATTGTTCACGCCAGCCCTAGCAACGGCCCCTTCTTAGCACAACACATAAGATCAACCCTGACTCTTTTGATTGCTCCCTTCGCGAAATTGGCTCCAACTGCGTGATGTCATCCACTTTAGCCGTTCTCCACTCTCACAAGGACTTGGTGTTGCATCCAACGTTTTCCAGAAACGTGTTGACATCCTGTAATGGTTTTAAAAGACACCGCTAGACCACGGCCATGGTTGTTGTACGCCATCGTTTTAGTAAAATGATTTTTGGGTGTGCGGATAAGAGAGGAAAGAGGAAAGAGAGTCGCGTGCGTTTTATAGTCGAAGGATGGGAAAGGAGAGATCACATGGCTTGCCCTTCCATATGTTTTGAACAGCTTCCATTGCTCTTCACATGGCGGTTCTGATCGAGCATTTTCAAAGACTGGCTGAGCCAAGAGCAGAGACGAGGAGAGAACGATATCTTGTCCAACCGAACCATTTTCAGAGTACAAAGCTTCCACAACTTGCCTGGTGGGACATGACAGAGTTGGTAGGTGATTTTGGAAGTCGGATAGGACTCGTGAACATGCCATGAACATCAAGATGGGAGGAGGCGGGGAAAAGAGGAAAGCCATGTAGGCGCCGAGTCCGTGTTTTGGTGAAGGAAGAAGGAAGTGTGTTGGATAGGAAGAGAGAAGGTAGAAAAAGAAGAGGCGGCTTTATATGCGTCCAGAGTCATTCGGAGGGCGCACTCATCGCGGGGCATCTGGTACGTTTTGAACGAGGAAGCACAATCTTTCCATGTTGAAGTCTTCCAATGCTTTTTGAATGTCGCCGTACGTGTTCGAAACCGGCACGCGGGGTTATCCTTCCCATGGGTAGCGAATCCGTGAGAATACAGGAGCACATACGACCTCCGCCGCGGTTTTGGAAAAAGAGAGAAAACGCCGGCATAGCGATTTCATCGTCATGATATAGGAAACTGTGATGCAAGTTTGATATGATAGAAGGAGGAAAGGGATAGCAGAGCGGAGATATTTATGTATACTTCTTCCGAGGCGGACGAAGACATCAGTGGGTTCTCGGTAGTTTTTGACGACTCACGTCCTGCTCACATTCAAGCATCATTTCCACTTCAATTGCACATTTTTCCTTGAATGATATGTAGCATCGAGTTCCAGGCGATCGCGCCATGTTTTGTATTGTCTCAAGATACTTGAGAGGCTCAGGAGGAGAGGTTCTCATAAACCGATGAGCAGTACGATTTTCGTGACACAGCAAAAGTCTGGGTAGCTATGCGATTTTGGAAGTAAGTGGAGAAGACAGGCAGCGCGCTCTCATACGTTAGTTGGCTTGTAAGTTTGAAAATCTGTACAAGACAAGTAGTGTGTAAAAAGTAAGACAAAGCGAAAGAGTGGGAGTTTACGAAGTCTCGTGGAAGTAGTGTAAAATCGTTGATGAAGGAGGCAGCTCGTGTTCCATATCGCCCATCGATCTCCAGTACCTGGTTTTCGGTGACATCTTTTGGAGAGGCGAATGATGTGCAGCGTACGAGCTTCGAGAACACGAGTCTTGGTTTTGTCATTTTAGGGGACTCGAAATTCAGTGTAGATAGGCCGATTTTGGAGATGGCCACTGAACAAAGAAAAGAAAGACTGACATCGTGGTGGTGCGGTCGGACATGTGAGATACGTCCAAGAGCCCATTTGGTAAGAGCATTACCTTGTCGCTGTTGTTTTGCTGCAGCGACATTGACACAGAATTATCTGGTTCTGACGGATATTCCATGTTGAAGCGTTGGTGCGCGATAGAGGTCTCAATGTAATAGCCCGATATGTGAACGCCAATGTTGGTTGCAGTTGTGTCCATAAAGTTGGTGTAATAGAGATCAGAGTGGATGCGCTGAGTAGCGGTGCGGAGTACTTGACGTGGAAGGGGAGCACTTGTTTCAACTCCTGGTGCTGTTGGTGCACTGTTGGTGCTTAAGGTGACTGTTCTCGTTTCATTGAGATGTTCCTGTAGCGACTCTTGTAGCTACCATGTGCCCATGATAGAGCCTCTTCTTCCACACCCTTTGAAATTGTGGCCTTGCGAGCCTGATAAGTTATTGACAATTGCCGTAGCGATCTCGATTACCGAAGAGCATACACATAACTACCTATATACCACTTGAAGCCATCACAAGAGCCAGCTGTTCCATAGATCATCTCCAACTAAAAGTCAGCGAATGCCCACCCTCTCGCTCCCGTATCCGCTGCTCCAGTAGCCTGCGGTAGTACTCGGCTCCTTCCATCGTGCGGGTTCCATCGTCCTCTGGATCAAGGTGGTCAAATTAGTGAAGGTGGTTCACATTGTGGGGAGCGAGTTCCATGTGTTTGAGACGTGGGAATATATTAGTGTGATAACCGATCTTGAATTGCGGCAGTTGATCAACGCTTTGACTCTCAGTGGAATCAGGAAAGTTATATGTCCAGTCCCACAAGGCTACGTTAGATACACAGAGGGATTGAATGTTTCGTAGCAACGCGTGTTCCGAGACCCAATGAAACTGCCAGCATCGTTGGATCTTGAAAGTGATGAGGGCGAAGATCAGCAACCGTGTCTCCGCGTGGATCTGTCTCGGGGTCGCTGGTAATCGAAGGGCAACATCTTTTGCGGGGGTGCCATCATCATTCGTCGGGATCCCACGGGGCTTTGATCTTGCTCTGTTCCAGAGAAGGCGATGTCTGATTGTTACATTGGCGCAACTCATGGAGTCTTCCCAAATCTGGAGTCGAAGTTCGGCTGGTAAGCGTAGCAGAGGCCAAACAGATGCGTTGCGTTGTGAGCTGATCCGTTGGTAATGCCCGACCGCAGTGAGTTGCTATCTTACATTGCTAGCTTGTCTTCCGGCACAGGCGCCAGAATAGTCTGTTCATCTTCTTGATACAAATGAGACGATGGGTTCTCTGGCCGTGGGCGCATTTGGTTTTCGTCGGGCATCGTCTTTCCGTGCCTTTGGTGTTCGCGAGCGTCAGTCTGCAGGCGTCAGTGTCGCCTGGTATGGAAGTTGCTATTTCGCGAAAGAGTAGATCTCGATTAGTATTGGGGGTTGGGAGTAGAGATCTTGATATTTTTAAGTGTAAGTTGAGTGAGATGGAAACCTCAAGTATAAATCGTATGCTAGCCTCCAAGAAGTGTACTTTGGTTAAGATTTTCGAACGTTTGCTGCGAACTAAGGTTGGGAACCGATTGAAGCCAAGGCTTACAATTAATACGTCCACGGGTGGGTGTATCTGTGTGATACTCTAGGCTTCTTCCCCGGCAGTCGCCTATTTGTTATCTTCTTCTCTGGGATTCGCCTGTGTATCTTCCTCTTCATCTGTGTCCTCATCACTCTTGCTTATATAAACAACCATTCCATTTAGCGCATTCCCATGCTTTTCAAACTCTCTTAGCGCCACCTTTTCCCTACCCTCTATCCACTTCTTGCCCACCTGATTGCACTCCTCTAACCGCTCTTTCTTCTCTTTTGTTTGCGCATACACACTATAATCGTCCAGAATCTCGTTGCCTACGTACAGCACCGGGTCTTTCGATTTAAGGAAAGTCGGTAGAAGAAGGAACCAATCCACGAAGGGCGAGTAGACGAAGGAGTGGGACGTGATATGGACCTGGAGATCGGAGTCGAGGACAGTGATGGAGAGGTGCGATAGGAATTCGATGTCAAGGTTTGTAAAGGCTGGGTCTTGGGCGAAACACTGGATTTTGGTATCCTTGTTCTCGGCATTGACTACTTTGTAATCAGTTCGTGCACACGCAGCGGATAGAGACGATGACATACGCTGCCCGACTACGTCAACAAACAGTACAAGCTGCCACATGCTCCTCCACCGATGTGCCCAGTCCCTACTGAAACTGCCAATCCCTATGCATACCGCCTCTTCAACACCCCATTTGCTATCAGCACTCTTCTCCACAATATCTTTAACTTGCTGAGCAAGCAGCGTATCCTCCCAGCGCTCTTGCAGCAGGCGAAAGTCCTCCAGTAATTTCTCCGCCGTCAACCCCTCCACAATCCTCGTAGGAAAAGACCCAGCATCCGCTTCCTTCTTACCTTTTCCATCAAGCGAAACACTCGCCAAACCATGAGTAATGACAGTCCACCCATCATCACTCTGTACCTCCTTCCTCTTGACTCGGCCTCTTCCTTTCTTACTCATACCTTCTTACTACCTCTTCACACACCAATCTTTGTTCTGTCTTGGCAAAATAAAACCCAAGCGCATGTTCCCTTCACCTCAAGCGCAGCGAAAACTCACAATGACGTACACTGTACAGAAAAGGTGCACCGATCGTCGCGTCGTTGACTTAAGGTGCGGCTTGCATGGGCGCGTAAAAAAGGCGTGGCCAAAGTGTCGAGGGCGATGACGGGAAGGACCACCTAGGCGCGTAGAAAATCATCGTGAGAGGCCAGGGTTTGGTTGGGTTTTAGTGGGGAAAGGGAGGCTCGGAACGGGATTTCCGAGGCGGAAGCAGAGAAGGGTCCGAGGGCGGCGACCTTGGCTGTGGCCCGCAAACTACAGTAAAGACTGTGTGGGAACTGTGCCTCTCTTGACTAGGGGTCTGCTATCTGGCCTGTAGCTGTAGTTCAAGCCACCCGCTCACGTCGGGGTTGCACATGCGGATCAGGCCTCCTGCTGACGGCTTAGATGCACAAGCTATTTTTCATCATAGTCGTTGTAAGCATGACAGCATATAGCTTACGGTGAGTGAGCAACTAGTGAAACTGCAAGTGTTGGGATTACTAATGGTATTGGATGTGTAGCTTCTGTACATCATACTGCACAACAATATATTGTGTGCTCCAAAGAAAGACCGTCATAGCTGCTGAACAGCTGGTCCACCAACCACCCAGATCAAATCACTGCGTACGCTCCAAATGGAGACTGTCGCTTCAAAAGAGACCGGATATCTTTCGCGCCAAACTCCTTGCCCATAAAAGACTATATTCGCGAGCAAATGTCAGGTTCATGCCTTAAACGACCCACGTAACCCAAGACGCTGCTGCCAGCATCGCCGGCACTATGATTGACGCATAGGTGTTGACGACCATGTTATGTGGCGCTGGCGATGATGTTGTCGAGTATACGATTTGGAAGCCAATGTGATCGTTGACATTTGTTGTGTTGACGCAGTTTGAGCTGTTGACTTCGGGAACATCCTCTGGTTCGGCAAAAGTAATATCGGCGCACTGTCGGGCTCTATTAGCAACTACACGATTATCATGTTAAGAGGCTTTCACTCACGTTGTAAAGAGCAGCACCGTGTTGCGCAAGCTCAATAATCTGGATTGTCGCGTTGTCTCCAACCTGGGGTGTGTAGTTGGCAGGTAACGGGACTTGCGGTAGACAGAAGGAGCCGGGATATTGCTGGTTTGTAGGTCCTTGGATCTGGAAGACTGGCACCATGGTGTGCGAGTAGTTTAGCGGTTCGTTGCCGTAACCCATGTTGACGTAGAACATGGCGAGCGAGTGGCCTGGGAACCATCCGGGTTGGATCGCGACGGCGCCACCGTTGACCGGCCACTTTGTACGATTTTGCGACATTGGCATGCCACCACCTATGAGTTATGTTAGCTATCTGCTCTTGCGCGAATTACCGAGTCGGGAAACATACATGGGTACATCCATTGCATGCCGTATGGAAATCCATATGTGCCGGTATCTTCGTGGTAGTTGATACCAATCGAGCCATCAGGAATCGATGGGTCTGTGTCAGATTTGGTTCCATTGGTGTGGATGTTGTTTCCTCTCCATCCTGGGTAGACGATAACGGTATGTGCAGTAGCGAGCGACCAGGTAGCGGCGATAAAAACGAGCTCGGTAAAACGAAACATTCTGGCGGTGCGATGCGGGAAACAAAGACAGTCGGAAGTGGAAGTCCTTGTCTTTATCGATGGAGTGACCCGTCAGCTTTGGGGTACACGATTTGATGGTAGTCGACGCAGAACGGGCAGCGTGCGGTGGCGGGGGGCATCAGCACTTATGGATTACGGGACTTGGCCTCGACGGCCTCGTGCAACCATGGCATTGCTCGCGAAAGAGACGCTTCAGGCGAATGAGCAGAGCAAAACGGGCCCGCCAGCATGGCCAGCCTTTGCATGTCAGCCCTCGAAGCATTGAGTAGGCAGCGAATAGGCACGTCGCTAGCATATTGATTCTACAGGGGGCAGCGACCACTGAGCTTCGCGTATGCAGGTCTCATCGGGCGGGAGGGAAAGCCTCTGTCGAGGCGGAGCGAATAGCGTCCGAGGTGGCCATGCGCATGGCGCTTCTGATTTGCAGAGGCGTGTGATGACTTTGCAGAGTCTCGGCAGTCCGGCCAGGCACCTCTAAGCGCCCAACTACTCCAGTGTCCACATGCCCACCAGCAGCAGCGAGGAAGGTTTCCGGATCTGAAAAATGCGGTCTCCCGCGCGACTCGGCCGTGATAGTGTGACCAAGGCGTGATACAGAGTGTTGAAACGCCGCAGCTACACCGTGTAGCCGACGTCTTTGTTCGTGCGAGAAGAATGCTGAAAGACGCAGGCAATCGCGCGCACAGTCAGGTAGCCGCCACTGGCCCCCAACGAACGACGATCAGCGCCCTCGCCGCAATATAATCCCCAGCCGTCAACATGCGCATGTTTCTATCCTCATATCGCTGCATGAAGGCTGCAGTGCGATAGCTGGGGAAGGCCGAGTGTCGACGATGCTGATTGGGAGCTTGTTTCGCCGCCCCTGGTCGCTTGGAAGTGTCCACTGCGCCGGGACGAACGAAGCCTCCATTCGCAATAACCAATTGCTTGAAAGGGTATTCCTTCTGGGCCCGCGTCGTGCCGAGCGCACCAGCACACTATCCGCGCAGTGCGATCTTTCCTGCGGTTCGCTGCTAGTGCCTGTCTGGACGGCGCGAGGTACCGCATTCATACTCCCCTTGCTTGAGTCAAAGGAACATCTTTTCGCACTGGGGTTAGCAGCGAACAAGCATCGCTTTAGCCAAGCGCCATGAGATTGTAGATCGTGTTGGACGCAGGGAGCACGGGTTCGTTGATGCTGGCGTCCGGGATAACGGTTGCGCGAGGTACGACCGTTGTTGATACTGCCCAGGTGGGGTGCCATGAGCGCCTTCCTTGAGCACTGAGAGACCATGGCCACCTTCCTGCGATGAAGCTTCTTTCCCCATCACTCAGATCAGGCCTTCCAAAATCGCAGTTGTACACAGTATCTACCCAACAGGTCTTTTCTGGCTCTGCTTGTCACCAACCGTCCTGCATCGATATTCTTCGATGACCGCGGCGTCCATCGAATATTATTACTCAGTTTGATCTTAACTTCGATCAGCACCCGACACTAGAGGTACTGATATGTTGTCGCTCGTCCCAGCGCGGAAGAGAAAAGAAGCCCATAACCCGATACAACTATCTCGTGATAAAGGCAAGGTCCGCGTCATCGAGCGATCAGCAGAAGGGTACTCCAGCGGCTCCGCGAAGAACCTACAGGGGCGCAACAGCACCCCTGCTAGCCGTACCTTTACTACACTTCGTCGCGGAAGCATCAGGATCTTCTCAATCTTCCGCAATGGCAAGAGTTGTCACCCACATCTGCCTTGTACCTCTTGGCTTCTACTGATAGTACGAACAGGTTCCGCTCCAAGCTCCGGCGAGGCTACCTTTGGTAGCACTGGATCAACAGCCATCAAACCAGCAGACGTACCACGTGCCGATAATAACAATTCCTACTCCAACTCTCCTCTACAATGCCCTGTCATTCCCGATGTACCTATGACTCTACCAGCTCTCTCCCTAGATCCAGACTCCTCATCGTTACTCCAACTCACAAATGCCGCCGTCTTCGATGGCGAGTCAGAACCTATACCAAGAACTCGCACTCCACCTCCCACACCCATGACAACAAGTTGGTCGATGCCAAGTCTCTCGCAGCAGCTCACCACCAAGCTCTCCAACGCCCTGATGAACAACGATACGGTAGTGCGTCGACGCAAGCTAAGCTCTAGGCCAATCGTTCGAACGGACCATTTCAAGCATCCAAGCGATGACCAGCGAACTACCACCTCGCCCAAAAGCCCCATGTCAGAGGTCCCTTCTCTTCCATCAAGTGTCCTAAGCCCCTCCAGCAGCGTCGCACCGTTGAGTCAGTCCACTGCACCGACATCGCTGGTCTCATCAGGCGCGCTGCTGTCCGCTGAAACCACCTATCGAACCCAGAACGGTCGCCATGTAACCGACAATCAACCTGCGCTCTATTGCGAGGCGACCCCAGAGCGTTTACCTTCACGATTCCTTGTCTTCCCACGTCAAGACGCACCGCGACTGTGTGAGCCTTCCATTGCGACTATCGAGAATGCAGCGGCGGCGAAGATCTTCTTCGAGTCACACTTCAACCAGCTTCTCGGTACCAAGGTCACACCACGATCTATGCGTCGCCGCCAGATGGAGCGCAAGGTTTTCGCTATGGCGATACCCAACGAGCAACGTCACTGCAAAAGGCGAGAATAGTATCTTGCAGAGACACATCATCTGCGCCAAACACGCGTCATGAAATCAAATACGCTAGCGCGTCAGACGATGAAGGGCGTGCACATCTCCAATTACGACATTGTAAGAGTTCTCGGCAAGGGCAGCTTTGGTGTTGTTCGTCTCGTTCGCGAGAAGAGTGACAATTGCGGCAGTCTACGAAGAAGCAGCTGCAGTATGGGATATCTTGATGGCTCATTGACGCCAAAAAATGATAGGCCTTCTCCGACAATCCGCAGACAAAAGCAAGTCTTCGCCATGAAGGTTATCAGAAAGTCGGATATGCTTCGCAATAGCCAAGAGGGACATTTGCGAGCAGAGCGAGACTTTCTAGTCGCGTCGGAGAATTCACGATGGGTAGTTCCCCTCATCTCTGCTTTCCAGGACAACAACAACCTCTATCTCGTCATGGAATACATGATGGGCGGTGACTTCCTAGGCCTACTACTTCGCGAAGATATCCTCGATGAAAACGTTGCGAAGTGGTATCTCGCGGAGATGATACTGTGCATCGAGGAGGCACACAAGATGAACTGGATCCATCGCGATGTCAAGCCTGATAACTTCCTCATCACGTCGTCTGGTCACCTCAAGATCTCTGACTTTGGCCTCGCCTTTGATGGACACTGGGCTCATAACCAGACGTACTACAATGAACAACGATACGGTCTACTCCGCGACTTGGATCTGCATGTCAAAGGCGACGCACAAGACGTTGAAGAAGACAAGGATCGATCGGGCGCTCGCAAGACCATGAACCTTGTAAATGGGAGTGCTGCGGCCCGCGGTCGTTATCATACCAGGCAGGACTCGGCGCATGGACCTATCATCGACTGGTTGAACCGAGAGCAGAGGCGTGAATTCGCCAAGAGTGTCGTAGGGACAAGCCAATACATGGCACCCGAGGTCATACGAGGCGAAAGCTACGACGGTCGCTGCGACTGGTGGAGCATTGGCATCATACTATACGAGGTACGTGGGCATGAGATGTTATGCGTGTTTTCACTGACGAATTTGTAGTGCCTTTACGGCTGCACGCCCTTCTTCTGCGATAATCGCCAAGCCACGAAGATGCGCATACTCGTAGGTTTGGCTATGGTACGTCGCGTTCTGGTGCTGACTCGTGCAGGATCATAGGAGGTGGCTGCGATTCCCATCCGAACAGCGTTATGCTCGTCCCAACATCGACCGCGTACCACTCATGCCAGTTTCACGCAACGCAATCGACCTCATGATGCGACTGCTTGAGGACAGACAAGATCGACTCTCAGCTAAGCGATACCGTGAGAACGACTGGGTCCTCCGTGACAAAGCTGCCGGTGCACGCCGCAACCGGAACGTCAACACCACAGGTCATATTGTTTACCCCAACGACGCCGAAGATATCAAATCACACCCGTTCTTCCGCAACATTCAATGGTCACTACTGCATTTGACTCGTCCACCATTCGTACCACGCGTTCACGGCGGTCAGCCAATCACCAAATACTTCGACGATGAGGCTGAGATCATGAGCGCGTCTGATCATCTCGACTCTTCAAGCTACGAAGCTTTCGGTGGGCCGGCAGACCCTGCAGTAGAAGGTCAAGTTGGTAAGAATGATGCTGCGTCCCCGATACAGCCGGCTGCCCAGAATGATGGTGCAGCTACGCCCGGTCAAGAAGGGGTTGCCAAGTCATTACGGGACATGAAGAAGCGCAAAAGGGAAAAGAAACGACCGCGCGACAAGCTTCTTCGAGATCCAGATGTCAGCCAAACTGTTCTAGAGATCAGGAAGAAAGGTGCTTTCGTGGGCTATACATATCGCAGGCCTAGGTTCTCGTTGCTAGACTTGGAGGACAAGATTGCTACTACGAGACCTCACATTACACGGGGAGGGATAGTTGCTGCGAGTTCTTAGTATTTTATGTTTTTCACGTCTCCTGCGGCGTGTAGTTTCTTCGAAATAGATTGTCAATTTCTTGAGCTCATCGAAGTGTGCGTGGTCCTCTGCTTGCTGCTCGATTATCATTAGAAGATGCAGTCTCTCTCACCTTGACCGCCATCTCCGACTCCCACTTCGGGCATCTCATCGCGGATACTGCTAGCGCCGTCTAGAGTACTGGTGAGATATATATCATGCCCATCATTCTCAGCGACAATCTTTCTTACACCATACCTTCAGTCTCCCAATCTCATCACACAACGATCAAAAACAAATGATCCCTGGTCATCTCTATTCATCATGATGCTCTTCAGAGCCATCCTGCTATGCCTTGCAGCACTCACCAGCATCGCCGTCGGTACAGCCCCCGCAAGAGACCCCAAGGACCCGATGCCAGTTCTTCTCAGCCACAAAGACAAGCCCAAGCCCGTCAACAAGACCACTCTCGACCCTCCAGTCCTCGACGTGAGCGAGTACCTGGTCAAAGAGCTCGCACACCAGACAGTAAACGTGGTCAAAATGTGGAACGACAGCAAGATCAACTACGCGTGCAAAAAGGTCTTCGCCAAAGAAGGCTACAAGGTCGAGGACATTGAGATGTTCGAGGTGAAGTATGAAGATGTGAGTTTGAAATGATGTCTGCTGTTATTAGCTGACAGTATGCTAATAAGTCTGAAGTGCTACGAGACACCATGGGTAATGTGCCGCCACAAAGACGCCTGGTACCAACCCGACCTCATGAACTTCTACATCGGCCTGATTCCCGTTAACATGCGTCGATTCAACCGCCACTTCATCGCGCTGCCAGCTGACGATAAATACGGGCCCGGCACGTACAATGACTACGACACCATAGTCTTCAAAGGGCAAGCCAGCCTGCACAGTATCATCGCCGAGTCCTCAAAGTCAATGGGCCAGTACGTAGGCTCAGGCTTTCCAATCTGGAGTAAGTCAACCCGCACTTCCCATCATTACTCTTTTTTGCGGCTGCTAACCACTCCCTATAGGTTCTGGTACTCTGTGGTCCGGTGAGACGTGGGCCGACCTCGTCGAGAACAACGCAACCGCGGTGATGAATCCTACGTCTCAAATTTCTCTCGAGGAGGCATTCGCTCAGACTATGGTGCTTGCTATCCCGGCGTCGCAGGGCGTGGCATGGGCTGATCGCATCCCCGAGTATAATAAGATTTGGGTGTTGGTCTTTGAGCTGTCCCAGAGCCTGTCATGGGTCTTGACTGTTAATGACCAGGTTTTTTGTCAGGAGAGAATCTTGGAGGATAGTCCTGCGGGCTTGCCCGAGCAGCTGCCTGACACCAAGGTCTAGAGCGGGCACACTTGATGGACCTGGTGGTAGTTAGGGAATAGTCGAGTCGGCTTCACGAATGGGATTAATTTAAGGCTGATCTTGGAGGGAAAACGGGCTCTTCACTTCTCCGGTAGAATCACGAACAACTATCCAAATAAACCCGATCATGACTACCAACTATCCCGTCGCTCTCCCTTCTTCCACCACCTCCTCCCACTCACTCCACCGATCCCACGTCCAGACCTCCTCCACATGTTTCTCGAATACCGGCCGAATACCGCATAAGCCACTGCTACTAGAACACAAAACGCAATAACACCCATGGAAACACCCAGGCCAATCGATGCCGGTACACTAAGACCGCCTTGAGGCTGCGCTGTAATTGAGGGTAGTGCGGTGGGTGAAGACGGAGTTGCATCAGAAAAAGACGAAAGGGGAGTTGTTTGTAGACTGGAAGATGGGTCTGGAGGAGACGTTGTAGAAGTAGAAGTACTGGAAACTACTACGTATGGCTTGTCATCTCCAGGATCAGTAGCTGATGTTGTCGTTCCTACGTATACTGTCGATGGTATTATCGGGACAACATCTACCGATGTGGCTATCGGAAAGGTCTCCAAATCAGTTGGGATAGTAGGCGTCACATCCATGGTAGTCACGATCGTAGTCGCGGGTCCCATCGATATGATTATCGGAGTGTCGCCGCCGGTCTTCGTGGATGCCGACATTGTCCTCGAGATGGCTTGCCAGTTTTGTAATGTACTTAGGTAGTCTCGTGGCTATGAGAGAGGGGATGAGGGATGTGAAGTGGCGGTGACATGGTGTGGGATCGCGGGAGAGTAGTAGCGACAGAGTATTCAGTTGCTTGCTTGCTTGGGAAATGGAAGCGACATGCTATTTGCTTGGTGGTGTGACGGGTGAGTGTGCTGGCGTGGAGTAATTGGAGTCGCGTGGTGGTGGGTTGTTTGCTTGGTCGATATAGAACTGAATTTCCTATATGGATCAAAAGATGAGATAGATGTTTGGAGTTCACAAAGCGTCATAGGTATTTATATCTTGGCAGGAGCTGAATGTATCGCAAAGTCTACCTGGGTAGAAAGCCCAGGAGACAGTGGTTGGCAGCTGACATGCGCAAAGTTTAACACTACGTTCATTTGTAAAAGCCCAACTCTCGAATCTTTTACAACGCGCAAATCAACTAATTGGTCGTAGTAGTTCTTCTGTTTGCATCGGCCTGTTGTTGTTCGGGCAGTGCAGCGAGCTCGGTGCTGGACGTCCGACAAACACCGAACTCGGACGTCACCCTACAACATCCGAGCACTCATCAACCGTTTGTTTCAAGACATTCCTTTTGCATATACCCCACAGCTCCAGTCACGAAACTACATCATGTCAGCCTCGGACGACCTCACCAATCTTGCGACCCCGCCATCGTGCATTGCAGACTTTTGTCTTATCCCCCTGGGCACCCCCACAGCGTCGGTGTCCAAGGAAGTAGCCGAAGTGCAGCGGCTCCTCAAGAAAAGCGGTTTGGATTATTCGATGCATTCCGCGGGGACAACAGTTGGTATGGCACACACCCCACCTTCTGAATTCTGTACGCTTTCGCGTGCGAGCCAACCCTCTTCTCGGCCGGTATGCGGGCCTGGTGGCTTGGAGGGTGGAGGGGTATATGGAACATTCTTGAATGCGTATGCTAATTATGGCTAGAGGGCTCGTGGGACGATGTTATGCGGGTCATAGGACAATGCCATGCGATGCTGCATCAGAATGGGATTGTGAGGATTCAGAGTGATATTCGCGTGGGGAGCAGGACCGACAAGAAGCAAGGATTCAAGGACAAGGTCGACGCTGTAGAGAAGCTGCTCAAGGAGGATCAAGGCGCAGCGTTGTAATGGGCCGAGTATCGGGATGCGCGTGACAGGGTGAATGTGTGTGTTGTCTCAGTCGCCAGGTCATCCACGTGTACCAACCACCTGCGATAACGACAGATGCATGAAAACAAATTTCACGACTACAGATGATGTGCCCGCGCGCACGGCAGATCTGCCTGCCAAAGCTCGGGTGATGATGATTCAAACAATCGGCCGCTGCTATTATTGGGCCATTTCCTACTCGACGTCGTGGAGCTGCTGGGGTAGCTGGGCTATAGCGAAGATGGGGAAATTAGTACCTGACAGGCAAAACGGCAGCGATGGAAGCATATTGTGTTGACATGTGGCTAGGCGTAGGCCTTTTGAAACTTGTCGATCAAGGTCGCACTGGTGGCAGCGAATCACTCGCAGCGGGATGGTAGTCTGTAACGTAGACGTGCATACAACGGCTCCAGGCTCTTCACCGCCAGTCGCGATGTGAAGGTAGACTAAACCCGATGCGAGGCGCGGGTGTTGTCTGCGCACGGCCGAAGAGCGGTTGTGTAAAAAGTTGGCGGCAGGCGAGAAGCATCATCCTTGACGTCGGTACCTTTCACCCGGAAAATCCCCTCGAGTGCCGCATGTGCTCTGCCACTCACTCCACCACGACAATCCCATCTATACCTGCCCACACCGCCCGCAATATTCACTGCCCGCCCGTCACCCCGCCCATTCCGTCCGAAATACGCCCAACCCCCAGAATTGGCCTCGTGTGATCGCATGGCGAATGCACGCGACAGCAGCATCATCTGCCAATCCCCACCACCCGCGCGGTAACAACGTCGACGCTCCACGCATCGCTCCCTGAGCGCACCAACCCGCCATCATGGCTTTCAACTTCAACTGGTCGCCGCTGATAGCCGACACATCGAGGGCGCGCGACATGCTCACCACGGCCCTCAACAAGTCGCCCAAGCCGCCCATCATCGTCGACGACATCATCGTCACCGAGCTGAATCTCGGCACCACCCCGCCCGAGCTCGAGATACTAGAGATTGGAGATTTGGCTGAGGACCGGTTCAGGGGCATCTTCAAGATGTCGTATGCGGGCGACGCGTTTCTGACGCTCAAAACAAAGGTCCAGGCAAATCCGCTGAAAACCTATCTCTCCAACAAGCCAGACTTTGCGTCACCGCAGCCCCTGGCAGCGTCATCGGGCTTGACTATACCGTTGCAAATTACATTGTCTAATATTCGGCTGTCCGGTTTCGTCATCTTGGTCTTCTCCAAACAAAAGGGCTTGACGCTGGTCTTCAGGAACGACCCTCTGGATTCGCTCAAGGTCTCGTCGACGTTTGATTCAATCCCCTTTGTGCGCGACTACCTGCAAAAGGAGATTGAGGGCCAACTGCGTGTCTTGTTCATGGAAGATTTGCCAGCTATCATTCACAGGTTGTCACTACGCATGCTGTCGCCCGAATACCAAGAGATCGAAACAGAAGAGCGGCTAGAAAGCGCCAACGATACCACCGCAGCCATCGATCCCCTCGCATCGCCGCCACAAGACGCTGTCGATGCGTTCGGCAACCCACTAGACGAAGCGCAGATCTCGGCCTTGTCGCTCGACTCTGGCGAGATACACGCCTCTTTCTCCCAGAAGAACATCCTCCGCCTAGCCGCACTCTCCGAATCGCAACGAACCCTATCTCTCTTTACACCTGGCATTCGCGATGCTGTCTTCCGAGCGTGGGCCGGTCACCCAGATAGGCCCGAGTCTGGTGCTGCGACACCAGCACTCACACAAGGCAGTTTGTCAAGGATACAGTCGACGTTTGGCAGCCTCAAGTCTGGCGCCTCGTCGGTTGCATCTGGCAGCACAGGCAACGAGACGCTGAGCTCGCGACCCACCATGGCATCGGCGTACTCGACATCAGCGGGGCTCAGTCTTGGCTCAAGTCGCTCTCGCACTGGTGGCATGCGGAAACGGAAGAAGCGTGTTGTTGATCTACGCAAGAAGGACGGCGTCGACTCGGGCGTCTCCACAGGTGCCAACACACCGTTGCCAAGCGCATATGCCTCCGAGACATCGAGCGTCATACCAGAGGAAAGAGAGGCAGAGGAGGAACTCGCTACCCCACCAACGAGCCCCGCACAACCTGGTATGCGCTTCGAGAGTAGACGCGGCAGTCTGGACATCGGTACCCCGAAACGGATACCCGAAGAACCGCCTGCTTTTGGTCCTCTTCTCGCCCCTGCGCCAGTTCTCTCGGAGACATCCAAGCCCGCCAAATCGAAGCAAAAGACCCCACCGCCAGCTCACCTCGAAGACCCATTCATCTCCCACACCTCTTCCAGGCGTCCACCGTTGTCGCGCAATAAGCTACGCCAAGCACAGCAATCCACCTCGCCGCTCCTCCGCTCCCTGTCGTTTGACAAAGTCTCGTCGCTCTCCGCTCTCTGCTCGCCGCCGCGCACATCTTCCCCACCGAACGCTGACATCATGGCCAGCTCGGGCGGCATCCTCGAACAAGCATGGATGACGAAGATGGCGCAGGAGATTGCTCGCAAGGTCCAAGAAGAAAAGGACCGATCATCTCGGCGACCGTCACACACCAGGACAAAGACAGCACCCACAGGAGGCTTCTGGCAGAGCGATGATGAGATCGAAGCACCGCCCGCTTACGTTGCGTAAGCAATGATGAAGTTATGAGCCATGAAGATTTTCACAACGTATCGTCTTCGTACATATTAGTTCTTGCATGTTATTTTTGTCCATCACTTGTTTCTTTTGTTAATCATTCTGCTTGTTAGCATTGGCGTATCAGGACTGGGAAAAGCTCGTTGTCGTTGGATCAACTTGAGTATATAACTTAGGGGGGTTAGTGGGGCTCTAAACATAATGAGCGGTGCATAGAAGAGCGATGGAGACGAAAAGGCAAGCGCGATATGGCATCGTCGCTTTTACATACCAGACTACTAATCTCATTACCTGACGCGACGTATGCGTCGCTTAGAAGAGTATATATCGAATCATTCTCCTCTTCACAAGAGCATATCTGGTGTACTTGATGACTTTTTTTCTTTACTCTATTTCACACCTTCAAGGTCCTGGCACAGGAATAGCCCCAATCTGCACCATCAACCCAAAAATATCCGGTTGCCCCAACTCCTCCACGATCTTGCCATCTTCAAACCGGTAAATGTTCAGCGCCGTCATGCAGATGCTCTTTCCTGTTGGAGCGACACCCATAAAAGGTCCATTGTGTGTACCGCGCGTTTCAAACCGAGCTACGATCTTGTCGCCTTCGGCAATGGTTTCTTTGATCGTCCATTGGATGTCGGGGAAGGCGCTGCGCATCATGCCGAGGATTTGGAGGTAGCCTTCCAGGCCTGGAAAAAGTGAAGATCCGAAGTTAGTGTATGTCGGATGTATATGGAGTATATTTGAGACTTACCTTGAAGAGGGGGCCCGCCAAAGGGTACGTGGAAGGTAGCGGTGGGGGAGATGACTTCTTTGCCAATTGTTACGTCGCCACTGTTTATAAACTCCGTGAAGCGGGTTAGGTGGGGGAGGAGGGTGGACGACATTGTCTGTGGGGGTGGGTGGTTAGAACTGGTGGGAGATGAGAGAGGGTGAGGAAGGTTGTTACGTTGGTTTCAGGTGAGCAATTGATGGATTGAAGTATGCTGGATACAAGACGTTTCCAATATGGGACTACTCTATTTTCGAGATTATGGTTGTAGTAATAAAACATGTACAAGTGTGGCGAGCAACTCTTTACTTATATCACTGTTGTAGTGACCATCCGACACCGTCCGACTAAAAGCTGAATAATCGCCACCAAAGTTCCTTACCAAATCATACATCTGTATCGCCTATTAACCACCTAGTCAGTTACCGTCGGTTACTACCGGTTGATTTCGAGTGCTATGGGTCCCAATCGTGGAAGGTTCCCAGATTATCCTTAGAGCGTAACTCACGCCGCCATAGGGCCGACGACGGTCTAGCGTGGTAAGATCGAGAAAAAAATCGCATGTACTGATACGTGTATTGGTGAGAGATGACGAAGGCTGAGTCGTGTTGCTGTAGCAGAAGGTTATTGTGACGTTCGATACGGCACGAGGACCTGTAGGTACCTAGGTAGACGCGACGGCGACCGTTGTTGGATAATAGACCACCTGAGTACTACGCACGCGCATGTGAAGTTGCGATAACTTGAACAATAGTGGCTATACAATTGGAGCCTACCAATCTGAGCAGCGTCGGTGCTTTGCATGTGATGTTCGGATGTTGGGCCTTTCGGATGATGTGTCTTCGGATGGTGTACCACCGGATGTTGTGCTAAACGAAAACAAGGGAACGCTGATTCACCTAGAAATCGGACATCGAATTCACTGCGAAAGTGCAAAGGTTCTTTTACACCTGACAAGTCTTTAATGTCCACAAAAGATGGTATGAAGGAGGCTACAAGATAGGGTCTTGCGTAGTAACAGCTTGTATTTCTTAAGCTGTTTGATCAGATTGCTCTGTTCCCGAACGCTACCTAGATCACAGTGCCCCCGCCATTAGTTGAAGAGGGCAAGAGAAAAACTCGTGCAACTTATGCAATTGCAGGAGCTGAAGCAATATTGTCTTATCGGAAGTTTGACTTCAGACCTTAGACCTAGCAAACGCAGTACTTATTCGCATAATTCTAAGCCGGCGAGAAATGCAGGGGAAGCTTGTAGTAGTCCCATCCTTCTCACCATTAGCTAGGAAGGGCAAAAAATCATCTGTAACTCAGAATAATTCCTGAGTTAAAAACATACTGACTCATCGGAGGTTTGAACTCCGGACCTTCAGTGTCCTAACTGGTGGCTTTTGAGGGCCGTTGTTAGACTGACGTGATAACCAACTACACCAACGAGCCTTGCTTGATGATTTTCGGCCAAAGATGTCAGTAAACATACTGGTATAAAATTTGCACTTTTCGTGGTATATCTTTTACAAGACGCCACCACGAAGATGGAGAAATGTAATTTGATAGTCAGGCCGAAAAGCTAAGCATTATACGGTCAAAGTGGGGAATTACATGTCACTGAGCAGACGTGGTTGGGCCAGGAGCCGGCGCGATGTCCTCCACACCTTTACCCGAGCGGACAAGAACACCAAACTCCATGAAATACCATGATGATCACTACGTTTCCACTACAGCTAGATCTTGAAGATCAGCAAACCATGTCCAATCCTTACCATGATCCGCATACTATGGGATGACCTTGAGAACTGAAAAGCCCATGTCCGCTCACGACTTCGGCCCGATGTTAGCAATAACCGATGCCAACGTTGCCGTCCCCGCGTTTTGTTAAGGTGCCCACAATTCCCGACAGCTTCAAACACCGACACGACGCATTGCTTCGAGATGAGGCATGGAAGCAAATGCCCCACAACAGCCTGCTGGCGCGCAGGCGGCCACCAACCCGGATGAGGATGAAGCTTCGAAGATCAAGAGAACGCAGATTGCGTGTTTAAACTGCAGGAAGAGGAAGAGTCGGTGTTTGCTGTAAGTGGTTGATGGTTTCTTGTTTGTTTGCGCGTCGGCGTTTTGGAGCTCGCTTGGATTGAAGTTTGCACGTGGACAGCTTGTGTCGCGACGCCCAAATGCGCTCGAAGCGCTCGTGCATTGCATCTAGAGCTAACGTGGTGTTGCAGAGACTCCGACAACTCGATACCATGCCTCCGATGCAAGCGCGACAACCTCGAATGCGTGCTGGGCGGCAGCAACCGTGGCGGAAGACGCGAGCGAAAGAAGAAACGCGTCGATGAATCGCAGTCACAGTTAGAACCGCAATCGCAACAGCCACTCCCATCGCTGGCGAATACTGCACCCGAAGGAAGCTTTCACACGCTGGGAAATCTCGGTACAACATGGTCGCAAGACCCAGGCGTACAGCCCTTCGGCGAAGAGCTCCAAGCATCGCGTTCAGGCTCCTCGAACACCGATGAACTCCCCTTCTCAAATCTGCAGAACCCTTCGGATGCGCTGGGCATACTGGCGAGAGTTGCTGGGGAGTCGAGCTCGAATGACGAGATCAACGGGACGGGTAGAAACAACAGCATAGGACATGCACGAGGTTCTTCTCTCAGTATGCCTGCGCCGCTGTCCTTCTCGTACCCATTGTTAGACCGAGGAATACTCACCGTGCATTCTCTCTGCCAGCTGCTCGTACGCTTCCAACAGCAGTACCATCCATACTACCCGCTCGCCCCAGCGCACGCCTTCGAAACATCGCGTCTATCCGACATGGTGAACAACGAGAAACACCTCCTTACAGCCATCCTCCTCATCGCTTCCAAAGACCTCGTCGACGAACCGCACATCTACGAAGCCTGTTCCGAACACATGAAGAGCCTTGTCTCGACGTTAGCAGCAGGAGGCGATGCTGGTATTGAGGCAGTAGAAGCTCTGCTTCTGCTCGCTGAGTGGGCGCCGTATACGCAGCGTGGCTCTGGCAAGGTTGGCAAGGGAGAGGAGGACAAGGAGAGTTGGATGCATGTTGGTCTTGCTCTAAGGATCGCGTACTTCCTTGCCCTCGATCGGTACTCATTCCGCTTCGTGGATCAGGGCAAGGATCCGGACCATCATCGCAAGCGCCTCATTTGGACGGCGGCATATGTGTCTGACCGCCATATCAGCATCAGAATCGGGAAGGCGTTCTGGTCCCGTGGACCTGGACCGCTAACAACGCTACGAAGAGAGGATTACCCATCGTTAATTCCCAAAAGCCCGAACGAAGAGGACCATGCTTCTATCTTCCAGGCGAATCTCGAACTCACGCAACTCTTCAGCAATGTACACGATACCTTGTATTCGAACCCTAGCTCAAGCTTTCGATCGCAGATGAGTGGCAGCTACATCAAATTCATCGACGATTTCCGGTCAGCGATATACGGGTGGAAGAGCGTATGGGGCACGTTGACATGCTCTCCACCGCTCAAAGCATGCCTACTCATGTCATACGACTACCTGCGTCTCTACACCAACGCCTTCGCCTTTCAAGCGACCGTCCTGCGCGCACTACCCTCTTCATCCACATCGACCGACCCCGTAGTTGGCACACCAGCCACCATGGCAAACGGCCGCATGCAAGTCCCCCAGCGCGTCTTTGTAAACAATGTGGGCGCAGTAGGCGACGCGCGATTCATATACGAAGGCCTCGACGCCGCAAAAGCCATCCTTACGACCGTCAACAACTTTGTCGACCCAGAGCGCTCCCTCCGCTTCATGCCATTGAGATACTACCTCTACCTCGTCTACGCCGGCGTCTTCCTCTACCGCGCACGCTGCACAGGCGTCATAAGCGCAGACGAAGACCGCGCCATCCGCGCCATGATCAACGAAACCGTCGCGCGCCTCGAGCGCAGCGCCGTAGGAGCCGGCGCTGGTATACAGCACCCTGGATCCCGCTACTCACAACTCCTCAAGCTCCTCTGGGCGAAAGTGCCGAAGAAAGACAAAGCGAGCCGCTCGTCTTTCCGCCATCCGGGCACGCATATTGCTAGTAACCCGGTTGATCAGAATGGGTTTCCTCAACATCCCATTGTGGGGGCGAGTCCGCAGGCGAGTAGTAACGGGACGGGGGAGAGCCCGGCGCTTACGGAGCAGATGGGCGATTTTGGGTGGACGGACTTGGGCGCTGTTAATGAGTTCGCGGTGGGTGGTGGTGGGGGGAATGCGCCGGCGGATGATGCGGCGTTATGGAATGGGTTTTTGCCGCTGGATATGGGATGGAATGCTCAGGGGCTTGGGTTTGAGGGTATGGGCTTTGATTCTAATGAGCTGGGGATGTTGTTCTAGTTGAGGCGTCGTGGTCGTTGTAAGGCGGATGATTGTATACCATGAATTCTAGGTGCTTATAAAGAACAGCTAGTCCTATACCGACACATTGTTCAATATCTCTGTAAACCCAACCAGCGAAGTCTGCTCTTCGAGGGTCCAAGTTCTCATTCGTACGGAACGTCATTAGGGTATTCATCGGCGGGGATTCGTGCCATTATGTGAGAAAGCTAGGCTAGGCTACTTGTACGTACAGGCGATATACCTTGCGTACCACAAAAGAGCTGCGAAGATAGCCGGCCAATATCTCCATATCTCATGTCATCTCGTCCATCATGGAAGTAATATACAAATGTCGTATGCAAGAAAGAAAGAAAAGAAGATCCGTAATTAAACGTATGCTAGTGACGCAAAATCGTGCTCCCGCTGTCCGTGATTAATCACGCGCGCCGTGCTCACTTGCGCTTCCCGGCCTTCGATCGTGTCGTGGGCCGGGATGGAGCGGCTTTGGCTTGACTTGCTGCTGTGGGCGCATCGAAAGACCGTGTTGCCTTCTTCTTGAGCACCTTTGTAGAGCCTTCGATGCTGGGCTCGTCTTCTGCCTTCCGCTTAAGAGAGGACTTGTTTGTATTGGTCTCAGCGACGCGAACGCTGCGTTTGAGGTCGGATGAAGGCGGTGACGGAGGCTGTTGTGCGGTTCCGTCCATCGTGTCGTCTTCTTCTCCCGCAGGGGTCTCTTCGTTCTTCCCGTTGCGCTGTTGGGCTACCCACGAGAGAAGCTTTTCTTCTGCTTCTGCGTCGTCTTCATCCTCTTCCCCTCCTAGCATTGCATCTGCCATCTCGCCTGCAATATCGTCACCCGCGTCTTTGTCTGTTGCCATGCGCATAGCGAACTCGAGCAGCTGTTGGGGATCCATACCGCTCAGCGGTCCGCCAGCAGCAGCAAGCTGCCTTTGTAAAGCTGCCAATAGCGCTTCCTGTGGTATGCCATCTGCTCCTTGGTCCATGCTGTCGTCGCCTTCATCGTCGCCATCGTCCTCGTCGTCGTAAGGAGGCGATGCAGGCTCTGTAACGAAGGCCATCTTTCCCTTTGCTTTGCTCGTCCGTGTTGATAGCGCTCCCGGTGAGCTTGGTGGTGAGCCTTTCGCCCAGTCTGGTATGTCTGCGAGCTTCTCCCTCCAATTCTTGAACAACGCATATGGCTGCGCATTGTCATCGAGAGTCTTGGGCTTGATTCCGCGGCTCGCCTGTGAACGCCAAACTATAGGCGAATGTCCCAGTGGTGTTGTCTCTGTTTGTGTGCTCACGCTCTCCTTGGCCAATCTCTTCTTGGCTGGTGCGCTCCTCACTGCCCGCTTCCTCTTCAGGCCTGCTTTGGCGCCCTTGACATCAAGCGCTTGAAACTTGATATCGTCGTAGCCGTCTGACGCGTACTCGAGGTCGTTGAAGTAGTCGAAGCGGTCCCAGTCGTCCTCCATGTCCTCGTCGCCGCATGTTGCTGGTGGTGGTGAGGCGACAGCGTGCTCTGCGAGGTCGTCGGCGGCCATATATTCGTCTTCGACGTAGAAGAAGTCACCTTCATAGTCATCGTAGTCATCGTCGTAATCGCTCATGGTGTGTGGGCTCGACGGTCGTGTATGCGATCACATGCGCTAAGTGCGGTCGAGGATGTCGTTTGCAATGCGATGCGCAACCGTGTAGTGTCGTGGCGTGACAGGTATGGTGATGAGAGAGGTGACGACTTGATTGCGCTTCTGTGTGGTTGGGGCGTAGGCGTCGAGTCGAGGTCGCGCAGCCGGGGTGAGTAAGGGTGTGAGGGTATGACGCGGGCGTGCAGAGCACTCGTCCCTGAGCGCACGGAGGTCATCAGCGCAACCGCGAGCCGCCAGTTCGAGGGAGTCGAGACCAGCGGAGAGAAGACAACTCGGCATGTGTGACTGCCCGTGCCACTTCAGAGGCTGCCTTATGCTCCTTCCCTATCGAGGGGCCCAAGATGCAACTTCCGCAATTGTTTGCTACAGTAAACACGAAGCGCGCCTTCCCCGCGAACGGCTCCACGCGGCTTAACAGCACCGAGGCTTCCCCAAACTTCCTTCCGCCATGCCACACACAAGGTACTTTTGTAGTTGTTCAATCAATCTTTTTGCTTCATATACCCATTTGTGACCATGCGTGCCTTCAGAAAGTCTACTCACCTCTCGCGCCAGCTTCTTGCTACCAATGGCGTCCGCTACAACTCTACCATCGCGCCAGCTGCCAAACCGCTTACCTCTGTGCTCATAGCGAATCGCGGAGAGATTGCACTGTGAGGTTCCTGACAGAAAACCACAACTTCAGAACTAACGCGATTCTAGACGAGTCGGAAGAACAGCCTCGGAATACGGCATCAAAACTACGACCCTCTTCACCGACCCAGATGCTCGATCGCAACATGCGCTGAGCTCGCCCTACGCCGTGAACCTTGGAGACCCTTCCGCATATCTTGATGGAGACCGTATAATACAAATCGCGAAAGAGCAGGGCTGTCAAGGCATACACCCGGGCTATGGCTTTGTATGAGCTTCTATGGATGACGCAGTGGAGTAAGGCTAACAGGACGACAGCTGAGCGAGAACCCTACGTTTGCAAGAAAATGTACAGACGCTGGTCTCACATTCATCGGACCACCATGGCAAGCGATCGAGTCTATGGGCAGCAAGAGGTAGGCGATCAGCGTATACTGCAGCCATCGTAACTAACAAATAAAAGTGAGTCGAAAGACATCATGACCAAAGCTGGTGTTCCCTGCATCCCAGGCTACCACGGATCCGAACAAGACCCAGAATACCTCAAAGAGCAGGCCGCGAGCATCGGCTACCCCGTACTCCTCAAAGCCGTCAAGGGCGGCGGCGGCAAAGGCATGCGAATCGTCAACACCGAAGCCGAGTTCTTCGACCAACTCGCGTCGGCAAAGTCAGAGGCGCGGAACTCTTTCGGCGATGAAGTCATGCTAGTGGAGAAGTACATCACCACGCCTCGCCACATCGAAGTCCAGGTCTTCGCCGACAAGCACGGTAACTGCGTTGCGCTTGGAGAGAGGGACTGCAGCATACAACGCCGGCATCAGAAGATTCTCGAAGAGTCGCCAGCACCGCATCTGGATGAGGCCATCAGGCAGGACATCTGGGAGAAGGCGAGACAGGCTGCGCTTGCAGTGGGGTACGAAGGAGCTGGCACAGTCGAGTTCATCTTTGACAACGAGACGGGTGAATTCTTCTTCATGGAGATGAACACAAGGCTACAGGTCGAGCACCCTGTCACAGAAATGGTGACTGGTGAGGACCTTGTGAGATGGCAACTTATTGTTGCTGAGGGTGGAAAGCTACCTCTTACCCAACAGGAGATTGAACAGAGGATCAAGGAGAGGGGTCATGCCATCGAAGCACGCATCTACGCCGAGAACCCAGACATGAACTTCATTCCCGACTCTGGTCTTTTGCTTCACCTGAAGACGCCAGTACCCACGTCCACCGTTCGCATCGACTCTGGTTTCATTGCTGGCGACGAAGTATCCTCTCACTACGACCCCATGATCTCCAAACTCATCGTCCAAGGCCCTACACGCGAGGCTGCGATCCAGAAGCTACGAGCCGCCCTAGAAGAGTACGAAGTTGCGGGCCCTATAACAAACATCGAGTTCATCAAGCGCATGTGTGTATCCCCAGACTTTGTCGCTGGCGATGTGGAAACGGGATACATCCAAAAGCACCACGCCGAGCTCTTCACACCCGAGGCCCCAGCATCAGAAGTCTACGCACAAGCCGCCCTTGGCCTTGCGCTGCAAGAGATCTCAGCGTCAAGAGGAGATGTATGGACCGGACCACCTGTCACGGCAGTGGGATTCGGTTTCAGCAGCTCATACCAGCAGCGCGAGTTCAACCTCATCGAGACCCCCGCTGACGGCAAGGGCGAAGCCACAGCAACAAAAGTTAGCATCCGGCAAACCAGCCCCCAGCAATTCGACATCAGCGTCGGCGACAAGACATATAGCAACGTCACATCGACCTTTTCTCCTTCCAACAACACACTCACATCTTTCTATCCCCACACCCGCCTAGCAACAACCTTCATCCGCGACGAAGACCGCCTCACCCTCTTTCACCTCGGTCGCCAATACCGTCTCAAGCTCGCCATGCCAGAGTGGACAAAGAAAGCTCTAGGCGTCAAAGATGTGGCAAACAGCGTCCTCGCGCCCATGCCGTGCAAGGTCCTCAGAGTGGAAGTTGAAGAGGGTCAGGAGGTCAAGAAGGACCAGGCGCTTGTTGTTATCGAGAGCATGAAGATGGAGACTGTGATCAGGAGTCCAAGTCATGGTGTGGTCAAGCGCATTGTTCATGGCAAGGGCGATTTGTGTAAGGCAGGGACCGCGTTGGTGGAGTTCGAGGAGCCGGAGGGGGAGGCAAAAGAGTGATTTTGATTCCAGAAAAGAAAAAAGCCGGGTTGTATATATGAGCGCCAAAATATTAGGATTTACGAATTACGATGCTCAATTTATGGTTGGGTGTTGAGAGGGAATTATTTTTCCAATGTCATGGTTATCGCGACAGCTGAAAACCATTGCGAGATCAATAATCAAACGCCACGACCACGAAGCTTGATATAGCATCACAAAACGGTTCAACGATCATCATAACATGCACTGACTCATAGTGTTGTTCAAAAACTCCTCTTGCGGCCTATTGTTGCGCTTTGATATTTAACTGCATTAAAGCGGCTTCAACCATCTGTACAAATACCCCGACACAATTTCACTCACGCAATGTATAGTCAAGGCCCGGGAGGCTTGTGCAACGCAATATTAGCAGAGAATACAACGAACAGTGTCGGCAGATACCAATTTCACACCCGCATTCTGAATTGTAGGTTTCTAGGTCTCTCTACAGAGCAGTTCACGAGAAGATGAAGAACAAGAGGCATCTACGCAGCAAGTAAACCAACATGGCATTGGAAGTCTGTAACAAGCTAGTAAGTTGTTTGTACGTATGCTCGACATGTTTCTATTCAATATTTGCAGTCTACACCATAGAAAGAGATGCCATAAGACGGACAACCTCTCACTTGGTCTCGCACATTGTCGTGCGCACACAATCGAGAAGTCTGTCTCTTCTACGTGCCAATGTCAACACAGCGACAAGGGAGGCGCTGTTTAAACAGAATACGACTTGATCGTCCACCCGTGCTATGTGAGAGATATCACAGCTACCTCCCAAACCAAAGGCAGCTACATACACCATTTGTGTAGATCACTCTGCAGCGCTCTCAGCTCGATTCTCATCTCATCAGAGAGACTATGATACTGTCGCGTGGTGTGAGCCTCTCCATGGTTATCGTATGCCTCCTTGTTCAGGTATCCACGTCATGTCCGTCTAATCAAGGTATAGAGCTCGGTGGCGCAGTTGCACTGACATCGATGGTAGGCGCGAGGGGATCGTGGAAGACGAACGAGTAGGTTGCCGGACGTAAACGGGGTCACGGTAAGGTATATAGAGTGAACTCAATAGTATGACGTGCTCTCTGGTAAATATGTGAGTGTGGTATAGCAGATGTAGATGTAGAAGTGCTGAGACCGCAAGATCAGGATGATCTGATCTTGCTTGCAGTTCTTCGAAGCGCACCGGATCTCCCACTCGTACTGACTGTAGGCATAGGGCCGTGATGGGACAGCTGCTTTGGTATCCGGCTGGAGAAAATGCTACACAGAACAAGAGTAGTGACTAGGGAGACGTGGCCTCAACCTCAGTAAACAGAGGGTTGTCCTCTAAGCAGGATACGTCCTTGTACGTCAACAGCTGGCACAGCTGATACTCATCACCTCTGATCAAGGCATCGTTGTGCGGAGCATCTCAAGACCCAGTGCGGATCAGATGGGCACTTACTGGGCCTCCCTTCCGCCCTGGATTCAGCGATCAGTCATCGATCCTGAGAAGCATTGTATGGGGAAGCCCTCCGCGGCCCACATTTAGCTGACACTCAGCAAGTCTGATCTTCACCAGGTCTGGCGAGACCACAAAAGGTTCGCGGAGCCGGTCATGGCTGCACACATCAGCTGTTCATCATCGAATCTGTAACGGGGCGATGAGGCCGACGACAGTCATGACGAGGCTTCCCCTCCAGTGCATCGCAATGCAGTCCGTGACTTCGAAACGCCCAAGGCAGTAACTCCCCCACCTCAACACTGCAGTAGTCTGTGGCGAAGAGAGTTTCCAACCAAGGTATTTTAGTTATCTCTGGTGCCGTGCTTGCGGTTTACTACCCTTGCTCATCCTGTGACTGGTCGAAGGCGCAAGTTGGGCTTGCTTCAGAACAAGTTGCCTTGGGCCACTGACAATCCCGGTAGTTGGCCTCCCTTGCTCCTTCCGTGGACCAGGAACATCCTGTTAGCAAAATCGACCAACGGGATGACTGCCAGCTCATCTATGTTCCCCGCACACTTGCGTTTCGCTTCACGCCTCACTTGCTTTTGAGCAGTCGTTACGAGGCCTGGATCCATCTCGGATCAAGGCGGACGGTTAGAACAACGGCAGCTTGATGCTGATCTTGGGTAGCAATGTCATGTATAGTAAGCCGCAGTGTGACGCGTCAATAGGTGGGCCGATAGGGTAAAGAGTGTTGAGATCTGGTGAGGACTACACTACAGTGTATGTTGGGGTTTGACTGTACCGACTGTGAGGGTCGATGATGAGATGGTTTGAGCCGTTAAAGGTTATCAAGCTGCACAGGTGGTTGGGAGCGGTCATGGTGTTGTCAGTCAAAATCAGGCAATCACTGACGACTACTCTTCCGATTCATCGTCCAGAATGGAGTAAGCGGATCGAGTATCTCGAAACGTTCAAACTTCATGCGGCGCAATGCGAGTGTTCCAACCCGGGGCATTCCTCCGCTGCGCATGTTAAGAGTGGCACACCGATTGTTGTTGTCAAAGAGGACGTTTTCATCGGCACGCGCATGCGACGTGCTATTAATCAGAAAACCTTGATTTTAAGCCTGATGCGTTCCCACCAACGGCATTCCAGAAGGGTGTTGCTGCTTGTAGAGACTGAACTGTGACATCTTTGACTGGCAAGATGCTCCCAGCGCGACAACCGGACCATAAATGCCAGGTCGTACGACCAGGTTGAAACAAGACGAGGGAGCCCGGGCAACCAGATTCTAGGTGAAATACAAGGCTGTTGGCGAGAGATGTTAGCCTCGATCGTTTGAGTTTGGAGGCACCCGGCTGTCAATGCGGGACGCGATCTTGAAACGCCAGTGTGAGCATCTTCTCGAACATGTCAACGTTTCATGAGATCTCGGTATCTTCGAACCGACAATTGCATCGCATACACCATAACCATGCGCTATGCGTCAGCTCGCAGGTCTTTGCATGTTCCGAAGGCGCAGAAGTATCAGCGGTTCGTTATGCTCCCAAAGCTATCTTGAGTGACGAAATGTCTGTGTAAGTTTCGGGGCTGCTGTACTAGGTTCTATGTCGCGGAACCAGTCCTTTGGGATTCTTCGAGTCCGATCTGCTGTTACACGCTACACGTGGCGCATGGGGATGTAGTTCCGGTTCTCGTTTGTGGTTGCGTTCAGCGCTCTGGATGTGCAATGCGCAGCAGGGAGAAGGACGTGAAGAAGATGCACCCAAAAGGAGGCTGAGCTCGGCGCTTTGTTCATTTCACGTGCACTGGACAAGCTTACGGAGGAGATTGCAGATCGTGATCAGTTGGTACTGCCATCAATCGATACTCGGTCGCGCCGAGATGAATTGACAAAGGCCCTCCAGTCAGGCTTGAAATGACGATATTGGAAACTGCGCATGAACAGAGCAAGCGTACATGCAGTTGCAAGGCTGTTGCGTCAAAGCCACTGACTCGAGTTCGCGAAAAAGCATGGAGCATTGGGCGAGCACAATGGTCACCGCTTTATTCTAGAAGGCCGCTAGAAGGATGCTAAGATCGTGAAACGCGTACCAGGGCCAATTACAAGTCGTACTTCGACTGGAGTACGCACACAGCTCCAGTTAGGCAAGCCTCAAAGTTATTTTTTTCTGCAGCGTAAGGCGGACTGCTTCTGACAGAAGGGCCGATTTCGTATGGTCCCAATCTCTAATGCAATGCATCTCATGCAGTGCTAATTCTAGCACCGAATATGGATGCACGTACTGATGCTTTGCAAGAGCAATCTCTCGACCAGCTTGTGGACCGACAACTCATGTACGGGTATCGTGAGCCAAATCGGCACCAGTGACGATGTCATGTAAGATCCGGAAGAAGTTGACCATATGACCGAGCGCATTTCAGCCGAGATAGAGCCAGCAGTACGCACCCGCATGATATTGACAACCCAGCCACCAAGAATTGCACCGAGAAGGCCATCTCCTGATACTTTGCCAAGCGCATATCAAGAAGGCTCGGTTGTGGGTCGGATATGGAACTGGCTGTTTCTATTCCAGTCACGCGCTTCGGAAGAATGTATTGTAGAATGAAACCAGACGCGTCATTAAATCAATGTGTTACATGCTGCTTCGAAAATAGCGATTGCTGTACATAGACCGCGGGATCACACAGTCCCTAGATGTGTATGTTGTTGTGGCTTCTCCACCGAGAATAACGAAGGGGCTGGGCCTCGATGGCTGATAAGCCGAGGCGGCCAATTCGCAGTAGTGTGGTAGCTTGATGCAGTGCATCGGGAGCTAGCGCTGACTGACATCATGGAAAACCGCGGTTAACGTGATGCTGCATCCATCAGCCCATGTCGAATCCTTTCCACAAGTGTCCGCTCGAATCAGTGCCGCCGCAAGGCCTGGTGAGAACAGGGAAAGGACGGGAGACCGGCCGGACCTTGTTGCAGCTCGATGATATCGACTGGGATGGCACGGGTCACTCCGTCTCATGATAAAAGCCGGCAGAAGGAGAGTACTACTTGAACCAATGAGAAGAAAGCTGTCGCCTGTCAGAAATGCCGCTTATGCAGTAACGTTCGCAAGTGAAGGCTCGGCTGGAGAAATAGCGATTTCAAAGCAGGACGAGAAGGTCTAGTCCTTCGCTCCCAAATTGCGAAACAAGTGGCACTGCGGCATCTTGGGCGCGTACTCGTGTTCGGCACAATGCTTGCCTCAAGCCCACTCATGATATACCCCGGGAAACAGATGTCGGAAAGACACCCAAGCTGCACAACGACCCTCAAGGGATGCGGGAAGCAAGGTCGAGGGGGCCTGGAGATCTTCCAATCGGGTGGGTGACTGGAGCTCGTATCGCCAGCGTCAAGATCTTATCGCACAATCTGATAGACATTTCTGCATCGCAGTTTTGAATGTGACTGATATCTGCCGATAGAGTTGCAATAAGCAAATGCAGGTCTAGGCCCATTACAGCTGCCTAGCCTCTTTCACACGACAGCTGCCGCGAGCGGAGAAAACTTGACAATGTAAAAATGCTCGATGTGATGGGGCTCACCTGCCGATCGCTCCCCGGTCAGTCAACAAGCAGAGAACCTTCGATAGATGAGCTATGGGGGCATGCGACCGCACTTCGCATATCGTGGAAGCTTTATGTGACGTTATTTCCAGGCGTAAGATCACGAACCGGGAACATGCGGTAGTGGCAGCGGTGGTGTGCAGCATCATCCAGTGTGCAGTGCTGATGGTGGGCGAGAGACTTGCGGGACGAGTCGGATCCATGTACGGTAGCGTCGCGCACCTTGTCCCTTGTGATCGTCGACCGTTGATGCCCAGGCATGTATCCCTGCTTCCCGCGAGTGGACAACGGTGTGCAACATATGGTTGGCCAAACCGATCGCCTGTCAACCAAATAACCGTACGCGAGGGCAGCAACCATGACGCCCTCGCGATATTGGGCGTGACAAAGCTTTCTTGTTTAACGGGCATCATGGAAGCGACAACGCGAACGGAGTTGGAGGCTGTTGTAGAACCTGGCGACAGGCGACGCGCAAGAATGTCGACGAGCCACCCCAGCTGACCTTGGCCGACACGCACGTCGCCGTCAGCCGTGTTTGCACCACGTTGCGGAGACACACAGCTAATGATTACATATGGGTGGAGTGAGAAGAGCAACCCGATGTAACACGGCATCGCTTTCGCTGACAAGATCGACATGGCTATGTCCACATCTTGTGCAACTAGTGCAAGCGTGGCTAATCGTCAAAGCGTGAAGAGGCGCCGCCTGAGGGTGTTCAGGATGAGTTCGGCTTGCACAAAGTTGGCAGTGAAGATTCTGAATTGCCAAATGCGCAGTAGATGCGCATACTGACGGTAGGAGACTGACTGCGTGCGGCCTTGTGCGCTGCGACTTGGGCGGCGAAGGCAGTCAACAAGTGCTGTGTTGTATCGAAATGTAGCGGGCGGCGTCAGAATAGAGTTGATGGTCGCTCGGTACCTGACCTATCTCCCTTGTCGTGAACAAGGCCAGCAAGCGTGCTCCCAGGGTTTCTCCGCAATGCGAACGCCTCGCTCGGAACTTTTACAAGCCCAGGTCCCATGCCACGATCGTGACAGGGAGGGTATTGCTCACAACATGGAACGGCGCGCTGTTTCCAACGCGATCTTGTCGAAGCCTGGCAGCGAGACATGTCGAACAGAACAAGAGTATCTGAGTTGGTCGCGTCTCGTGTTTCAGTGTGCATGTGATACTCGAGTACAAGCGCGTAGAAGCAGGCTTGAGACGTCCGAGAAGGGAACGGCATTACAGCATTGAATTGACGCCGGAAGCGATGGAGCAAATGCACCGAGACGGCTGCAGACGTGTATTGCTATCGCGATGGGCTAAGCGGCTATTCGCCCGGATGTTGTTGCGGAGTTTATCGACGCGGGTTGCTGGCGTTGAGCATGATGGCAATTAAACTGGGAATAGCCACACGTTCAATTGGATCGCGGGGCTGACTGGCGCATTGAAGGCGGTCCTGCCACGATGCGGCCCCTGAAGCAGCAGTTTTGTTCGGTGGCATGGCTCCGCAGAGGTTGCGAACCCGACGTCCCAGGGCCGATCAGCGGCGATTTGAGCAGGCAGCCCATGACCCGTTTCCCGAGAAGCATCTCCGTGTGGCAGCATCAGGCATGGCGGTGCCGATCAGCCCTCGATGGCGATTGGAGGCTGCGGGCGTGCATCGGCCAGTCACAGCGGGCGACGTTGGGGGCACAAAGAGACATGCTGGTGAGCCGTTTTGGGCGTCTGCTCACCGGCGCCACGGACCAATGGCGTGCGAGGCGGCGGGGCGCTGGGCTGGGTGGTGCAACTGCTAAAACGGTCGACTAGCGGCGGTGAATTGGACTCGAAGGACGCGTCAGAGCAGTGGCGGGCGGAGCACATTGTGACCTGGGCGAGATGATATGGCAGAAGTAGCAGGTGGCATCGTGTGCGAGCTATAGCAGGCCGGATTAAGACGCCATGGGTGTGAGGGAGGTACCGCGGGGTCGCGACTGCCATCTCCTGGATTTAGCCGAGTGAGCATGCGATGGGGGCAGGCGCGATGACGGCAGCTGCTGCTATCAGTCTCTCACGTCGCGAAGGAACCGCTAGCACGCCTGTCTTTTGCTCTGGGCAGCAAGCCCCCACCCGGCCGAAAACCTGACCGTCACGTGCTCCACCGGACGCGACAGCGGGCAGCAAGACGACGCGCCTTAGCCATCAAACAGCAGCTTCATCCTCGCAGCAGCACCCACCCACCGCGACGACATCGCCATCGACCAGGGCTATTCCGCCGGCGATCCCTGATCCCGGCCCCTTCGCATCCGCGGCTTGGGCGCTCGAAACAGCTGCTCCGTCCGAGCGTGCAGCAGAGCAGGGAGGTGGCTGTTCCAGGTTGATTTAACGACCGACTCCACCCTCGGCCCTCCCACCGCCTTTGCAGACTCTCCTCGCTGCCTTTCCCTAGACGTCGCTAGCGCCACCTGCTCTGCGCGTGAAATTGCGCAGGCCACGCTACTGCATCGCTCCCCAACCCTCGTCCACCGCTGCGCCCGGACCCTCGCTGCCCGGATCCTTCGACGTCTACCACCGCGCAATAATAACAATGTCGCAGCCAAAAATCCCAGATAGGGCCCGCAAGTATAAGGAAGACCCGGCGCCTGTAGCGTCGCAAAAGATGGTGAGTTGCCTCTGCTTCCTTGCACCCCCTACCACGCCCGTCCGACCACCTGCATCATCCCATACACTCGCTACCCTCCGCTCGCTCCCACCTTGATCGGCCCTGCCGCACCCTCGACCGTTGGAGTTTCGTCGTGCGCGTCGCAAAACCCTTCCCTAAACCCGTCACCGCCGCTGGTAGCTTCATCCTCGCGCTTTTTGCATGCTGCAGCAGCCACTGCACGTCGCGGCCACACACAACGAGTTACCCCAGCTCCGGCGCGTCTCTGCCTACATGGTATGCCCTTCCCGCCAAGCAGCCCTGCTACCCAAAACCCGCCTCCCCTGTCGCACTTGCCAAAGCTTTCCTTGTCTCCTCTGAAGCCAGTCCAAGCCTCTTGTCACGCAGCCTACCAGCAGCGGAATCCCTGCCATCCTAGCAGCCTTCCGCTCCCACCGCTGGTCCGCTCTGTGTTGTCAACGTTGCGAAGTGCCGCCCTGCTTTCTTTAGTCTGCCCTTCCCATCCTATAAACTATACCCTACCGTCCTGTCTTTTTCCAGACCCTGCCCCTCGCCTACCACGCTGCTGCTGCACATCCGTCGCTACACCCTAGCCGCCCAGCCAACCACAGCGACCCGCACCCCCACCTCTCACCTTGCTTGCACTCCCTGCCCCGATCACCACCACAGCTCGTCAGGTCGACGCTTGCTTTTTTATCTTTTGTTTGCCCCCAGCAGCCTTACTGACTGGCTGTCTTCTTAGCATCATCCCCACTCGGCTCAGGGCTTGCCACCGCCTAGTCACCTTCCTGTTCACCACCCTAGGCCTGGTGTAGTCCATCAACAACATCAACACCAGCACCATCCCGACTCTCCCCACCAGTCAGTGCCTTCTCAGAGTCCTGCACAGGGCCACTACCCATCACCACAACACCCAAACCCTCAGGGTCCTCCGCAGCACCAATCGCCTTACATCCAGCAAATCCAAGGCCCCCCACCGCCGCAACAGCAACAAGAGGTTCCCTATTACTCCCAGCACCACCAGAGCCCTTACAGCACCAACAGTGCGCCGAGTAACTACTCATCCTCAGGTATGTTTTGTTTTTGTGTACACAAATCACGACGCGTTTGTCTATGCGCCCAGCGCATTAATGACGCCTCGACTTGGATGCCCCAGTCGTATATCCCCCGTGCGCAAAATGGAATTCTAACATTTCTCAGAAACCCCAGAGCTCATGGCGGCCGCAACAATGAACCGGGGCGGATATCCTCCGATCTCATACCACACCCCGCAGTCAAACTCACCAGCATCTGTTCAGTCTCCACAGCACGACCAGCACGGCCGGCCAATCTATGGACAACCGCCCAGCCAGATGCCTCAGTCAATGTACTACACTCCCTATGCTTCGGCGCCAGTTCCCCAACAGTCACCATACCAGCAGCATCCTTCGAGCGCCCCACAGCAACCAATGGCGACGCAATCGCTGCTCATGTCTCACCAGCAAAACCAGCAGATGCAGCATCAACAACAACAGCATCAGCAGCACCATCCTCAAACCCCAGGAATGACGGGAAGCCCCAAGTCGCGCATGTCGCAGACGCCACTTCAACGGCCACCGTCAGGACTCGGCCCGCCTCAAGCTCCGCCTCAAGGCCCTCCCGTTGGTACCCCCAACATGCACGCTGGCCCTCCCGGAGGACCCAACGTCAACCCTAATGCCGCGCCTGGTCCCATTCCTGCTACCACTCCCCTTGTTGTGCGACAAGACCAGAACGGTGTGCAATGGATCGCGTTTGAGTACTCTCGGGACAGGGTCAAGATGGAGTACACCATCCGCTGCGACGTCGAGTCCATCAATGTTGACGAGCTCCCGCAAGACTTCAAGACCGAGAACTGTGTGTACCCCCGCGCTTGCTGTGCCAAGGACCAATACAAGGGCAACCGCCTTCACTACGAGACCGAATGCAACACCGTCGGCTGGGCGCTAGCGCAGTTGAACCCCTGCCTGCGCGGAAAGCGTGGTCTTATCCAGCGCGCCGTCGACAGCTGGAGGAACAGCAACCAAGACCCTCGACTAAGGAGCCGACGCGTGCGCAGAATGGCCAAGATGACCACAAGGAAAGCCCAATCGGCTAACCATGGTAACCACATGGCTGGACCAGGTGGACCAGGTGCTCCTGGTGTTCCCAACTCTGCCGGATTAGCAGCACCGCCCCGACAACCGAACATGGGCATGGGCGGCCCTCAGATGCACCATCACCATGATGGACCTGGAGGGCCCCACGGAGGACCGGATGACGTTAGCGGTATGTTTCACCAGATGTGATGTGATAAGGCGCAATTGTTGTTGGTTGTTAAATGATACCTCTGTCGTTCTTTCTCCATGTACATTACATACTCCTTGATGTAATACCCCTTCGATACCACTGCCCCATGCATGCTTGCATATATACCCACCCCATAGTTACACATGTTTTTGGTTCAGCGCAGAACGGCAAGTAGAGACATGTTCGGACGTGCAAGCTAACTCTCTTTGTGTACAGCCAATGAATACGGTGAATCACACACACACCATCACCAAGCGCCAAACGGTCAATCATCATCACCTACCGACGGGCGACCTGCTCAGAGCTTCTACCCGAATTACCCATCGAGCGACTCCGTCGCAGGCTCCAGCGGCATGCCGCCGATCCACGATAGCCTGAGCCACCCTCCGCCTCCATCACACGCGGCGGGTGTTCCGGTTTCAAAGCAGCAAGAGCAAGATGAAGAAGAGCGAAAGCTAGCCATGTTTGGCGACTTACCTGACTCGAAGCGCCGCAAATTCATACTTGTGGACGACGCGCAACGAGGAACTAGGGTTCGCGTGCGAGTTACTCTCGACACGGTCAAGATGGAGGAGATGCCCGACTCTTACCGCAAGTCCAACTCGGTATTCCCTCGTAGCTACTTTGCTATGCAAATGACTTCTCCACCTGCCAGTCCTCGTGGCAGCAAGGTTTTTGCTGATGAGCCGGACGTTGAGAACGACCCTAGCTTCCCTCTGGCTGGTTCTACTGTTGTGCCTGTTCCTACGCTGGATGGCGAGACTCGTGTGCCGAAGCCGCGTCTTACTCGTGCGAAGCGGTCGAAGGAGATTACGCTCAACGATCTTGGGTACCGTATGAGTTGGAGCCAGAGTCGTGTTTTCGCAGGAAGGACATTGTTTCTGCAAAAGTCTCGTAAGTCAATGGCTCAGTGCAAAGAAGAATTATTTACTAACCTTGTCAACAGTTGATGCCTACCGCAACAAAATGAGAAGCAGCATGATGGGCCAAGGTCAAGATGTGACCCAAGTAGCCCCACATTTCGAGACTCGTGTTGGAAAGAGGCGGTGGAACGAGAGAATCGAGAAGAGTAAGAAGGCGAGGCGCGATGGCTCTCCTTAAGAAGTCCCAGGCCACATGCTCCAAACGGATGCCCTGGTTGCAGGCAGCCGCCCCGTTGACCCACTTTCTCGGCACTTGCAGGGAGCCCCTACGAACGACCGGGGTTGACAACCCTTTTCGACTCGGCACCAAATCCTTTGCGACAGGCCCGGCTGTTGCTTACACCCATGTTTCATCATGGCTGTATTAGGTTTCAGACTGTAGTCGTTCATCTGCCGATGACTGCTTCTCTCTCTTTTTGATACATCTCGACCACCCACCACCGTCTTGATACCCGTCGGCAAGTTATGATCTCTTGCGACATTCTCGGTCGGTTTTCGGTCTGTTCTTTCCTGTCTGTTTATAGCGTGTTGAGCGATCATCTTTCTGCGAATGGGCTTTGGCGCCTACGGTAAAAAGAGGCATAGAAGCATTGAAAAGCATGACTCAGGACGCTGTCTATGGCATGAGGAAGGAGTCTTGTCGGTTATGATTGCGTCTTCGGATATGTTTATATTGCGCATGTTTTGTGGGTATTCGGTAGATGGGCTAGTTGTTGCTACCCTGGACATATAATAGACACTTCAAAAACAAACATGCAGTCTGATATTAAGTGAAACTTTGGAAGTCTCTTACAGCTCGGCAAAACTACAGCCTCAATTGCCCTCCTCCAAACCTTGGAAGAGGCGTTTTGTGTATCATCGAGAGAGACCCGGAGGATGCATCCTAGATGCGGCCAGCTGACCAGTTCGCCCGCGATCCTTCAAAGCACCGAACGAGAAGAGAACCCACATGAACCACTCACCGGCCACTCACGATCACTTACAGCGGCACGTCACGCAAGCCTTTCCATGTATGCTCGACGTGATATTGTCCGAGACAAATAAATCACGTCGATAGTCGTTCGGTCGGCCAACACTCCCCTAGGGACATCCCTCCCCCATACGTTCGCAAAGCGGAAGGCGGACAGGTGACAGGCCGGGAGAGCCTGGTCTCGCGTGGCTGAATACCACTCATGTCTACGCGTTGCGTGCCTGGTGCCTGACTACTCAGCTCAGGCACAAGGATGATTTGCTTTTCAGAGTGGGTAAGGTGTGGGTAGTAAGTAAGGGGCGAGGGGTGGCGCGCAACAAGGCAGGGTATCAAAGAAGACCAGGCACACGACTGCAACGCAATGCAATGTTGTGCGACGCGACGCTACGCGACGGTTTTCGGGGGGTGTGGTAGAACAGGCTGATTGCGGTTTAGATGCGATTGCCGGAACGGTTGGCCGTTGGGGACCGAAATTGCCCATGCATGTGGCATGTGGTACGCGAGACGAGGTACGCGCGGAAAGGACCCCAACCCAACACCCCCCGAAAGTCTAAAACGGTAAAACCGTTACGAACCTAGGCGTAGTCGGAAAAGGCACCCCCCCTCCGTCTTGCCAAAGCAACAAAAAAACTCTCCGAGGTTGCAGCGATGGTGCTTGGAGGGGATGTGACCGTAGGCGGGATATGCCTAGTTGGCTTGTCAAAACTAAACCAGAGATGGGCTGACATTTTGTCGCTGTTCGCGCTGACGGGACTTCCAAGGCTCTTGGTATACTCGTGTGTGAAACATGTGCTTTTCTCCGTCTTCGCACTCTACTTGCAACATTTTCCCTTTCTAATCGACGCCTCTTGTCCCGTCTCGCAGTAACTTCGATTGATTCTCCGCCACCGCAATTCTGCGACTATCGAACCTCCATCGAGGCGCGAGCTGTCCCGTCCCACCCGCGGCCGCCCCAATGCTAATACTAAGAAGAACCGAACTCCCAAGGCCTTACTCCACTGCTAGAAAACGAACTAGCTGATCCGAACCAACTATTTGCTCAGCTAGTAGCTACTCCACTTCCGTAAAAAAAACTCCGGGCACCTAATGCCAGCCAGTCATAAGTGGTAAAGCTATAGTCCGCACTAGCAGCATGTGACGTTAATGTTCGGCGCGACTTGCCAAACCGTTGAACCATTAGCACCGCACCGTTTTACTTCATCGTTCATGCTCGTTTCCCCGTCTTGGCTGTCGTGTTTGCGATGGTTGACTCGTCATTCCTTAGACGCACGGAGCGCCGTTGATGAATGAGGCTGGCCGGTCGCGTGAGCGAACGAGCTAGTCCTGGTGGATATAGCTCGTTGTGGGGCAAAAGCTTTGCGGGCTACTATTGACACCGGTAGGGCGTTTGCTACTGTATATGAGACTTTTCGACGCGTCGAGATCAGGTTTTATGGAGGCGTCTACTTGGTGGCTGCTGTCATGCGCTTAGGAGGGTGGGGTTGTAGGTGCGTGAACGGGTTCTGAACTAGTTATGTTGGGTCTGGCCGATTCGGTGCTTTCATAAGCTGCAGCGCATCGTCATCTCCCTGTATGCAGTCTATGGTGATCTGGATGCATTTACTGTGAGTAAGCCGTGAGTGAGTTGGCTGGCTCGGGGCTATCGGTTTCGCCTTCACGCAAGAGGCATTTGACATATTCGACAGGCTAGAGTATGATACGGTACGAAACTCTGCACCGGATTCTCGTTATCACTAGCTAAGCAAGAACTTGATGAAGTTTTTGAGAAATGATACGAGTGTAGCTAGTGCGAAGCATATCGCGACTTCATGCGAAGAGACGAAGATACAGATACTTCGATACGTCCTGCTCTTCAAGAGATATCTCCACTGCCAAACGCTCTTGCGATATGGGTATCTCATTCAAGTCCCATCCTACAGGTTACAGCTTGCGAGCACTGTTCATGGCATCAGTTCTGTACTTCTCACCTCATCGTCTTTCTTGCACGCCACCCACTCCGCCCAGCCACACCATGCTCCGGCATCTCAACTGCGCTCACTACACGTGCGCGACTGCCACCTTCCGTCCTTCTTAATTTCATAAGCCTCTGCTGCTCTTCCGTCAGTCTTAGTATCTCTCGATCCGTATCATGCAGGATAATGCCGTTGATGACGCTGTACTTACTGATATCCGGGTCGTTGTAGTCGTCCGAGTCGTCTATTACTACGGGTCGAGCAGCGCGAGACTTGGCAAGATACCTGTCGCCATTGAAGCGAGAGTCTGTCCAAGAATTCCACCCAGGACCGTGTTTTGGTGATGTGATCTCGGAGTCAGAAATGTCGGCCAGCATTTGTACGTCCTCTACAGCGTTACTAGCGGTACTAGGAGCGGGTGTGATTGACATGGTTCGCATACCACCTCTGACTTGCTCGAAGACCCCAGCTTCAGATGCTGCTTCCTCGCGCTCGTTCGCTTCTTCGATAGCAATGTTGGTCTGCGCTTGTAACTCGGCTTCGCTGAGCTGAGTAATCTTTGCAGTCGCATCAAGCTTGGCTTTTCGAGGTGAGCGCGATGCGGTTGCTACTTGAGTCTTCAACGTGATGACCTTGGACTCCTGAGACGCAGGTGTCGGTGTTGATGGTGTAGTCGGCTGAGGCTTTCTGGTGGGCGCACGCGGCGGAGTGGTCGGTAATGCGACGGCAGTCTGGCTGTTGACCTTGGGTACGGGTATCTGCGATTTCGTGAAGCCGAAGACGTTCTTACCCTTGTTGTACACACCTTTCGAGGCTAAAGCTGGTGGGAGTGGTGGAGGCAATCTAGCCTTCTTGGTCGCTGGCCTAGCTATCTGCTTCTTCACATTCTTAAGCGCCTTGTCCGTCAGAACAGGGGACCCGGGCTCTTCGTCATCGGATGGTGGAGCATAGTCACTCTCCTCATCACTGCTGATGTCAACCACTTTTCGCTTGCGTCTGCTCGCACAAGAAGAGAAAGAAGTATGCGATGCGACTGATGTATCACGTTGACTTTGCGAGACACTCGAGGCGCAATAAGCGGGTGCAGAAGGAGAAGTCTGTGACCCAGCTCGAACACCCCTAACAACAGCGATGCTTTCTTTAGTGGCACTGGCTGGGAGGAAGGGCTTCCTGAAGCTGGGGGTTCTGGGAGTGGTAGGAGTACGAGGGCTATCTTGAGGCGAGGGAAGCATGTAGGGAGTGTACAGCTGTGGCTTTGTCGGGGCTATGTATATGTTAGCTGAGTTACTATAAGAATGGAAGACAGTATAGCTTACTACGCGGGGCTTCATGCATCAACATGTCAATATCATTCGAATCCGAATTACGATGATTGCTCTGCACGCTTTCTGTCGCAGGATTCGTGACGGAATCAGAACCAAACGTCTCTCTGAGTCCAAGATCTTGTGAAATTTCAAGTGAGCCATTCAAGAAGTAGGCTGGACCCTTCGCTTGTATAGTTCTGTGGTCGCCTCGCGGAAGGCCGTGGAACGCTGATTCCTGTAACATCGATGACTGGCCTAGTTGGTGGCCTACACCTCGTTGCGATTGAGACTTGTCTGGCTGGTGGTCTTGAGAGAGCCTCGAAGGAGCGAAACCGCTCGTCGGATGTACGCCCTGTGAAGCAGAGATTGTGGGGGTAGCCCACGGAGAGGAAGCCGATAATGGTCTATCTCCAAGAGTCCATGCCTTTCCTTGACGAGTATCTGGCATGCGAGACACATTCGCCCAGTCGCCAAAGTCCACTGCCCGGGCCGGGCTCGGCTGTGTACTAAGAGTAGCTACTGGTGCATGCTGAGATGTGACAGAGTTCGAGACGTGCACGCCGGGAGTGTTGCTTGTGGATACTGCAGGCGACTGTGTATATATATGTTGGGACTGTTGAGCAAAGACGCTGTGTTCACGCTTGAACTTTTCCGCCTTCGTCGTACCCTACACCAATCAGTCTTATGGCAAGAATGATGTTACCGTTTGCCAGCTTACTGCGTTTCCACTTTTGTCAAACAAGTCGGGAGGGTCTTTCGCGATAGGTTCTTGCCCAGCTATCTGCAAAGTAGGCTTCTCCTTGACCAACACTATTTCATCGTCATCGTCGTCGGAACAAAGATCGATGATTGCGACGGCGGCGTTCTTGTTCCTCGAACCTGCGGCTGGTGTGGTCGTGTTGCTTGCTGGCTTAGGTATGGGTGGTGCTTTTGACCTTGGCGCTGGCGTCTTCTTGATAGCAGGAGTAGCCTTTGGTGTTGCAGCAGCTTCACGGCGATTTGCTTGACTCTGCACACCTGTCTTAGACCTGGCAGTCTTGTTACCCAGCTTTTTCGTCGCCCCCTTGTTTAATGCTGCCTTTGCCTTATTCCAGAACTCTTCCTCTTCTCTCTTATGCTTTGCGAGAATGATAGCTCGCTCTTTGTTGACGTTGGCCTGAAACTTGGCATATGACTCCGTTGCGTGTCGCTGGAAGCCTTGGAGTTCAGCGTCGTGCTTCTCGCGGAAAGCGAGCCACTGTTTGTCTGCAGGGCTGAGGTCGGCCGGTTTCGATGCCATGCTAAGGGTTGCAACGCGCCAATATCAAGATAAAAGATGTTGAATGCTGTGAGGTAAGAGGGTTGGTTGTGGTCCAGAGAAGGTGGGTAGATGGAGTGGTGATAGACCAAGTGGGACAAGGTGAAGGTGAGTGAGAGATTTGTGCGATTACAAACGGGACCAAGGTAAAGGCACAACTCATGGTGACCACAGATTTGACAATGCGAAAGTAAAGTAAGACTTCGCTATTCATGGCGTAGGCTTGCAGGTAAAGTGGCTTGCAAATTAGGTAAACAGGCCACCGAGATACAAACGACAACCATCCGCCTTTGAGCTAGCAGCTGTACGTGGCCAAGCATGATACATAGAGAGGAATCTAGCGGCGCTCAAGCCTGACATACTACATTGGTCCAGTGGGGAGCTTCACTGGAGATGGCGTGCGCAACGAAAATCTTATCGTATTGGCTCTCAAACATTGATCCTCCTGTTCTCGACTACCATGATCCGGACAAGCCCGATCTCGACTTCGACCAGATCGCCTCATAGCCTCGCAAGTATTAGAAGCTATGCGCGTGCTGAGTGGACAGGCATGAAATTAGCTCAGAAACTCCCGTTCTGATTGCCTTCATTGTCTCAGGTTTGCGCCGCAGCGAAGGACAGCTGAGACATTTCAGCAGTTGTTTGGTCGAGACTCTCGAGTTGATGGTCGTAATGATCCGAATTGTTCTTGTGCCGTCCAGCGTGCCCCCGGGTATAAAATGGGTCTTCGCGCTTGTCGTCGTCCCCAGTCTTGAATGGGTAATTCCGTGATGCTTTCTCTCCCTTCATAGATACTTCTTTGCCGCGGTCGCAACCCTCTGCCTAAACACCGGGCTCTTGATGACTTCGCCGTTGCCCACAGCAAAGAATGGATTCATGATAGTCTTAACCCATGCCTCGTATACATCGACCATGAAGTTCTTGACAGCCTCTTCCGTGGCTGGGCTACTAGGGTTGTACAGACCAGCACCTCCTCCTAATGCAGCTCTCCCTCCAGCCAGACTTCCTCTCGCGCCTCCAGCACCTCCACTTGTCAGCCCCAGACTTTCGTCGCGTGGTCTTGTGAGCAGAAGGAAGCGTGTATTGCCGCCGGTAATCCAGCACGACACGAAGCAATTCTGGTATTTGTCGATGTGCTTAAGGTACATGGGCGCGGAACCACTGGACGTAGAGGGGCCCCATTGAACTTCTTCAACTATATCGAGGGACGAGTGTAGGATGAACGGGACAAGGGCGCGTTCGGCGGGGGTATAGTTCGCGACACCTGTGCCGCCGCTGCGTGAGGTACCGAAGTCGTGCGTGAAGAGAGGGACATCGAGTGGCGATAGGATGGAGAACGTGTACGACATAGTGAGGTATGAGGTGGTAGGTCTGTATACGTGTGGAGTGTTTGGCGTGCGCTGCGTGGCCCAGGTGGAGATGCGTGATCTAGCCTAGTGCAGTCTTTCAGACTCTTACTGATGTCGAAAACAAAGGCGCCAGGATTCGTAATTCGTATAGTCGTGGGTATAGCTTCGGAGTTTAGCTGTGCAACGTGTGGGGTGTGTCGACGAGCTTCCCCACGCTAATCGGCATGTCTGCCAAGAAAGTCCGCGGGAGTGCCTTTCGAAGAATATCGCGACTTCCATTGCGCAGCCCAGCATCGCCAACCCCAGCACGTCACCATGTTTGGTCCTTTCCGCCTCACAAACCCGCTATCCGGCGGCCTGTTATGGTGCGACTCTCTACATTTCCCGAATCATCGACCCCGCGCAATTGCTCGTCGTCGCCATCGCATTTTCCGCTCCGATGCACCTTCCACTGTCCACGACTCGATATCGGGAAGTCCATGCTGACAAAGCTATAGGAAGATACCATGGCGACTATCCAGACATCAGAAGTACAGGCATCGCGAGCGCCTACGGCACGTCGACACCGTGGTCGGCACACTCGACACCGCACTACGACGCATGGGACAAAGTATGAAGAAGGTGGAGCGCTGGAAGATGGAGATGCCAACCGAAGCGGAGATGCTGCCCAAGGACAAATACACCGTCTTCGACCGTAAGGTGAAGAGGTATCGGAAGGGAATACACAGTAAGTTGCATACTTCAAGTGCATCGGGACAAAGTTTGGTGGAGGCAGAAGGAAAACCAGAAACACTCGTGGTAGGGTACATCCTAAAGTTGCGGTAGCTGACAGTTCACAGAGGTGCCAAAGTGGACAAGAGTCAGTCAACGACTCAACCCTCCAGGTTTCTAGATGGACCGCACGAGGAACGACGGTCGCGTGCGTGTATACCATGTATCATCATACAATTTGCATCAGATACGGCGCTATGGGAAGGAAACAATACAAAATTCTCAAATCTGCACTGGAATCATATGTTTCTTGAGTGAACACATTAATCTGCATCATTAGCGAGTTCGGTATCCCCTTGCGTACATATCTGTCATCCACGCTATCGCAGACACTCGTCCATTTTTCCATGCTCTACCACCCTCTAGACTATAGTTTTTTTCAAAAGTCGCCAACTATGTCAACATCACCTGCATTATACAATCTGACCGCAATACAAACACTTGAGCTGCTCAAAACAAACACCAATGTGGTCCCACGCCGGCCCTGGTACTATACATGCCATGCAGAAAACAGCCACGATACTGTAAAATCATGGCATTCGGGTCGAAGAGGCGTCACTACCGGACGATTTCGGTGATGTAGACACTCTAACGCGCTCTCAAAACGCAATCATTGAGGCTGAGGCCGCACCCGCTTTCCTGGAAGAATACCGGTTGGATAAGGACGGTTTGGACATTTCGATTCGGCGTCTGATAAAGAACCATTCCGGACACGGTGATGAAGAGAGAAAGATAACTCTGGATAACTACGCACATCTGCGTACGGTATTCGTTGCGATAGCGGCGCAGTGTTCTGTCATCATTGCACCGAGTATTGTAGATGAGGCGCCGGTGGGGCTTGGTGATATGGGAAGTCCGGTGTTTGGTACGATGTGGACGGTAAGTCAATTCAACGTTGGTAGTAGATGGAGCTGGTTAAACATTGTCCAGGGTCTGCATGTGCCTGTGATACATGTACCTGCTTTCGTGGGGATCAATGGCATGCCTGTTGGCGTTTCTCTGATTGCGGGGGGGAGGACGAGATGGGCATCTTCTTCGGGTTAATAGAGTTCTTGGGGAGGTTCTTATGGCTGAGGGCGGTTGGCAGCCGAGGGCTTCGGATCTTGATCCGTGCTAGGAAGGCGGTTGTGGAACAGTGAGATGAAAACATGCTATACGGTTGCACATCATGCACAGTTGAGAATGATGGACACCCATAGACCAGTTGGTAGCGGATGAAGTTTACGGGGCAGTAATGCAGGTGAATAGAGTAACAATGAGCAGCGTGAGATTTGCACTAAGATACTGAGACCTGGCTGGCTATCTAGCTAGCCAGCCGAAAAAGTGACTGACGTCCCTTCTAGACCTTCCAGCAAAAGTGAATGCATAATGAAAAGGATGTGCAGCAATTACACTCTTGCACCCATAACAACACAAGACACCGACCGACAACCCCGCAAAACTAAGCAGTCTGCGTGCCCGCGTCAACACCTCCAGCATCTACCGCAGCAGTAGCAGCAGACGAAGACTGAACCGGTGCTTTCCTCTCCCCAAAATTATGTAACCTTTCTCCAATAAGGTAGACCTCATCTCTGACCACCAGTCTCCACCTCACAAGCAGCCTGACAACCGCCGACGAAGCCCACATAACTACCAAAGCAAGTCCTACAGCCGGGAAGCTGAAGCGCCAGAGTAAGTTCTTCTTCGCTTCACTCGCACCGCGGTACAGCGTTCGACTCGTGACAAACGCCAGGCTGGATGGCATGGCAATGGCGACGAGGAAGAGTGCCAGCACGGGGACAAGGAAACAGCGTGTCGCAATCTTAGCGTTGGGGTAGAGCCAGCCATCTCTGATGACAGCTTTGAACGCGCGTGCAGGACGTGAATTGCGGTTTGCGAAGACGAGGCGCGCAGCAAGGCGAGAGTATAAGAAGCCGAGGGTCCAGTCTTGAATGACATGGACGACGTGGGGTTCCTTGGGACCGAGGTAGGCATGCAGGGGCATGAGGAAATAGAGTTCTAGGAGGACGGCGAAGAGGAAGGGGATGGCGAAGATGAGCGTTGCCCAGACGTATGAGAAGCGGAGGGCCCGGCCGGCGACGCGCGAAGTTGTTGCTGCAATGGTGTGAAGTGTGGACATTGGGTCGGGTATCGAGCGGTTGAGGGATGAGATGAATTTAAAAGCGTGGTAGACGGAGTAGCCGATGCTGGCTAGAGTGTAAACACCGAGAGAGAAGGCGTGGATGTCGTTCATCTCGACGGTTGGTGGGAGGAAGAGCGAGAAGAGGTAGCGGCCAAAGATGAGAGGTAGGATCGTTACGCTCACTCCTGACAAACCCATGAAGATCCATATCGTCACGATGAAGCAGAGAATGCGCACGCGGAACCACGGCGGGATGAACACCATTGACACGAGATCGGAATTGTGTACTCCACCTTCGTTCTCTCCGTCTTTGCGCACATTGTCACGGTCGACTTCGACGAAGACAGGTTGGCCCTTGGGGATGCGAGCTTGATCGGAAGCTGGTGCACGAACGTACCGGCCATCGTCGCCTTCTTGCGCAGGGATTTTGTCGCCAAAGAGGAAGTTGGACAGGCGGAGGAATCCAGCGCACTTCTGGAAGCACCATTTGTAGATGGCATGCAGACCCTCGCTAGGCTTGTAAAATTTGATGATGACGGGCGTGAGGAAGTTGTAGAAGAGAAGGTCGAGCGGAAACTCCAGTGATGGTGCTTCGGTAGTCCAGTGGATTGGTAGGACGTTGGTAGTAGCGCGGCTCAAGGTCCATACGACACCACCGAGGCACACAATAACGAGTGCTCCATACACAAGAGCGCTGAAGGCGATCTTGCGAAGTTGAGTCGTGACGCTACGTTCTAGGACGTCCCGGACAGGATGGAAGGTCGGATCATCTGGGTCGCGGATGAAGTACAGTACACCCTTGCGCATGATCTTGCGGCACATGGACACAAAGAGCGCGAAGTGGAACATGTAGCAAGTGCCGATAAACCAGTGTACGAATCCAGATGTCCATGGACTCTCTCTCGCGAACTGCCACCGGTTGTACAGCGTAGCGTTCTGGAATAGTGGGAGCATGGCCAAGTCGAGAAGTAGCCCGCAGTACAGCGGGAATGCCAACATCTCAATACTAATAATAAGGATAACCTTGAGCACACCTCCGGCTTGTTGTAGAATGTCAGAGAGAATCCGTTCAATCCTTTGTCCTTGCTGTGATGAGCTGAAAGGGGTGCCGCGCCTGAGATATATCGCGCCAAGGAAGGCGAAGAATCCATAGCCAGCAAGTATTGCAATCAAGCGGTCGCTTGCCGTCCATCGCTCCAATGCAGTGTATGCTGCAGCGGTATTGCTGTTCGAGTCCAGATTAAAGGTGATCTTGTACGACTTGGCCGTCCAAAGCCATGAGAGTAGAGAGCTGCACTGGCCGTAGGTAGTCGTAGAGATATCTTGAACCAGCGAGGGAAGGCTTCCAAGGACTCTCAACACAAGCTTGGGCGGCGAGTCTGCTGAAATCTCCTCGATGATAGCATTTGCAAAGCTGCTTGTTTCATTGAGCGCAAATGAAGTCGTGTTCTGCAGGCTTCTTAGTGAAGCGTGTGCGTTGAGCGTGAATTGGGTGTAGCTGGGCTGAGACGATAGCGGGGAATCCATGAACATTTTTCCAATACGAACCATAGCACTCTCTGCAAGGGAGTATGCTGGCGTAGATACTGTACGGAGTGGACCGTCTATGGCCTGGGACAGTTTCCCCAAAGAACACAGCTTGACCAGACTGGAGATGGCGTAGGAACCCCAGTACGTCGTACCAGCTACGACGAAGAGCGTGACGTCGACTATGAAGTCCGTCACTGCAGCGACCACCTGAAGAGGAACTTTGAGTAGTTCAAGAGGACTTCCCACTAATATGATGACGAATTTGCCCCAGAGATAAGGAACCCAGACAGCGCACGCCAGTGTGCAGGTGATCAGCACAGCGCTGAACAAGGCATTCTGGAAAAGACCGACAATAGGTCCTTGCATACCAATGAGCTCAAGTATACCTTCAAGGTCTTCGGCGTCTTCAATTGCTTCCTGGTCGTTGACATCTATGCCAGCTTGTGCGGCGGCGGCAGCAACGTCAGGGTCTTGGGGCGCGGCATTGCCATGATCCCGCGGCTCGTTCCCTAGGAAGGGCACAAACGGCGCTTCGTCTGCCAGATCGCGCACGATATGCTCATCGTTGCCTCCTTCTTCGGCAGGTTGAGCCATCGGCGCTATGTCTCCAAACATCCAGTCCAGCACTTGGTTGACTGGATTTTGTGGAAGTTGAGGCGCTACTGGTTGTGCGTTGGCTGGAGCCGCAGGCTGCTCGTCCGGGTTTTGCTGACCCACTTCAGAATGTTCCTGTTCTTCACGGATGGTCGAGTCTCGGTCAGGCTGGCTACTGCTGTTGTCAACTTCAATCGTAGTATCGACCGTAATTGAGTTGTCTAGATTAGTAGAACTGCTTCGTGCGGAAGACGTTGACTCATGTAGATTATCTTCCGCACTAGCGTCGACAGCCTTAGCTTTACCCTTGTCGTAAACATGATCTCCTTCCAGCGCTTGGTCGGAGTCATCTTCTACAGCCTCAGGGACTTGCTGCCAGCTTCCACTGCTGTGCTCGCTACCCGGTTCGTGGTCCGATGCAGCCTCGGGCTCTTGGTCGGCTCTTCGCTGTGCCTTGTCGTCGTCTTCCCACGATTCGGGTACGTTTTCAGCACTATACCCGTTCGAAGCTGACGATTGTGGTACGTTCTCGAACGACCATGTATTACCCTCCTCTAGGCCACGACGAATCTCTGTCGCGATGAAGGATCTATCGCGTGCTGGCATGTTGGGTCTGTGTGAAGATGAAGATGACTCGGAACCTTCAGCGTCTGGTGCTACGCCTGGAGGTTGGTGGAGCGACGAGGTTCTTGCAGGGAAGATTGAGCTGCTGGCCTCACCATCTTCCATTATTGCCCGCTCGATAGCCGCATTGAAGCTTTGGGATGGGACACCATCGGTGTAGGCATTCAGGAGATCATCCGATTGCATCATTGAAGTCAAGTCGCCTGAAAGACCTTCGCGTACTATATTGCGAACAAGCTCGTCGCGTTCTCGGCGGAGCGAGGAAGACCGGCGAACGCGGCGTATCGTAGGTTCGGCAGCCTCGGGCTCATCATTCTCGCGAGTGAAGTCTTCAGGGGCGATTGGCTCGTTCTGCTCAGCATTTTGAGGTTCATGAGCCTCTTCCACATCCGCGGCCTCCCCAGCCACTTCGGCATCCAGGGCATCTAGAGCATCGTCCAGCTCACCCTCATCAACAACGACGTTGTCAACGAGAGCCTCTTCTTCTATGATGGCAGCTCTCTGCGCAGCAGCGTTGTCACCAAGAGCAACCATGTTGATGACGGGTTGTTGCTGGACCACCCACTCACGGATCAGGAAGACAAGGATGAACGCTACAACAACCAGTAGAGTGATGATCTGCCCCTCTATCACGTCAACAATAAAGCGATTGGCGCTTTGAGACTGGAACCAGTTGAAGAAGGGGACATCGGAGAGTAGCGACGGACTGCGAATGCCGAGATGGTCTGAGGTGGTATTGGAAACGGTGCCGTTCTTGTGGACAACAGAAACGTGTGTAGTTATTCTGTCGGCTTGTGTAAGCTGGGAAAAGGGGTATGGAACCCCGAAGAAGACACGTTTGGCATAGGTCCAGAGGATGGACTCGCTAGCCGTGGAATTGTTTGGAGTATACGTTATCTTCATGGGCCCGACGGTACTTGCCACATGCACAGTCGAGTTGCTGCTCTTGGCGGTATCGAGTGCGGAGCGTATCAAGTCAATATCGCTGGGGGCCAATACCCTCCGCGTCTCGGGCACTACAGACGTCTCAGGTATGTTGGTGAACATTTCTTGTGACCAGCCACCATCGCCGACCCAGAACAGGCTGCGCCATACCACGCGCATGCACCAGGGCAGTAGGAACAGCCATACGGCGCCCACCAGGACCCCTCGGCACCAGGTTGCGAACATGTTGAGAACGTGGAGAGCGGCGCGACGTACGAAGACGGTCGTGGGTATGCGATTCGGCATACCGGGATGGTATAGTTTGGTGAAGCGGAAGGATGTCTTGCACAGCTCGCAGTGCTTCTTCTGGGTGTGGGACAGCCATTCCATCAGGCATTCTTGGTGGACGTATTTGATGCTACCACTGCACTTGCAAGGAAAGAACAGAGGCTCCTCGGTTGTGCCTTCCCCGCGACATATCCGGCAGGTATCGGCTTCGTCCTTGTCCATGGCTCGCTCGTCGGAAGTCTGGGGCACGTCGTCGTGCGCAGAGGCATCTTCAAATAGCCCCGCAGTGAGGGGCTCAGCATCGGTTGCCATGGTGGAGAGGAATTAAAAGTATACACGTGGTAAGAGGTGGGTTGTATCGAATCGGAAGATATGGTTCGGGTTCGGGCAGATGCCGCACAAGTCGACCTCAAGTAGGCATCGGAATCGCAGCGAGGGAGCGGCGTGAAGAGGACGGGTCGTACAGTGCTGCGCGATGAAGTGCAATGCAGGGAATCAGAGAAGTGAATAGGTCTGGGGAAAGCGCAGAAGGGTCGATGCGGCCGGAACCGTGGTTGCGTGTAACAGCTCTGGAGACGGAAGTAGTGATGTCGCCGCCGCCAGACAGTCTCGGTCTTGGCAGTCGAGCACCCCGGGCCCCTGGCAGAGCGATGGCAACCTAGTCACTTAGTGCACGTGTAAGGACAATTAATTGTTTAGTCCGGTACCTGGGACAGACGATCGGATTTGCACATGCACGGCGTGTCTTCGGTGCTTGATCAGCGTCACAGGGTCCTACAGCACGGGTGAAGGCATCCAACCCTACATGAGACGACGCGAACCGCAGGGGCAGCCTGAGGCACTCCAAATGTCTGGGAAATCGAGACAGGCAGTCTCTATTTCTTCTGTCATATCTCTCGCCCTATCGCGTAATTTCTGCGCTCTCTACCGCTCCTAGGCGCCCTATCGCATGTCCAAACCTTGATCTTGCTATCGTGTTCCCGCGTCCGCACGTGCAATTACATCACTGGTGCAGCTCGGTTGTCGTCCCCCCAGCGCTAACAGACAAGTTACTTTGAGCAGCCATCGCCATTATTCAAGAGACATCAACAATCCAGACGCTACCGCCTGTCGCTGATTTTTGTACGCAGCCAGACCCTTACTTGCTGCGGCAGTACCACTAATACGCACACGCAGAAGCTGGTCAGCCACACAGCGTCACCGCTTCATCGCCCACCACACGCGAGCATGGCCGCCCAGGCCAACGGAAGGGCGAACAAGTCCAAACAAAATGGCAGCCTCAACGGGTCCGCCAATGGCACCGCCAACAGCCACGCAGAAAAGACGCAGCTCACCTCGCGGTCGGCACGCTCGCGGAAGCCCAGGCGGAGTCTCGTGGGTTCCTTCACGAGCATGATTGCGAGACTCTCCACGTGGTATCTCATCGTCACCTTCCTGTTCCGGTGTCCCACATCGCTCCACCAGCTCAACCACGACTCCCCACGCGTATGCAAACCCTACTTGCAGACCAGGTCCTTCGCAACGCCCTATCTCGACCCCTACTACGAGACCTACGTCGCCCCGCAGATCGAAAAGGTCAAGCCCTACACCACGCCCATCACAACATTCGCTCAGGAGAACTACGCAACCTACGGCGCACACAGAGTTGAGCATGCCAGGAAATACGCAGAGGCCCAGTACGAGAAATCTGTCCAGCCCCAGCTGCAGAATGCCCAAAAGCAAATCAAGGGCCAGTACGACGTGTACCTAGGCCCTCATGTCAAGAAGGCGACTGATGCTGCTGCCCCGTACTACAACGACCTCAGGACGAGCTCCGAAGAGATCTACCACCTCACGCTGCTCCCGGCCTACGAACGCTCCAAGCCGTACCTCCAACAGGGTCACGCCTATGGTCACCACGTTCTCGTCGATATCGTCTATCCCCATGTCCACACCGCAAAGGATGCCACCTGGGCCTTCCTTCTCCGCACTGTATGGCCCCAGCTTCGCGTACTATACGGAGACAACGTCGAGCCCCAGTTGGTCCGTATCTCTGAGCGTCTAGGCCGCTACAGGGACCAGCAGAAGATCGAGTCTGTCGCCTCTGCCGTCGATGCTGAGACAAGCCTCCCATCTGAGTCTACCAAGGACACCCCCACTATCGCAAGCTCCTCCGCCTCTATTGTTCCTCCCAGCTCCACTGAAGGGTCTGGCTGGGGTGTCCTTGACGAGTTCTTCGGCAGCGAATCAGCCAGCACAGCCTCCAACGAGCTGGAAGCAAAACCAACCAAAGTCAAGCCCTCCGAGCCTAAGCTCACAGGCGCTGAACTGCAAGAGAAACTCAACCAGGATCTCCGCGACTGGCAGACCAAGTTCGCTACAGCTGCAGATAAGGGTTCTGAAGATCTCGAAGTCCGCGTCGCGGAAATCACAAAGCGACAGGTCGACAATGCCGTCAATGGACATGGTCAGGCTCTGGTTGTTAAGCTAGAGGAGACTGCCGACGCAACTATTGCTAAGTTGAAGAGCTACATCAAGAAGACTATTCAATCTCTTCCAGAGGATGCTTCAGATGCCGATCTTGAGGCCGCATACGAGGACTGCGGCGCCAAGACCCGCGAGTTCGGTCTCACCGTCAAGGAGCGCGCTCAGGACATCCGTGTCTGGAAGGCATCATACGATCAAGAGACTGACTCCCTGGTACAAGCTGCTGTCAGGAGCACTGTCGAAGTACTTGAGAAGATTCACAGCCTTGGTCTCCAAGAAGTAGGCATGCGATGGGCATGGACTGATGGCGTCACATACAAGGACTGGCAGAACTATCACAAACTGAGGAACACGCTCAACGAATGGCAGGCCGAAGTCGAAGCCGTTGGCTCAAGGCACGAAGGCCTCAAGGTTGCTCACGAAGAATCCAAGAAGCTTGAAGACAAAGCTATGGCCATCGCGTCTGACATGGTTGCTGAGCTAGTACGCTTGAAGGATGTTTCCAAGTCCAAGATCTGGGCCGGCGATGCCAGCGATGATTTCTCTGACAAGGTCTTTGCGCCTCGTGTCCGCAAGGCTGCTCAACAAGTCATGGAAAACGTTGAGGGTGCCTCGTCCCAGATTGCCGAAGCGATCCAAGGTAGTTCGACACCGCTTTCTGAGAGCATCTCATCATCTGCCAAGGACATGTACTCTAAGGCCTCTTCACAAGCGTCCGAGGCTGTGCAGGGTAGCTCAACACCTCTTACCGAGAGTATCGCATCCTCTGTCCAGGACGCGGCATCCAAGGCCTCATCACAGGTTTCTGAGGCCGTATCAGGTAGTTCCACTCCACTTGCTGAGAGTGTTGCATCCTCTGTCCAGCAAGCTGCATCTCAGATTTCTTCCCAAGCATCTGAAGCTATTCAAGGCACACCTTCGTCTGAGAGTCTCCTTTCTCAAGCTTCGTCCAAGGCGTCTGAAGTTATCGATGACACCGCATCCAAGGCATCTGCAGCCTACGAATCGCCTAAGAAGGTATGGGGAGGAGCCAATGCACAAATCATTGCCGAAGCGCGCGAACCGGTACTTGATGAACCTCTAGATGACGACGATGAAGTAATCGACACGTACTCTAGCAAGGTGCAGAGCGTTGTCGCCGACGCTGGCGACCGAGCAGCTGAGATGAGCCGAGCAGTCAGCGAAGCGCTCCTCGGTCCTGCCAAGACGCAAGGTACCGTCGAGTCTGCCTCGTCGATCGCAAGCGAGCAGTACGCAAGTGCTCTTGCTGCTGCATCAAGCGTACTGTACGGTACCGAGCAACCGGCTGTTGAGAGTGCTACTAGCGTCATTGCCGACAAGTATGCCCAAGCTGTGACTGCAGCATCATACGCGATCTATGGTACCCCAACGCCTACAGCCATAATCAAGACTGTTCAGGTCGAGGCAAACTCGCGATACAACGATGCTGTCAGCGCTGCGAGCAAGCAGTTCGAGAACGCGAAGGCCCAGATGTCTCTTCTGATCTCTGGAGAGCCCCAGCCTGCGCACCAAACCATGCTTTCTTACTTTGAGAAGGCCTACTCCGATTCCCTCGCAGTCGCCAGTGAGAGGTTGTCGAATGCTATGCAATACACTGAATCAGTGAAGAGCTACGCTGCCGGCCCCACCCAGGGCTACTTCGAGTCTGTCTCCTCCATCGCATCATCTCGCCTCGCTGAAGGCCTCAGCCAGGCTTCTGCTCAGTTCGCCGCACCTCAATCCACCGGTGTCGCTGACAGCGCTCGCAGACAGTACTACGAAGCTGTGGGTCTTGCGCATGCCCGTTATTCGGAGTTTACCGATGCTGCATCGAGCGCTGTATACGGTCCCCAGCAAGGCACGATCGAGTCTTTGGCTTCGGTCGCGTCCGCATCGGCCGCATCGGCTGCATCTGTTGTATCTGGGTCTGCCGAGTCTGCCGCGTCGTATGTGTCTGGTTCAGCACAGTCGGCTGTTGCCAACGCCCAAGCAGCTGCTGAGTCTGCCGCGTCCCAAGTCAGCTCTGGTGTCATCGGTTCGGAAACCCCCTGGACCGAGTCGGTTGCTTCCCAAGCCAGCCAAAATTGGGAAGCACTCATCGCACAAGCCAGTAGCCAGGTGTACGGCCAGCCCACACCATGGGCAGAATCTGTGTACTCACAGGCCGGCGCATATGGTGCTCAGGTAAGAACCCCATCCGAAAGACAAACTGCATGTAAGACAGATACTGACTTTGTACACGTAGGCTACCGCTGCCGCTGCTGCACAATATGCCGAGGTCCAGGCTCTTATTTCGGAGCTTGTCATTGGCAAGGAGCCCGACTTCACTGAGAGCGTCATGAACCGCTTCGCCTCCGCTTACTCCACGGGTCTGCCCGCAGCCATGGCTTCTGCCCAGTCTTATGCCAGTGAAGGTATCCAGGCTGCTAGCTCGTACGCGGGCGATGGTTACGATGCTGTTACTGAAGCGGCTGCTGACGCATATGCTTCTGCTTCGTCAGTCGTCAGCGCTGTTTTTACTCCCCCAGCCATGATCGAAGATGTTCTGAGCCAGGCTAGCGCATCTCTGGATCTCGCTGTTGAGAGTGCCTCTGTCGCTCTCTACGGAACGCCCAAGGGTGCCGCTGAGCAGGCCAGCGAGTCAGTTGCGAGCGCCTACTCATCCATCCAGTCTCAAGTGAGCGAGAAGCTCTACGGAACACAATCAGCTCAAGATAGCTTTTCGTCAGCCGCGGCATCCGCCCAAGCTGCTATCAGCGCAGCCATCTTCGGCACCCCCACCGCAGGCGATTACGTCGCCTCTGCTACAAGCAGTGCTGGTGGTGTATACAGCTCAATCTCGTCTGTAGCCAGCGTCAACGCCGAGTACATTGCCTCTGCTGCTAGCGAGAACGCAGCCTACATATCTTCAGCAGCCAGTTCCGCCGTCTACGGACCTGAGCAAGGAGCCATGGAGTCTGCCAACAGCCGCATCGCCGACGCTGTGGCCGCCGCCAATAGCCGCATCGCTTCCATGTACGTGGCCGCTTCAGGTAGTGCTGAGGAAGCTGTCAGCAGTGTCTCCAGCGCCGCTACTCAAGCCACCCAGGCTGTGAAGGATGAGTTGTAGACTATTGATTGAGGAAGGCTGCTTCCCACATCTACAAATCATCACCTTACTCTCAACACATTACAACATAGCACACTCGCTGTGACACGACACCAATATACCATCAAAACACCGCCACAATCGTGATGACCAACCACCCCCACACCACCCCATCACTATCATCTCACGCACACTACCCACAACCAAGGCCAGTTGATCTGGCCCACGAAACCCGGAAAGGAAGGAAAGGAAGAAGGAAAACCAACGAGGTAATGCCTATGTATGTAGCTATGAACAGCCTCAGTCTCTTGTTTCTCTATCTGCTCTTGCGTTTTTTAGGATTAGCCGACTGGATTCCGCTTTGTTCTTATGCAAGCTCTAGCGTTGTAGTCTACTTACAAGTTCGTTTTCTGCGACGGGAGAACAGAGTAATGTGATATACCCTTTTCGTTCGATTGAGATGTGCTTATTGTAATTCGCGTGCTGTGCTGTGTTGATTGTGGGATTGAGATTGCGATTGGTCGTTAATGTGCATCCCATTCTGAACGAGGTGAAAGTATGGGGAAAGAAAGTCTTTGATTATCGTGACTTCCATCTCATCATGTATTGCTTTGAGTGTTACTACATACAAGGTCATTAACCTTCATTCGTCGGAGACCTCCATCATTCCATCCATCACTGGTATACCCGTTGCAAAAGTCTGTACATCCATAACATCCATCTCTCATATCGCTCGCTGTACAAAGCTGAAACCCTGAGTGAGGTCCAAAGAAAAGTCAAGTCGCTCTATCAAAGAAAGCCCAATTAACGCCAAGAAGGGGGTATGCAATGCCGAATCATACTACCAAAGAGAAGGAAAGCGAATAGACGAGTCTAGTCGCTGTCGCTCAAACTGTCCCTTCGTCCAACAGCGCGGACACCACCACGACGGTAGCCGTCCATGACATCTCTACCTCCCCTTTCCCTCCTCGCGTTGGTCGGAACACCGACTTGAGAGACGCTCTCCATGGGGTGCACACTGCCGGCCTGACTAAGACCGGGGATGTGGCACGGGTAGCTCATGTGGCCCTGAGAGTCACCGTTGGTAGTGGTGAAGATATCAGACGGAGGGGGAGCAGGGCGCGAAGTGCGGTGTTGCTTGCGAGGCGACTCAGAGGTAGGACGCGAGCGGGAGCCTGATGGGCGAGGACGTGACTCTGATGTTGGGCGGCCGGAGCGCGAGGTGCGGTCTTGGGAGGGGCGGTCCTGAGATGGGCGGGCAGAGCGGGAGCGGGGCGCGTGCTTGTTGGGGTCTGAGTAAAGGGACTTGTCGGCGTTGGGGCGGTAGTCGGAGTAGTAGCTTGACTCGGTGACTTCTGAGGGGGCACTGCGCTCGGTCTTTGGGGCGGTCTTTGGAGGAGGTGGTTTGGCGAAGTCAGAGGTAGAGACGCCGGTGTAGACGGTTGCCGTGTCGTCGTCGCCAGTGGTGAAGGAGTATGCAGCGGAGGGAGGGGCACGACGAGGACCAGACGGAGCCTTGTTCCTTGTAGGAGCGCGTGTTGGTGTGCCGGCTTCAGATGGGGCAGTGTACTCGGTGTAGGCGCGGGTGTAGTCACTTTCGGGGGAACGGTACTCGATCATGGGGCGGGTAACTTCAGCCATTTCGGGAGCTTCAGATGGTGTGCCGTGCTTCTTGGACTTCTTCTGCTCTTCCTTTGCGCGCTTGGCCTCTGCTTTTTGTTCTTCCTTGCGGGCTTTGGCTTCAGCGGCTTCCTTCTTGGCAGCTTCCTTTTCGGCGGCTTTGGCCTTGCGCATGCGTTCCCTTGCGCGCATCTCCTTGGCTTTGGCTTCCTTCTTGGGGTCCTTGACTTCCTTGGCGTCCTTCTTGACAAGCGGTGCGTTACTAGAGACTTGGGAGCCGCCGACTTCAGAGGGTTGAGAGCCGGAGTAGTCGGTGTACATGCCATCGCCAACGCGGTTGAGGCCACCGACACGGGCAGCCTTCTCCTCGCGGTACTTGCGGAGCTCAGGGTCCTTGTAGTCGTTGGTGTGATCGCGGCGGTGCTTCTTCTGCTTTCGTCCGTCTCCGCCACGAAGGCCACCCTCGCCCCTCTCGGCATCGCGGTATTCGTTGGGGTCGACACTAGTACCAGACTCGTCCGTGTAGTTAAGCTCGCTCTGTTCGCCGAAGTAGCTACCGCCGTGTACGACACTGCCACCGCCGAGCTTGGTGCTCTTGGTTGCGTTGGAGAGGGTCTTGCCGTCTGGTCCCTTGCGTCTCAGCACCGTTGATTTGTAGTCCTCCCAGTCGTTGTCGCGCCACTTGAAGCCACCGTTCTTAGCCCAGAAGAAGAACCAGATAGCTCCGAGGGCGAGTCCGACACCAATGAGAGCAAACAGAGCTTGGAAGCCGGGTCCGGAGAGGTCGTTAGGTGGGCGTGCGCCTGCTGAGGCGAGGTTCTTGTATGGTTCAGCTTGGTCACGCTTGACCATCGACTTGGCCAGCTGCAGAGCATTCACGGCCATGGGCGAGAGTGCCCGCTCGTCGGCGGCAATGTCGGGATGGGGCGCCATGGTAGGCGAGAGGGTGGTGGTGGTGTTTTCGCAGGTGCAGGTCGATTATAGCGTGTCGAACAACGAGTGCAACTGGCAGAAAGTAGTCAGAGAGTATTCTGTAGTGTTGGTAGTAATGTGTAGTGTGGGGTTTGGAGCGTGGAAGCGTGGCTCCCGTTAACTTTTGGTTTGAAGCGTGTTGGGTGCGAGTGGCTGGTGAGCAAATGCAGGAGGTTAGGACGAGGTTGGGGACGCGAGCCGACGTCACCCAAACAAAGTCGTTGATGCAGCAACAGCACGGTCGCCAACTTCAATCCAGTTGAATGCCACGCGGCGTCCCGCGATTGATTGGAAACCTGTCTAGTTCAGACGGTACAGCACACCATCTCAACAATTGCCGTCTTTTTCTTTACCGCTTTTTGACGCGACGTGCAGAACTGGAGTCGGCGGTGAGGCCATGCGCGCCAACGATCGTCTTCGCGAAGAGCCCCATAAAGGGCTTGCAGCGCCCTGCATCACGCCTTTGCGGGAAGTCCACCTCCCCGGACTAGTCTCATGTCTTGCGCATGCCGTAGTAACCGTCGTAAGCTCAGCAAGAACTTTAGCGCCTTCGTCCCTTCTCTTGTACCTGCATGCGAAGTATACGCGTAAGGACAGCCTTGGCAACCCGTGGCAGGCATGCGCGCGCAACCTCGATGGATGCGACTGCAGCACTGACAGCTGACAATGAATACATTCTTCTCTTCGATGCTTCTACCGATGCTTCTCCTGATGATACAAGTTCTCGACCCAAATGGTGGACCCTGACTTTTGACATGTCGCCCGTCGTAGGGCGTGAAGCTAGTCACCAAAGCATTTCCTCTACCACAATTTTCAACGAACCTACTAGAAATTTATGAGCATTATAGTCTTCTCAAGAGCTTCTTTTCTCCCTAAACGCGGAATAATCATATCTTTATATCCTGTTGAAAGGATTGAAAGATGGCGACACAGACACAAACAGCGACTGAGGTCTTTGAGCTCCCGCCAATATCTAAGGCCGCCATCCTGAAACCTATCTCTCATCCACCACGACCATCGCAAGAAACATCGAGCTACAGCAACCACACATCCGACACCGAATCCTCGACATCACCATCCCTAACAAAACCATCCACCCTCCGCACCTTCCTCACAATCTTCACCCCCTCCTTCGTAGGCTTCATAGCCAGCTTCACCAACGGTATCATCACAGTCGGCCTCCCCTCAATTGCGCGTTCCATCGCGCTAGAACGCTCTCTCTACCTATGGCCATCCTCTGTCTACGGTCTGACATCTGGTGCTGCACTTCTTATTGCGGGTTCTGTAGCAGATATCGTGGGTGCTAGACCCGTTGAGCTGGTCGGGATCCTGCTCCTTGGGGTGTTCACGCTAGCATGCGGGTTTGCGCAGACTGGCGGGCAGCTTGTTGCTTTCCGGGCTCTTCAAGGTGTGGCGCTCGCGTTGCATTTACCGGCCTCTGTCGCCATCATTACTGGTGCTGTGCCGTCTGGAAGAGCGAGGAATCTTGGGTTTGCGTGCTTGGGGTTTAGTCAGCCGCTTGGATTTGCTGTGGGACTAGTGCTAAGTGGTGTCATGATTGAACGAGCGGGATGGCGGTCAGGATTTTACTTGACTGGAGGGTGTACATTGGCGGTTGCTGTGGCTGCGCTCTGGACGCTTCCTAAACTTCCGTCTCAGAATCAGGATGGCATGGTCGTGCTTTGGAAGAAGGTTGGTAGGGAGATTGATTGGGTTGGTGGCATGATATCTAGTGGTGGACTGGCTATCCTGGCATATGTCCTTGCGTATGTATTCATCTCGTTCGCCGGTATTAGACAAGAGCTGACAGCGTGTAGTATCATCAGCGCCGACTTGGCAAGCATTCGATCAGCTGAGGCGGCCTCGCTCCTCGCTATCAGCGTCCTTCTTCTCTGTGCCTTTCCAGCCTGGATGCACTACCGTGAGCGAAGTGGAAAAACAGCCCTCGTGCCAAATAAAATATGGAACAGTCTTCCCTTTACCAGCACGTGCATCATGGTCGCGCTGTCTTACGGCGTCATGAACTCCATCGAGCTCTTTTCCAGCCTGTAGTACGTATCACCCAACAACGTCCACCACCTTGTCGCGCAACACCTTCATCAACATCAGTTCGGCAGAAGCCCATGTCTAACCCCAAGCCCAGTTTTCAAGAAGTTCAGCACGCCTCCATACTAGCAACATCCCTCTACCTCCTCCCCAACCTCCTAGCCGGCGTCCTAATCCAAATATCTGTCGGACTTTTCGTCCACCGCGTCCCTGCCCGCTGGCTCGTCGCCGGCTCCGCCTTCATCTGTGCCATCTCGCCTCTATTAATGGCCGTTGTGCCACCAACGTGGAGCTACTGGAAACTCGCTTTCTGGGCCCAAATGTTCGCCCCGTTTAGCGCCGATGTCTTGTTCACTGTTGGCCTCATCATCGTGAGTGACAATTTTCCGGAGAAGACGCAGGCGCTCGCTGGTGCTGTGTTCAATACCGTTGCGCAGTTTGGTATGAGTTTGGGTATGGGTAGTTGCCAGGTTGTTGCGCTGGGGGTCCAGGTTAGGAGCGGAAGTACGGGTAGTGGTGGGCATGAGAATGGGGATGGTGGAGGCGCGTTTGAGGGCCAGGATGATGCAGCTGTGTTGAAGGGATACAGGGCGAGCTATTGGCTTATGTTCGGTTATATGGTCGTTTGTATATTCATCGCTGTCGTGGGGTTAAGGAAGGCGGGCAAGGTCGGACTGAAGAGAGAGTAACAGTTTGACTATACCGTAATACTGTTGGAAAGCACTAATGCGGTTCTGCAGCCGCTTGAGGTCAAGAAAAAGATCGAATAGTCCATTCGAGACCTGAGTTAGACCCCGTGTCTGTATAGTATGTACAGTAGCGTTGGACTGCAGTCAATACAACATAAAATGCTGTGTATCAACCACCATGCGATTTTGTATTCAAACTCCTTCTCTATTCGTTCTTGTCTTCCCCCCATCATCCAGTTTACGAGGCGGAAGTGGCATTGCTCATTCCACAGGGGCGGTACCACCAAGAGGTAAACAGTGTGGAATATCTTTCCGCTGTACTCGTATGAAACTATTGTTTTCATGTAGGACAAAACAGTTGTGATTAACGGGTATGCGCAAGCGGCATGGATTAGTAGCGATATCATGGCGAGGATGCGGCATTGTCGGTAATGAAGGCGTTTGAGGAAAATGGACATAAGATTGTGTGAAAGAGATCTAAACATGGCGAGTGGCATTCAGCTAAAAGTCTTTTTCGGTTCTCGCATTGGCTCTACCAAGGTTCACTCTGACGTTGTTTAGCGAATGATTACGATGAGGGTTGTAGCGATTCGCCCATAATGGCATTTTCTCATAGCGTACGCGTCTTGCGGTTGCATCACTGCGAGTTTCTCTGCACAGAAAATTCTATCGCTATTGCTCTTAAATCAATGCAGATTTGTGAGCTGGTTGAGGGAAATCGACTGCACTGCGAGCTTTGGACCAAAAAAGTGCCGTCAAGACCGAAAACCTCATTTTCAAATGCGCCCCAAGATGCCTGGCGAGATGAATGAAGATCGTTCGGATTCGCCGCGCGCAAAAAGACGTCATGCAAAAGAGTTGCTTTCGATATTCCTTAGGGCATCGCCAATACGTCACGTGGACACACCCCACAGCGGACCTCGGGAAGCTCGCGGCTTCCTGTCGCATTCCTTCATCTCATCTTGTTACACATTAAATGCCCGGTGTTGGCTGGATACACAACGACGGTGCGGAGTCGATCGAATACCACATCAAATGACCGCTCGACCTTTGCTCGATGCCGACACTAGACGGCTAGTCCCGGCTCCTCCAATGCAGATGCGGAAGGTCGCAAAGATCCCCAGATTCGCGCCGATCCCGTCCCTAGCATTCTGCTTAACTCAAGAGAGAGAAGATCATGCAAAGAGCAATGCGTGACCGCCCCATTTACGGCAAACGCTGAACACCTACCTCTTATGGAAAATGATACAAACAACCCAGAAGTCTACATTGCCTGGAAGGTTTCGTTAAATCTCGTTTTCCTGCTATTGTAGACTTCAAGCCCTGCGACAAACGTAGTGGTAGTAGCGCCCCGCAGCCCACCTGCCCCACTGGCATTAACCTCCCACGGGGCAAACGCTCGCCCAGGAAGCTGATTCCACGAACATGGTACACTCCGAACAAAAGGCATGTAATTAATATCCCAAGGCCACGATAAGCTCGAAGGCGACCCAAGCATCATGCGCCTAGACGGGATCAGCAGGGGCCATAGCCAGCGAACTGCCTAAACCAGTAGGTACACAAACGCCAAGATCAAGCAATCAAACGCCAAGATTCGCCTTCAACGAATGATTACACTTTGTATACCGAAGTAACTGAATGAGTGGGACATCTCTTGCTTGAGACTATATAGCATAGCTGGTGCCTTTGCTCCGAGTCTTTACGCTTCTCCTCCTTCATCTTTACTGCTATTCGTTCGTGGCAATGAAGCTCCTCAACATCGCCCTTGCCTCTCTAGGCCTTGCGTCTGCGGCCACAGTCAACACAAAGAAGGTCAACTACGATGACTGGAAGGTGTACCGCGTCAATGTCGGTTCTAAAGCTGCCAAAATCGACGATGTCATGAGCAAGCTTTCACTTGACTTGTGGAAGGGCAAGCCAACATCCAGCGATGTGATTGACGTTATGGTACCACCTACGGCAGTCAAAGACTTCGAGGCGTCTACCAAGGATATAGAGGGTAAAGTAGCCTCCACGAATACTTTTGAAGATGTTTAGCTAACTTTGCGGCAGTATGTATCCTCCTGGCTATGACATCTTTCTTGTCTTAGCCTGGTGTTTTCTTGGCACTAACAACTTAATAGACCAAGGTCATGCACGACAACCTTGGCCGTTCTATTGCAGACGAGCAAACCGTTAGCGTATATGCCGGTACGTTTGCCCCATATCATCCAAGGAAAAAATACCCTTGAAGTCTACATTGCCGTAGGAATTTTGTAAATTTTCGTTTTTGTTCTAATGTAGACTCCAGCCGGTGCAGCACCAAGTGCTTCTTGGTTCAACGCCTACCATTCGATTGCCGATCATATGCAATGGATCACCGACCTTGCCAAGGCGTACCCAAACAACGCTGAAGTAGTCTCTGCTGGCAAATCGGTTGAAGGCCGCGACATCAAAGGTATCCACATCTGGGGCAGCGGCGGCAAGGGATCCAAGAGAGCTGTAGTGTGGCACGGTACAGTACACGCACGAGAATGGATCACAACAATGGTCGTCGAATACGCTGCATACCAGCTCCTCACATCTACCGACTCCACTACGGCCGGATTCAAGAACTCGTACGACTTCTACATCTTCCCCATCGTGAACCCAGATGGCTTCGCCTACACCCAGTCAGCCGACCGTTTGTGGCGCAAGAACCGCCAGAGCACTCCCTCAGCGTCTTGCGTTGGTCGTGACATCAACCGTAACTGGCCATCCCACTGGGACCTACCCCAAGGCGCGTCGACCTCCCCCTGCGCACAAGATTATAAGGGCCCATCTGCAGGCGACGGTGTAGAGACTAAGCTACTCAAGGCCCAACTCGACAGCCTAGCCGCCGGCCGAGGAATCGCGCTATACATGGACATCCACGCCTACAGCCAGCTCTGGATGTACCCCTACGGCTACACCTGCTCAGGCGTCGTTCCCAACTCCTCCAAGTATGCTTCCCTTACCAAGGGCGCCATCGCTGCTGTCAAGGCTGTGCACGGAACTACGTTTACAGGAGGACCAATCTGCAACACCATCTACCAGGTTAGCGGCGACTCTGTAGACTACGCTTTCGAGGTTGCTAAGGCGAACTACTCCATGACTGTTGAGTTGAGGGATACCGGTAACTACGGATTCGTCCTGCCGGCTGCGCAGATCTTACCGAGTGGTGAGGAGATGTGGGCTGGTTTGAGGTACTTGTTGGCGAACATGTAAATTGTGGGTTGTATGCAATGAGAAGTATGTGTCGATGGCGTTTGGAGAGTGGTGGGATGTAGCAATACCTTGAGATGATGATAGCATTCTTCGATTCCTGTTCATAGTAGAGTCATGAGAATACTATAGAGTGATAAAGCGGTTACTTCCCCACCTATTCATGCATTGCTATAGCTGTGGAGCAAGTAGACATATATTGCGAGATTAACTCCCAGCGTTCATACGGCCATTGAGCCTTCCGACTTCAGCGACAAACAACACGCACATTTTTGACAACAGCCAAAACCCCTCCACTAGCTAGCCCTCTAAGCTGCACTGAGCCACGAACAAGTAGCCAGCTCTCCATCATGACAACGCTCAGAAGGCCGACAACGCATAACCGTTTTCCAGAACCCGTCTTTGCACCTGAAGAGCACGCCTCCGTTCCCGTTATTCTCCCGTAACATACATTTTGGCACGCCTTCCTCGCATCGGCGGTCTAGGGTGTCGTCGCGGGAAGAGAGCAAAGCATCGACGCACTGAGGTGATGGCGTATCGGTGCAGCGACATGTGTCGCGTGCCTCCCATCTTCCGTGCTTGCAAATGTCTATGCCGTCGTAGCCGTGGTAGAGAGTAGTTAAACACTGAAGTTCGACTTCTATGCACTGTGCAGGCGAGGGAATGCAGGCTCCATTGTTGTGGTTGGTGCAGTCGGGCAGTATGCCATGTGGTACGACGGAGCTGATAGCGCTTGTGACTAGGCCCGCCAGGGTGATGATGATACTGAGGTACTTCATCCTGAAGATGTTTGTAATAGCAGATGGGGGGTGTAGAAGGCTGACAGGGACAGCTGGGAATGTTAGCTAAAGGCTCGTATAGGACTGGACGGGAAAGAGCGCTGCTTTCACTGAGCGAGCGCAGCGGCAGGTGAGGAAGTGAGAGCGGTTTGGCAAGTCATTGTGTTGGCTACGCTACATATGTAGCTTAACCGAGGGTATATGAGAAGCTGTCAGTCCGTACAAGTTATATCTCATGGTAATGCAATGACGTATGATGATCGTGACCAGTCCACGGGTCACTCCCAACTTCCAAAATTCACACCATACCCATGCATCATGATGCATTCTAATAGGAGTTCCTACAACTATGCTGCAACGAGGGAATATCTTAAACCGAGCATGCTAGCCCATAGACGATAATCCAATCTATTGGGGGATCTCTTTCCCCAGATAGTGTTTGCACCCATGTTGTACGACATGGGTGATCGCAGAAAAGCGGAAAGAACGTCTTGACTGCATTCAGACTAGTTTATGTGACCATCAACTATAAGAGAAGAATGATCAAGCGCACAGCGAACATGAACGGTCTAGTTATCAACTATGCGCGTAATATGACGGGTATGTCCTCTGAGAAGGATGGAGCGGAACAGTAGCTAGTTGAGGGCAAGTCACGAAGCAATCCACCTGATGGACGTGGCGGTATATGACTGTGATGAATTCAAGACCAATACAATGAAGACATCTGATAGCTACCGAACCATCAGGCTGGTGTGTTGATTGATCAGCAGTATCAAAAGTGTACTGACGCTCAACTTGCGCTTCGCACAGTCAAGCCACTGGAGGTCATAGCGCCACACTGTTTGCGTTTGCTAAAGGCCTCCCTCGCCTTAGCGTTCTACATCCGCTCTTCCACCGCAAGCACAAGCAATTTTTCCCATTGGCGGCGTACGAACGACAGTCGCCGACGCGGTCAGACTCTGTCAATACTGCACACAACGATACACGAATCATGTATGTTTCCTTCTTTCGGATCGCGCCCAGTATACTGACGCAGTCACAGATTCGCAAAGATGCGCGATGTCGATACCATCCTTGGTATCCTAGCTGCTGATGGCGCTGAGCTCGACTTGCCATTAGACTTGGTGAACAGCACAGCTAAGGACCTTAGCTATGACATCTACAGCGGTTTCTTCTACCTCAACGCGATCGATAAGCAACATGGAGCAACTATATCGGCTCGGTGGAGAAAAAAAAGTCGCCAGCGAAGCGCCGAGAACTACTTTGCGCCGTACGTCCCGACATCGCTGCCACACATCGACCTGAGATGGACGATCCGCACTTCTATTGCAGTAATTGCACATGCAGAAGCGCGATGCAGCCATACATTTTCGAAGAACTATGGCCTTATATCAATCTGGAAGACTTGTCAGATGCGAAGTCCCTGCTGGAGTTGATCAAAGCCCGAGCCCACAACCGCCCTTCCACTTTCGCTACCTCGGAGCTCAGCTTTTCACCAGCAGCTTCACCACGGTCTGGCCCGAAGCAATGGGCTCTTCCCAGCATATCATTCGCAGACCAGGACCCCGAGGAAAAGGTGTATAGAACGGAGATGTATGGCGCCGTTACGGACCCGACAGAACCCTAACGCATCGCTGTTAATGGGTTGCGATCCGTATGTCTTCTGGGACCAGGCTTGCAGATACTTCGCATTCAAGCTGGTCTGTTGGAAGTCCTCGTAACCTGCTGCGTAAATATCATGCACGAGATCCCCAGCGACAGGATTCTAGCTGATATTAGATCGGTCCCATTCCAGCCACCGAGCTTACCGTCTCGTGAATACGTTAGCAGTAGCCTCACAGATGCAGACATCAAGGCCGAGTACTGTGCGCGAGGTATGCGAAATTGTACGCGCATCCGACATCTGATCTCAACGGTACTGCACAGTATCAAAGATCATGCTTGGGCCATACGCGAGGACCCTGCGTATTTTGCGGAACGTGGGATTCAGTTCCACGAGTCGCATCCGAGCGGAGAAGTGCCGTTGACGTTGGCCAGACGGTATGGACGTCGACTAGCTCGTGCGTACGGATGGGAGGCACCGACGTTCAAGCAGAAGTGAGGATGGTAGTTCATGCGGTAACTTGGCGGTTGATGAAGCAGTGAATGGCGGTATCTGGATGGACTGATGTTATCTGAAAAGGGTGTCGGGCGTTTCTTCTGAGTCAACGCAACAGTTGCACATGTACGCGTTGTTCGACTCGTAGTGCTTGAGCTTTCTGACGCTGTAATTGAGTGATAGACAGGCGGTGCTGAGTACGTCGACTGCCGAGATCTGGTCATGTCAGCGCCATACCGAGGTAGTCAGACCCCAAATGAAACATGCGGGTCGCTCCATTGTGGTATCTTGTGATTGTGTTTCGTGCGCCAACATTAAAGACAGGTTCGTATTAACGCGTAAAATTGGATGCGTCGCTAATTGTTTCCAAGGCTGTCGATGGAAGTCTTCTTGTCGGCGTGAGGAGAGTTGGACAGCAGAAGACGCGAAAATGGGAGGTGGGAGGTTTGCAAGAGCGAATGATGACGCACTAATGGCTTGGCAGGGACAATCGAAGGCAGGAACATCCACCGCCCATGTATATTCTTTCCAAGGTTCCTCACAAAGCTCCCAGATCACCTGCGGCACTCAGATATCATGGTAAATAAGAGGTGTAGGCTTGTCTGTAGAAGGGGTATATTGTTGCTGCAGTGATGTTTCCACTACAGCTTCTAGGTAAGAAGATCTACTAATTGAGGGGGTACTGTGAGAATGGAAACATTCTTCAATCGTCTAACCCAAGCGACAACCATCACGCCGAGCTTTCGTTACATGTATTCATCCATCATGAGAATCAGAGATGCTAACCGCAGAGCGCATGGCCTATTAGGCAAGAGCGCCATCCGCAGTCTCCTATTGAGCATTGACTGCTGCGGCCGGGTCTGACTCTTTGTCCTTGTTGCTGGTCTCCTGGCGAATCGGTAGCTCTGAGCTCGTCTCACCAGCAGTCTTTGTAGCGTCATCAACTCCCGCAACCGGAGCATTGGCGAAGTGTACTTTGCGGTCTGGCGTCTCCGAGATCCTTCTAAGTTCGGTGACAAACGACTCGCCCCACCATGCGCTATGTGAAGTTAGAACGTGTCGGTCGAAACGTGATCATGGGTACCTACCTAGTGTATTTCCGGACGTATTTCGAGAGCTTCTGGTAGTTTAGACTGCGCTGCTCATCGCCCATGGTGACTGCGTCATGGATAGCATCCGCCAACTCCTCGGTGTTCCATGGGTTGACGATAAGACTGCCGTTCAAGCTCTGTGCAGCACCAGTGAACTCGGACAAGATCATGACACCGTGTCGCTTCTCCTGTGTCGCGATGTACTCATAGGACACCAGGTTCATGCCGTCACGTGTCGAAGACACGAGACAGACATCTGAGACAGCGTAGAGCGCAATAAGCTCGTCGAAAGAGACCGACTTGTGCATGAAGTGGATGGGCATGAACTCGATAGTGCCGAACTTGCCGTTAATGCGACCAACAAGCTCATTGACGACTGCACGGAGGTTCTGGTACTCCTCGACGTCTTGTCGAGAAGGAACGGCGACTTGTACAAGCACGACCTTGCCGATCCATTCGGGATGCTCTGTGAGGAAGACCTCGAGAGCGTGCAATTTCTGTGGTACACCCTTGATGTAGTCGAGGCGATCAACACCTACGATGAGCTTCACACCTTGGAACTTCTTCTCCAGGGCTGCTATCCGCTCTTGTACCTTGGGTTTCTGGAGACCCTCGTCGAACTTCTCGGGATCGATACCGATGGGGAAAGCGCCGACGGTAACGACCTTGCCCTTGAACTCGACTCCGTTTGGTGTTGTGGCAAGTCCCCTGATTTGAGTTAGTAAATGCGAATTCTGTCCTTGGGCTGATACCTACAGAATGCGCGAGCAACTACTCAGGAAATGACGAGCGTAGTCGTATGTGTGGAAGCCAATGAGGTCGCAGTGGAGAACGCCGAGCAGAATCTCATTGCGGACGGGGAGGATTCGGTAGATCTCGGAACTGGGAAAAGGTGTGTGCAGGAAGAAGCCAATCTTGACATTCTTCTTGGTATTGCCGAGCTCCTCGCGCAACATAGCGGGCATGAGCATCAGGTGGTAGTCGTGCACCCAGACCATGTCGTTGTCTTGTACGTCCTTTGCGACGGCCTTTGCGAACAGGCGGTTTGCCTCGGTGTAGGCGTCCCAAGCGGACTCGTCGAAGGTAATCTCACCGGGGTGGTAGTGGAAGAGCGGCCACATGATCTCGTCTACAATCGTTAGTGCTTGCAGCGATATGGTTCTATGTAGGTAATCTCACTTGAGAATCCGTTGTAATGCCTATCTGCGAGCTCGTCATCGAGCATGACAGGTACCGCGTTGTACTTCTCCTTGAGCTGGTCGTTCAACGTCTCTGTCTCGTCCTCGGGGACTTCAAGTCCGGGCCAGCCATACCACTGGAAGGTGGTGGTCTTGGAGAGTCCGCTCAAGCCGCTGACCAGTCCTCCCGAGGACATGGACATGTCGTACTTGCCCTCATCGGAGCGCTTGATGGTGATGGGCAGTCGATTTGACACAAGCAGCAGGCGTCCCTCCGACGACTCGGGCTGCTTGAGGGTTGTGGGCGCGTCAGGCATCTTGGCTGTGGATATGGACGTATTGTTGGATAGTGGGGGTTGTAAGGTGGTTGAGTCGCGAAACTCCTGACAGGGAATTTATCTGCGGCGTAGGGTTTGGGCGAGGTCAGCATTCACCTCCGCAACGTGGCTGGGGTCGGTGAGTAGGCGGTGTGGGTAGGTTTCCTTTGGCGCGAGGGGGGAGGAATCAGTTATTTTAATTGTGGTGCTGGCGTGACGAAAGAATGATAATAGATCAAGGCCCGCTCGAAGGTGGAGGCGGCTTCTCGCAGGTTCCGAGCTCAAGCGACCAGAGTTGGCAGACGGCAGGGCGCAGTTACTACCTGGGCAGATGCTAAAGTTAAAGATGACCGGGGCTAGGGGCGGTCGGGACTGGCGGCATGCAGCTTGGTCGCTGACAGGTGTAGGCCGTGTTGGAAAACACTGAATGAAGCTGGCGGTGTCTGTGTGAAACTTGCGAATAAATGTGACGTCGGTCGTGGAGCTGCCCAACCCAACGGACGCGGGGCGCTCACAGACCAACTCAGCGTCAAAGGGCGGCGCCCAGCATCAGCTATGGGCATTTGCATTGGGAATACCATGCTGCCGATGCGATCAGCAGGAAGAATTCGAGGTTCAACTGATACATTGGCCGTGGCTCGACACGACAAATTCCCCGCAGGCCTTGATGCTACTTGACGCCATTGGGTGTCTCCGCGGAATCACGTGTACGCTACCGGCGACGTGCCTGCCCTAACCGCCGCGTCTATCGCGTACGGCCGTCGATCATCAACACCATCTTTGAACGCGCTGTCCACCATGTCGGATTCTGGAGCAGACCGGCCCTCTGAGGCGACCATTTCAAACAAACTGCGCGACATTGTTATCGCGATACACAAATCTGGAAAAAGCGAGGATCTGACTGTGAAGCGCGTTCGGGCGCGCGCAGAGAAGGAACTAGCCCTAGATGAGGGTTTCTTCAAGACAGACTCGACTTGGAAGGAAAAGTCCCAGAAAGCCATTGTAGATGCAGTGGTATGAATCCCGACTTCCAATTTCTGAACAGTTTCTAAACATACGTAGGAAAAGTTCTGCTCCGATGAGCCCTCACCACAGCCTACTCCCAAGAAAGCCGCCTCCAAACCCAAAGCGAAGCCCGCGGAAAAGAAGACTAAAGCTGCCACCGACAACGCCCGAGGCGTCAAGCGCAAGGCTGCGGCACCTGCCAAGAAACCCAAGAAGCGCGCGAAGACCGAGTCCGAAGAGTCTGAAGCTGAGCTCTCAAAACCACCCGCCGAGATATCCGATGCAGAGAGCGAGCCACCCAAGAAGCTAGTACGGCGGGGGAAGAAGACTGTGACAGAAGACTCGGATGAGGAGGATGCGCCGAAGCCAACGTCCAGACCCAGCGCCGCGGTCGAGGATGAGAGCGATGGCGAGCTTGAGCCAGTGAAGAAGGCAGAAACAAAGGGCGACGTATCGGACAGTGATCTGTCCAGCGTTATAGACGAGGAGCCCAAGAAGAAGAAGAAAGCCCCTGCAACGAAGGGCAAGAAAGAAAAGGCTCCAGCGAAACCGAAAGCGGCGCCCAAAGCGAAGACCGAGGATGATCCCGACACTGCCGAAGTCAAGCGACTCCAAGGCTGGCTCGTGAAGTGCGGCATCCGAAAAGTTTGGTCGCGCGACCCCGAACTCTCCCAGTGTGACACCTCGAAAGATAAGATCCGCGTGCTCAAGGGCTGGCTAAAGGATGTGGGTATGGATGGCAAATACTCAGTTGAAAAGGCAGCCAAGATCAAGGAGCAGAGGGAGTTTGCGAAAGATCTCGAGGCAATCAAAGAGGGCGAGGCGGCATGGGGAAAGACAAGTGAAGTCACAGCTACGGGTCGGCCAAGCCGAAGGGCAGCAGCAAGACCTGTACCACAGCAGAAGGTTGTACTGGAAGATGATAGCGAGGAAGAGGCTGGCGGCGATGATAACGACGACGACGATGACGATGATGACGACGATGTCCAGGGCCAGTCGGAAGACGAGGAGGATGATAAGAGCGGCGACAGCGGAGGTGACGACTCTGAATGAGCTACGTCTGCAATTTCTAGTCTTCGTGATGGTTCACCGCCTTTGCAAAAAGTCCTTGTGGACTATACGACACCACATCTAATACATGCGCGTGATTTCTTCGCGGCGTAGTAGGACGTTTGATACCCCACAAAAGCTTGGCTGTTCCTCTTGGAGATGAGTTCCCGCGTCTACCCGATTGAAATTCTTGGTGACTGAATAGATGGAAACATCATACAAACTATCTGTAACGCAGTATAGGTCAAGGATCGACGGAACACGATGTACAAACTTTCGCTGCGACAACACTCATGTATCAGATCTCTACCCGGAATCAGCCTTTTCTCTCCAGTCCCACTTTTCTATTTAGGCCCCTCGTTCTCCCACAATGACACTGACCTCTACCTAGCTACCCAGTCACTGTCGTTCCTTCGTAGGTACCGGAGCCAGCGGTTTCGCAGCATTACTTGCATCGCGCGTCATGGCACGCGTCTGCATGCGCCGCTGTGGTGGCGTTGGCTGTGGCGGAAGGGGCGCAGGAGGTCGTTGCGATAGTAACACAGAGTCCGCTGAAGGCGGCGCAGAAGACAAAGACGAACTATCTGTAGATGCAGGCGAAGATGATAGATGACGTAGGTCACCCAACGGCGATGGTGGCGCTGATGGAGAGATGCGCACCTTCGCTTCTACAGACGTTGTAGATCGAGAAGAAGAAATGTTGGATGAGAGACTGTTTCTGCAATTTTGCTTTACGGGAGGGTCGGAGTGGTTTTTCTCCTCATCTTCTTCCTCGTCACTGCTAACACTTTTTGTGTCTTCGTGTGTATCGCTTGATAACGCCTTACGCTTACGAGATGATGGTGAGGAGGAGCCGCTGTTGGGTTTACTCGTCTTCGCTTCTCTGTGATTGTGCGGGAGTGTTGGAAGGGATGGAGAGGACGGGGAAGATGAGATAGGTGGATTACACTGGAGTCGATCCTCTGCGGCCGATATAGGTGGGGAAGAGGGTATGCATAGGTAGGGTGACAGGTCCGAGGATATGATGTGGCTCTTGTCCGCGATGGCCTTAGTTTCGTCCACTTCAGTGTGAACAAGGGTGTCGTCTTCATCATCCGAGTAATCGAAACCAAAGCCTCCTGTTGGTTGGTGTGAGGTTTTCGTCATTTCAGTCTGAAGCTCAGCTGTAGACTTTGTTGATCTCTCGACTGTGTCATTCACAGCATCCTGATCTTTAGCTTCAACGACGGCCAAGGTAGTGTGCGACTTCCCGTCTCTCCAAACGAGCTTGTTGTCCTGCTCATCTTCCACGTCTATACCCATGGCATTTTCGTCTTCTGGAAACGCGAGATGTATTGCCTCAAAGTTACGGGACGGTTCATCGTCCAGTAGACCTTTCATTGACTCTGGATGGAACGCAAGATGATATATGTTCAGCATACCACGCGCCTTCTGCGATGGCTTTCTCTCAGAGCTCTTCTCCTGTTCCTCGTTACGGGCTTGTGGAACATCTTGCACCGCTTCGAGCTGCTGAAGGGTGGCTTCGGGAACTTCGAAGCTGTTTTTATGGAAACGGAAGGCGATTGGAAGCACATCAAGATCCCTACCGGTAATCATACACTGGAGCGTATTGCCGAAGAACTCCAAGCGGGCTTCGCTACCGTTGAAGTGTTCTTCATGTCGGGACGGTTCGTAGTTGAGCAGGCAATCGAGAACGATTTGAAAACACTCCAGCATCGCCGTTGCCTCCTTCGCTCTTTCGCTCAGATATAAGAACGTCTCTACAAACAACTTCTTTGGAGCACGCTGCTGAATGTAACTGCCCATGACTGGAAAGAGTTCAGAGCAGTACTTGAATGTAACGAAGTGCTCTTCCACATCTGGTGCGCATAGAAAGGTGCGGAGCCCGGAATCTGTGGTGAGAGCAAGCATAGATAGATTTGATGGCAAAGCTTTCAACTGTTGGATGGCCTCTAGACCAGCAGCATGCTTTTCGTTAAGGTAAGTGGCCAGACTTCGCAGTTGCTCCGTCTCATCCTCGTCATAATTCCCTTAGTCTTCTTCTTTCGCATGCGCATGAGCCTGCAATATATCATCCATCTCACCTTGCTCTATCGGTTTAGCAGCGCGTACTACGGTCCAGCAATCATCGCAGTAATCAAAGATGATATTCTCCGCGGCAATCCGGGTTTCGGTATCGTCAGTGGGGACACAGTTGGCGGGTGCACAGTCTAAACCTTGGATCAAGTGTATTTCTTTCGCATTAGAGCAGAGGAGAGTGTGGTCGAGCTTAGTTAAGAGCGCTGTGTGGGCGCGTTCGCTTTATGTAATGCATGTGAAGCCACACATCTTCGACAAGACTGGATGGCTGACTCCTGGCTGTGTGTCAGATGGTCTGGCACTAGGTGTAAAAATATCAAGCCTAGGATGGTATGGATTAAGGTGGCTGTAGTCTTGGGAGAATGTGCGGGATAGTTGAACGGAAGAAGAGTGCAACGCACTCGTCTTGGCAGGATCAAATAAGGACGTTGATGTAGTCCTGCAATAATGGAGCAGGCTGCTGGAACCTTTTCCGTTCACAATGTCGAATGAAATAACGAGTGGCGCGGGGGAGGAAGTGAAAGTATTCGAATATGTACGTTGTGGAAACATTCCGCAACCCAAATCAACGAGCATAAAGACACCGATTAGTTCGGACGCAATGTTGAATAAGCATAAGCCTTTCTCAGGAAGACAGCGGACTATTACATGCAGCACCAACTGTTTGCTTTGCGATAGGAGTGAGACAAACCAGACAGCGCAGCGTCTTACTTCTTGTTCAAAGCATTGACCTTCGTCGCATGCTCATAAACAAGCTGTTTGGCTTCCGCATCGTCCAAGAAGATAGTAAACCCGTCATCGTGGTTCCTGCCGTAGGAGTAGCCTGAGTAGCCAAACTGCCAGTACATATCTGGCATCTTCTCCTTCAGACTGGTAGCCTGCCATAGTCCGATAGCTTCAAGTCTCGTAACGTTGGAGGTCTTGCTGAGATACTCTTGCCTCTTGTCGTCGGTCAGCCATCCATACTCTTCATGCACGACTGGCTTGCCCACGGCACGAGAGGCTTCGGCATGATCGATGATCCACTGGTTTGCCCATTCGACGCTCTTTGACCACCCTTTGAATAGTGATCTAGTCAGTGTGGGCTCAAGAAGTAGTAGAGTTGAGGCTCGAACGAAATGTACGTACAGTCAGGATAAGTATGGAAGGTACCGAAGTCAATGTTCTTGAGTGCCAACTCTTTGTCGTAGTCTCCACCATCGTAACCGTTGTAGAATCCATCGTCACTAGGTCTATTAAAACCTCCTTCACCGCCCCAGGTGACAAGATGGTTCTTGTCGAGCGACTTGACATATGTGCTCATCTCATCGATCCATTCGGTGATCCGGTCGGGGGTACAATCGTCGCTGCGAGGTAAGTTGCGCACACCATCAGCACCGCATCGTGGTTCATTCGCTAACTCCCATGCCATGATGGCCGAAGACTTGGCGTAGCGCTTGACAATCTCCTTGACATACTTCTTGTACGCCTTTTTGATGGCTGGGACATGATAGAACTAACAAGGACTAGATTAGTCCATTTTTCGTGCCGGAAGAACTGTGTGACTTACATCATCGTGGTACTTGTAGCCTAGGTTAGTCGTATAAACATCCATACCACCGTAATCAGCCCAATTGTTTGTCAAAGCAACAATAAGCTTGATGCCCGTTTTCTCGGCAGCCTTGACGACTTTGTCGAAAGGTGCTAGGTTGATCTCTTGCGTCCCATTGCTCCACCACTGCATCACGTTCGGACTGGGACCGGCACCTTCGCCACCGTAATGCGGGAGTCCGTTCGCGAGTGTTGTTCTGTTCCGGTCATTAAAGCCCCATGTCCTGAAGACGTTCAACCCAGCCTTCTTCGCGGCGCCGAGACCAGCTTCTACATCAGATTGGAGCTGTGAAGTCTCAGTATGTGTGGCAAACCAGAAATGGCATATACTGACATCGTTGAAGGGAAAGTAATAGGCATTGCTGCCTGCGAAGTAGAAATCCTTTCCGTCTATATTGAAGGCGTTGCCTTTGGTCGTGACGAAGCCAGCGGGTGCTTTCCGGCTGACTACTGCAGCCGAAGTGCTAGTAGCTAGCAGTAAAAGCGAGGAAAGGCCGCAGAACATCTTGATCGATCTTTCTGCTTGTGTGCGTCTTCTTAACATTCCATGCGCATTGTAAACATATGTACCTTTTCGGCTCTTGAGCATTTCGACGCTATGCCACTCCGGACACGGGGAACCATCTCACGAGATCACCTTGCACTCCGCATTAGCCTTCCCCACGATATATTGAGATCGCAATGGCCAAGCACCCGATCTAATTGCTGATTGGTGCAAATGCACTAATTCGAGCTTCCGCAACATGAACCAGGTCTTCCAGAACATTCGAAGCCAGGAAATACCTACAAAGAACTATGGCAAACCTAGTGCGTGGAAGAACGGCCCTGTAGCCAGTGCTCACAGTAATTTGTATCTCTTGGAGCTCCAAACCACATGTCGTAACAAATTGTTGCTAGCATGAGGATTAGTTATCAGTCTCAGTCTAGTACGATTTGAACCCGGAGGCACTCTTGCTATGTCGTTGATCTTGTTTTTGAAGGTCTCTTGACTGCGGATAGCGCCACTGTCCAATTTTGAACTTGGTTGCGCTCTGGTTTGTTTTTTTTGCCATGGGCACTCTCAGTTGCGTATAATATCTCAGCGACCGTAATAAATGAACGAACGCTCCGCGCAGGCGAAGATGCTTGCAGTCGTGAGCTGCGGGTGTGTTGTGAGAGTCCTAATAGGTAGACCGCGTTTCTTTAAGTGCGTTGCTCCAGATGTGCGTGGCATGGGTTGCACGGAACTGCAAGCAAACAAATCGCTAATCAATAAGGGTCGCCGACGCGTCTGTCTACGTCGCGACATTATATGCCGTGTGATAAGCTAGAGGCGATCAGTTGGTTGTAGCATCGCCGTTGGTCTGTCTGTTGAGCGTTTGGACGAAGACGAAGAGATGAAGAGACAATTTGTATGACGAAGAGAAGACTGATTAGGGGTCAGAACGCGTACCTTCAACGGTGCTGGATCAGAACGTCATCAGGCGCGACGACATGGATCCACCCTCCATGCCAGTTACTTCTCCAGCATTCAAAAGACTCATTTCGTGTGTGAGTCGCAACTAAGACGCGTTCATCTTCTGTTGCATGTATACCGCGATTGTGCCTCGCGTTCGTGGCGCAACAATGCCTGGGGAAGTAGCTGACGCGCCAGGATCTGCGCGAAGTGGAGCGAAGCTTCCAAGGTTCCTCTCGACCACAAGACGAAGCGTTTGACTGCGTCATCACGAAAACACCCACGAGTTCCGCCTTTCTCGAACCACACGGTCCTGAACACCGACCATATCCAAAAAAGCGATGGTCCGGCTACTTTTCTGGACTGACTACGTTTCCGAGCTGGCTAATTTTCCGGACCGGCCACGTTTTCAGGCTTCGTTCGCACGTATGTCAGCAGCGATGGCATATGCAACACACACCCTACAGTATTGTTCATCTCTTCCACTGCGCCGTCTTTGGTTTTCGCGTAGCCTTGTCAGTGCCCCTAAATCGCGCAATCTGGGGTCCGCTTGTTATGCGGCATACCAACATGGCTTGTCGATGCGATCACTTTGCTCGATACGCCGTCAGTCGCAAAAAATGAGTATCTTATGTCGCAGTCACACAGAGGAGGTACACTTTTGAGCATGAATGAAAGAGGATGGCATTACGTATGATTGAGCTCGGGAAAGCTCGAAATTCTCAAGACAGCTACAAAATCGGGGAGACAGCATCTATACCTTGGACTCTTCTGTCCGTCCGAGCGAGTTGGGATCGACATTCTCAGCCTCATCGTACGACTGGCCATCTTCGTCTTTGATCCCCGTTATGTCCGTAACGACCTTGGCAGCGAAAGTATCGCAACTGACGTTCATTGCAGTTCGGAAGCGGTCAAGGAACCAGTCGATAGCGATGACAACGGCGTACATTCCGGTGATCGGGATATTGACGCTGGAAGCAATCATGACAACCAGAACCAAACTCGAACTTGGAATAGGTGTGGTTCCGATCGAAGCGAGAGTTGAGAGTAGGATGATAATGATGTAATCAGCAGCGTTCAGGGTAATGCCTTGAGTGGCGGCCAAGAACACAACGACGATCGGAAAATATATCGCAGTTCCATCCATGTTGATCAAACATCCGAGGGGTACGGCAAACTTGGTTACTACCAGGTGTCAGTGGACGCGATCAATTACTAATCACCACGGAGACTGACCTGTAATGGGTATACCCTGCTTCAATACACAACGAATGGTAACCGGCAAGGTTGCAGCGCTCGAGGCGGTTCCCCAAGCGGTAATCCATGCTGGGCTCATCTTCATCCAGAACGTGTACGGGTTTGACCTAGTAAACGCGAAGAAGATAATAGGGATAATGATGAAGAGGTGGATGAACATGCCGACCAAGGTACCGCCAATGAGAATCCCCAGGTTCGCACCGATCTCAGCAATATCCAGACGGAACAGATTTGGCATGATCAAGAAGAATACACCAATTGGAGCGAGATGGATCAAAACAGTGATGACCTTGAGGACGATAACTTCGATTTCTTCGACGGCTCGGTGGATTGCGCCTCCTGGTTTGATGACATATCCAAGGACGACTGCTGTGACGAGTACCGAAAGAAGGGCATCGGTCGCCAGCGCGTTGACGACATTTTGGGGGACCAACGAGAAGAACATGTCTTCGACGACATCATGGATGGCAGTTTCTTTCCTTTCGTCCACAAGCTCTTTGTTTTCTTCGTCCAGGTCCAGAGCACTTCCTGAAACTGGGTTCATAAGTTTACTCCAGACTAGGCCGACTAATAGGGCAGAGTGTGCGACAGCGATAATGGTGGTGATGACGTAGTAGCCAATGGTCCAGCGAGCGAGTTTACCCGCTGCACCGCCTCCCTGTGTCATGTTGCGCAGACGCTGGATTGCCAGGATCATGGCGGTGACGATCATTGGAAGGACTACGGTTGTCAGCTTACGCATTCAAAGAGTTTCCATCGCAACATACCAACTGCCCTCAATGCGCGCAACCAAAGGTTACCTGGGATCGCAAGTATCGTGATGGCTGCGTCTGGTACCTCGTCCACGGTGGTAGTGACTGCCAACCCAATGGCAATGGCTAGAACAGCGGCGATAATGATCTGCCATACTGATCCTGGCGTGAGTACTCGCTGCACGAACGTCTTCTTTTCTTTTTCGGCAACGGTGGGCCGCGGCATAATATCTTCTGACGGCGTGCTGTTCGGGCTCGAGGTGGTGCGAACAGCGGCCTCGCCGTGCTTTATTTCTCCGGCTTCACCCATGATTGGCAGTTTCTGGGCAGGCGGAAAGAATGAAGGGCGTCTTCTGATTCCGAAGAGGTGGTAGAACAGCAGTCGAGTAGGCAGCCTAGTCGGTCGCGCACAGCAAGGACATCTTATACACGAACCCCGCCCCTTGGTATCTGCACATCACTTGTGTGGCAACCAAGAGATAACGATTCTGTTACCAATACTTCGGGATGCTACCGTACATTCAGACAACGCCCGACCCCAGTTCCCACGGCCTATCACAAGGACAAGCCACTTGAATCCGCAGGCATTGATTCGCCATGTCTGAGTCTAGGTCGCGACGGGACACCCGAGAGTATTGCAGACTATCTCCTCAGGCATTGGAACTCAACCCTTGGAACAATTGGCGGCGTTGGCGACTATCGAGCGAAATGGAAGGTTACAAGCAAAGTTGTATTCCGAGTTCCGTCTCGTCCTGTCTTGGCTGAACAAGGGTCGGTTGACCGGCAACGTTCTGCCAAGCTATGGTTACACCACTTCACTCAAGACATGACATACTATTGGACAATATGCGGATAACATAACGTTGTGGGGAATTGTAGCTCACGTTTGTGTGGAGGAGTGCGAAGCCTTGGTGTTTTCGTCGCGTGTGCATCCAAGCTTGGCCAGCGGCGCAGCGCATCTGGGCGCTTACTGCCATCGCGTATGCTAAGATGAGAATCATGATAAGGCCATGGGGCAAGTATCGGCTCAAGAATACTCGGATATGAGAGGGATGAAGACTTCCAGGCTCGTTATCGTGTAGGCACGAGGCGTCGAAGATCATTTGGAGGCGACACGGCATCCTTTCATCTCTATGTAGGTAATCTTGGTAACAGGTATCTTCTTGCCAACGAATTTTCTGTTATCGAACAGCTGTTATTATAAGGGTTCCGTCTGCCTGGATGGTGGACCACGAGGGTTCTGTCTGCATGCATTTGCGGATCGACCAGGCAATTCTAGGTACGCGAGGTCTCACTGCAACGACACCCACGGCTTATCGACCCATAGCAATGGTTGGAAAACATCTAGAACAGTGATTAGCGCCTAGATAAGCTGCTTCGATTTGCAACTGGTTTGCAGGCCCCACTATATGTTCTCAGCCAAGACGTTACGTCTTTGAGGTACGCACACTTGTCAATTTACCTCCTTCGTCACAGCGATATCAATGTTTCGCCACATATCTCCCGCGAATGCTTCTGGACCGTTATCGTCTTTTACATCACTTGTGTCGCGAATCCTAAATCGCAAGCAAGACGATGCCATTTGACAGTATTGGTGTTAGTATACATACGAAAGATTAGGATAACCTTCACTTCATCAGACCTCACAATGTAGGCGAAGTTTCTTGCCTAAGATTGCCAGTAATTACCACGATAAACATCGCCATTTCAAGTACAAGAAGTCGGGGAAAAAAGCCACTCGATTTCTTCCGTGGTGATGTCTTCTTCGGCGAAGCTTTCTTTGAAGAAGCGTTCCCTGCGATAGTTGTCCGGGGCGTCGCGTCTTCCGCAGCGATAATCAAGTTATAGTCATCTGTCGACGTTGCCCTCCATTTCGTGAACGAGAGAATAGGCGCCAGGGATATAGTACCGAGATCCATGGGGATTAGAAGCTCACTCGTCTTTGTCCGAGTCCCCATAGCCCATCGAGTCAGGTCGTTGTCAACAGGAAATCTGCAAGACTGAGCCAGCAGTGGTCTTCTTTAATACTCACCAGCCACCTGACCAAGTAATGCCATTACACATTGGTTGTGGGGTTGCTTGTCACCAAGAGCGTTACTGTCATGCCGAACGATGATCCGATCACGCAATTGCCTGTTACATTCGCCGAAGCAGTCAAAGGCTGCGTCGCCGCCGGACGGGCAACCGGTTACGAAACGCCTCAGATCTTCGCGGTCGATATTCTGCTAGTAAGGCGGACCATGATACTTCAACCAAACAAAGCGCGGCTGTGAGCAGTCAACTGGGAAGAAGATACAACGAGAATATAACCAGGATGGACGAGCGTTCTGTCCGAAGTATTGTAAGTTGTTGCAAAGCGGTGCATGCTTCTCCACATCTGCAACACGGCAGGCAGAGGGACAGTAGGGGATATCGACGCAGTGCATGCAAAATTCGTTACTAGAATTGGGACGTATGCCGCAGTAATTTCCAAATATCTCAACCGCGTTCATTTCGATTGATTACACAATCTACCAACAAGCATTTTATTAACATAGGCGTCTTTTATGCGACGCGATTGTCTCCGAGCGCAATTACTAGGTCATGTCGTCATGCGCATTTACTGTGCTTGTGTAGCCGACATGTCAGCAGAACCCGATGTTGACACGTGCACAAACGACTAGGAACCGGGTTTCGACTCTGTAGCGATGAATCAGCTATACACGTACAAAGATTTAGGTCTGCAGAATCTGCGCATACTTTCTCGTGGTACAGGCTAAGAAGCGGACTTCTCACCGGGTTAGCGATCGCGGAAGCCGGACACAAACTCACATCCGATCCGGGCAAATCGTGCTACGAAAGACCAACCACGAAACTACACTTGGGATCAGCCGGTGGTTATGCGCCAGCATTGTGAAACTATATAAGCTCTTGAAGCCACGCATATACTCATTACCAAACACAGCGATGTCTCAATTCAAAGTCGCAATCTACCTTTACCAAGATGCCGACCTCCTGGATTTCTCCGGCCCGGCCGAGATCTACTGCCACTACCACGACATGGAAATGGACATGAGTAAACCAGCTCCTTTCTCAGTAACTTCCTTCGCCCATCAGAGCCCCGTCACATCCATTTCCAAAGCTATGGTCTACTTGCCAAACGCCACTTTCGCCGAGATGTCCGGCCGCATTGAAGAGTATGACATCCTAGTCATTCCCGGTGCGCACGACAATACCATCAAGCAACTCATGAGCACCAAAGAGGGAAAAGAGTTGGCTGAGCTTATCCAAAGATTCTCGAACACGAAGCCAAGGAAAGAGACAGGCAAGAGGTTCCTACAATCAGTATGCACTGGAGGTCTTATCCTGGCGGCTTCTGGGGTACTTGCAGGCCGTACTGTCACAACGCATCATCTGTCTCTCGAAATGCAGAAGCAGCTCGCTGATGAAGCGGCGGGCGGTGATTCGAAAGTCAACGTTGTGAGGCAACGATGGTCGGACGCTGGAACTACCGACGCGGGTTGCCGCATTGTAACTGCTGGCGGGGTCAGCTCGGGTATCGACACTTCGCTATGGGTTGTGGGACAGTGTTACGGATCGAAGGCGGCGGAGATCGTTTCTGAAGTCTCCGAGTTTGACATGAGGCCAGCAGCGTGGGGAGTAACTCCATCATAGATGGCTTTGGGGCAAAACATGTCACGAGCGAAATCTCATTGTACTTGATGAAGTAGTAGAAAATGTACGTAAAACTCACTTGCAATAGAGAGCGAGAAGACAAACTCGAAGTGATTTAGCATGACTTGGATTCTAAGCTTTCCTTGATCGACCCTTTCTACTTGGGTCTACCGCCCTCCCATATGGACCAAGCAACGCTAATTGTGAGTGCTAGAGCGAGTGTGAAGAGAGCCAGCTGCCTCTATTCCCAGACCTCGATAGCTTACAAACTGGGAAAAGGGTGGATTATGCGGCCTCATCTTTAGCACCGTCTTCTAGACTATAAGGTATAGCATCATCTTGAGGACCATCTTCCAGGCAGCGCGGTGTAACTTCATCTATCAGCTCGGTAGCGCTTGCCTTGGCAAGGCGACCAACACGCTTGGCAGAGTTCATGTTGTTGATAAGTTTGCGTTCGCAAGCCGCCTTCTCGGCGCGCGCGACCTCCTCGAGAAGCCTAGCTTCCGTTTCTTTACGCCTCCTGGCACGGCAATCCATTTCCGCTTGGGGGTAGTACTCAATACCCTGTTCAATCCATCCTATGTTGCGCTGTTCAACTGCCTTACATTGTATCCTGAAATTTGCGAGGTGCTGTTGGGGAGTGGCGCTACTTTCCACCGCATTGTGAAGGTAGCGCCACGTGTCGGTCGGCATAGGTATGGAATCGGGATCTTCCAAGGCCTCTTGTTCCCAAAAGTATTGTTCATCGTCATGATCTTCCTGGTATTGTTCATAGCAGTGTTTCGACTCAGCCCGTTTAGCTTCGAGAGAGCGGCGGACGTGGACCTGAAGACGCTCTGGAAGAGCATTGATATCCTGTTGTATGCGATCTTCTTCTTCATATCGTTCAATATGCTTACGACGCCAGTATTCGAAGTTTTCGTAGGCCTTTAGGTAACTGACGTTGAGCTTACGTTGCTCCACTTCATCAAGCTTTACGTTGGCGAATCGATGGGCGTTTTGACAAGCCTCGGCCCATTTCAAGATGGCCATGGGCTCATCGCCCTGTAGTTCGTCCCACCATGCGCTGTTCGCATCGAATATGCCGGTAGGGAGCTTGTCTCGCCAGTCCGCATCATCATCCTCGTCCTTGTAGTCTTCTGCCTCTTCTTCTTCGGGGCTGAGATGAGACATACAATATTCATAAGCTTGTCGCATTTCCACAAAACAGGAAGTAGCTACTGCTTTGTTAACCGCATTTGTTTTGTCAGGATGATAAGCTAGAGCTAGAAGCTTAAATCTCGACCGAACTGAAGTTTCTGATGCTGTCGGAGCAAGGCCCAGAACCTTGAAGAAGGATGCGCCTGACATATTCGAATTCATGCGTAGTGACTTGTATTTTGGTAGTCGGGTAGATGGATTCTGAGAGAGCGGTTTGCCTTGGTGATGAAGTAGGGGGTGGATGTGTTTGGATGTGACAGTTGGAAGGTGATAGATCAGGGAGCTTACATGCATACGATGCGTTCGTGATGTTGATTCACTACTGCAAAGTACTAGGTTGTTAGCCATTGTACGCTTCCAGAGGCCGACGCAGCCGAAAGTGTGGCCGTAAGAAGCTGCAATGAAAAGCAATAAAGTTTGTGTTGAATTGCGTAGTGGAATGCGTTCAGTAGCATGAGTTCTTTCACATCTCATTTTGATTCTGCAACCCTGTCGATGTCAGAGTCTTCGACATCTAGAAAGAGTTTATTAGACTAACTCATCAATGCTTTCGTTCCTTTATTGCGAAGACCATAGGGGAGACTGCCCTGTATAACACATCACAGGTGTTGCGAAATTCCCCTCCATCCTGTGTAGAACCAGAAGTCAGTACTTGCATACTCCACGAGTTGACAATAGTGCTTGAAGATGGCTCTAGCTCCAGGATGTGTCCTTGATTTGAGCGCCTCGATGAACTCCGGCGCGACAGCGATCGGCCAGATCATCGTCGCTCGCAAGGCTGGATGAGTAGAAGTTTCCAAAGAATACTGAAGACCATTCCGGAGTACTTCAGCCGCCCTAGCAGCATTGATGTCGTCCGGCGACGGGTTGGCAGAAGTAGGACAGCTCAGCGCTTGGATGTCCACGAGGAAGGCAGATAACAACGACGGTGGCTTAGGCATTTCTTCAGCAGGCCGGACAATGGCTGCGAAGGGACCTTTTCTCAGCATGTCGGTCACACTGGTGAGTACATAATCCATGCCGCGTGCTAACTGCAAAATCTCCACCAAAACGTCCAAGTTGTACGCACGCGCGTCAGCAAATGCGTTGATAACAGTCATTGATGCTGCAGCGAAGATGGCATGGCAGTTCAGAGGCCCAATGTTTGCGACGGCCTGATTTAGACCTGTCAGTGCTGCGCTTTGATGTTTCGAGGCGGCCATACGAAAGTGTGCGACGCGGCAAGTGTTGATGTACGCGAGATGATTCGCGGAAAAGGCTAGTATGCTGTGTAGAAGGAAAGGATACTTGAAGGCTTCTTGTGGAACCGCGAGCCCCCAGATTTGCTTCACATGCTCGGTGCCCGGCATAGTTTGATATGCGTGGGCGGTATAATGGTGCGTCAGTTCCAAGTCCTGCATCCAACCATCCTCCGAGACACCTGCTAATACTGGAGATAGGCTCGCTTCTTGGATTAGGCCCGTGTCCAGTGGGGTTGTGCCATTTCCATTCGTGGGGGTTGACGCGTTTGTTGGGGTAGGATCGTTGTGTGGAGATGCTGTGTCTACACGGCTTGGACTTTGGCTTGCAACCCCTAGAAGACTGCACTCGACGCGATACTTAGTGCACGCGCCGCATGGTCTACTCTCGTCGCACTGAACGTGGGTAAGTATACGTTAACGCGACAGATTTGAAAAGGGAAGCTACCTTGACGCGTCTGGCTTTGCACTGTGCGCATCCCGAACGCGTCTTTTTAGAGCCAAATCTAGGCATTCGCACGACCTCAGCTGAACGTCACGTCGGCACGTAAATGGATGGATGAATGCGGGCTGGCCTGGCGTAATTGGGTCTCGCTCTCGAGAACGAAAGCGAGTGCGGGAGCTTTAGTGTTGATTACGTAATCACTATGGCCCACAATTGTTTCGTGCTTGCCCATCTGCCTTCTTCAAGTTGCATCTCAAACAAAACCTTACGAAGTCATGCTGCGTTCTGGTCAGAGGACAATGTCTGTAGAACGGCAAGGATCACTTCGAATGAACGGAGGCCTCAGGACGAGTATTCCAAAATGACTTATTCGTGGTCCTCACGATGGTTCATTTGAGACTAGTACTATGTCTAGTATCTATTATAGCAAGACGGCTGAGTCTGAACAGTAGAGTATGGAGAAACGAGAAGGCCATGACAGACACGTGTGTATGCAATACGACAGAACTGTTTCGGCGTACGCAATTGCGATCGTCGCAGATGCAAAATGGTGAAATGCTGTGTCTTAGGAATCGAATTGACCATTGCGCACTGGTGCTGACATGCCATCACTCTTATCAGACGCTGACGTGGTTCTGATAGAAAGATGAGAGCTAGGTTTTCTCTCCGATAAATCCTTTTTTCCGGCATTCGTTTTGCAACGTACCAGCGTTTTGGAAACCACTATATTAGATTATAGAAATTGTTGTACGTTGAACTATCTGGTCTTCGTTAGTACTGATAACCATCCGAAATGACTGTACTGGTGCAATATTGTGCAAATCAGAGCTATCTTCTACTCGCGCATCGAAACCAAAGTCTGCCACAACCCGGTGCACCCGGGCTAGTTTTCGCAAACCACGAGGCGTACGAAGGAAGGGCCGCAACTAAAGAATCTCGGTTCAAGTGTAATGTGAGATCATCATCGAAAGAAGGACAAGGTGGAAGGCAACGGAGGCGCGACTTACTATCCTTTCAAACATGCGCCCTGTTTTCACGCTTCATTTGCATGATTAGTGGCGGTGTGTGGGTGTGAGTGAGGTGGTTGGTGAGCTTGACGCGTCGATAACAGGCACGAGAAGGCCGGAGACCGAGAGCTGGAAGAAAGCTTAGCCGAGCGATTATGTCAGCTAGCGTGTTTTGTCTCCCCAGCAGTTCGGGCTACCATCTATCATATCTCTGCCTTTCCACCTTTACATTACATGTTTACAAAATATCCTCAGGCTTGACAACAACCCAGTTCTTATCCGCTGTAACCTCCCTGCCATTAGCAATCTGCGCCTGTGTGTTGTTTCTGATTTCCTCTTGCAGACGCTCAAAGTACGCGTCCCTGCGATTGATCCACAGATGCACACCTCCCTTTGCTGTATCGACTCCATGGAACTGCATGTACGAGTCGCTTCCGGGAGTATCACCACCGGCTAAGATGGGGCGCTTCCATTGATCGATGTAGGTAAGGATAGCGGCCCATTTCCCGGCAAACCACGTAGCAGGTGTCCATAGATACGGAGTCACGACCAAGTCGAGATTAGCGGTCTCGTTGTACGTTCCCTCCGTGATCTGTTTCCGGGCATTCGTAAGCGCACCAGAGGTGGTGTTCTTCAGAACGGTGGTAACACCAATGACGTTTTGAGGTGGCACATTGTATCCGTACTTTGGGTCACTGGCCACCATGCGTACAAGCTCCTCGTGCGCAGCGCTAATGACATAAACGGCGATGCCGTTGTCCATGAGAGCGTTGTAAAGTTCGACCTGGCCCCGGAAAACCTTTGGCGGATTTACGCTGCTGGATGTGACCTCGTCGCCGTCCCAGTACTTCGTGGGAATGGATGAGTTGTACGCCATGAGCTCATCCACATAGGTCTTAAGTTCGCGCAGTGTGAAGCCAGACCAGATTTGCGCGGCCCATGGATAGCAGACAAAGTCATCAATCTCGCACAGGCGGTTGTAGTAGCTGTACAACGATTCGGTAAAGTTCGCAGTGTCCTTGAAATCGACCAATTTAAGGCTGGGGTCCAGATCATCGCGTGTTAGGATGCCACGGTTCTCCAGGAAAGGAAGAAGCGATTCCTCGAGATCGTAGCGGTAACTGGTGTTGTCCATATCGAAGACCGCATAGTTGCTTTGATTGGCGTTCTTTGCGATCATGGTGGAAAGGGCAGTCGCTGCCTCAGCAGGCCAGTGCTTGAACTGAACCTTTGGAGAAGTGCCATACTGGGGTGTGGCTGAGCTCAGAGAAGCTGTGAATGCGAGCCATGCGGCTGTCTTGAGGGGAGTTGAAGACAACATCCTTTCCGTATTACCAGCTGCAGCGAATTGAACAAGGAAAACGAACGAGTGAGGATGCAGGACCAAGCCTTCGGGGATGTTGGGATTCCAGAAGAAATACTGCGGGGGCTAGGGTGCGTGAACCCTAGCGCATGAATACGGCCGATGTGAACGACCGAGATAACGGTCCCACACTTACGATTCAAGGTCGGGCCTACCTTGAAGAACATCTTGAATCTGTTGGTTGCGCTATCCTCGATTGATGCTTTTGCGCGTTGCTTGATCCAATAAGTATTCGCGCAAACATCGGTGCTATGACGTATGTGGAGCTGCTATAACAGGGTACGCACGCGGCTTCATCCGAAGAGCATGCTTACGTTCTTGAGAATTTTTATTCATTATTGTTTTCATCCTCATGAAATCCGACCAGACCGGCTCTTAATAATGCCATGCCAATTCCCGCATTCTATGCCACCAATTCAGACAACTCAGCCTGTGGTTCGCCGCGCTTCTCTGCAGGGAGTACAGGTTGCAATATCTGCGATACATATCCCTCTGGGGCGCCAACCCGAGAAACCCCATTCTCCAATGCCTTTAACCTCCGATGGTACCGACAGAAGAAATACCCTGCTGTTATTAACGCTATTATTGCGAACGCTGCGCCGAATGCTATCCCTACTATTGCACCGACAGATAGTGGCTCGTTATCCCTCGCGGTTGTTACGCTGGAAACTGGCGACGAAGTTGTGGTTGAAGAGAATAACGTTGAGGTCATGTTTATCACGCTAGTAGTAGATGCGATGAGTGATATAAACGATTGACCGTACGCCGTTGTTACACCAGATAATGGCGACGAAGTCATGGCTGAAGAGAATGGCACGGGGGTCACTGTCATTGTACTGATCAAAGGAGCCAGGAGCGATGTGAACGATTGATCGTAAAGAGTTGGGGTACTATCGATGTCTGACTTGATCGTGAGAAGCGGGCCCTGCTGTCCATTATCGCCGTCCTCAAGGTACTGGATATCGAAGTGGCATGCAACAGGACTATTCCAGCTACGGCCTGTATTCAATCTATCCTGCGGCGAGTACCTGCGGTTGTCGTTTACCCAGACTTTAGCTGATAGCCCTTTAATGCCCAAAGTATATTAGCCATAGTTGGCATCTATGCTCCGATGCTGACAATGTTCGGCGGGGTGCACAGGGGTGATTACATACAATTCACCTAGTTGCCTGTTCCAGTATCATCATCGCACCACAATTGTAAGAAGCCTGAATCGTAGTTGGATGTCCATTCGATATGTAGGACAGTATGAGCATCGATCGTCAAGACAGAAGAAGCGCTGTTCGGGTAGAGGAAAGACGCCGAGGATGATTGCGTTGCAGCACAGCTCAAAAGGTTTGCTATAGTAAAGCCTTGAGAGCAAAATGATTGCCCTGGCTTGCGGCGAACCATACTGTAATTGAAGGTGGGCTAGTATGTCTACAGAAGGGAGTGAACGAATGCAGTCATCGTGACTGAGGGGTATCAGCGTCAATGGCACGAAGACAAACAGTTGCGTGGGAGTTTGACCGTTCCGTACTTGTCAAAGTCTCCTGCAGATTTGTTGTGTCACTTGTACATCCAATAAGTTTCGTCGTTCGTTCCAGACCAATCCCAGTGTGACTGCGCAACCAGGCGTGATGTATTCGTGTTACCGTGGTGCCTTTGTGTTCGGACCCTGTTCGTTTTGGGACGGCGACGCGAAATTACATTGGCGAGAAGCTACTTCTGATATTACGATATTGGAAGCCTCCAGTTGCCGGAACACCTGAATTTAGTAGTAACTGATATCATTGCTTATCGGTTCTAAGGAGCAGTCCTGAACTCGTGCTCTTGTCCCAGCATTGTCTTTGTCGTGTCCATCGCGCTCACCATGCCGCTTCATTATCCATGATCTCTAGCCCAAGATCGCGGCAGCTTTGTAGATCTGGTATATTGCTAGTCCACTGCCGATAGCCCAAAGGCCGCTTCTGATCATGCTCTTCGAGTAAGTCGCGATTTGTACATACGCAAGACAGTACGCTGCCCTGACTACAAACCAAGCTGTGACGAATGTTGTCAAGCCCGTCGCATCGCCTGAGATGACCTCTCGTCCTATTCCTGTTGCGGTGGTGCGCTCGGCAATGATGCTAGCGATAACGGCGGCAGCGAAGAGGGGCATTTGTTCCATATTGTTCGACTGGGCGTTCTCGGCGCGTTGGTACTTTTTGAAGCTGCAGGTATGTTAGTATCGTACTAGCAAGGGACTTTAGGTGGGGAGAGTGGGGACGCCTTACACAGCATCGGGCACCTTGCCCTTCACGGCATCTGGTGACAACGCTGCCTTGGGGTTCGCGTTGTTGATCTTGTAGCCGTTGGCTGTGAGGAGGCTAGCGGCATATATGTGCGGGACGAGGGAGAAGACATAGTAGGCTGGGATGGCGAGGAGCGGGTAGTTGAGCGAGTTGGAAGACATCGTGGCGGTCTCCGTATCACTTCGAGGATGCGGTTTTCGAGGGGTCGTTTAATTGACTATGTAAGAGCAAGGCGGAAACTGCGGATGTGGTGTTGAGTTGGCGAGGGGTGTAATATACATCTGGGCATAGCCGCGGATTGACTTCGGGAGCGTTGACGTAGCTATCAAACCTTATGGGCTCAGGGTCCAGCAATCATGACGCGTATCTTCTTCGGCATCTTCATACTAGGCATAAAAATGAGGTGCTTCGATATATTGAGTTTCTCGGCATGTTCGTAGGGCTCGTTGTACTGCGATAGGGTCAGGTAGTGTTCCAGATAGCTTACATTGAGTGGACAAGAGTTGTCGCGCCTGACGTTCGAAGCCATCTCGGGATTTGGGCCTGGGCTTACTCAGCCCGGCTACAAAACATGCCAGGCTCGCCGCGCTGCCATACCTTCGTACCCAACGACGGTCGACCACGGATGGAAACATTAGCGGACAAAGCATAAGTTAATTCTTGCTACCTAAGCATCGCACTGGTGTTGGAACTTAACGGGACTTTGATCGGTCGTGAATTTGGATACGCGATCTGTTGCCTGTCAACCGTCCCGAACGCCAATACTTTACCTCAATATGATAGCTGAGATATCATTCTTACTACAGCTATCGTTATAGCATCCAGGCGCGTAGTCGAAATTTGAACTCGGGAGTTGACGTGGCTGTAGGCAGTGCCTCCACCTGGAGCCAATCGACTATGCAGCCCTCAGCCTCCGCCATGCATCTAGGCGCGAGCCAGCCTTGTCAACTTCGACCGTAAGCTTCACACACAGTCTTTCCGAAGTACCTCGACTACTTTTCTTCATATCTCCTTCTACTTCTCTCATTGTTTGGAAGTTCTTCCAGGGTTGCTACAAAGCCCGTCTTTACCTCAGTGCCAGCGGAACACGCTCAACTCGATTCGGCGTATTGTAGGTTGGAAAGTAGATCCATCCATATCGTGACTGAGGTAGCAGCGGCTAGTGGCGAGACTCCTGAGGTATGATAGTAAACCTAGCTAGAGAGCAGGCTAACACCCGGTAGTCGTGGTCTTCGCCCAGTTTCCTCAGTCCAGCGGCCGCCCAACGTCACGCGCATATGCTTTATACCCACGATGAACGGCGACAGCGGCTCGAAACGGGTACTACAAATTGAAGAGGGTCAGCACTATTTTCTCGAACCGGAAGACGAACTGCCTTACATATTACTGCGCAATCTGGGTCATGGCGGCTGCGCCAATGTAGAAGAGGTTCTCGACCAGCGTACCGGTAGGGTCTTCGCGCGGAAGGTCTTTCGAATCGGTGGCTCCTCTGCTGAAAGGAAGAGGATCTTTGAGAACGAGGTCAAAGTCATTCGACGGTTAGCTCCACATCATCATATCACCCAGATCTTTGCTACGTATGTAGGGAGGCGTCAAGTAGGTATTTTGCTGACACCGGTTGCCGATCGCGGTTCGCTGGACATATTCCTGCAGGATGCTCAGGATGGCCTCCTCACACAGGCTGACCTGAACGTCCTGTACTATTCTTTCGGATGTCTTGCCAGCGGACTACAATTCATGCACGCCCAGAAAGTGCGACACAAGGACATCAAACCTCACAACATTCTTGTACACAGAAACTCCTTAATATACACAGATTTTGGGTCGTCTCTCGACTACAGCGCAGCCACGCGAAGTGTCACTACGGGCCGACCTAACTCTACTACTCGCAGGTACGCTGCTCCGGAGTTGCACGATTGGTCACCACGTAGCTCTAAAACGGACATATTCTCGCTCGGGTGTGTCTATTTTGAGATCCTTAGCGCTCTAATGCGTGACCAGATAGAGCCCAACATGACACCCTACCGAGACCATACCGAAGAGATTTGCACGCTCATGCAGTTAACAAGTCATGAAAGTAATGATGCCTGGATTCGATTGGTCATAGAAATAACTGGCCAGATGCTCAACCTTGAGCCAGAATCTCGACCCTCAGCAGAAACAATTACCAGTCAACTATGGGCAGAGTGGCCAAAAGCATTCTGTAAGAAATGTCAGAGAAGCTTGTCGATATCGACCACGACAGCAATTTCAGTCAATCTGGTCTCCAATCCAACGACGACTAGAGCTAACTGGCCTGATCACCAGCCGCTCTACGATGACATGTATCAACCAGAAACGAGTGATTATGGCGCGAGCCAATTGGACATCCTGGATCCGCTATCGGCATTTCAAGAAGACCCGGTTTCGCTATCAGTAGTGCGGCGGTTGTCCAGCGACCACCTCTATCTAACACCAATACCACGTGTGCTGGATGCTCACAGGTACCTGCAAACCCATCCACCCAGACAGGATTATCAATTCTTAGACGAGGGTCATCCATGGACAGAACCGGATGCCATGCCGACAATACAATTGCCTTACTCTCATCATGGCCACTTACCGCAATCGGCATTGTGCTTTGGTGTTCCAAAAGGAGCTCCTTCCGACCTGACCGAAGCGAGTGACTCAGTCGTGCCGGGCATGCTTGAATGGCAAGATGGAGGCAACAATTACTTGGAGTACACCGCCCAAACCTTTGCACCAGAACCCACACTAACCGAACTGCAGGGTTTACAATGGAAAGCTCCTTGATTCGAACAACAACTTCGCTGATGCCGGGCATACGGGTGAAGAAGAAGATATCCTAGTTGAGGATAGACGCTCAGGACTACGACGAATAAACGATCTTACGCGAAGTAAGAGCGGGGTGAAGGTCTGTCCTCACAAGAATTGCGGCCGTGAATACAAGAGATCAGATGCTCTCCTGAAGCACATCCGAGCACATCATGGAGAAAGACTTAGATCAAGACGTAACATGTGATGGAGTGGATTTGATCATGGATTTTGCGTTTTCCATTGGGACTACGGTTTGGAGAATAAGTGGCGGGTTCAAACATTGAAGGCATGCTAAGACAGTCTCGTTACTATATCCGCGTCAAGACGCGAACAATTTCGCAGTTTGAATGCTCGGAGACGCTATTGCTGTTACTCGTAAGCTCTCGAGCCAGCCAAGGGATTTAATTGTTGTGAAACGTCACCACGCATACTTGGGAGTAGTACTATGAGAGATATGAATTATGATATACGAAAGTCAGCGCGGTATCACCATATTGACCATCGATATCAAGCACCCCTAGCAACGCTCATAACATCCTCCTCCAAATGCAGCCCCCTAAAATGCGTCAACACGTGCGGCAGCTTCTTCCTACTCCCATCAACCGCCGAATCTCTCTTCTCCCTCGCCGCAACCCCAATCATGAAGTCTTCCTCAAAAGCCTGAATTTCCACCCTCGTGTCTTCTAACCTGCCACATTCGCCTTTCTTCAAGCCCCGCACACCCGCAGGCCCCTTCCCATCCCACTTCATCGAAAACCAAATCTCCGCATCACTGGCTCTCTCACCCCAAGTCCCGTGCGTGCTACATCGCGCCGGCGTCCCCGGCGTAGGCGCACGCACATGCTTGAATTCCAACTGCGGTATCCACTCTGCAAGCAATGCCTCGCCGTCAAGTTTGATATACGCCTCCTTGAAGCACCAAAACGTGTAAAACCGTCGTAGTTTTGCGTCAATAAGTAAATCTGAATCAAGCTCCCTCTGTTCTCCACTCGGCAGCGTAACGTTGAGATGCTCATTTCGCCTACAACAGCGATCGTGTCGGCCCAGAATCTCATGCGTAACCATCGTGCCGTCAAGAAGAGGAAACGGATCAACGTTATACTTGATATCGAAGAGTTCCTCCGCGCTGAAGAGCTCAGCGTACATATCCACCCATCCATCGAAACCCTCTTCGTCCACAACGCGATAGTCATTCCGCTCGTTGACGCAGACGATATCCACGCCGACTTCTGCGTCGAGTTCATTGGTTGCGCAGCCTACGAGGGCAACAAGACCGGCTTGGTGACTGATGTTGAATTCCACGGGCGCCGGGCCATGTTGCGGTGGTACTCGCAAGGCGATAGGCTTCCCATGTTTGGGATCGCGTTTTCGGCCGAAGCGGATGTCTTTCCAAGGCGTACCGAGAGTTTTGTGGACGAAAAGGCGTTTTAGTAGGGCGGAACCTAGGCTCATGCGCGCGTCCGCTATGTGGTATTTGCGTTTTATAAGGTCTTGTTCCTCGGGGGTGACGAGGGAGAGTGCTTCTCTGGCCTAGGCATGGTTAGTTGACGTTCCAAGCATACAAGTGTTTGTGACATGGCATACTGATTCTGAATCTGTAATCTTCTCTCCAGGCCATAGCGATCGTGTATCCAGTAGCCAGCACGTGAGACCGTGTCCCGTTGGCTCTTGATCCTGTTTGTTGATCATAGCGCCTTCATCCACCGTCCTAGACTGATACTGGGCCGGATTGCGTTATCGGCTAAAGTAGTGAGTCTAGACTACTAGAAGGAGTCTCGCCTTATATGAGCCTTGGGAGCCTTAGTGTGGGTACGACCTTTCTTGACGTGATGTGTAGAACGCGTGGAGATCTACATGTCATGATCGTTCACGGAGTCAATGGGGGTCCCGAGATGTCGATGATGGAGAGGTAGATCAAAGAGCGGCACCGTCTCGGGGTAAGCGGGTCAATAGGGCTGAAGCAAACGCATGTGAGGTGACATGTGCCCACGCGGGCGATTACCGCGTTTTAGTGGGGGCTGGGCTTATCGATAAAGATTTCGCCTTTGCCGTCATTTTCCGTTGCATGACTGTACACTTCCTAGACGCTTTAATTCCTTCTTTCCTACTGTGACGGAGTTTGTGGAGTTTGATCAAGCATCAGGATGACGGTAAAAATCGGTGCTCAAGATATCACGGTCGGCGTCCTTGCCCTCCAGGGCGCTTTCAGCGAACACATCCAACTCCTCCGCGCGGCATCCTCGAATGTCTCCTCGTCGCAAACCTTCCACTTCATTGAAGTCCGCACACCAGCCCAACTCGCACAATGCGATGGCCTTATCATCCCCGGCGGCGAAAGCACAACCATGTCGCTCGTAGCCGCACGAAGCGCCCTCCTCGAGCCTCTCCGCGACTTCGTCAAGGTGCAGCGCAAGCCAACGTGGGGTACATGCGCCGGCCTGATTCTACTAGCAGAGAGTGCGAATAGAACGAAGAAGGGAGGTCAGGACCTGATTGGAGGTCTAGACGTGCGAGTGAACAGAAACCATTTCGGGCGACAAACCGAGAGTTTCCAGGCAAACCTCCAACTGCCCTTCTTAGAATCGACGAGCGAAACGAATAAGACCGATCCATACCGATGCGTCTTCATCCGCGCGCCTGTTGTGGAAAAGGTGTTACCGAGTAAAAAGGCAGTGGGTGTACAAGAAGGGGAGAGTAAGAGGGATGATACAATTGTCGCGCCGAGTAAGACGCCCGTGGATGATCTTGCGAGGAAGGAGTTGGAAAGCGAAGTTGAGGTCATGGCTACGCTGTCGACCAATGCGAAGCCTTTGCAGGAGAACCAGGTACATGACCATCCGGGTGTGGAGGATATAATAGCGGTACGACAGGGCAATGTGTTTGGATGCAGCTTCCATCCTGAGCTGACGGACGACCCGCGGATACATGTTTGGTGGTTGGGAGAGGTTGTCAAGGCGGTGGAGAGGAGACAGCAGTTTGAACTTGCGGATCGGACTAGATGAGTGACAGAAAACGTTAGACATCGGCGGGCGCATGGCTGGGTGGCGTTCTCATATAACATAAGAGAGGGCGTTTGAAAGGTGGAACTGAGTTTTGGGAAGGTATCTAATGTGGTATCTTTACCCCCCTATGAGCATGTGCTTACAACTAAAGCATTAATGAACAATGCCGAGTGATAGACGCCAGACGCCTTCTTTGCAGTGTTTAGACACCCAGTCGAAATTGGGCTGAGTGCGTTTCCCAGGATAACTAAATTGCCCTACATCGTCTTCAGTCTCAGCGTGGTCATGCTCGCCCATGTGGCATAGCGCGGCGGCGCTAGGTTCTCCTGATCAATATGGCCTAGTTGTTTTTCTCGTGTCTAACGTCCTGGTTGTCCGAGAGGTATTAGTCCGTTGTCATCTTACTGTGCCTCGTGATATTCGTCCACAGCTCTGCCGTATCCGCCTCTGCCAGGATCATACTCGGCCCTGTACTCGTCGCGCACTTGACCGCCGCTCTTTCCACGTCCGTACTGCCTTCCCTCGGCGAAACCCTCGTCCAGATCCGTCCTGATGACACGCTCATCGAGCTTAGTGCCACCAATGTACTTCATGCAGTCCAGCGCATCCTGGTGTGTGTAGTATTCGACGAAGCAGAATCCGCATGGCGTCTTCTGGAATCGATCGAGACCCATTACTAAGCGCTTGATCTCGCCGCATTTGCTGAAGAGCTCGTGGATTTGTTCTTCGGTGGTGTAGAAGGAAAGGTTACCGACGTAGAGCGTAGTTGCGTCTTTGAGCTTGTCTTCGGGTGAGGGAGAGCGGCCGCGGTCATCGTCACGTCCATTGCGGTCGCGTCTGCGCTTCTAGAAGAGAGTCAGTCCTTGGGTCCTAACGCGATGTCCTGTAGCCTTCCATACCTTTGCTGTCGCATACGAACTTGGCTTGTCGAGGCGGTCAATGGTACTGCGAAGCGCCGGCATGATGCGCGCCCTCAACTTCGATGTCGGCTAGATTTTTAGGAAGCGACCGTGGCCCGGGGGATTGAGAGAATATCAAGGTTTGTTTTGGTGTGAGTGTAAGGACTGGGAGTGGAAAGTCGAGCTCGGAGCTCTCCAGACGCGTCGGTCTTGGCGCTGTATCGCGCGGCTGGAACTTTTGTTTGTCCATACTCTTACCTCTACAATCCACGCAACTATTACCTACCCACACTTAACTCTCTCAATATTACCCGAGGGAGCTCGTCAGCATGCCAAAAGTACTGGGTTATACGCCGGATTGGCTCAGCCGACCGAACCCAGGCTATCATTTGTTTGCGCCGAAGCAGACGAACGGAAATGGAGTCGTAGCAAAGAAACAGGAACCAGGACCGCGAAAGAACATTGCGACAAGGGGATCTGAGATATTCGTTGCTGTTGGGAACGAGATACGATGGGCGGATTTGGTCAACCTCAAGGAAGAACAACAGCCCGCATACCGAACACTCAGAGTGTCGATACCACTGCCGATCACGCGTCTCGTTATTTCTCCCGAAGAAGACTACCTCGCCGTCTCCACCTCGCATACGGTACACGTAATACACCTTCCCGACTCGTCGCTGCTCGGAGCTGGAGAGGATGACGGCCCGTTGAAGCCAAAGGCCTTCCAGTTGGGACCGACCGTGCACGTTCTTGAAGAGTCGTCTGTCGCAACAACACTATGGCATCCATTGGGCTATCACGGACGATGCCTGGTCACTATCACAAAGGCGGGGGTAGTTCGGCTGTGGGAGATCAACCGCGCCGACAGGTCTACGTTCAGTGAGCCATCGCTCTCCATCGATCTGCCCAAACTCGCAAACGCTACCAGCGATCAGGACGATCTGAGCGCCTCCAAATTCGGAGCTTCCAAGGGCTTCTCTCCCGACTCAGTCGAGCTTGAAGTTGCATCGGCATGCTTTGGCGACTTCCCAGACCAAGAAGGTGTCCATGGCTGGGCGCCAATGACATTGTGGATCGCGACGGTACTTGGAGACGTATATGCGCTCTGTCCTCTGCTACCGAGCAAGTGGCAGTTGGTCGAGTCGCCCGGCAGCCACACATTCCTCCAAACCCTTACCTCGTCCATCAACATCAACTATGCCGAGCTCTCAGAAGACGAGACATCGCCCAAAGACGAATTGAAAACATCAGAGAAGCAGGTCTCATGGCTGTCGGACATCTTATACGAGGAGCCTCTCGCAGAGGAGCGTGCGCAGGGTGACACAGTTCAGGTCTTCGCTCGCCCACACAGTGCGCCTGCGGTGCCGTTGCTACAGGGACCCTTCACTATCTCGCCTGAAGTTGACGACTTTGAGCTTAGCGACATGATAGTTTTCTCCCTCAAGACCCTCTCCGAGAGCGAAGAGGAGGAGGCTGCCGAGGGTCTACCGACCGCTGTTGTGTGCTTGCTCACCGAAACGAGCAAGGTACATGTCTGCTTGGATCTCGAGGGCATCGTCGGCCGATGGCTGCCATCACCCGAAGACGAGATCGATACCACAGAGCCAACCGAACACGAGCTGATCATCGCGGAAACAATTACGCTGGTGCAAAGCGATCAACCTTCGTTCAACCAGAGCATCACCCCAGATGTACATACCGACTTTTCATTCTTCGTGTCACATGCCAGCGGGGTCTTCTACGTTTCAATAGAACCTTGGGTTAGGAAGCTGGAGACTGAGCTATCCCAGCCGCAGACCGAAGGCTCGCCATTCCGTATCAAGCGCGTATTGGAATCAGCGAACACCTCTGTGGATCAGTACCTCCAGCGACGCGTATCCGGAGACGTGGACGAGCAAGAAGTCACTGCAGTTGCTGTCATTGAAGACGGGAACGTCGGCTACCTTCTTCTTACCATAGTCAACGGTGAACCCCAAGCTGCTTTGCTCGATGCACCTGAAGAAGGACTTCCTACCCAAGAAGAGATTGCTGAATACATGGCAATCACTGGTCCCAACAAGGAAGTGCGTCAAGCTTGGCAACCACCAAAAGAACTTTACGAACCGTTCGACCTTTACAATTCTATTAACATCCCCGCACGGCATCGAGGCGCCCTCAAGGATGAGATCAGGCTGTCTCCTGCGAATCTAGGGCTCCTCATGGATGTGCATCGCGTACTCTCTGCGCAGACATCCAAACTCCAACTCGCCGTATCAGATCTGTTCAACCGCGCGACGCGTCTACAGGAAGAGTTCAGAGATCAAATCTACCGGACGTCTGGTATAGCAGCAAACATCGACGGTGTCACCGGCAATGACCAAGTCGGTTCAGACAACGGATCAACATATGGCAGCGCCAACATCGATGAGCGTTTGGAGAAGGTTACCGCGCGACAAGATCAGATCAACGCGCGTTACGAAGCTCTTCGACGAAAGATGATCAGCATCGGCTCCAGCGAACTCAGCGAAAAGGAGAGCAACTGGATCGAAGAGTTGCAGACCATGGACAGCGCCATTGATCCTGCAAGCGAGACTTTGACCGACACTGTTGATGGCAGCGAACGTCCGGCCTGGCAGCGTATCAACAGGCTCAAGGAGGTACAGAAGGACCAAGCGCAACAAATAGAAGCAGCTATGAGGAATGCCAAGCAGGCAGGCGAACAAGAACAAGCGAGAGGTACCGGTGTCAAAGTACCAAGCTACTCGAGGAAGGCAGAGAATGAGCAAGTGCAGGAGCTGATACAGCGGAATAGTATGCTGGTTGAGGCTGCTACGGACAAGTTGCGGAACTTGGGAGTCAATATCCCCGTAGAAAGTGGTATCTAGATGCATGATGCGGCTTGAGGTGGCTTGGGAAAAGCGCGTTGCATTTGGTGTTCATGAGTTGATAGAGTCAGATGATTGTAGGATAATGATCTCGCCGTCTTGGTATGTCTCAGTACGTTGGAAATGTGCTTATCGCCCTTTGCGAGCTTCTTATCGAAGCCTTTTACCGCAACGTTCCCATTGGGTATATCACTGAGAGGCAAACTAGCAACCGCGTGATGAAGGCGAGGTGTCCCAGCCTTTTCAACTCCCCAGGTCTACAACAAATCCTGCATTGCGCACATTTCGTGATACGCCACCATAGTCGCTGAAGCGATAACAGATTTCTACATCTCCGCTCGGGTCTGCTGGTGAAGATTACGGTTGTTTTTCTTATGCTTATTTGCCCGGAGCAGCTGCCATAACACGTCCTTCATGTGCAGCTGACACCGGTCAGGCTGAAGTTAAGCCACCCTCACGGCGGATGAAGTGGTACAAGAATTGACTCCTGTCCTCAACGCTCACCGGTTGACAATGCTTACCTGAGGCTCGATGTTCGCATCTTCCTACTGGATGCCTTGTTACTGGCAGGCAATCACTTTGGGGGCCATAGGGTAGCATTCCAGCCTAGCAACTGCACTGCGTGATAAAGGCGATGCTCACCCACCAGGTCAACTCCAGAGTGAGTTCTGCCTTGCGCGCCTTCCAGTCGATATGACAAACTTCACAGAATGTGAAGCGCGCTTCTCAGCCAACACCCCCGATGGAGAGTCACTTCGCAGGCAATGGGGATGGAACGGTACCATCATTGGCATTGTGTACAATAACATGACCCAGATATCCAGAGAAGGGTGTATACAAGTGTGTGGCTCTGAAGCGGATATATACGCATGGAGAGATATTTCAGGAGTGATAACCACCTGGGTACTGCCAACCATCGGTATACTCTTGCAAGCACCCTTTGAGAGCAACGCAGCTCGACGAACATTGTTGGCCATCACGCGATGGGTGGGCTCGCCTATCGAATCGCTGTCCTACGTATTGTGGAACATCAAAGTGTCCGCCAAAGCTGCCTTAATGGTCGACATGGCTGTTGAGTACGACGAGACGCCCAAATGTACGACCGACTTTGGCAGCATGCGAGACTCGATGTATCTCTTGCTGGTCATGAACCAGTACACCCTGAAGTCGACAGCCATGCCAAAGGATTTTCAGAAAGAGGCGGAGTGCTTGTTACGCATCGCACTCTTCAGCAAAGACCTCATATTAACAGATACCGACAAGACGCTTCATGAAATGAGACGTATACTGGCGCAAGATGTGCGTGAGACGAGAAGAAGAGGCACTGTACCGGGTAATCGCTCTCATTCAATAAGATTGCGCTCGCTAACTAGTATTCTAGCCTTCATCTCCATCCTGTGGTTCTTGTTCGCGTTCGCGCTTTCCATACAAGATGCTTTCAGTGAACTGGGAGCCAATACTACTGCTCACGATCTGGCGTTGGGCTGTCTGCTGGCCTGGTTTCCAGTCCTTATCATGGGCTCTATCGTAGACCGCAACCCGATTGCAGCAGAAGCGATCCGCAAGAAACTGAACACATTGGTCGACCACGTTCGCAATTCTTTGCGTGACGAGCAAAATCGTAAGGAGTACCTTGAACCCTTTCGAGGCCAGTCAAACTACCATGAGTTGGAAGCCAAGATCGAGAGTGTAGCAGAGAAAGCACAGTACATGGACGGGTTTTTTGTGGATTTTGCTGGTCAAGCGCGGGTCAGGTGGCATTATGGTGCTGCGCATGCCATTCTGTGCGATATAGAGGATTGTTATATTCAAGAGAAGGGCCGTAACTGGCTGGCAAACGAACTCGAAGCACGAGTGAGTCTGGTGTTGGGGACCGTCAACGACGAGGGCTTAGTTTGGTTCGATTTTCGAGAGTTTTGGCAGATCATCAGTGCCGTCACAATCGTCGGCGGAAGTTGCGGAGGCGCATTTATATTGAGCTACTTCACGCCCACCATCGGTCTCGGTTGTCGCAGCGGAGGGTACACCATTTTCTTCACCGTCTCAACAGGTCTGCTTATCGTTGAAATGGCCGTCTGGATGTACTTTTCTCCGTATGAAATTACTCCGCGTTGGCTAACCCGCTTCATGAGTTACCTACATGACAGTCCCAATTTCGATGATTGGGCGAGGTACGCAAAGACGAGATGGAGAAGACTGGAACAAAGATTGTCAGGAATGTGTGAAGCCATGGGAGACTTGTTGATTCGTTGCATAGTCTATGTTGCTCTCATATTGCCGTGGAAAGACAGGGAAGCTGTTAGAGAGAAAGTCAAAGATGTCCTAACGGAAATGAGGACCATCTGGAGCAACATGCTTCCACAGAGAAAGTGGGACCTCATCTTTTTCCGGCCCATAGAGACCTTCAACACCATATGGCTAGTAAGTTATGCTTGTAGTCTCTGAGTAAGAAGCACATTACTGACTACTTGCCTACAGTTATATATCGTCATGGCGCAAGTTTCTGGGTTGTACAGAACTTGTGACTGCATAACTAGTAATTGGTCGTGGGGTGGTGGCTACCTTGATTTCAGTCAACAATTCAACTCGAACAGCTACTGGATTGCCTGGTGCTGGGTCTCGGGTACCTCATTAACCGCGTCAGTCATGGGTCTATCTATGTTATACATTACGGTAGAGGTAAGCTGTGGCACCCCACGAAATGCATGTGAGGCATACACTAACTAGATTCGTCTTTCCACCTTTCCAGTGGTGCCAGCAATCCTTTCTCTCGACCGAAAACTACCAAGACGCCATGAAAGGCTTACGAATGACCCGAAAATATCGATCGTGGACACTATTTGCTCGTCACAGATCCCGCGTTACGTTGACCCGACTAAAGAAGCTCGCTGTTGCTATCCGTCTGATCAAAAAGCCACGTAAAACGCTTGTGTGGACCAAATATTCCAAGCTGGATTCGGTCCTGTCTAGCGCAGCTTCTCCCTCTGGCAATGACGATGGCCACTCCATACCTTCAGTTGAGTGGGCGGACTACGATGCTAGAACGCATAATTCGGTGTTAGGTACGCTGGTCATAACACACTCCTCGATTCCGCTGATAAATCTACCACGTCAAACAAGCGACGAAAGCGACGCCACGGTCGATCCACGCGTGCCCAGTCGTCTGCGCATAAGTGATGACTCTTCCACACCTCTTGTCCAGAGAGCATCGCAGGATCGTCAGCAACATGAAAGCGAAGCCCAAATGCGCAGCGAGGAGTATAGCAACGACGACACTCCCTTCTTCGAGCAAGGACGAATGCGCACTAGCTCACAGACGTGGCCAAATGCGCAGGATCCGGTACAGAACCGAAAAGGTTATCATCGCGCGAACTCAGACCCGGGGTTTTCGCATGACCCTAAAGACAATGAAAACGTTGCATTGGAAATCTGAACGGAATCACCATTCCAGAGATACATGTAGACGAGACCGTCTCTACATAAAGCCTGGCCTCAAGCTGCGGAATACACATAGCGCGGCCGAAGATTTGGCTTTACACAAAACGGGCATGTCTCCGACCCGCCGACTAATCACGTATTAATCTGCCCTTTAAAAATTGGCGTATACTTCTCGATCACATACTTCATATCCCCATAAGATCTGTAACCATCAAGTCAGCAATAAGTCCTTGTACCCATCGGTTCGGCACCAACTTACTGTTCCCTAAAGCTGCTTTCCCCATGACAAGCGCTCGCATGCAAGTTCATATAAGCACAGTAGAGCCTCCCTCTATCCTCGGAGTCTTCTACCGGCTCACTTGCCCCCATGATCTGTATATACGTGTTTGTATACACTTTCTGACCTAGACCCTTACTAAGATGCCCACGCCATATGACAATCTCCATCTCTTAGTGTGCTTACTATGCGCAAACGTCAAATGCGTAGATTTCTCCCGTGGCGGTATCGGTGCTGATGTTGCCATCCCAGAGGTCGCGGTGAATCAGTGTGGGTTTTTATAACGCGACCGTTGGATGTGAGGGGGAGGGGAGGAGGACGAGGACGACACAAGAGATAAGTCGACCGGTACATTCTTGTAGATATTTCCATTGCCCGTTGATGTCGCGGTTGAGTTTCATGGCGCCGCCGAGGAGCTGGATGAATAAGTCTTTCCAATTGTCTTGCTAGACTGTCTGCTGGGGTAGGTTGCCTTGATACGTGTTTATGTGGAAACCAAATTGTCCAGTCGGTGACTCGCTGGAGAGGTGGAGCATGACGAGTTTTTTGCATAGCTGTTCTGGATCGGGTGCTTGACTGGTGTCCATGTCAAGGAAGGAGCAGAGCAAGAAGTAAGATTTGGGGTCTGATACGTTGAATTGGGCGTATGCGTAACGTTTGGGAAAGAAGGTTGATGCGACTTTGTAGAGCTCACACATGGAGTTGTACTCGCCTTCGAGCATGGCTTTGCCTTGGTCGCCATCTGCGCACTTGATTCGCGTTAGCTGGGTTGCTACCAGGATACCTTTTTGCCGACAGGACGGTTGTAGTTACCTTCATAAAGCTCGCCGTCTGCGCGTGTGGTCTCTATCTTTGCGGTCACTGTGCATTCTGATGCGCCGTGTCGGTTGCAGCTGTAGACTTGAGTACCGAGGTGTAGTTCTGCTCTACGATTAACAGCTTACTACGTCGTGAGATGTATAATGCATACTGTCTATTACGATCCGATCGAGCCGAAAGTCGCCTTGAATGGGTTTGCCATCACTATTCCCTGGAGTTATTAAAGGAACTCTGCCTAGTGACTCGGTGGGCGGCTGCCACTGCTCTACAATATCTGGTGTAGTCGACATCCTCGATCCAAGTAGTATTGCTTGTTAATTCTCGAGGACTACGATATTGTGCTTGGAAAATCCTACGTGTCTCTACGCTGTCAATACAACGGTCAATGAAGACCGACACTGGGTGTTCGCGCTCATGACCCATGATTGTGTCGTCATAGTCCAAGAAATCCACTTACGACAACAACAGGGGCGCCTTTGAAGGTTTCAGGTATGTCAGCTTGCTGTATCTTGTACTGGAACGAGTCATATGCACAGGCTTCTTGTCGGCTCGCGTTTTGTTCAGCATGGGCTGTACTACATTCAATACTTGCAGTCACCGAGCTAGCGATAGTTTACATAGTCGAACAACGACCTGGGTATCTCCCATACGAATAGAAACAATGCGTAGACCCTGCCCCAGAAATGCTTTTGAAAATGCAAACCGTCCGTCACGCCCAAATACGCCATGCTATGCCTTTTGCTACGACGCGGAAATACTTGCACTAGAAAGTGTAGTTGTTGTTACCGCCATACTCCATCCCAGCATCGTCGCCTAGATGATCGACGTGCATAAACTCGTCAATGGAGAAGGGGTCTGCCATATTACCGGAACCCATGTTCATGTCCATCGCATCGTGAGACTGCTGTTGCTGACCCATAGGCTGACTCGGAGGATCCAAGCCCTCGACAATGCGCGTCCCTTTGGGCACAGAGGCTCCAAAGGCACCAATGCGGTCAGGTTGCGCCACACTGGCTCCTTTGCCCTTGCCTGTTGCATCACCACGCGAGTTCATCCAGATGCCGTTTCCGCCCTCGCCGTTCTTGACTGCTTTGGCAAAAGGCTCTTGAAAGACAAGGCTTGTTTCGTACCAACGACCTTTGATGTCGTCGATCTCTATCTTGTACGATGGCTGGATGAGCTTCCACCAAGCTGCGGTGCGTGTGAGGGGTACGAGCATTCGGTTCCGCCAGACCATGTCATGAACCATGCGCGATGGGATGTTGTTGTTCTGCTGAGGTGGTTTGGGGGGAAGGTTCGCGTCTGGTGCATCTAACGTGGCGTAACTATAAATGTCGCCTATAGCAATGACTTTGGTGGTAGGCGGATTGACAAGGATTTGCTCGATAATGTCGGTCACAACCATGAGATCGGTGCCCGTGGCGCCTATGCGCAGACGGACAGCCTCGCCTCTCCAAATCTTTTCGGCGCCCAGATACATGCCGTTGTATTGTCGCACTTCGTTTCCCTTGTCGTCCTTGTTCGTCTTGAGGCACTCGAAGAGTGTATACGTGGTATCGATGGCTTTTGCAGCCAATATAGACGCGTCGACAGACGCAATGCCCTCACCTCCCTGTCCGCTGATGAGTGCTCTCCAATCCGTGTTGTGATATTCGAACTGGGGGTTCTGCTGTAGGAAGGGAAAGGTGCAGCTGGGTGCAGACCAGGCGAGCCAGGGTTTGACATGGTCATCTGTTTGAACGACTTCTTGTGGAGGCGATTCGAAAGGATGCGATAGAGGCTGAATCAGGTAGGCTCTGCTCATAGGCACCTCTTTCACAGCCCATCTTCGCACCACCAGTCCCAGACCCCAGGCTGACGTCTTGGGGCGGAAGAACCACACCACCTCGCCGCTCCGGCAGAGGAATTTGTTGTATGACAAGTCGGCTTGTTGCTCGATGGATCGTGGCTGGGGGAGAGGTGTTGACTGCAAGGTGGGAGGAGCTCTGATCTGTGCGGCGCCAGGTGTTGAAGTAGGCCTAGGAGCGGCGACGGGCGTAGCGGGCTTGACAATGGGACTTGGGATAGGCGCACCGGTCGAGGATCTTCGGGCGGGGATTTGCACTATAGGGTTGCGTCCTGTGACGTTTGTATTTGGTACAACGCCACTGGAGCTGTTTTCCCGCTTGATGGCAGCAGGCTGTTCCTGCTTGACTTCGACCTTGACTTGGGGCTTCTCGACGTCGCCGGCGGGCGAGCACATCTTGCACGTGCAGTTGGCCATGTCGCTATTCTCGTCGGTGCACAGCCACAGGAGATGGGGAAAGAACTCGACAGGGCTCCTGAAGCGCTTCTTGGGACCTTTGGGGTATCCATAGAGATAGGCGTCTTGTCTGTCGTGGCCGCCGCCCGAGTGGTTCTTGACTGTCTTCAGCTGACCGTCTGCCTTGGTCTTGATATGCTCGTAGAGGACGTAGTTCTCGGGTAGCTCCCATAGAATACATTGCTGCCACCGATCTGTCACAGGTCAATCTTCTGCAGCGAATGCGTTCGCATCAGCCATACCTTCGAACTGCTTGCCTCCAATCTCGCGTAGGAGCATCCCGCCCAGTTTCTTGCGCCAGTCTTGGTGCTTGGGGTCTTCCTTCTCAATGAGGCGGTAGAAGTCGCGCTGGCCCTGGTCGTTGGGCGACGTGTTGAGCTGTTCCTCGGTCGGGCCATTTCTGAGCGGCCGGCCTTTGAGGTTGACAATGTGCTGCCCATCCGACTTGGAAGCGAAGATGGGGAAGAAGGGCGTCATGGGCTGTTGCGCCATGGTGGTCGGGGGTGGTGCGCCAGATGCGCGGGCGCGGGGACTGGATTCGGGAAATGTCGACGTGTGAGGGTCGCGGCGTTGGATAGACGTGATAGCTCGGAACGGTTCCGGAAGGAACGCCTGCAAGTCGCGCTAGGACGCGTCGGCCGCAATCGACGTATCGCCTCCGCGCCTGACGATGCGGCGAGGCTTCACTTCACTTCACCGTGAAGACGCCCAGTCGTCTTATCACGCTCCTTTGGGCACGCTGTGTCGTTTGGTTTCCTCCTCATCATCACCGACCTTGTCTAAGACTTTTCTTGCCGTCTTTTGCACTCGTTTCTTACCAACTACACTTCTCTGTCATTTCCCTTGCACTGTACACCCCTTGCCAATTCTCATTCACTGCGCAATAACTGCCTACAAGATATCCCCCAGTCGTCGTCATGGCGGAACATCCGATCATCACCCTGGGTTCGCCCCAGCCCATTACTCCCAAGAAACGAGGTGGCATTTACGAAGACCTCCTGGCGCAGTTTGGATCAGAGAGCTCAGCCCGGTCGGCCACGAAGAGACGACGCATCTCTTCGCAACAGGCGACCAAGCAAGATGAGACTAGCGATAACAAACGCAGCCTGCGCGCACAACCAACGCCAAACTACGTCGCCGCCGACTCATCCGCAAACGAAGCCTCCCCATCCACGCCTAACTACAAGCCCAGGACCGGAGCCGACAAGTACACTCGCGCCTCCACAAGACGAGCTGGCGCCGACGTGGGAACCAGTGAAGACGAACTCGCCCCATCAGCCCGCCCGAACCGCAAGACAAGCGCCAGAATCTCGGCCTACACCGAGGAACTGAAGATGGAGAAACGCAAGAAGGAGCGCCAACAATCTGGTGGTCTTCGCCGGAGCACGCGCGACAGGAAGAGCACTATCCTGGAGTCCGACACCATGCCTACCCCGTCACCACCCCGTCGGAAGGCAGCCCGGCCGCCGCCCAATCTCGACACCGCTCGTGCCCGTCTACGCGACGACATTGCTAAGAAGACCAAGGCGAGAGCGAACAGCTTCCTTGTCGCCAACAAAGATCTTTTTCTCCCACTTCTGCCTAAGAACAACCAGGTCGCGAAGCTCGTCGCTCAGGGCGATGCGCAGCCCATTGTCGAGTACGAAGAGCTTCCGGAGCAACCCAAAGGCGTCACGGCTGTCATGAAGCCATACCAACTGTCTGGTCTGTCGTACTTGGTCCATCTTTACAACAATGGTTTCTCCGGTATACTCGGCGACGAGATGGGTCTCGGAAAAACGCTACAGACCTTGTCGCTGTTCCAGTATCTTGAAGAGCTCGACGAGAGGAATGGTGTCAAATCGGAAGAGCTTCGACCTTATCTCGTCATATGCCCCCTCAGTGTACTCAACTCGTGGGTCACCGAGGCCCAGAGGTGGGTACCACAACTGAAGGTCATGCGCTTCCACGGCGCCGTCACCGAGCGAACCCGCTTGAAGCGCGTTATAGCTGGCATGGAGGATATGAAGGGCAACGAAACCTCGCGCGCCAAAAACCGGAAAGCCTCGCGCAAAGCTGGCCGAAAGGCGTCCAAGCTCACCTCCAACGACCAGCAATCCGACACCTTCAAGATTGTTGTCACGACATACGAGACTTTCCAGGCTGAGCAGTCATGGTTCAAGCACAGTTTTGCCTGGCGTTACGTCGTCTTGGATGAAGGACACAAGATCAAGAGCAGTGTCACCCAGATCTCAACAGCCCTCAAGAGCATCAGTGCCGAGTATCGTCTCATCTTGACCGGGACACCGCTCCAGAACAACTTGCTCGAGATGTGGTCGCTCCTCACATGGCTGTATCCCAACGTCTTCGACGACAAGACCGAGACACTCTTTAAAGAGTCTTTCGATCTCAGCAAGGGCAAAGCGAACAAGCAAACCATGACAGACGCCCGCCGCTTGCTTGAACTTATCATGCTGCGCCGTATGAAGGACTCGCCGTCAGTCAACCTCGGCCTGCCGCCCAAGGAAGAGATATTGCTATACGTACCCTTGACTCCTATGCAGAAGTTCTGGTACACCCGTCTCTTGACACGTATGGATGATGGAATGCTCGACGAGCTCTTTGCTGATGGCAAATCAAAAGAGAAGGCCGCCATGAAACAGGACATCGAAGAGAACAAGCTGTTAGAGAAGATGGAGAAGGTCGACAAGGTAGTCAGCTCTGGCGGTGCCGATGGTGATTGGGAAGAAACTACCAAAATTTTGCAAGAAGCCGTGGCGAAGGAGCAGACCGACACCGACACCAATAAGGGCGCCTGGAAGAAGCTTATGAACCTCGTCATGCAGCTACGGAAGTGCTGTTCGCATCCGTACCTACTCCCCGGTGTTTCACCCGATCCCTACTACCTCAGCGACCACATCATCCGCGCATCCGGCAAGTTCATACTCTTAGAGAAGCTTCTCAAGCACACGGTGTTCAACGAGGGCAAGAAAGTACTTATCTTCTCTGGCTTTACTCGCACGCTCGACTATTGTGAAGATCTCTTGTCTCTCATTAGTAACTATGGAGAGCGCTTCAAGTCCCTTCGTCTGGACGGTAGCACAGCTCGAGCTCGGCGTAACTTGGACATCCGCCTTTTCAACCAGAAAGACTCCGATTACAAGGTCATGCTACTGTCAACCCGCGCCGGTGGCTTGGGTATCAACCTCACCAGCGCCCAGGACGTCATCTTCCTTGACGAAGACTGGAATCCGCAGATTACACTCCAGGCAGAGGCCCGAGCTCATCGCATTGGGCAGACCAAGAAGGTGACCATCTACAAGCTCTGTACCCAGGGTACTGTGGAAGAGCAAATGATGGGTCGTATTCGCAAGAAGCTTTACCTCTCGGCCAAGATCACCGAGTCGATGCAGAGCGTGCATGGCAAGCAGATGGTCGATACCAAGAAGGCCGGACGTCCGTCCCTAAGTGAAGACTTGCCACAAATGGATGCCACGCAGCTCAAGACGCTTGTACGGCGAGGCGCCCAGGCACTATCGCATCCGGAAATCGATGTCAAGGAAATGGTATCTTGGAATCTAGAGACAATGATGGCCAAATGTCGCGATAACCCTGCCGACTTGACTGAATCAGCGGCGCACTCCGAAGTCGACGAGGACAAATGGCTTTCTACTATGGAGCGAGTTGAATGCGCCGTGTTCGAAGGCAAGCGTCATCAACGTCAGCTTGACACCAGCTGGAAGGCCAATACTTCGGCCGCAAACATTCTTCCCGACACCATCACTCGCGAGGATCGCCGCAAGGGAAAGAACACTACTGTGATGGTGGACGGCTTTGCTATCAACAAAGAGTCCATGAACTGTGGTGACTGGGAAGCGGTGCCGACATTCGCAGGCAAAGATCCTCGCCTCGCTGAGCCAGTCCGTGAGAAGCGTCGCGAAATCACCCATGAAGATCACTGTCTAGCCTGCTTCGAAGACGCAGATGCTGGACACGTGGTTGAGTGCAAGAGCTGCCCTCGTGCTTATCATTACGACTGTCTCGATTCTCAGTACAAGGCCAAGGTGAAGGGCTTCAGTGGCTTCTACTGTTCTCAGCATAACTGTACCGATTGCGGCAAAACCACCAATGATGCTGGGGGTCTCATCTTCCGTTGCCGCTGGTGCCCACAGGGATTCTGCGAGGATTGTCTTGACTGGGACGAGACTGAGCTGATTGGCGACACCCTTCCGGAATTCGAGCTGATGGGCGAGCAGCATACGACTGGTGGCTTCTACATCAAGTGTCCTACTTGCGTCGAGTCAGGCGAAGAGAGCAAGGAGCAGAAAGAGTGGATCGCGGATATGGAGAAGCAGTACAAAGATCAGCATGACATCTGGTCGCACGAGCGCGAAGAGGCGCAGCGTCAGTTAAATGAGGCCGACGTTGACGATGAGGTCACTTCGCCGCCTGCTCTTACCGATACTTCGCTGCCTACTCCTGCGGTTGGCGGCTCTCGCGTTGGTACTCCCATGTCCACGGAGCCCATTCAGAATACCAAGAAGGCTGGCAAGAGGGCCGAAGCATTCGGTGAGACGCGCGAAGAGAAGCGAGCTCGCCTTGATGCACAGACTTGGACTGTTAATGAGGACCCGCTGATGCAAGGTGTCAAAATGTCAAAGAGTCGGAAGTTTTAGGCAACGCAGACTTGGCTTGTTCAAAGGAGCGAAGGCTGAAATGATGGATGCCTTGGGCCAAAGATGAAAGTGATTCTTCTGGTTGTATTCAGAATTTTTCTGGGCGTTTAGGAGCTTGACCTGGCATGATGGATATACCCCCTCGATGTTCAACGCTTCTATGGTAGTCGTTCAGACCAGTTGATACTTTAGTCGTACTAGCGATGGTTGAAACGATTGAGCAACTAGTCAATGCTATAATAGCGCACTAGCGTTGCATGCAGCGATAGTAATGTAAATTCTGATAAATTTTGTCACCGACGTCGTGATTCATTGTTCGACTCTGGGTATCGATAATGCTGATCAAATCGTTAGCATTGGTGCTCCAAAACCCGCTTTCAAGATGCATACCACATGTATCCCGCCGTCCGATGTGTGACCGTCCCATCTCACTTATCCCCGCCATCTTCCTTCGTACCTTTAACACCGTCAGGCCTAGCACTCCATCCAAGCATCACACAAAGATACGCAGAACTAACCAAACATACTGCCCCCACCCCCACCCATCCTCCCTCCCCTCTGCGCCTCCCTAACCAACCACTCCCTCAAAAAGTCCTTATTCCGCATCTCCTCAGGCCTCGTCAACCTCGTATCAAACTGCGCCTCCTGTCTCGAAAACGCCAACAGCGTCGGCATACTACTGATGCGGTATTTTATAGGCAAATCTTCAATCAACGTGCTATCCATCAACACTTCCACGAAACCCAGTCCGCCTTCCCGCTCTCCGATTTTCTCTTCTTCGATGAGTTGGCGCAGGAGCGGCTTGATGGCTTGGCAGGTTTGACACCAGGTTGCGGTCCAGAAGGTTATTAGTGAGCGGTTGTCGGAGGCGTTGAGGAGTGTGAGGGTGTGCAGGTCGTTGGGTTGGCGGATGGGGTCGAAAATGCGGTTGGTGTGTGAGCGCGAGGTGGGGTTTAGGAGGGAGAAGGCGCGTTTGGAGGTGCTCGGGAGGGCATTGAAACGCAGGGTAGAAAGAAGGGTCGGTCGTAGCATTTTGGCGGGTTTGGGAGCTGTGTTGGGAGCGGTAGATGGAATGGTGGAGGTTTGGGGTTCGCGGTTCGCGGTTCTACGCGTGAAGGTTTTGGGGCTACGTCATCGGCTGCCGGAGCTCAGGGTCGTCACCTTACGGTCGCGTCTGCATGCCACAGCACAACAGAACAAGCTGCACTGAACAACAACTTTTACATATCATTTAAGACAGCGCAATGTCGTTACAAAAAGGAACTCTCCTCAATACAAGTACAACGATGATCCTTCTACGATACCCATCCCAGCGCAGTCCTTCCACGGTACAAATATAAGAGCAAGGGGCAGCTAATACCTGTCAAGGAAAGACAGGCTGTCACTTAGGCGCTGCTTTTTCCCGGAAAAGGATGAATGAACCGTATCTCTGGTACGAGTGTCGCCAGTCGCGTGTGAACTGTAAAAGCGACAGAGACCATCGTCAATTTCTTCACGCGACTTACGCTTGATACCTGCCTGGGCTTCGAAGAAGTCTAAATCCGTGTCGTCATAACTTCTGTCCAGACTCTCTCCCTGGTCATTCTGTTCCTTGCCCTTAGAAGGGGGCCATACAATATTGTTAGACCGATCGTAAGGAGCATCTTCAACCGATAACAGCGCCAGAGGTCGGTCATCCGCATCGTACCGTTGTTGCACATGGTCTCGCAATTCGCCCTCTCCGACTGCTTCCGGAAAAGGATCAAGCCGATCCGGCACCTGAGGTACAGTACCTTCAAAGCGCCGGTTTGCGGGTACATCTTCATTGGTCCTCTGCACGGTTAATTTACGGCAGAAGAACCAAGCTACTAATGCCTTCCAGTCGAGTAATCCCGCTATTGCAGCCCTAGCAAATATCCATGCCTCAAAATAGACATCCTCGTCGTACGGGCCCCTTTTGATATCTGGTGTGAGACCCATTGCGAGTATCCAGGCGTTTACAAAAACGTGGTAGCCACATTGGAAACCGCCCTCCTGCTGCTCTGGTACAGGATATCTATGATGGGAGCCTCCAATTTGTGCGGTATTACGATGCGAGGACCAGCCAAGACGTCCAGCTGCTCTCAAAACGACACGGTCCAGGAACTCGTAGGCGTTCTGCAAGACGGCCGGATGACTATCAAGGATGTACGTGTCGACGCTCAAATATTTTGTATTCGGTTGATCATCTCGCTCTTGAAGTACCACAAGCAATGTGTGGCCTCCGCCTGTTTTCCGAGGCTTCACTTCATGGCCTTTTGACTTCTGCCATGCGTTGGCCTGATCCAGGAGTGGTCCGCTCACATTCAGAGGCATGAACCAGCATCTCCTAGGTCTCGATGCTACAGGATGATCTGCTGGCAGTTTTTGAAGTAGCGCGTCTCTTAACGCGTGAGTTGGGGCTATCGAGAAACCCCCAGCAAATGGCTGAGCGTCAGCGTGGTTCAGCCTGTGGAGCTGTCGCTGCTTGTCATCGATTGCCTCGACCACGGCAGCGATAGCCATGTTTATTTCCCACGGTTGACATTCTTGTCTATTGACCTCCTCTCGCATCCCGTTAGAGAAGCTTGGTCCCAACGGATCGTAGTTCAAGATACAGTCGTATATGTTCACGGCGTCTGTTACCCAGGAACATGGATAGTGATCGATCTGCAGATTCAAACCCGGCGGATGTAATTTGTTGAGAAATCCCTTGTAGTGAGGAAGTATATCTTTGGTAATATCCAAAGTCCGGCCCTTGAGTTCGCCGTGTATATGTTTCAGCTGGTTCTCAAATTTCGCGCCATGCATCAACAAGTGTTCCTGCCACTGGGCTTTTAGTTCTTTGCTGTCTACATCAAGAACAAGTTTTCCCCAGCGTTCGAGGTCCTTTACGTACTCCTTCCTTGCCTCTTTCGTCCAGTCGTCTGATGGCCATGCCATGTCGTGTCGCTTCCCTGGGACAACATGTGTTCTGTTTGCTTGGGCTAGTTTGGAGAAATCTGGATCTCTTCCTTCCCAGTCGCGGCGCTCTGACTCTTCCAGACGATCCAGTACCGATTGTAGTGCATCCTCACTTAGCAAATTCTCGGTCTGTTCAAAATAGTGATCCTCGGGCACGGCTGCTGCATTGCCGATAAAGTCTTTACATCCGAGGAACGCGTATATCAGTCTCCAGTCTGCTCGTCCAACACGAGCGATGTGGATCACATCAACAAGGTCTTGGAAGAATTGAGCTGTCCAACTTGGGAAGAAATTGATGTTGGGTTGCAGGCCCAAAGCCAGTGCCCAAGCGTTCAATATGGCATAGTATCCACACTCATCATCCGTAGGTTGTGGGGCTACGGGGATCCATTCAGCGTGCAATGCCTCCCGGGTGTATTGGCGGAAGTCATCTGCGTCAGGCATATTTGGAAATCGGCCCCAGCGCGAGGCGATCAACATGTTTCGAGCTGTGTCGAAAACACGAGCACGTTGTTCGAAGCTATAATTGTGAGATTTTGAATCTAGGATGGAGATCGTAGGTGTAGGCTCCTCTTTGGAGCCGTCAAACTGGATAACCACCAAGATGATATGTCCGTCAAGATTTACCGGTACTACCAACGGCCGACCCGGTCGAATCGTAGGCTGCATCAAAGTAGGATTGGGGTACTGACAGTACTGAACTGCAGTCTGGTTCAAACATCCGAATCCGCCCTCTAGGCCCTGAGCATTCGTTATGCCGAGCGTCACGGCTGCGATGGCCAAGGACACCTCTTCATCCGTGAGCCATAGTCCGAATGTGGTGGTTGCACGAGTTCGAAGACTTTCTACTGCTGCTGCTACGGCCGGATCATTCAGAAGCGCGTTTCGCTGTTGGTCGAAATATTTACACGGATCAAAGTCTCCAGGCAACACCGACTTTTCTTTTTCGGGCTTACCTGCAGTCTCTGTATTCTTTTCCGGTCCAGGACTGGTGCCTTTTCCGGGATTTTCGGGAGAAGCGGGGCCTTCCGGTGGTTTATCGCCGTTGTTTGACGGTTTAGGATCATCGCCCTTGGAGCCACCTGGGGGTGCGGGAGGAATCGACAGGAACTTGCTGTACACTCCAGACTTGATCAACTCTGGTATACGAATTGCCCTATCCGGTTCGTTGTAGTCATCCCATGGGAAGACTTCAGTGTGCGCTACGCCCGTATTTACTTGAAAATGCGAATAGTTGATGTCACGGGAGGCCTGAGCATCAATCGAGCGCTTTTTCTTTCTGTCGGTTCTGGTGTTACGGGGGCCATGAGCAGGCTTTGTTGCTTTGAATCGACGCTGCATTGGAGGCGGCAGCTCGGACTGCGTATAACCCACACAACGCAAGAACGCCCAAATCAGCCTCCAGTCTGCATGTGCATTCCCTACTGCCTGGAGCAGAGGAAGTGCGCTGTCGTAGAACTTTGCGCCTATACGGAATTTGGGGTCGATAGGTAGACCGAGTAGTACAGCCCACGCACTCATGATTGCAAAATACCCAGCTTCCTCTACTCGTGCTTGCTGAGGACTGGGCATCCATTGCAGTACCGGCCCGACGATACTTCTTTCTTTGGGTGAATCAGGGTTGATTTTTGATTTCCCTGCATCCTGCAATAGCTCGTGGACTCGGACGCGCTCCTTCGCCGTGGCAGTCCATGGTGCAGAGTCCATAACGCGTGATACATCGGGAGCTTTTTTGGATGTGTCCTCATGCTGCGAGACTACTAGTATGACATGTTCCCCCAGTTGGCAGACCTTGATAACCACCGTATCCAAGATGCCGGAATCATCTGCGTATCTGGTATGACCATTGAGATCTGCTACTGTAAAGCCCTGCTCAGGCCGCTCAGGTGAGAGCAATTCGTTGATAGCTCGTGCAACGGACTCGATATGTCCAAAGACATGGCGACTTTCTAACTTGGATGGCATTGCTTCACCGAGCTCACTCCCCGCCCTTGGCTCAATCTTCCTTTGGTCTTCGAGCGATTTCAGCTGCTCGTGAAGATGCTTACAAGGATCAAAGTCGACCGGAATCTTCTCGGTATCTCGAGTCGATCTAGCCTGTTGTGGTGGCAACGACAGATCCGACATCCTTTTCTCTTTGTGTTCTTCCAGACGCCTTTCCAGCTTCTTTTCAGTATCAGCAAAATTCCATTGACCATAGCGGACCATAAATGCCATGTGTTTCCTGTCGCGTTTTTCAAGGGAGTCGGCAGCGAAGGCTACATCATGACGCGTCTTATCTTCGAGGCCCAAAGTGACCAGCTCCATATCAATCTTCTTGCCTTCGGCTCCAGTATCTGCAGTCGCTTGGCGAGTAATGAGCTTCTGGAAGGAGCAGTTGCAGAGGTCAAACCGCCTTGATAGATGCGGGAGGTTTGCCTCTTCATCATTCTCGCCGCCTTCGCCGGGCTTAACAAATCCGGTGCAGCGGAAAAAGGCGAGTAATATCCTCCAGTTTAACGTGTCTTGAAGGGCCAGGTCGAAGATCTGTTGGGCTCGGATAAAGAACGATTCGTGACCATGAGCGCTGGGTGTGAACGACGGGTTTGGCACGAGGCCCATCGCCAGTGCCCACGCGTTCAAGACGGTGTATGTAAAGCTTCCATCGGCTGTCGTGACCTGGGCAGCCGGTACCCACATCGTGGCCTCGGGCAGGTTTCCTTCCATGTGGTCTAACGAGTCATAAACATGTCGCCACCATGTGGAGTTTCGCAAAGTTTCTCTAATGTGTTCATCGACACCTTTCCGACTAGACAGCGTTGCTTGCCACGTTAGAGGATCTAGGACTTCGAGTGTGATATGCTTGTCAGGATGGATTTGAGCAGCGAGCAACAGATGGTTCCCTTTCATCTCCATTGGTACCAACAGCGTTCTTCCAGGTCTGCAAGTCTGTCCTTGATGCTGGTAGCTGAATCCGGTAGCTTCTTTCTGTCGATCATTCACCGAAGCAAGAACTCTGGGAACGAGCTCGCGATATCGATTCTGTTGAAGCGACAACAGCTGAGCTCGCATATACGCACAAGTATCTTTAATCGGCTCCCCTTCGTCGGTGAACGTGTCGATAAAGTCATCCTCCGACCCCCCTTCTGCTTTTCCGGGAACGCCTGCACTCCCAAGTCCCGCTCCTGGTAGTGGAGCTTCGATAGGGCTCCATCGCACCCTCGTATTCCCCAAAGCAACATCCCCATTCCCATCGCGACGATCGAGCTCTTCTTGAGTTGCCGCTCTATGTGACGAAGTGTCTTTCAAGCTTGCTGCAGTTCTGAAGAAAAAGGCCGGTTGCGACAGTAGTTCAATGACCGCGTACCCTTCGAGCGGCCCAATGTAGAAAGACAGGGACGATGGACCGTCGCTGTTGGTGTAGGTAGTTCCGTTTACTGTGACTGACGTATTACGAGGGAGCTCAATGAAGTACCCGACTGCGCTGCCATCTTCTGATGAGTCCCGTTGGATGAAATCTACATGTGCAGTTATATCGTTCACAGTCCTACATACAATTAGCTTGGCGACAACGAGCCACCTATCTGCACTTACACTTCCAAACGTTGATCCTCATTTAAAGCAAAAGAAGCGTAGTTCTCCGCTCTTGAGAGCACTACTGCGATGTTTGCGTCGCCACCGAACTGCTGCTGGAAATGAGTGATGCTATGGCCCTCCTCCTGATGAATACTTCTACTTTTGATGTCATTGAACAAGTTGCGCAAAGACGCGCTGGGTCTGTACTTATCCTCCGCTCGTAGATCGTTGCCTTTCTTCTGGAATACTGGCGTTCGGAATTGCGGAACTGACATAGGTGTTTGTTGCGGACGTATCTCATCTCGCGCTCTTTGATAGAGTGCCTGGGCAAATTCGGCTGCGCATTTCTCTTGGTAGACATCTTTACCCTTTTCTTTTGGTATGATCCAATTTACTGCGGTCGTGGTTATATCGTCGTCAGGAGTATCCTCTGATCTGGTCTTCTTCGCCTTGGGAGGATCGTCACCCTTCCCTGTCTTCTTCCGTTTTGGAGGCATCTTGATGGAGCTTCGATACTGATGGATGTGAAGTGTCAGATAAGAACAGAATTCATGGACATGAGATTGCAATTTTGACCCACACAGATGTCGCGTCGGAAATATGCTAGGTATGTGTTCTTTGAAGAATGACCCTTTGTCTACAGAGGACAAGAAGAACATGACGCGTTTGCCAACATCACCCGTGCTATATTAGCTGCCTGAACAAAGGGAGATACCTAGCCGTCTTCCACCAGCAACACTGTAATCAAAGAAAACTGTGCCAACATGAGAAGACGACGGGCTGTACGCGATGTATCTGAAGGAATAAAAGGATACGAGATTGGAATCATCAGCGACGAATAAGAAGAATATCGATGATGATGAGATCATCATGTTCGCAGATAGAGACTACAATATTAATTCGTACACGTGATTTACAGACTTCAGTTGATCATCTCTAAGTCCTCTAGGCTTGGTGCTTGCGTGCTTGCGTCGGACAGAGTTCTCAAAATGTATGATACGAACATAGACAGAGCAGGGCGAGAGGTCATGCGCTGGCTGCCGAAAAAGAAAAGAGCTGAAGTTTCGGCTTCACTTTTGTGCTAGCGGATGATTTCTTTCAGGGCGTTCGCAATGCTGAGCGGGAAAGTAAAGAGAACTGACACGTGTCGGTGACAGGGTCTCGATAGGGGTCCGCGAAACGTCTTTCCTCGCCACAATGCATTGTTTAGACCGTCCCAGAGTTTTTCTCGACCCGACATACTACTGAAGAGACTATTGATGAGTATGGTAGGCAACGATCCAGCCGCCAACTTGGACTCGGCCACCGTATGGTCGTACGCAACAAGCGCCGCCACTGGTCTCCGATAGCTCCGCTCTCTGTAGGCCAGGTAGTTGACTGTCGGAGCGTCTCTCACTTGTACCCTCAGACCAACCACTGTCTTGTCTCATATAGTCGCATGATGTTGAGAATATCGGTCCATCATGTTGAATACCGTAGCGTTGTCGACATAGCAATGACGATCAGATGTGTGGCATCCTAGGTCGACTTCCAGCTCGGGACCAACACCAGATCGCATTGTGCGGATGATGTTGGCAGCGTCAACACAAGACGAGGTGTTGTTATAATATGAGACTGATTCCGCGGTGTAGTTGCAATCGTTCGAGTAGGCCCAAGCGCTACTATATGTCTGCTCGTAAGGGTAATCGTACTGAACATGCTCTGACTTGATCTGAACAGTTGATGGAGTCGTAGGAGTAGTATAATGCATCGCTGGATATGAGGCTGGTGGTGGTGGTGTGCCCATACTTGATACCACGGATCGTGGACTGGGCGAATCGTTGCAACTGAGTGTTGTCGGCCGTGCAGATGGAACAGTAGCATGCGGCACTGATGAGACATGCCGAGATAACGAATCGGCTCTGGTATATGAAGGTATAGGCGAGCTGGTCGAAGAAGTCGTGTTGGTGTTGACCCTCGGCTCAAGCATAGCGTGCAGTCTGGTGGCGGCAGAGGTGTGCTTGTAGTGTCGATCGGACGTCGATTCAAGTGCAGCGACAATCTCCGCTTCAGAGACTCCTCTTCCATGAAGAAGCGACCTGAGTTTTCGGTTCTCTTCTAGTACTTTCCTGGCAGCATACTGGATTTCCGAAGAGGCCTCGATGCCTATCTGTTCATAGCTGCGCAGTTTTGCCTCGAGCTCATGAAGATACTCCTTCCGGCGGGCGCGTGATCGGCCTGAAACGAGTACCGTTAGCGGACATCCCCGGTAAATCGAATGCTTACACAAAGACGTCTGGACGGCTTGCAGGCTGCAAGCTATCGCCACTCTTCATGGTTGGACAGCAGAAAGCTGACGATGAGTCGTCGTCGATGGAATCCACTCACGTTGGTTGTCCCTGATCCTAGCGAGATTCTGTGCCTTCTGTTGTGAGCCGTTAGCCGAGTGCCTAGGAGGTGATAGATGCATACGTACAGATATTCTGCTGTTGTCACTCATGGTGATGTTTGATACGAAGCAAAGCGGGTGAATAGTGCTTGATACTGAGCGGGTTGGGAAGATGGCTTTTCAGTTGGGTGATCATCCTGAGTAGTATCATTCCAAACAGATGGCATCCCGTAGTCTTAAAGAAGAAGGCAGTGGCAGAGGGACGAGCAAGCCACCTGTGCCCAAGCGCGCTGCAGGCCTCATCCTTGCCAGCCTGTGTAGGGAACGTAAGGGTGTAAGTGGGAGTGTGCCTCGCCTCTGCTGCCGGGGTTACAAGCGTGGGAGTCTGAAGCGGACGGGCCCACAGACATGATGGTAGACCGGGATAGAGCGGTAATGTAACGAAGACGCGGCCGATCCTGTCAGTTCTTACGGCAACCGAGGCTAGTCCGAACAAGACATAGCGCCGATTACTAGCGCGATTCCCTGAGCTCGGTGACTGCCCTTTTCAGCTTCAGCCTCGGAAATTGGGGGTGAACGAGTTTTGCAGCTGTCTCACAACACCACGTCGCATCATCTCCATCGCGAACTATCTCGCGTCATTCATCGCGCATTACCCACGACCCGGATTCCACGGCGTCGGAAACGTTCCGAGGACTCGACAACCAGTCTGGTGGCACTCGACAAGGATCCCAAACAACAACCCCAGCATGGCTATTGGTCGACGAATAACGGCACCGTACGCCGGCCTTTTTGATCCCACGCGGTTTGTAACCTCGTGGATTCTCCCACCAGCCGCCCTCTTCGCTATTCGCGCGCTATTGGCCATTTACGCATTTACCACGCTCTTTTTCATCTTTGGCTGGAATGGTACCCACGGCAGGCCCGAGGCTTCGCAGCAATCCTTCTCTTTCTTCACGGTTCTGACGTATTGGGGTCTCGCCTTTTACTATGCCTTTGCCGCTGTGCATACCGGCAGTTATTGGTTTACAGGAACTTCGTTCTTGGCGCGCTGGCCCAAAGCACTACAGGTGGCGCACAGCATGTTTTACTCTACCATTGTAGTCTATCCGTGGATAGTGACCAGTAAGTCAACTTACATAACACGTTCTGCCATCGTTGCGACGGAGGATCTCGAAGCAATTTCGTTTGTTCCCTGCAACATCATTTTTGGGGAACCGAAAGCATTTATTGTCTGGGCACGCTGAACTGATGTACAACAGTTGTTTACTGGACACTTCTTGCGGGTCAATTCCCCACCACCTTCGCTCTCTGGTCAAACACGTCACAACATGCTCTAAACTCGGCGTACGCCCTTTTCGAGATAGTTGCCCCCCGAACTGAACGACTACCCTGGTTCGATCTGATTCCAATCATCCTCCTGTTGGCTCTTTATCTTGGCCTGGCCTACCTCACGCATGCCACCCAAGGCTTTTATGTGTACCCCTTCCTTGACCTTCAGAAGAACTCTTCTGGGCTAGTTGGAGCGTACATAGTGGGCATTCTAGTCGCCGCGATTATTATCTTCTTGATAGTCAGGTATCTCATCGTCTTGCGTGTATTTATCACCGAGAAGAAGCTAGGGAAGACTGGGAAGATTTCGACGCGTCAACACGCTGCGAGCGCTGATGAATATCCTCTACACAGTACCATGCAAAAATAGCGTGTGTATTATCGTCGACCTTTACTATCTCCAATAGTCGACTGGAATTGCAATAACACTCGAAGACTGCTCGCTCTTAATACGCTATATAATTTAGTCTTTAATTTCTCCGTTACGTCACTCATCTTTCTACCCTCAATTCCTATCGACCACACCCATCCCCGTTACTATCAGCTACTATTCCACCATGGTGGTCACTACGTTGGCATGATTCGGTGTGGCGCACCAGTCAGATGCGCATTTCAGAAGGCGGCTCTTGCGCGGCTGTCTGTTTGCTTCTTCCTTGTTCTGCAAACACCGTGTAGCGGCTGTCGTGATTCCTATTATCGGAGCCTGGCTGTCTCCGATAGTAAACCGCGACGAGACTATCGGGATCAACGGCATGGGGTCTTTGAGGATGATCGGCGAACACTTTTCGAAGTGCATAAAATCGCCCAAGTCATCCCACGTCAAGTCCTTAGATACCCGTGGGGGATGGTTGCTTTTGTGGCGACATCTCAAGGCTGCCACTCCGCTTTGGATCTGTGTTCATTGTAGCCTCGTGTTTACTAGATGTGGGACAATTGGCCGTAGTGGGTTCAATGAGCTGTATAGATAGAGAGACGCCCCCACATGTATGCGTCTGGGCGTCGATCATGCTGCAACTCGAGATCAGCCATCCATGCGGCTTCCATGCGCACTGTCACAGCCGCCCTCCAGGCTAGTAGGACGCGCATGTGATCAAGCGATAGCCAATAGACTATACACGTGAGAGAGGGCTACCCAATCAATGGTAACACGTGAGAGCAAACGAAGGAACGCTGACATACAGCGCCATGATAGCGCATCGGCTTCGAATGACATCAACCATCAGCTCCATGGAACTTGATTCTGTCAGTAACGGAAAGACTACAAAACGCCAGCACGAGCTTCTAGAAGCGCCTTAGCTTCGTCTGCCTGCAGGGCTTAGCGCTGAGCCGTTCATTAATTCGCGCAGGCTTGGTGTTGATTGGCCGCGCAAGAAAAATCCTATACTCAACAGTGCATGCGCATTTGCTGGAAAGTCTGCGCGCTCATTCTTCGGGGCCGCCCGGCCACAAACAACTGCTGCGTTACATCGGTCTACGGCATCTTTCAATCTTTACACGATACCTACATGACCCCTGACATGTAGCACCCCTCCCACTGATGCACGCCGAGAAAATTGAGAGCATGTGCCATGTACTAATAACTTAGCTATGATGGCGTCTGGCCCGGTCTTGCTCAATTCGGTCTGGTCCTTCACTGCCATCCCGTCTTCGTTGCGCCGTCAGTACTATGTAATTGCAACGCTTGGGCCGGCGGCTGTCAGATTCTTGGGCAGCAGTGACGCGATCGCTTCCTGAAATGTGGAGGAAGACATCTCGAGCCCCAGCTGTCTCATGATAGAGTCCGAGGCTTTGGTGTTGTCTACGACAGAGCGTCACTGCTTAGCTGTGGGATCCAGTTCCAGTACCCCTAGAAACCTAAGTGTATGCTGCAGTACTATCCTATGACCATGGAGTTCATTCACAGATGTTTCCTGGACAGTACGCATGAACATTCAATACATGTAAATTTGTTCCCGTCCCGGTCCCGACAAGCGGTGTTTCTACGGCACGTCGGGACTGGCCGGAGTTCTATCCTTCTGGCAGAAGCTTGGAAGCGTACCAGCTGCTCGCACAGACGCGTTCTTACCAGATGAACCCTGGAATCCAACCTGATGGAGACGGATTGCCGCTAGTTTTGTCCAGTAGTCGAACTTTACGCTGATTATTCCCAGGCTCTCAACGTATTTGCCCCGAGAGTCAAGCCAGCGCTACATTGTTACTACCCATGGACGTTTCAAGGCAGACCTCGGATGGTACTGCGGTAATAAATCATTGCATCCGTCTGCTGATCACCGATGGCTTGCAGCATCATCACCAGGATCAAGACTCTAGGGTTTCGAATGCGATTCAAGAAGGCAGGTGCTTGCTTGCTCAGGCAAGCGCGGGACGTACAGAATGCAATCGATCGTATGCTATTGCTGATAGCGGTCGAGGAACTGGATCATCACGACCGGATGTGACCGACCGCCATAGCTCGACTACACGAGTGCGAGAATCTTTCCGGTTTCATTTCGACGCAGCTTTGCGGTGGTGCATTCACCTCGCACACCCTCAACGAGCAGGCTACATGATACCCGAACATCTGCAACCCCGCCCAGGCGTAACCTGGTCATCTGGGAAGGGCTTTAGCCCATGTACCACAATCACCACTTTCTCTGCCGCTATTGTGGCATCGCTTCTGCCCCAAGGAAACATCCCGTTAGTCCCTGGTCATAAACAACATGTGAACGCGGAAGCCCGCTGTACTGTGGAGATATTCGGAAGCGCAGATGAACAGCAAGGATGAGGGTCAACCCGTCACTACTATCGTTCACTATAGCAGTGTCCCGTCCGCCAGGTACTTCGTATTCCTGCAGGATTCGAGTTTATTCCAAACACCCCGGCCAAAACACGTTGCAAGCGTTCCAATGTTGCATTGACGTGGCTTGCGCATCAGCATACTAACCAACGAGCGACATGCACATGCAAAACGCCCCTGCGCTGCGCTTGCGCATACCGTAAGTAGTAGCAACATAGGGTGCGCATTGTTTGAATGCCGGCTCGTTCCTGAGCTACGACTGCAAAAGTACGAGGTCCTGCAGTTCTGTCGCATGTGCATGCGCATGTGAAGTTCGCGTAAGCGCATGTCAATGCTGGAGGCGCTTAGGCACGGCTCGAGCGTGGGGGCCTGACCGATGTTAGAAATGATGCGTGAGTGGCTCATTGTCGGATGCCGTAAACTCAGATGTCGATGACCATAGCTGAGTTTGCCAGAAGTTGCGGTACGTGCTAGGTGACTGTACGGATCCACGCGTATCTGTTTACCTGGGCAGTTGCTACCGATAGTTGAAGTTTGTTGCGTGGAAGCGGTACCGTGAATGTCAATGCAACTGCCCAACATGTAGTAATACTACAAAGCCCAGACTGTCGCCACGACTTTCAGCCAAATTTCAACAGCACCTGTAAAGTCTCTCGATTTGCACTCGACACAGCGTACCAAGTTCTTCGTTACCAGCGTTGAGACCTCGAGAAGCGTCCCGAAAAGGTAAAGTTACCGAGGTAACTTGCGAGCACCTACCCCCTTCGTCCCAGAATCACCTCGTACTCCCAACAGCAAGCACGGCGCACGATCAAATAAACTTCCACGGTACACAAACTCTCTCGGACTGACAAGACAACGGAACCATGATAGAGGTCATCTACATCGTCCGGCACGCGGTACGTATTAAGCTAACCTCCGTCGCCGCACTTCATGCCTTCCGGTGCTTTTACACAGTAGTCGAGGGAAGTCGTCCGTTTCAGGCAGCTACCTTCTGAGCCATCTCCGTCCTTGCATTACCTCCGCAAACATCTCGCTTGCCTACACCTTCGCGTGTATCACATGAAACGCCACCCTTCACACTCGCACATGCAGATCTATCCCCTAGCATGGCATTTCTTCTAACGAGTCCTCCGGGGTATCTAGTTTCGCGCCAACTGGTCTGTAGACCCCCAAACGGGTATCTACACCGCGTCCATGGCGACCCCGACCGGAATACCCACTGATCCGCCTCTGACATCCAAAGGGGTGGAGCAGAGTAAGGAGTTAGCCGAGTACCTGAGCAAGGTCGAACCGCCAGTGGACAGGATCTATTCTAGTCCCTTCTACAGGTGTCTGCAGACGCTCAAGCCGTTCAGTGATAAGCTATTCAAGGAGGGCAAGGCAAAAGGACGGATACGGATCGATCGCGGTATTGGGTTCGTGCATACTGAGTGACACATAGGTGAGTACTTTGCTAACACGTGCGTAATAGCGAGTTCTTCGGACGGGCACATTTTGAACATCCTACTCCACCGCACCTCGAGCTTCTGACACCGCACTTCCAGAATCTTGACGATGAGTATGCATCTGTACACATGCCAGGGTCCAACGGCGAGATGATTGTTGAGCTCCACGAACGTGTCAGGAACGCACTGGATTACATTGTCACTACTCTAGACAATGAGCCCGAGCAACCAAAGACTGTCTTGTTGTGCACTCATGCCGCGACTATGATAGCAGCCGGCCGAGTGCTTACTGGACAGATGCCAGAAAACCCTGATGAAGATGACTTTCAATGCTTCACTGCCGGTCTGTCAAAGTTTGTAAGAAGATCAGCCGATCCAGGCAAAGGCGTCGCGGGAAACTGGACTTGCGAACTAAACTCCGAAACATCCTTCCTTTCAGGTGGAGCGGAGAGAGGCTGGTAAGTGCAATGTTATTTCTTTGTCAATCTATCTCGTGCTGCATCCTTATGACATCCAGGTTCTTTCCCTATCACAGGAAAGACTGGCCAAAATCGGAATCTACAACACATGGTTGGGGTATCACGTCTACGCTACTTAACATTCAGCTATCACTCACCCCAATTGACGAACATCTCCCGACAACTCCGTAACCCTACGTCACGGCAAGTGGCTGACGAGCGATGATGACAGGCACTTTAGCGGCGAGGAAAGTTTCGTGGACTTCTCAGACACAGGCATGAAAGGTGACGGGGAGTCGAAATTATAAGGTCGGCTAGGTATGCTTGCTTCTTCAAGCTGGGAGAGGGTAATTGCCTGCGAAGCTCTGCACTGCGAATACCTATGAATTCAACCCTGATTCAAGTCGCGCACACATGCGACAGGACACTATCTAGCAAAGATTCGCGACATTTGCGCCTATGTGTGAAAATGAGAGCCCCATGCGTTCGGCTCTACTTCACCCCTCCCTTGCTATAAATTCTACGATCGACCGTTCCCGCCCGACAAGTACCGAAAAATGATGTGCCGGCCTGTACCTGACCCACAGTCGTTCTGTCGGCCCATAGTTGGGTTTGCGCAACGTTGTGGCGAGCACGCGGGATGTTTTGAACCCAGATGTGAGTCCGCCGCGCGGTTAATCGCTGTGGGAGCGGGGCGCATTGGGCCGACCCGACAAGAACCCTGAACAGACGAAAGGGTTAAGAGGGGCCAATCTGGCATCCGGGAAACCTAATACTCGAATCCTAAAGCAGTTGTTGGCAAGAGGAATATGGGTTAATTTGTTGGTGTACAGGTTGGGACGGGGCTAAAGGCTGGAAGGCGTGGGTGAGCAGCATTGGCAGCGACGGTACCACGCCATGGTGACTGCAATGGTGGTATCAAAGAGCAGGAGTCGGGTCTGGTATGGAGTTCTGAGCGAAACTTCATACGTCAGATTTCCGTTACCACACACACTGGACATCAGCCTTTCACCTATGGGTCCCTAACCCCATCATCGTCCCAAACGCGCGGATTTCCAGTCACCTATGCATCACATCCTCGTACTTTTGGCCATCCTTACTTTACTAGAACAACAGCCGCGTGCCGCTTTTTTACCCATCTCTCAACCCTTGCGACGATTGCCTCCACGTATCAACGCGAACCAGACTCGGCGATGCCACACTACGAAATCCACCACGTTCACTTCTTCAACGGATACCAAAAGCGAGAGCTTTCCCATGCACTTACGGCCCTTCACACACGCCTCTTCAACACGTCCCCATTTCTCGTCCTAGTAACCTTTCACCTCGCCTAGAAGGCTACCGGGGGTGGCCACATCGACTCAGACACACAGTACATGACGCTCGGATACCAACGTGTGTGGACCAACTACATCAACGTACACATGCAACCCAGCGCCAATACCAACCCGATCGAAGAGAAGCAACGGCTCAATGTGCTGGCAGAGGGCATCAATAAGATGTGGAACAGATACGCAAGGCCGCATATGGGCCGGCTTCGTTTCTGGAGATCGGATACGCGAAGGGACGAGATTGCGAATGCGGCTGACGTTGATGCGCCAGCGACGTTGTGGGACATCAGGTCGCTGCATGATGTCTTTGTCATGTGGGATATTGCTGTGCATGTATCGGTTGACAAGATACGTGAATGATATGGTCGTGGTTCAAACCAAGTTTAAGATCGGGCTCGAGGCGATGCAGGACGTGGTTGGGGATATTGATGACGGGCCATACGTGCAGATCGTCTGGGTGCGCAGCCTGGGAAGACTGCCCCGGATTTCACAAGGAATTGTGGCCAATATGCGAGCAGAATCGGCCTGAGCCTTCTGGCATTGTGGGTATCTTTATCCAACGCCATCCTACCATGCTATCTTCCAGATCCCAGATCACCTTTACAATTGCACGACATTATCCTAGACGCTCTTACTCTCCGGCTTCATACCCTCATCTTGTTCTTCTTCGTCAACATGCATGCTCTCTGCGAACCCGACCCATTCGTTCATTCCTCTAACGAACGCATCCCCACTCCCATCCACCTCACCGCCATGACCCCATATTATGACCTCGCCAAACGCGCCTACTTGTTCCGCAACCTTGACTTCGACGGGTATGCTCTCCTCCACCTCAGCATCTTCTTCCTCGTCGTCTACGGGCTGTTGCGGTTGTGTTCGCGTTTGCGGTAATTGCTTATCGGTGACATGTAAGATAGCGCCGGTGTAGTTCTGGGGGAGAGGTAGCGTGGTGCCGTGGAGGTGTCGACCGCGGAAGTATGCATGTTGCTTTCCTAGATAGGCGTCAAGTCTGGTATCTGTTTCGGTGTGAGGATCGAAAGATACCTTTGTCATCTGTTTCAGGCTTCCAGTATCGTTCGGCGTCGTTTATAGGGCCATTGTGGTTTATCCGCGCGGGGAGTAGGTTTGGTGTGCATTTTTGAGGTTTGGAAGGTTGAATGGACAGCATGTTGATGGCTTGATTTCGACAATTGTGTATACGATGAAGTAACAAGTGATCTCTCAAAGCAAGTCTTCTACGATTCCCTAATTCGATTGTATGGAACTATACCGGCGTGCAGCATGTGAAAGATGGTTTATGGAGCACGCGTTGACGCGTCGTAGCGTGCCTCCGCGGACGCACAGACCATCTTTCGACGGGGTGCTCACGAGCTCACAATGACGACGGAACCGCAGACAAGCATGCAGTCTTGGCCTGGATATAATGCGCTTCCCATCCATTTCCCCTCCTCTACTCAATTCTGGTCATCACCATAGTTTGCCCGTCACCCAGTTCACGCCTTCCAGGTCGTTTCTAGTGCAGTCCGGAGCCCGCGGCCGCCGTCGCCGTTGCTATGAATTCACCGATCGGATAGATGCTGCTTACCATGGTAAGGCCCGCAACACACACGGAAAGCTCCAGGAGACACGAGCTGTTCGCTGGCCGTCTTGACTCGAAGTAGACTTGCGATTGCAAGGCTGAGACGCGTGACGAGTTATGCCCCTGCATAACTTGCCCCTCTCATGCATCCCGGCGGAACATTTCCATGGACCCTGGACCGCTGCTATACCTCACCCACAAATGTTTTGTTCCACCATTACCTGGGACACGTACGAGTAGCTAGACGCCAGAAGAGGATATGAATACGACGGCGTATTACACCGGCCGCCATTCGCATGGCCTCAACCTCCGCGAACATGTAAGGTTTACGTTGATTTACGCCATTCGCGATTTTTAGGCGGATCGACGGCGTCATAGATCACTCGAATTGGCAAGGTTTCCTCGCCCGATGCTGCACCTCAGACAGAATGCAACACGCATGGCTTCGAAACGGCGCAACCGGACGCACCGTGTCGGCTTTCGGCCGTTCCGGCGATATGACGGCGAGCTACCTGGACTCTGAAATGCACTCTGGCGCCATATACTAGCCGAACAGCTACCGTTACTCGACTTCTCTCTCAGTTTTGCTTCCAGGCGCGTTCACGATACCATTGTCGCATTGCTTTTGGACGATTGACGCACTAATTCTTCTCCACCACCAGCACACCCTGCAGCTTCCTATTGTGCGATCAAGCTCGAACAGTTTGAGACACCTTCGTCCTGTTGATCGCATTGAAGCCACGCTGCTCTCGACTGAGAATTGTCCAGTTTCCCCTCTTTGCGCTCGAGGATCCTCCAATTGAACGTTCAAGGGTTGCGCGAGTCGAACACATCTTGGACAATGGCAATTATTGACTCTGTGACGGGAGCTGTGTCTTCCCTTCTTAGCCCAGTCACATCACAAGCTTGGGGACCGCTGGTGAATCTATGCAAAAATGGCACTCTTTCGCAATTTCAAAACCTGAAGCATGGCAAGCTGGTGTTGTTTGAAGGTGGCTCGAGCAAGGCTACTGCTGCGTTTGGATCTGACAAAGAGGGTCTTCCAATCGCTTTTCTTAACGTGCTCGACGAAAAGTTCTGGGTGCGATTGGCGCTATTCGCAGACATGGTGCGCTTCAAAACTCTCACCACTATCCGAAAGAGCTCGAGCTGATAAGTGTCAGGGCTTCGCAGAAAGCTATATGCTGGGAGAATTCACAACTCCAGACCTAACGAAGTTCTTTGAGGTAAGTTTCCGTACAGACTGAGCTTTTGAGGGTGTGCTTGGCTTACACTTACAGCTCTTCATCCTGAACCGCAACTACCTCTCCAATGGCTCGACTTTCACCTCCGCCATTTCCTCTGGCCTCGCTGGCCTGGTACGAGGCAGCAACAATCTCAAAAACGCGCGCCTTAACATCTCCGCACATTACGACATCTCCAACGAGATGTTCGCCGCATTCCTCTCCCAAGACATGACCTACTCGTGCCCGATATGGCTACCAAAATCGAACCCGAAATCTGCAAGCGAAAGCCTCTACGACGCGCAAATGCGAAAGCTCGATCGCTTCATCGATAACACACATATCAAGGGGACAGACCATGTTTTGGAGATTGGCACAGGGTGGGGCAGCTTCGCCATGCGTGCTGTACAACGGACGGGCTGCAGAGTTACATCTCTTACCCTATCCATTGAGCAAAAAGAGCTAGCAGAAGAGCGGATACGAGAAGCCGGCATGTCAGACAAGATCACAGTCCTCCTCTGCGACTACCGAAGTCTGGAGGTGCCAGAAACAGGACCCTTCGACAAGGCGGTATCGATCGAGATGCTGGAAGCTGTGGGCAAGGAATATCTGGTCACATACTTCAAGTGCATAGACAAACTTCTCAAGAAGGAGGGCGGTGTGGCATGCTTCCAATGCATAACGATGCCCGATGCGCGCTACGAAGCCTACGCCAAATCCGACGATTTCATCCGCCGATACATCTTCCCTGGTGGCCATCTGCCCGCCGTTTCCGAACTGGTTGCCAGCATACAAACCGCTTCAAGCGGCTCGCTAGTCGTCGACAGCATAGAGAACATCGGCCCTCACTACGCGAAAGCGCTGCGGTTATGGCGCGAAGAATTCTTGGATAACTGGGAGGGCAAGATCAAGCCGCAGCTTATCAAGGAGAAGGCTAAGGAAGGAATGGACAACGAAGGTGCGGAGATTTTCAAGAGGAAATGGGACTACTACTTCCGATACTCGGAAGCGGGCTTCTCGACGAAAACGCTGGGTGATGTCATCATTACAGTGGGAAGAGAAGGCACTATGCAGATGATGGAAGATGTACCATTGTAGATACAGTGCTCGTCACATGCAAGGAGACGATGGAACGCGATCGTAAATGTTGTGTAATATGGCATATACCCCCCTCTATGTTATCACTGGGCAGTGTTGTGCCGGAACATAATTCTGAATGTTACAATGATGCTATTGATCGCTCTTCTACCGGCCTCCATACCCATCTTCAAACTCCGGTAATGCCGCTCGATACTCCATGGCCAGCTGGCTTGAATCGAAACTCTTGCTTACAGGTCGAACGGCATGCGAGCCAGTATGTTTATGCGTAGCAAAGTAATGTCCCATACCATCGACATCCTTCACCTGCCCGAAGTTCGCGAACTGAGAATTGTATTCAGCACAGGCGCTATCCAGTGGTGACATGTCCAAATTCGGCGGTGAAGCAGACGCAGAATTTGGCTGGTATGCTTTGTAAAATGACAATGGTGCTGGTGTGAGAGTCGGCGATGCAAGCCCGTCGCTGATGATTGAGGCTAGAGTGGGTGCTGAAGGTTGCTGCGAATATCTTAATGCATTTGTGCGCGTCATGGAGCCAGCTGAGGTAGAAGTCTGTGGTGTGGTGGAGTGGCGATGAGATGTGCTGCCGATTGTAAGACTTGCTGGCAACGTGTTGAATGGGGCAGAGCTTGCGCGAGGCACCAAGGGTCTGTTCATATCCTGTGGTTGTACCGTTGCTGGCGGAGGAGAGGTGCATGGGTGATTGCTGACTTGTAGAGCAGCGTCGATGTTTGCTGAGAGCTCCGCGAGGATGTCGTTGGGTGGGGACGTTTCGTTGACCTCGAAAGCTGGAAGTGAAGTATTCAATGCCTTATGAGTTTCGTCGGCGGCTGGTGATGGTTTGCTTGAGGTAGGCGGTGATTGATATACCCCTTCAGGTCCCACAAGATGCAGTTTGTGTGTCTCTCCTTGCGACTTGTGGCATGATGGTGCCTCGCCATCAGGATTCACTATGTGAAGTCTGCTAGACTCTTGCTCTGGCACATGTGCACCGGAAATATCTGGATAAGTCTTACGAGGGATCTGGTGTCTAGTACTAACACCAGGTATGGACAGGTTGGTGACCACGGGCGCATGTTCCGCTGGAGGCTGGGCTATGCGGGTACCTGTAGAAACAGGTCGTGATTTCAAGCACTGCTGTCCTAATTGATGTACAGCGACTGGATCGGTGTTTGTGACCGAATGAGAGAATGCGCGTTGGTGGTGGGAAGATACAGGTATCTGTAGCTTAAGCTGCTTAATAGTGGATCCTTGAGCCTGTGGGTTGGCCGTAAACCGAGGGTCTGTAGGACTGGTGCGTCTACTATTTGGCGCACTGACTACACGGTATCTGGATGCTGAATCTCTTGACGAATTCATTGTTTTTTGAGATGCCTGCGTAGGTTCCACAAGCTTTGGGGTCGTCTGCGCCGTACGCACGTGTGATGACTTGACGTTCTGTGATTGCGGTGGACATAGAAAGTCTGGTAATGAGGCGCGCACGATGCCCGGAGACCTTGTAACTCCAAAAGTGGACTGCGATCGAGTGTGGATTGCCTCCGGTTGTGGAGGAGCTAACGTCTTGAGTAATGGAGGCTCCTGCGCCAGCAATGTTTGGTAGCATTTGCGCTGCTCCTGAACTGGAAGCCTGTTGAGGAAAGCTGTACGCAAGAAGTTCTCTTCAACGATTTTCGGTTGCAAGTGACAGCGGATTGCCTCCACTTGGCTCCTGTAGAGTTGGCATAGAAACAAAATGCCCTGCCGTGGTTCCCAGGCTAGACTGCGAATCTGACAGAAGTGGAGCAGTGTTCTGACGAGATATAGCATGTTCAACGCGTAAAATGTTTTCAACACCCCATCGGCTCGGAGACTCAATAGTACGAGGTTACTAGCAAGGTTTCCGCTGGGCGGTGTCTCATACGAGCCTGCGCAGGGTTAGCAGGATGCAACAACGGGCACGAGTATGACTGACCAGCTGGTACTAAAGTTACTTCTATTGTCGCTGGACTTGTACATCCGGTGTCCAAGAAGCTAGGTCCGGTTTGTACTAGTATCTTGGAAGAAGACAGAGGACTTATGCCCTCTGGCAGTTGTATGCTGTCGCTGTCAGCCTGTCATCTCTGAGGGAAATGGATATCACATACCGCCGGTCCCCCTCTAGCTTCTTCTTGATTCGACTGCAGTCTTTGTCGTCGTACGCAATGAAGATATCTCGTACCTCACATCGATGTCCAAGGCAAAGTAAAGCGAGCTCACCCATGACAGCATAAGTCAACTTCTTGCTCTCGAATAATCGACGGACATGACTTGCTGCCGCCAACACATTGGATTGACGTGGTGCTTGCATCTCGTTCTTTTGTGTAGGTTTTCGTCTTTCATGCCCAGCGACATCATGATATCCCATGTTGACAGTTGTGTTGCGCGTTTGGATCAAGAGTGGTGAAAATAACAACAGGACATCGATATGTGATCGCAAGAGTAGACGTGAGAGCGGATGGCCGTCAGCAGGTTTACGAAGCTGCACACGGAGGACTAAGGAGAGGTTGAGTAAGATTCTTGTCAGGCGAGGGTCTACAATATCTATTCGCAGCTCCACCATTTTGGCGCACGGATGGAAAGTCTTTCTATAAGCAACAGTGGTGACATAAGCCTGGACGGCTCTCCTGATCCCGTATTCGAGAATTCTCATGATCAATGCTGATGGAATGTGGCCTAATTGGCTGGTAACAGAGAGACGGCTGACAACAACTTCCGCAATGGCTGAGCCAAAAAGCTAAGCGGTGGGCCCAACAAGGAAGCGGTTGACACTCGACAGATTGAAGGTGGATATGCTCAATGGCGGATCTTTAGCGCTCCGAAGGTACGAAAGGACGTCATACTATTTTCATCTCTGTTGTCGTGTTTAGGGTATTCTCAATTGAGGCTGAGTGAGTTATATTTAGCACCGGGCAGGTGGGGCCAATCGTAATGACCAACGGATACGGGTCGCCCGAAAAGTACGAGAGAACTTGAAACGAATATTCGGCACATAGGACCTCATTTCGGAGCATTTCAAGCCTTTTCTTCGTATCGCATGCCATTGTTAGAGTCGCGCACTCGGAAAAAGCCTAGCAGTAGACGTATAAAACGTGGGGATATCATGGAAGCACTGCGATAGCATGCAAATTGTCGAACAGAAAATGGTAAGAGATTTGTTATTTTCGCTTTGTTGATAATCTACAAGCATTGGAATGAGTGTCGTGTCTATGCGCATCATGTACTTTGTTGGTATTCGACGTGGTAAAGAAGGACGCCGAGCTTGAAACGCTGCAAATGTAGTGAACGCCGTTTGTGCAAAGGAAGAAGCTGCATCACTTCTTCTGATGGTCATTCCTGACGTGCTCAGATGCCGCCACCTAAAGCCTGCAGTCAGCGCAATGTACATTTTTCTAACCATGTGTTTCGGAGCAAGGCTGCATCATCTCAATGCAATTGACAAATCGTACCTGACCTGTCGACGGTGACGGTGTAGTCTCCATCGACTCGGGCTCTCTGCCTGTCGGCGAGTGTCTTTGACTTGACAACAAAGTACCCGCTGCCGAGCGAAGCCAGAGTAAACAAAGTCATGTTGCGAGGACTACAAACTAGGGTCAGCATCAGCTAGCTCGCTAGGTACAAGCTGAAGCTAGACAGCTCTCAATCAGCGGACGACTTACGTGAGAAGTCTGGAGAGTTGAGACATGGTGGTGTATCTGGAATATGTTCAGCTAGACGTGTATCTTGAAGTGGGAAGTACAATGTCAGCTTTCACCAGAACGCGGAGAAGTTGTTGAGACAGCGGAGAGCCTTCCGGAACAGTCGTGTGATGTATTTCCCCTCTCGAGGGTGACGCAGCTAAAGCTTCCCCAGATCGGGCTGCCGAATCCCTGCCCGTGCGTGCGATGACCTCCGCAGCGGTATCCAATGCACGCTCTTCGTCGCCGATCCGTCACCGCCCGGCAGAAAAAGTTCGAGTTCCGCAGCTGCAATTCCGCGCCGCGCGACTGCCCACCACTTACACCAATACGCGCATCCCACCATGCCTCTCCCTAAGCGACAGACGATACCAGTAAAGGGCACAAAGGCCAGCGCGCCCAAGGGTAAGTAGCGATTCACGTGACGGCTGAGCACTGCGCTGACCTTCTACAGACGACTCGCGATTCGCAAATTTCGAAACCGACCCCAAGTTCAGACTCCCATCGAAGAAGCATACCAAGACCAAGCTTGACCCACGATTTTCGCGATTAAGAAGCGACCCAGACTTCTACAATAAGGCCACGGTCGACAAGTATGGCCGCAAGGTGTCTAAGGAAGCTGGCAAAAAGGCCATTGACCGGTTATACGACGCCGATAGCGACGACAAAGACGACGATGACGAAGACGAAGCCGACGACGAGCCCAAGCTAGCACGCCCGGCTGACAAGAAGCGAGACAAGGCGGTCAAGAAGGAAATGCAGAGGGTGGAGCAACAAGGCTTCGACCCTATCCGAGACGGTGGACTGGAGTCTTCATCGGACGAGAGCTCGAGCGACGAAGAGGATGAAGCTGAGCTAGAGGAGCAGACCGAGCTTGCCGGTGACGACAACGAAGTCCCGACGGGAGACATCTCGGCACGTCTGGCTGCCGTGAACATGGACTGGGACAACATACGGGCCACCGACATCATGGCCGTAGCAAACTCCTTCGTCCCAGCTGATGGACGCATTCTCAACGTCGTCATATACCCTAGCGAGTTCGGTATGGAGCGGCTACAACGGGAAGAGATTGAAGGACCTCCTCGCGAGATCTTTGCTTCAACGTCCAACAAAGACAAGAACAACATTAGCGCGCTCGACGACGACTCTGACGCTTCTGAGGTGGACGACGAGGAACAAAACAGGGAAGACTTACAAGGAGATGAGACAGGCGAAGAGTTCGACTCCACCAAGTTGCGAGCCTACCAGCTTGACCGGTTACGCTACTACTATGCCGTCATCACATGCTCTTCCGCGAGCGTCGCAAAGTCCATTTACGACAACCTCGATGGCCGCGAGTACCTGACGAGCGCCAACTTCTTTGACCTGCGATTCGTTCCCGACGGCACAACCTTCGACCAAGATCCCCACGACGAATGCGCAAAGCTGCCGGACGGTTACAAACCTAATGAGTTCTCTACGGATGCGCTCACACACTCAAAGGTCAAGCTGACCTGGGACGCCGATGACGCGACACGGAAAGAGGTACAAAAGCGTGCTTTCTCACGCAAGGAGATCGACGAGAACGAGCTGCAAGCATACTTGGGCACTGACCAGTCGTCGTCCGAGGATGAGGAAGAAGCAACAAAGATGGACAAGGCCGCAAGTCTCAGAGCGGCTCTTGGTTTGGAAGCACCAGGCAAATCTTCGAAAACGAAGAAGAAGGCGTCTGCGAAACGGGATCGCGACTTTCCGAAGCCGGATAGTGAGATGCAGATCACTTTCACGGGAGGCCTTTCCAGCGGAGCTGGCAACGGAGACGTGTTCGAGAACGACATCCCACTACAAGAGACTACGATGGAGAGGTACATTCGAAAGGAGAAAGAAAGGAAGGCGAAACGTAAAGAGAGGTGGGAAGCCAAGAAGGCTGGACGCGATCCTGACGCACCCGTCGAGCAGGAAGTCGATGCACCAGCGGCTGCGGACGATGACGATCCATTCAACGATCCTTTCTTTGCTTCTGATCCTGAAGAAGCTGCGAAAGCCTCCAAGCCCAAGTCGAAGAAGTCTGAGAAGGCTAAGAAGAAGGCGGAGCAAGAGGAAAAGGACCAGGCTGCAGCAGTTGAGCGAGCGAACTTGGAACTACTCATGGCGGATGAAGATGATTCGAAGCTGCGTCACTTCGATATGAATGAAATTGTCAAGTCAGAGAAGGCTAAGAAGAAGGGCAAGAAGGCGAAGAAGAACGCTCCCGTCATAGAGGACAACTTCCAGATCGATACCACCGATCCCCGGTTCGCCAAGCTATACGAAAGCCATGAGTTTGCCATCGATCCCACAAACCCAAGATTCAAGGAGACTTCTGCTATGAAGGCGCTGCTAGAAGAGGGCCGCAAGAAGCGAAAGCAAGGGAAAGACGAAGACGAGCCAGGTCATCAACGAGAGACGAAGAAACCTAAGCAAGATGCCGCAGACGGCGAGGACGATATTAAGAAGCTGGCTGCCCGTGTGAAGGCGAAGAGCAAACAAAAGTGAAGTAGACCGTATAGATAGGATGTGATACCCAGCGAACGGCCTATACTAGCCATCATACGCAGAGCCCACGCTCGAGATGTGCATGTTTGTTGTTCCAGAAGTTCTCAATTTGCGTCCAATGCGAGCTTCGGTGGTAGCTCCTTCCTCTCCCATGCATGATTCGGGATGACACGTGCAAATCCGGCAACCTTGGAAATTACCTAGGTAATGATTCCTGATCACCTCAAACACATCGGTCCCTCTCTCACACTCTCACCGATTTCTCCTTACCTACCTAACGCCCTCCCAACTTCGCATACATCTATCACTAGCATTTTTCAAGGCGTCTCGCGATGCCCTGTTTGGGCAATTCACAAACCCTCATACCATTACGGTCGCGGCTCTTAGATCACTGCAAGTCCAGCTGTAAACTTACGGTCAGTGTATGGCACCTCCATGGGTCACATTCGATAGTATCGCGACCTGGAATGGAGATTGTGCCAATGGAGCAGAGCCAGACATTGCTGGTGTCGGTGTGAGTACTCCAAATCATCCTGTTGGGGCTCAAACTCAAAATACTTCAGGTTGTCTTGTCTTTTGTTGTTGCGAGCTTCATGACCACATTCGCCTCCATCCTCGCTATGCTTCTCGATCAGGCTTTCGATACGAAAGGTCACTTCACACCTCGAGCGCCGCTCGCATACATCCGGGAGCACTTCTTGGAGAACGAGTGGAAGAAGCACTATGCGTGGCGCCCGTTCCTAGACCCCCTTATCATTGGATTCGGTGATCAACAACTCATCACGGGTTACGCTGTGCTTCTGAGCGGATGGATTAAAGTACGATTGGTTGCCTCTCAAGATGCCATATGCTGACAGAACACAATCAGGTAGCTCAAGGCTCTTTCCGAGTGCAAGGTTCCCACTTCGTTCTTATCCTCTACGTGTGTGCGCTGTCCTCCTCCTCTCACCTCGCGGCTCTGATAACGCTCCGCAAATACTTCCGCAAATACAAGCTCATTGCGAAAATCCGCCTCACACTCGTCGTGTTGTTCGCTGTTTTCCTACTCACCTCCATGATCGCCGCGATTGCCATGCCACCGATCTTCGTCGAAGGCGACGATGGCACATCTATGGTACGAAGCCGTGTACAGAGGCTTTCATTCCTAGTCCCTCTATTCCTCATTCTTGTCGGCTTCTCAACAGCATTGGTGTGCATTCTGTACGACCCAGAAGGAAGAGGACTGGAATCACCGTCATCGTCGTCTTCGCAGAGGTCATTACAGGCTCTTGTACGTCGATTTACAGACCCGACACAAAAGCAGAAGGGCTTCTCGTTTCGAGCGCTTTCCCCAGCGCGGCTCGGCCTTCAATGCATATATTACCTCTTCCTCAACCCAGCAATCACATTCGTAGTGCAGATTCTACTCGCCATACTGTCCGCTATCTTGGTGCTTACGCAAAAATTTGCAAAGCCTGAGGATCCGACAGAATTCTGTGGACTGCAAGATGACGAAGAGAATGTCTGGGGGTTTGGCCAGACCTTGAGCGTTGTCATGCTTCTGCTACCGGCTATCACAGCTTTGCAAACGTATCTCGAGGCACGACAGGATATCAAGAAGGGCTTTACTAGAACGCACGATTGAGCTGATACGCCAGACACTGGACACCGAAACTACCTGAAATCGATATCCAACAATTATTACATCGCAAAAAATCTTCATGCGTGATTTTCTACAATTTCGCGCTCTTTTCATCCTTCTCCCGAAGATGCCTCACCGCAAACTCAATAGCAGCCTCATACCCAAAAACCCCCAATCCACAGATAACCGCCTCTGCCTTATCACTCAGATAGCTGTGATGTCTAAATGCCTCCCTCTTATGAACATTGCTGATATGTATCTCGACAAAAGGGATCTCCACGCCAGCCAACGCATCTCGCAACGCTACGCTCGTATGTGTGAAGGCGCCTGGATTTATGACGATGAAGTCAACGTTGCCGCGCGCTTCATGGATGCGATCGACAAGAACGCCTTCGTGGTTCGATTGGACGTGTGAGAAGTTTGTGGATTGCGCAGTGCATTGTTTGCGTGCGGAGGTGATTACGTCGGAGAGAGATGTTGAGCCGTAAATGGTCGGTTCACGTGTCCCGAGAAGGTTGAGGTTTGGGCCGTTTATTAGGAGGATGGATTTGGTCATTTTGAGATATTCAGGTGGGAGATATGTCTTAGAGGAAGTATTTGCTGATGTAAAAGGACTTGGTGATCCCAGTCGTTGAAACTGTCGAGATGCGCTGGTATTAGGAGTGTATGGTAACGACGGGATGGTCCATGGGTGTGTCTGTCGCGTCGCTTAGGTGGGCCCGATGCACCTTGACCTGTTGCATTCCGAGATTCCGATGGCTGTCGGAACGTGGGAAGGGGAAAAGTCCTTACCCCCACCCCCAACGATCGGCCTTCTTGCCCTCAGTTGCGAGCATGACGTCCCACTTCCCTACATACAGCTATCAGGTCGCTTTCCGTTTCTAACCGCTCCGGCTCCAAACGGAGTTATGTGACGCGATTCGTGCTGGCGCGTGTCGGTCGCCATGGCGTTTCTATCTTTCCAAACATCAGCCTGCCATGTACACAATACCCGCAATCAACATGATGGAGATATCAAGAGAAGAACTCGATGAGATCTATGCGTTCGCTGTGCAGCTAGGCCGGCAGGCGGGCAAGATGCTCATGGATGCTGCGCAACTGCGAATACAGGGTGGGAATGCGACAGGACAGGAGAAGGCACATGTTCAGAAGGAGAATGCTGTTGACCTAGTCACCGAGACGGATGAAGATGTTGAAGCGTTTATTAAGAAGGCGATAGCTGACAAGTACCCCCAGCACAAGTATGTCCTGGACTTTGACATTGTTTAGCTGCACACGTTAACATTCACTAGATTCGTTGGCGAAGAATCATACAGCAAAGGCTCATCTCGCGACTACCTAATCGACAACTCTCCAACATGGTGTGTCGACCCGCTCGATGGAACCGTAAACTATATCCACCTCTTCCCCATGTTCTGTGTTAGCATCGCCTTCATCTACAAGTCCAAACCGCTGATTGGCGTCATATACGCGCCGTTCACAAATCAGTTCTTCTCTTCCTGCGCTGGTCGCGGCGCCTTCTTCAACGAAACTCAACGACTCCCACTCGTTCGCAATCCCATACCACCCATGCCGGAGAAAGCGCCCAGTGGCTGCATTTTCTCGTGTGAATGGGGCAAGGACAGAAGGGACACACCGGATGGCAATATGCATCGCAAGATCGAGAGCTTCGTCAACATGGCAGCCGAGATTGGCGGGAGGCAGGGAAGAGGAGGGATGGTACATGGAGTCAGAAGTTTAGGGAGTGCGACACTAGATCTGGCATATGTTGCTATGGGCTCGTTCGATATCTGGTGGGAAGGTGGTTGTTGGGAGTGGGATGTTGCCGCCGGCATTGCCATATTACAAGAAGCTGGAGGTTTGGTGACTACAGCAAATCCACCAGAGGACTGTGCTGGCGCGCCTATAGAGGAAGTGAGGCTAGGGAGCCGGTTATATCTAGCTATCAGGTAAGCCAGCGGTGCAGCAACCCAGAACGACGCTTTGCTAACATAAGGTTACAGACCTGCAGGACCATCACCTACGGAAACAGGTCGCCAGAGTCAAGAGAGGACAGTCCGCGAGGTATGGCGGCGGGTACGCAACCTAGACTATTCGCGGCCCGGAGCTTAGCGACTTGCAATTCTACCGTCTCAAGTTAACACACGACTGGCATATTCACTCGCACCTCGCATTTCGTGTGTGTATGTCTAGTTCTATTAAAATCTACAACCTTGCCTCGTTCAACTTCCTAGCAATAGCCTCCTGCACCTGCACCACCGGCAAATCCGCCACTGCCTTGCCTGTCCAATACCGGTCTTGTTCCAGACCCTGATATATCAGTGCCTCCGTCCCTAGTACGATCTGCCAATCGTTTTGTTTTGCTACCTCCGCAATCTCCGTCCATGTCGTAGGGTGGTAACACATCTCTAACAAAGCTCCCTTATGCGACTTCGCAAGGAAGCATTCGAGGACTTGCCGCGCCTCGATTTCGGCAGGTGTGACGGGCGTGAAGTTTGGTACGCAGGCGACGATCGCACCGACAGCTTCAAGGCTTTGTGCTTGTGAGACGGAGGAAACGTGAACGAGGGAGTCGCCGTAGCCGCGGGCTGTGCACTCTTCAATTACGGCTGCGACTTCTGTGGGATCTCTGTTGACCTGGAGCAATTATGTTAGCACCAATTTCCACACTTCAGGGACGCCTTGGTCTCGTTACTCACGAGATATATGGCACTGGCTTTCATCCACTTCCTCAGCGCATATACGGCGCTTCTTGCTGCGCCGCCTCCGCCGATCACTAACGCAGGCCTGTTTTCAAATTTCGCTGGATCCACGTTGTATGCAAATGCATCTCTTATTCCTATGACGTCGGTGTTGGTGCCCATGTATAATCGGTTCCCTGAAGCGTCTTGTTGGATGAAGAGTGTGTTTACTGCGCCTACGTCCCTTCCCTCTTCTGTGAGGCCGTCGAGGTGTTTCAGTATGGCGACCTTGTGTGGCATTGTGACTGAAGCGCCTACACATTTGTTAGCCATGATTACTAGTATTGCTGCTTTGCCGTGTTGCGCATACCGTAGAATTGAGGATGCTTGATTAGTTGCAGGAACAGGCTCATGTCTCTTGACTCTAAAGGATATTGAGCCCAGTTCAATCCAAGGTTGTCGTACACAGTCTTGTGTAGTAAAGGTGACATTGAGTGGGCGATTGGGTGGCCGAAGAGGTAGCCATGGCGCTCGGTTTGCGAGACCTCTGGTATGCTGGTTTCGGTAGACATGGTGTGATGTGAGTGTCGTGTGCTTAAGGAATGAGGATGAAGATTGGGTAGGTTTGCCGTTCAAGTGACGCTTGATGCTCTTCCAGATATTGGTAATTCGGAGAGCGGGTATTCTGGGTAGAAGTCCAAAGCTCCATGATTACGTCCAACGCATGCGCCAATACCCCGGATTCAACGCGTTGGGGACCGGAAAAAGTCATGTCGCGCGTGGAGGAGACGCGAGTCAAGCGCGTGCAGGCTATGCGCCGGACCGGTGTGCGACTGACAGCTGCGTCTTTGTTTCCAATCAGCGAAGATGCCCCGGCCACTAAACCTCGCGTGTAAATGCGTTCCCGGACCCTGCAGCATCACCAACCCTCTGGGTAATTCCATCACTTCCCAACTAGGCATGACCGGCGCGAAAATCCAGGTCCCTAGGAACGGTCTGGGGTCGGCGAGAGCATGGTTCCTCTCCGCAATCGCACAATGTTTAATTCTTCCTGGGGGGTGCTTAGCGATTCTTCCGGGCCAAGGCCAGCATCAACCTTTCTGCGAACTCGACGGCCAATGAGCGCATGCACGATTGCTTGACACCTTCATAGCTCATCTCCATGGGGTTTGTGGCGTTTTCTCCACATACTCCGCAAAACAGCACGTTGCCGGGTTCCTCTCGGTCGGGATATATAGGTGTAGACCGATCTTCATCCATTGAAGTGCTCTCCTCATCTCGCCCAAGCTACGCCTACCTATCTGGCTAGCAACCCTCATCGGTGCCATCTGAGACCACCATCTTTGGACTCCTCAAGGCACATCCGGACAACTATCTCACCATGGGTCTCCTTACCATCGTCGAGGATCGACCGACGCCAAAGGCTGTTTACAACTGGAGAGTCTACACAGCAGCGTGCATTGCATCATGGGCAGCATGCATGATCGGTTACGACAGTGCCTTCATTGGCACGACTTTGGCGCTGCCATCATTCGTTGAGGAATTTCGTTTTGCGGAAATGGACCCAGCCGACTTGAACCTGACGAAGGCCAACATCGTCTCGGTGTACCAAGCTGGTGCATTCTTCGGAGCTTTTGGAGCGTATGCATCCAGTCACTACATCGGCAGGAGGAAGTCGCTTATCCTCTGGACACTCATCGTGAGTTACTTCAATCCTCTCCAAATATATCGGGGCTGACACAGCCAGTTCATTTTGGGTGCCGGCATGATGCTGGGTGCCAATGGCGACCGAGGCCTCGGCTTGATCATTGGTGGCCGTGTACTAGCAGGTCTGGGAGTTGGTGGATGCAGCAACATGGTTCCTATCTACATCTCCGAATTATCGCCACCAGCTGTGCGCGGACGTTTGGTCGGTATCTACGAGCTCGGCTGGCAAATGGGGGGTCTCGTAGGATTGTAAGTCATGCAACCCTAATCCGTTCGTGAGTAGCATGTACTAACTTGCGGATAGCTGGATCAACTATGGTCTTCAGGAGACAATGGAGCCTTCCCACAAGCAGTGGATCATTCCGTTCGCCGTGCAACTAATTCCTGCCGGCTGCCTCTTGCTTGGCGCCTTCTGGATGCCGGAATCACCTCGATGGTGCCTGACCAAAGGAAAGCGCGAACAAGCACTGAAGGATCTATGCTGGATCCGTAACCTTCCTCAAGACCACACATACATCATGGAAGAGCTCGACGCCATAGATGCTCAGGTCGAACATGACAGAATCACCGTCGGACCTGGATTCTGGAAGCCGTTCCTTGCGCTTAAACAACGCAAGGTGCAATACCGTATCTTCCTTGGTGGCATGCTATTCCTTTGGCAGAACGGATCTGGTAAGCATGTCGATATACAAGTTGCATGAGACGCAGACTGACGTTTTAAAGGTATCAACGCAATCAACTACTACTCTCCAACTGTCTTCAAGAGTCTTGGCGTCACTGAAGGCTTCCTCACCACTGGTATCTTCGGTGTCGTCAAGTGCGTTCTGACCTTTGTCTGGCTCATCTGGCTCATCGATCGTCTCGGCCGCACGAAGCTTCTCATGTTCGGTGCTTTTGGTAAGTTTTCACCCTACGAATAGCATGCGAAACAAATACTGACTCCTTGATTAGGTGGATCCCTGTGCATGTGGTATATCGCTGCCTACATCAAGATCGCTGACCCAACGAACAACAAGAACGCCTCGGGCAAACTCTCGTCCGGCGGTATCAGCGCAGTCTTCTTCTTCTACCTCTGGACCGCCTTCTACACTCCCTCGTGGAACGGTACCCCATGGGTCATCAACTCCGAGATGTACAGCCAGCAGACGCGCTCCTTGGGTCAGGCATTCGCTGCCGCAAACAACTGGTTCTGGAACTTCATCATCTCTCGGTTTACACCCCAGATGTTTGCCACCATGGGTTACGGAGTATACATGTTCTTCGCATGCCTCATGCTGCTCTCTATACCCTTTGTCTTCTTCTTGATACCCGAGACAAAGGGAGTCCCGCTTGAGCGCATGGACGAGCTCTTCACTATCAAGCCCGCTTTCAAGGCACACGGCGTCCTCGTTGACAGGATGAAGGAAAATGAGGAGGTGAACTTGGTGATTAGGGACGAGAAGGCAAGGGCAGATGAGCACACTGAGATGGCTTGAGTGTTTGGTAGTCCCACATACTCGTAGCGTGCAAATGAATATATCAAGATCAATGAGCATTACCCGAGAGTTTTCCGAACGTCCGCCTTCATGATTGGAGCTTTGTAGTCTGCACTGTTCAGGACGTGTCAAAGCCAGATGACGGCCAGAATTGCGCTTCCCATTTTGCTGCAAGAGTACTTCTATTTCAGCATTTTATTAGGGCCAACCGCTTTGACAGGTTTCCATCACAGTATCAGAAGACTCATTATTCGAGCCATCACCACAGATTTCGAGATGGTGATGGGAGCGCGAACCCTGAGTCGAACGATCGATCCCGATGACGTCATAGTCCCCTAGGAGATGGAAGGTGTTTTGACTCTCCGCAAAACGATTGCCAATGCCTTCATACGTGTCGGCTAGGTCGGCTCGAAACCGCTAATCATTACCGGCAGGAAGAACGCTTTTTCCACGTGCCTTCGACCCCAAGCACACGGTCGCGTAGGAGAGTAAGCGCCTCTAGCTTAGCTGTCAGGTGGTTGCGGACTCTGCTTTCGCGTTGGCCGTTGATGATGTGTTACTACAGGTGCTTAAACGGTACAGCCGGACAGTTTCGCATGGTCGGGTCAGTAAAAGTGTCGGATCTTTCTTATTGAGGGGGTCGTCGTACAGACGTCAACCACCCGATAACATACTCGCCAAAAACCACCGGCCTCCAAAACTGCCCGCTGCCCTGCGCATCTACAGCCTTGTCCAGCATCTACCATCAGATGTTGTTACACGAAGCTGTGAAACATTGCAGCCTGTGGCTATTGGATTTGTTAGAGTATCATCAAAAGTAGTATAGTTCTCAGGTGTTCTCCTATAGCGCGCCTTGGCTTGGTGATGGAGGGATACGGCCAGTTTTGGCATCGGGTACCGATGACCGAAGTGGCGCAATGCACCTGGACACGGGTGTGAGCTCTTTTCCGCTCGGCTAGCGCCGAACCTCCACCTGCACCAGCAAGATGTCACCAGGCTGGGCTTGCCTACTGCTTGACACGGCACATCACGGTTGCGTAAGGAGTGTGTTTCATTTTCCAACATTATTCCGGGGAAGCGAGCGACAAATGCTCATCAAGCTTGATTGGACAAAGAAGGTTCAATGCGTATTTACATGGTAAGAAACGGTCGTGCAGGATGCGTTGACCAGGATATCGGGGGGTTATGAACGGCCTTGCATGTACGCCAGCTGCTTATAGATGTCTTATCAGCTTGACAAGTACATCTTCTAGCCTCTCAGTACTCATTCTGTAGTTCCATCTTCACAATATCATACTGCATATCACACACGCTTCCATTTCTGTCTTCCATCAGCATCACATCACATCACATCATGCCGTGCCGCCCAGGTATCTCCTCCATGTCACTAGGCCGATGCTACGCTGGCCATAGCCTCGAACACAAACTCTCCATGGCGGCGAAACATGGACTAGAGGGAATCGAGCTCTTCTACGAGGACCTCGTCGATCACGCTGGGTCCGACAAGCCATCCGACTTACTGGCAGGTGCTGCCTCAGTCCATGACCTTTGCTCTTCCCTGGGCCTGGAGATCATATGTCTCCAGCCTTTCATGCACTACGAAGGTCTCTTGGACAGGAAGCGACACGCTGAGCGAATCGAAGAGATGAAGCTTTGGATGCAACTAGCGCATGTCCTCCGAACAGACATAGTGCAAGTTCCTTCATCGTTCCTACCACCCAACGAGACATCCTCCGATACAAACCTCATCGTCAATGACCTTCAAGAGATCGCAGACCTTGGGCTGCGGCAAACACCAATGATCCGATTTGCATACGAGAGCCTGAGCTGGGGAACACACGTTGACAAATGGGAAGTATGCTGGGATATCGTACGACGGGTCGATCGACCGAACTTTGGCATCTGTCTGGATAGCTTCAACATTCTTGGCAGGATTTTTGCAGACCCTACCGCTGAATCTGGAAAGGTCGTAGGGGCTGAACAAGCAGTTCGCGAGTCGATACAACGATTGGTCGCCCAAATCAAACCCCACAAGGAGAAGATATTTTTCATCCAGATCGTCGACGCCGAGCGTCTCGCACGACCGCTACTTCCCGGTCATCCCTTCTACAACGCCGAACAACCAGCCCGCATGTCTTGGAGCAGAAACTGCAGGCTGTTTTATGGCGAGACTAGCCGTGGAGCGTACTTGCCTGTGAAAGATGTGACACGTGCAATCATCAAGGACATTGGATTTGAGGGCTGGGTTAGCATGGAGTTGTTCAATCGAGTCATGAACAGAGAGGACAAGGCAGTCGTTGAAGAACTTGCACAGCGCGCTGCAGCCGCGTGGCAGTCAATGTGCTGTGATTTACAGCTTGGTACAGAAGCGGGGTATGATACATTGATGCCTATGGAGAGACCGCGGAACGACGTCAGCAACACGGGACAGTTCGTTAAAGAAGCCGAGTACGCGCGGCTATGAGGTGGAAGCTGGTGTGGTTTTCTTGTTCGATTTTTTGTGCTTCTTATCGTTTGACAGTCTATATGTAGAAGATACCCAACAATCAAGGACCTTTTCTAGCTGCGACGACCGGGATGATAAGGGGACGCGTCTTGAGTCAATTATTGTGGAATTTATGGATGGCTAGGCATTGTCTCTTTTTTTTTTACTTGAGAGCCTGCAGTCGGGCTCACCCAGCATCGTAGAAAGTGTTGAGCGGGAATTGAGGGGATTCTTCGTTGTTATCTGTGCCTAGATTCGATACAGTAGGCATAAAACGGCCAGTGTCTGCTGCCAATAGATCGGCCATGCTTACTTCCGATGAAAATCCGAGATTCTCCATGAACTGCGGTTGATTTTGTAATTTCTTGGCACCATGCTTTGAAGCGAAGTCGTCGAGGAAGCTTCCCAAATCACCCGAGACTAAAGCATTATAAGGATCATGGGGGTCGAAGATCGGGCCGTTCATTCCGAAATCGAATAGATTTGGTTCAAATGGCTGCAGACTGTGACCTGGATGACTAACGTTCAAATCCGGATGGACCATAGTGGTTGGGTTGGGCGGTTGCTGGTACTGATCGGTGAACGGACCGCCATGTTGTGACACAAGTGACTGCGGAGAGGTCTGAACGGTCCCGGAGTCATTTGAAGAGGCGTCCCTTAAGGTTGCCGATACTGATCGCAAACCTGATGATGCTCTCTCCGAAGTCTCTTGGGATGACTGGCCAAGAGCAGCAAACAACTCGTGGATGCGAGTATGTGTCTGCTGATCCAGAGTCAAACTATGAGCACTTCTTTTGATACTTTGCAGCAAGCAAGTGATGATTGCCGGCATTCTTGTGACCCCGAGCTGCTGTTGCAGCATATTCAACATGTCCAAGATCTGCTGGAGCCATGCCTGAGATGGAACGAGAGTAAATGCAGTGACGAGATAAGTGAATCGGAGAAGTAATGCAGGTGGAGTTGGTGGCGTGGAAGAAGAATCTTTCCGGATGTAATCGAGCTTCGGTGGTAACGCTGATTTCCACATCTCAAGTCGACCAATCATCTCATGTAAAAAGTTTGGTGCTGTCCGCTCCATTGAAGTGCATCGAAGAATATCAACTAACTCCATGAGAGCGTTGAAGGTGCTCAACGCGAGTGTTGGAGAGTTTGACAGACATGATGGGCCGAGATTGAGATGCCCATTCCATGGTTGCCACTCTTCCATGCCATCTTCTTCTATCTTCCCCATCCACGATAGGTCGGCCCTGTCGAGGTACGGACGCCGTTTTAGATGCAAGGCCAGAAGACTGTCAAGCACAAAAGAACTCGATATAACGTGCTTTAGTCGATGTGTAACAGAGTCCGGTAATTCTGCAAGCATTAGGGATACTCGTAGAGCAGCGCCGACAAGATGCCAGGCAGCATCAAACAGTTTCCCGTTAATGTTGTATAATGCCAAGTTGAGAAGGGCCTTTACGTGACCCAGCTCGAATTTGCCCAGCTCGTTGGGGATGAGCTGTCTCGCGATGTCGTAAAGTCTTCCCGACGGCCATGAACGGTAGCCATCTCCCACAAGGCTTGAGTCATCATGCGCAGAGCCGACTGCGAATACACTCCACATCTCCGCATGACTTCCAGAGTTGGACATATTGCTTGACAGAGCCAAGCCTTGTTCCGCATAAGAATACGACAGCTTGAGGATTTCAAGTTTGTCCGCGATGGGCAGCCAGCATTGTGTATAAGTACAGTATATCTCGATCAATCTCCAGCAGTCCGTAGGCAGAGGTGTAAGGGGAGAAGAGCCTGTAGATTGTTGCAGACGTGGAGACTGGAGTTCCGGTATTGGAGGTGGGCGCATATCTTGCGGCACGTAGTTCGTGCCACTTTGCCATGATATCTGCATAAGTCAGCACTCATCATGATAGTCACCTGGGGCTAGTACCGAATGCTGAGACTGAGGTTTTGGTGTCATCTGGAGAAGCGTGGCATCCTCAGTGTCCACCTCACTGTCCTCGTCCGAACTTGGCGGCCTGTCTTCGTTTGCTGCTATCTGCTCGCCAGACAATGCTTTGGTGACATCTCGACAAAATCTGCTCTTGGTCCAGCTCTTGTGTAAACGATTCGAGTCCTTAGTGCCCCTCGCTAGCAAGACCGTATTCTCCTGGGCCAATTGTTCGTGTACTGAAGCTTCTATATCTGCGTGTTGTTGAAAAATGAAGGCCAATGTCATTTCAAGACTACGTATGTAGCCGGGCTGGAGCCCTCGCTTCTTCGGGTTTGACGTGTATGTACACGTGCGCTTGGCGTCCAGACAGGGAGAGCAGCTAGGCTGATTTGCGTCACATTTCTCGCGGGCATTGCGACACTGATCACAAGCTCTTGATACCCGAAACCGTTTTACCGGTATATCTTGTGTGGCCTGACGGCGTTTCTCCTGGGTTTGCAAAGACATGGGCTGGGTAGCGATCGTTCGCCGTCGCGCAAAGAACACGGAAGCGCCTCATAGAGGCTTGCCGGAAGAGCAGACTGATGATCACCCGGATATGGGGTGTTCGAGCATCTTGCTAAAGAAGCCATTGAGCTTACCTAGTGAGGCAGTGGAGAAAGCCGGGGAAGTGTCTGCGCACCAGGATAAAGTTTTATCCCCGGAGAAAAGCGGGGCTCGCCGCTATCACGTGTGTCTTAGCGGCTAAGGCACTCGTCGCTGCCAGCTGCAACGCCATGTTTTACTTCAGGCTGTTGACATTTTGGAACTACATTTTCAAATTGCAAGTTCCGTAAGTAATGGCTTCCATGAGGGTTGGTGCGAAGCGTTCATTTGCTGCAATGAACACAGAAACCGGGGCGATGGACGGGCGAGCTTCCCTGCCAACACCATCTCCGCCTGCATCCAAACAACGAAGTCTACCGAATTCGGCAAGGTCAACACCAGCACCCACACAGTACGAGTGCCGAAGAATGTTTGACTCCCGGGCGTCTATCGTGCTCATTGGCATGCATGGCACAGGCAAGGCAACATTGGCAATGATGGCTTCGGTAGCCTGCCAGCGAAGGGTCATCGACATGGAGAGTGTCTTCCACACTGCAACAGGCTTCTCGACCGCTGCGTATCGCAAACAGTTTGGGTCCTCGAATCGCAGCCTCCGGCAGGAAGAGATCCTACGCGACACATTACAGAACCACGGCAGAGGCGCCATCATCGTCTGCAACGGAGGATTTCCGCTGGATAGCAGTAGCCAAGCTCTGCTGCATGAATTTTCGGCATCGCACCCAGTAATACACATTACACGAGACGTACGCAGTGTACGCGAATATCTAGACACGGACGAATCCAAAGTTCGAGAGTTGCTTGCTCTCAGTACTCCGGTTTTCCGGCGATGCTCGAACTACGAGTTCTACAACATATCCGAAACAAACGCAGCTCACCTCTCGGTTGCACCTGCACACCAGCCCTCTGTGCCGGCATTTTTGACGCTCAAACGAGCGGAAAGAACCTTCTTCAAGTTTTTGGCACTTATCCTATCTCCCACGAATACCCGCAGAAAGATCAAAAGTGACGCGCCCACGCTAGACCCTGGCCACTTTCCGTTATCGTATATCGATTTGGAGCTGAGAAATTACACATGCGCCGTTCAGGTTCAACTATCGGATCTCACGCCTGAAGAAGTCGACATTGAAGAGCTGGAGTTTGGCTGCGACGCATTCGAGATAGTTGTTGAACCCGCACAGCTTACAGCGGATCACGCGGAGAACATAAGCAAGAGTATATTCAGAGTGCGAAGGAGTACCGTGACGCCGATAATATTCCATGCAAGGCCGCCTTCGGCACATTCAGGCCATTCTACAACATCCTACCTGGCGAACTTGTGGTATGGTCTACGAATGGCACCCGAGTTCGCTACTGTTGATCTCACCATGGATGAAGAGCTGATCCGAGCGATCGTTACTTCAAGGGGCTCAACCAAGATAATTGGTCATCTCCATGCAGCTATGGATTGGTACGATGTATTCTGGCTCGAGAAATACGATACAGCAATGCGATTGGGCTGCAGCCTGGTACGCTTTACCCGGCCAGCAAACTTCATGGACGACAACGCCGCCATTCAATCATTCCGCAACACCATATACGCCAAGTCGCCGAGGATACCCATAATATGCTACAACACCGGACGCGCTGGTCGTCGTTCTGCTTGCTTCAACCAGGTTCTGACTCCTGTTATACCAGAAAAGCTACGAAAGAGCGCAGATTTTGAGATCAGAGCACAAGGAAACCCAGAAACTTCATGGCTTACTGTGACAGAAGCTACACATATCCTGTACGCTTCGTTCACATATGACCCTATGGAGTTCTATATCATCGGTGCCGCAGCGGGGTACAGTCTGAGTCCTGCTATGCACAATGCGGCATATCGAGCGTGTGGTATGCCTCACCACTTTGACCGCCTCCAAACTGCGACACTGGACGAAAACATACGAGAGTTGATACGACGACCAAACTTTGGCGGCACTGCAGTCAGCCAGCCATTTAAGGTGGATGCTGTTGCTCTTTCTCACTCGCTAAGTCGCCACGCTCGAGCGATTGGAGCAGTCAACACGCTTCTACCAATTCGCCACCTCAACGACGATGGCAGCATTCCCGATGCGGATGGTGTTGAGCTTTACCAGGAACGCAACCAATCTGGACCTGTCAAAGCACTGTTCGGCGACAATACAGATTGGATAGGCATTCGATCTTGCATACGAAGAGGTCTGTCTCCCGCCAATGCTGTGCGGCCAACGACCACTTCCAGTCTCGTCATTGGGTCAGGAGGTATGGCTAGGGCGGCCATCTATGCAATGCTGCAGCTTGGCATCAAGAACATTGTGATCTTCAACCGAACAGTTAAGAACGCACAGAAGCTAGTCAGCTACTTCTCCCAACTAGCTGCAAGCCCTTCGGCCGCCAAACTCTTCCCATCGTTCGTTCAGGGATCTCAACCCACGTTTCGCATACTCGAGTCAAGGACCGATCCCTGGCCAAAAGATCTCCGCGCACCGACAGTCATTGTATCATGTATACCTACGCATGCCGTAGGTGATGAACCATCGCCTGACTTTACGCTGCCCACTCAATGGATGCAATCTCCTTCCGGAGGTGTGGTGATAGAACTAGCTTACCGAACTCTCAATACGCCACTGACGAAACAAGTTCGTGAAGAAGCATCAGCATCATGGATCTGCTTGGATGGTCTTGACCTGTTGCCTGAACAAGGTTTCGCACAATTTGAACTTTTCACAGGCAAGAGAGCTCCACGCAGGATCATGCGCGAAGAAGTGCTACGATGCTGGACCGATGAGCAAGGACACTCGAATCCCAACATGGTCCGCACGCGGCTCGAAGCGATGGATGAGCAAGAGCCTTGAAGGCAGTATGGCGTGGTAGCCGATTCGTGTTCGCTTTATTGTATCAAGGGCACACTTCACCATTACGGGAACATCTCGTTAAGAATTTGGTCTTCAGCACATCGTAGCTTCATTGGTCAAGCTACCCATACTGGTGTTTTCTCGGTACAAAAGCAAGGCTCGCATGTTGAATGCAGTAATCAAGGAAACAAGAGCACAGAACCGATCCTCTTCCACCTCAGATCTCGAAGAACAGCCTCAACAACTACTCCAAAGCCGTTCTTCGCTCAACCGCAGAAAACCTTGATGGTTTGGAAGCTCGCAATATTCACACAGATATCTCCGGAATGAACCTGCTTTTCGGCACCGTCGCAGCTGCCGGATTGGTAAACGAAGACTGCATTGAGCATAGCAAGTCAGCTCTCATGGCCTTGCATCAAACCACCGCGAGATGAAAATACATACCACGGCAACCACCAGCTATAGCATTGACATCCATGGAGCTCCCAGGCAACTCGTAACAGCCGGCATCAGGGTTCGCGTATCGGGTTCCGCTCTGGTTTGACAGGCATTGGGCATAGCTGGGGAATACGGTGAAAGTGACGGCTGCGTCTACGAGGGCTGCGTCGGCGGCCACTACAACTGCGGATGACACGTCTTTCTTGACGACTGCGGCTGCGGCGGCAGCGGCAGCCGAGGGGGAGAGCAGAGGAATGGCGAGAAGGAGGGTGCAAAGTATGGATGAAGTGGCAGCAGGCATATTTTCTCAAGGTATGAGTTTCAGGCGAAGTTCTGAGCAAAGTGATGAATGTTGATTTGGGAAGTTTGGTCGTTGAAGATTCTGTCTGCTTTGCCTCTAGACTCATGGGTAGAAATAGGTGATACTTATACATCGCCATCGATACAATACCTCACGCACATTCTGTGACAAACATTAATTCTTTCGTGTACAGTAAACGTACGCTGAGAAATGTGAGAAGTGGCGTGAGATCATTCTCTGCAAACCAACACCACCCGACAACATTGCACAACAACTCGAGGTATTTCCAAGTCCATTGATTGTAGTGCAAGCACAGAGACCTCAGCTCAACTATTACGAAGACAGAAAACAGATGGGAAGTCGGAGAGACCAAGGTGTTTCTATGGTGTGATCCGGCTTACTTTGTATGCCCGTTGTTTTCATGGCGTGACCCGGCTTACTTTCTGTGCCCGTACCTCATCATCATTGGATTTGGACCGTCTAACCAACTCAGCATATATTGAACAACAATATTGAATCTGGTTTGATGTGGTCATCACCATGAGAAGAAAGCGGCGAGTCAAGATACAATAGCTACGCCGCTGCACGAACTCAGCTACACTTGGTGGGGCGAAGCAAAAGACGTCACCGACGCTGACATGTAGTATATCGTCGTACAAGGTGGAATAGATTGGTAGAAGTAGCAGCATCAAGCCGCTCTCAATAGATCGAACAAGGAATAATCTACACTGGAAGATGAGGTACCGAAAACAGTCGTCGGTCTATTGATCTACGCTTCGCAAAAGCAAGCCATGTATCGCTTAGAAGTTCATCAAATCTATCCCATGTTAGCTGCGTCACAATAATACACCACCAAAAAAGGAGTAACTTACCTCGTCCAAACAGTGCCCTCTTGGTCCAGTCCATAGCGAGTAAACACCTTGTCCTGAGACTAACACTCTGTGCAAAGTAGACGCCTCTCCACAGGTAGACGGCCAGCAGACCACCGCTCAAGCCGTAGCCATTGTAGTCGAAGATAGCTGCGTTACCAATGTAGGCCAAACTTCCCAGATGCTTGTACTCGAAGGCCTTGTACACCGCATCGTCCAGGTCACCGTAGTCAACGTTATTGAGTGCCATGCCGGGGGCTGCTTGGGCGATCTTGTTGAACTTGCGACCGAGGTATTCACCCTGCTGGTTAGCACGCTGGGCGGTGGCGGGTAGCGAGGTGAGCTTCGAGTCGATCTGGAAAAGCAGCTCTCTAAGCTCGCCAAAGTCCAGAGTGCCAGACTTATCCTTGTCATACTGTTCAAACAGCTTGTCTAGGCGACGAAGGTGGTTCGCTGCTTGCGGGAAGCGCTGCTTGACGCGTTTGGCGATGCCGCGCCAGTCCGAGTACGAGATCTGCAGCTTCTCGGGGTCCTTGCCCTTCTCCCAGGCAGTCGTGCGTAGGAAGTTGACGATGTGATCAGAGACGTTGTTTTGGACGGTTGCACAGTCACCAATAGCGTAAACGTCACCGAGAGGTGATCCGTTCAAACGAAGATGTGTGTCGGTTTCCAGAGCGTGCTTGTTGTTCTGTCCGTCGAGTTTGGCGGCGAGACGCTTGCAGAGATCGGTCTGCGCAACACCAGTTGACCATAGGCAAAAACCCATGGGGATTTCCTTGGTAATCACTTTGCCGTTTTCGTCCTTCTGCGAGAAGAGGATCTTGTCCGCTTGGACTTCCTTGACGCGCGAGTTGGTCAGAATGTCGACCGAGTCGTGGGCAAAACGTTGCTCAGCGTACTGAGATAAGGCCTCTTCGTAGGTGTTCAGGATGTGGCTGCGGGACTGGATGACGTGGACGGAGATTTCATTCCGCAGAAGCTTAGGGTAGAGCTTGCAAAGGTCCTCATTGAGCATGTCGAAGAGCTCAGCCGCGAACTCTACTCCAGTTGGTCCACCACCGCATACCACGAAAGACAGAAGTCTCCGCCTTTCCTCGTCCGATGTTGTGGGCAAGCATGCAAATTCGAGGTTCTTGATAACCTGGTTGCGGATGATTCTGGCATCGCTGATATCCTTGAGGAAATGGCAGTGTTCGAGACCTTTGACACCATGCGAGTTGGTGACGGATCCGACGCCGATGACGAGCTTATCGTATGGAACATAAAACCGTTGCTCCTGGCCCTTGGCATCTACAGCTGAGCACTCGATGAGCTTTTCAGAGAATTCCACGTCCTCGGCCTTTGCTTTGAGGAAGTGTCCGCGTACTCTCCTGACAATCTTTCGGACTGGTTCGACGAGCGACCGGAGCTCCAGCGTTCCGACGGTAGCGGAAGGCAGCATGGGCGTGAAGAGGAACGTGTTCGATGGCGAAATAACGACAACATGGTAGTCGTCCTGGTTCAGCTGCTTCAGGAGGGCTACGCTCCCCCAACCCGTACCCAGTATGACTAACTTTGGCTTGTGCTTGAGCTTCTTATTCTCCGGACATTCGTCGTCGTCAACGAAGTGGTCGGCGATCGGCAGGTTTTTGGGTCCACCTCTCCTCGGGCTGAGTGCGAGCTCTGAGACGGGGATGTCGGTCGCGATAGGGTCCTCGTTGTATGTGTAGGCGTCGTAGACGAAGAAGGCGATAACCAAGACACCGCTAACGGCGACAAAGGAGCCGAGCATGGCTGCTGTCCGGTACGCATACCGGGCGAGACGTGACCGGGGAGCTTGGAGAGGTTTCGTCGAAACGGTTCGTATCGCGGTTGTGGTGGGGCTTTGCCTGCTTAATTGTGAGGTTTGTAGGACGGCGCGTCTCGCAGCCGATGCTGGGCTTCCATTGCTGAAGGATGTGCGAAACTGTGTGTTGGTGGCTCGGGGCAATCTTCTACAGAGAACTGAGGCCCTGGAAGTGGCATTGTATCCGCGCGACAGCGACGCGGCCTGTCGTGGCAGCATTGCGTGAATTCGGAGCTTGGCGGCGCAGATGGAAGCGGGAGAGGAAGCCGGCGATGAAATAGGATGGAAGTAGGGTGCGCCTACGCGAGGGTGCCAGCAATTGACTCTTCAATCGCAAAATTAGAGACGGGAAGGCATAGATAGATAGGATAAGCGAATGTAGTATGTAAATGCCACGGCGGCGTGGGAGCAGGAATAGGCGTCTCAGAGCGCGGAAATGTCAATCGGGTTCCGCGTTACGTCACCATGGCACATCGGAGCTTCGCGGGCCATCCTTGCATGGTTCCACCAGCAACCAAGCTTCCACTGGCCCCATCTGCCGCGTGCTTGTCGTGTCTGCTGTGCCTGTCAGAACTCTGTTTCCATGTCTCTACTATACAGCTAGGGATTCGGACGCGGCTTGCAACTAACGCAGACACATTTCTTGATGTCTCTGTGAGCCGGCTCCATCTCTACTCACGTACTGAATTTGGTCTTCACTAAGCATGCATCCCGCCCGGGCAGACTTTGTGTTTGATCAAGTTTAGCACAGTAATTGTGGATGATAGCTGAATCCATAACCTGTCTAGAAGCGGCCCACATGCGTTACGACTGGCGTTGGGTGGATGTCATCTTGGCCATTGCAGTGGCATGAAATTGATTCATAGTGACATTGTCATGAGTGCTCAACAGCAGTACAACACTTTGCCATTCCCATCGCTGGCATATGCGCAACTCTGTTGTTATATACAATTCTCATCGCTTCTACTAGTGTAGTTCTACTAACACGACCACACACCAACGGTACCATCTCTACGTCCTTCAACCAGATAGCCATCCTTTATCCTGACGTGTTCGATGATAGAGTGTGTCGTCTTGTCGTTCTCGTCAGCCCCAGGTCCGCAGTCCCAGTGCCTTCCGTCTGTCTTGTCGTACACCTTGACTACGTTGGCACCTGCTGCAGACACAATCCGGCGTGAGTCGAACATCATGCTGCTAATGGCGTGGTCGTAAGCGTAGGCGTCGGCGATGGCGCCAGTTCGGAGATCCCAGATCTGTGCATGTTAGTCGGGGAACAGTCTGAGGCAAAGATAGTCAACTTACGCGTATGCTCCTGTCGGCACTACCGGTCACGAGATGAACATCATCGAATTGCAGGGCTGTGACAGGGCCTGTGTGACCGACGAGACTTCGGTGAACCTGTCCGCTGCGCAGATCCCATAGACGTACCATACCGTCGGCGGTACCACAAGCAAGTGCGGCATCGAAGACCTGAATAGCGCCTACAAAGTCGGCAGAGGAGTCGGCAGAGCGTCCCGTCTGTCGCCATGTGCTGTTAGAGGTGTTCGTAGCTGTGGCCTGGGCGGCAGCCCAGAGGACATCAAGCGTCTGCACGCATCGTCCTTTGACCAAATCCCATTGCCGTAATGTCTTGTCTGCAGAACCGGAAACCAGAGTGTCGCCGCGGAAATGTAGCGCAGTGACTTCGTCGACATGTGATTCGAGGGAGAAGAGAGGGCAGTCCTGCATGCTGGTCGACGGTGGCGCAGGAGGTGCGTCTTCCGAGTTCTCAAATGCCAGACCATCGTCGCTTTCTTCGTCCGGCTTGTTTATCCGGTTATCCATGGGCGCATATTCAGCCTTGCTCAAGTCCCACAGCTTTATCGAAGCGTCCATTGAGCCGGTCGCGACGATGTTTTCCTCGACCTGTAGGCAGCGCACGGAGGAGAGATGACCCTCGAGCATTCCGATGCACCGTCCGGCGCTCAGATCCCATACTCGTACTGTGTCGTCTAGAGATGCGGTGACCATCATGCCCCACGGAGCGTCAAAGTCCATGGCGGTGATGGCGTCCATGTGCGCGGGCAGTTCCTTGATCTTGGATCCTGACTGTAGATGCTCGTGGAGTACGGGCATAGACATCCTCTTTGACAGCCTCTTGGCTTTGTTTTTCGTCTTTGGCGAGGAGGGTATCTTCTGGTATATAGACTCTGACATGAATTCGCCCTTGCCTTCTGACACCTCGTCGCTGGTTTGCGACTCTGCCGTCTTGGGTGCCAGTGCAGCCTCGTCGTCCAACTCTTCTTGCAGGTCCTCGATGCGGTTGTCCACGGTGAGCAGGTCCTGCTCCAGCTCGCCCTCTTCGATTTCGAGCCCCGCCAGACGGTCGAGGACCATCTTGCGCATGGTATTGAGGTTGGCGATCTTGTTGTCGATTTCGTGTATCTCGGCCACGCACATATGCTTGCGCACGCTCATCATCTCGAGGCGGTGGCCCATGCTGTTCCGCTGCTTCCTCAGCTTCTGCATCGAGGGGGGCACATTGGGATCGTCCTCATCTTCCCCACCACCGATCAGTCGCTGCCCCCGCGCATTGTGGCGGCCGTGTTTCTTCGCATGGCTGTCGGGGGCGTCGGGCAGCGAGGCCTCGAAGCCCTGGAAGAGAGAGAACTCGGCGTTGTCCTCGGGGATGTTGGACAGGAGGTCGTTGGGGATGTAGGCGAGGGCGCGCTGCTGGATCTCGGGGACGGAGATTCGCGAGCGCACGATCTCGCGGGGGGTGGTCTGGGCGAAGGAAAAGACGGAGCGCTGCATCAGCGGGCGCCTGAGCTCGCGGTGGAGCTCGCCAATGGCGTTCTGGTAGTGCTGGGTGACTCCTTCGGCGCCTATCAAGCTGCCGGCGGTGGCAGTGACTTTTTTGCCAAAAGCTTGCAGATGGCGGGTCTAGCGAGCATTAGCATCACCGTCTGCTCAAGGAAATTGCGGTGGGGCTACATCGGGGAGCGAGTCTATGAAGCTGCTCTCGTCGTCATCGTCAAAGGCCTGCGAGTACCGGGGCGAGCGCGGGCTGGTGGACCGGCCGCGACCTGGGGATCCATTGCGGGCGGTTGACGAGGCCATGCGAGCAGGCGTGGCGGGAGACTCAACGGGCGGCGCAGTGAATAAGACGTCGCTAGGGCATCCTTTATCTTCGCATGTCAGATCGGGCTGCTCGCGTGCGGTGCAAAAGGCCAATAGGCGGTGAGGCGCGTCGGGGGTTGCTCGAGATAGCCGTCCTGGTTGTGGTGGTGGTGTTGTTCGCTGGGTGGAGCTCAGCAGTCGGCACCAGCCTGCGTCATCCGCCGAAGAGCACCGCCGATGGTCGGGTCCTGGTCGCTGTACCACCACCGGAGACTGCCATGGCTACAGACATCATTCACCCGCATAGTTACGCTTTGGGCACTTTGAGGAGGAACCATGGACGCGGCAATCGACCTCTCCGACGCGTCCAAGGCGCTTGACCTGGCCAACATCCGCTTCCAGCTCATGTACCTCGTCCCCGCCATGCGCGCCTGAGTCTTGCTGACAGCAAACAGTCGGCTCGAGGACACAATCACCTTCCATCTGATCGAGCGCGTGCAGTTCCCCCTCAACAGGACCATCTACGCCCCCGGCGGCGTCGACATTGGCGAGCCCGAGACCAGCCTGTTCGACTGGATGCTCCGCGAGCAGGAGCGCCTACAGTCCCTCGTCCGCCGCTACCAGTCGCCCGACGAATACCCCTTCTTCCCAGAGGTCCTCCAGGAGCCAATCCTCAAGCCCCTCAACTACCCGCAGATCCTCCACCCCAACGATGTCAACGTCAACGCCCAGCTGAAGGACTGCTACATCAAGCACATCCTGCCCGCCGCATGCCTGCAGACAGACCGCGAGGACAGGGGAGAGTCGCAAGAGAACTACGGGTCCTCTGCCACCTGCGATGTTATGACCATCCAGTCCCTGTCACGGCGCATACACTTTGGCAAGTTCGTTGCCGAGGCCAAGTTCCAGCAGGAGACGGAGCGCTTCGTCAAGTTGATCAAGGACGAAGACAGGAAAGGCATCGACGAGGCCATCACCAATGCTGCGGTAGAGAAGAAGGTGCTGGAAAGACTGAGGTTAAAGGCGAAGACGTACGGCACCGACCCGGACCTGGGCGCGAATGGCTCGTCCAAGGTAAATGCAGACGCCGTTGTCGGCATGTACAAGGTACGTTCCGTGCCCTCATTCATTCATTCATACTGCGTACTAACAGATAGTTCAGGATTGGGTCATACCCCTGACAAAGGAGGTCGAAGTCGAATATCTGATGCAACGCCTAAAAGGCACACAATGGGAATAGACCCCGCGCACAATCAAGAAGACCAATACTGCCCAATATCTGAACCAAGCCGCCCTTACACTCGAGATACGTGACTGAAAAGGACTGTTCGTTACAAATTCCCCTCTAGCTATCCGTCGCTCCACTAGTACACTAATTAACACTCGATCCGTCTAGTCCAACTCATGGAACTTGACAACGTGGGGCTTCTGGGCTTCGCACTCGAGCTTGAGGTCTTTTCGCGAGTAAGTCTGGATATGGCGTGCCTCCTCTTTCCACTCATCGAGCTTCTGCTCCAATCTCCCCTCACACGTACTAAAGTACTTCCGCCAGATCAAGTGCCCAAAAGCGCTGCAAGTCATCGCCAAGTTCATCGCAGCCATCAATGTAGGTAACGGTTCCATGGACGGACCAGACTGACTCAACAAGAAGCCCATCGTGATTCCAGTAATCAGGCATAGTCGCTGGTAACGGTCCCCTCGATTAATGTCGTACTGCAACCAGTAATCCACCATGGACATGATCGCGATGAAGATAACAAGGCCTGTTGACGGATTGGTGATTATCCTTGGCTGTCTCGCAGATTGACACTTGTCGGTCGATTGCCGGCAGCCGTAGTAATTCTTCACGATATTGCGAAAGCTCCATTGCCCCCAGGCGAGCATACATGTGAATTTGAAATTGGATGCACGTCGCAGCTCAACCACGCCATAGATACGTCCGGCCAAGGGTATCCGACTTCCCGTGTGGTCGAGTATAAGCGGTTCAGGCTGGCGCACCTCTTCGAATGCAGTTCGAGCTTGGGGAGTCTCAGCAACAAACACAACCGGTCTTGTCGATGACTTGTCGTAAGCGCCTTCTGGTCGCGGATCTGCCGGCAGATTTGCGCCCTCTTCTGGAGAACCCTCAAGATCCTTCGCTGTGTCGGACGACTTTGGCCGCATCCGAAAGTGGTAGATGTTTGACTTGGTGATTGCCCGGAACTTTGCTGGCCAGTCTTCAGCCGATTCCTTCGACTCTGGATAGACTAGTATTACATCGAGATTGAAATCATCGACACATTTCTCGCTATCGGAAGGCTCGACATGATGGGGAGAAGTGCGGGGAAGGTATTTGGAAAGGCTGAAGATGCCTGGCATGTTGCAGATGGAGGGGCAGTGTAAGATCGCGTAACCAGAGAATCCTCGTTGCCTTTGGACCCCAGAAAAGAAAAACTGCAAAAGTGTGATTGCAGTTGTTGATGGGGGGGCTGTTGTTTGGTTTGAAAGAGGCATACGATGTTCACGTCACTGTCCTGATCGGTGTATGTATTGAGAAGTGCTGACCGGATCGTCGGCACTACAGATATTGCCTGGCACCTTCTGTATGGTCGCCACTAGCCTGCAGTCACACCTGCATAAGCATAATTTAGCCTGGAATACTACGTCAGAGTCTTGGCTTTACATGCTTCTTCGCTCCAACCATTGCAGCAGAACAGGAGAGGATGAAATAAAGGACTACATTAGTGAAGCAATTATTGTTTGACTGTAACTATAACACAACACAATGAATTGGCAGCCATCTGAAATCTCATAGATCAGCCTTCCATATCACTCAACTTCGTCATCGCTATCAAAGTAGTCCGCCGATGGCGAGTAAGGCTTCCACCACAGTGTAAGGCCATCCTTGGACGTCTTGTACTTCTGCATCCCAACCTCCTCATACCGTTTGCCGCGCTCATCCGTTAGGCTGAAGCCGATTATTGCGTGCGCGTCGTGATCAAATATACTCCTCGTAGAGTTTCTCCTCCGCATCATTACTCCAGCGAAGATGCCATTGAGAAGAACCGTAGGGGGGTTGGAGAAGTTAGTAGGTATCCAAGTTTCTTCTGTGTCGCTGGCTGTTATGGAAGGGGAATGGGTACGAGAGCAAAGTGGGGGTTGGTCAGACAATATCGTAGCGCCGGACTTGCTGCCCGTGGTTGTGCTATTGTGATGACTGGCAGGGCTGTGGATGTCATTTGTAAGTGGTGCGCCATCCATTCCAAACATGTGAGGTTGTTTTTCGCCATTGTCGGTAGTGCGACCAAAGGCTACTTCGTGCACACCATACAATCCATGGGTCGCTGTACGTTCCTTGGGCTTCGTTGGAATACGGTTGTTGGGTGTCACAGGAATATATTCCAGTTCGCAGGGTGTGGATTGTTGCCCAGTCTTCTTAGACACCTACCTGGCGACCACTGTAGGCACACCGTTGATTTCATGGACCGTAGGTTGTTGCTTTCTATTTTTGGGAACATGTCTGGCGACTCCCTCCAGCTCATGAATCACAGGTTGCTTCTGGAGGGAACATGGCCCGCAGTTACCGCAGCAACGCTATCCAGTTCATGTATCGTAGAATGCTTCCTGGTGATTTTGAGGGTCTGACTGGTGGCTCCCTCCAATTCATGAATCGTAACATTTTGCTTTGAATTGTTGGGAACGTGACAGAGAGCTCCTTCCAGCTCATGAACCGTAGGCTGCTGCTTTGCCTTGCTGGCTTTGTGACTGGCAGTTAATACGGGCATACTCTCCATCTCGTGGAACACAGGAGAGTTTCTCGCTGCCTCAGGCATTCTGGTGGCTTCGGTCAGCTGAGCTGATCCATCCGGAACGTAGAGCTCGTGAACCCCATCAGTTTCATTGCTGAATTCAAACTTCCTGGTTTTTTCTGATGTTCGATGACGTTTAGCGTAAATAGGTAGTTTGAAATGTTTGCCTTTAGGCTTTCTGCATGTCATGGGGCTCGCCTCAGTGGTCCCGAGAGTGGTGCTTTTGAGAACGGTATCTTTCAGCATTTTGGACGCTAATTTCTTTGAGCCTGTGGGATTCTGCACGCCAGCTGATGTATGACTTTTATGGAGGCTCGACGTGTCTAGCAGGGCCGGTGCTTCAGGAAGAGATCGTACAATTTTCTTCCGGTTCTTGTCGGCTGTCCGATGGTTGTTGAACGATTGGTAGGTATTCTTCGATTGATCATTGTTGGTCGGCTGATATGCTTGGTAGGTAGTCTCAGGGGGCACATTTATAGCACTCTGTCCTTTCAGGAATTGCACCCAACCCCTTGAAGCACTTCGCGTACTCGTCAAAATGCTGTCGTGCTCTTGATGTGTAGTGCTGTCCTTGTCGAATATGCCAATCTCTCCCACAGACTCTGCTGCGGTATTTACTGTAGCTCCTTCTTCGCTCGTATCATTTGCTTCACTGTCTAAGCTGCTCTTGTCGCTGGCTGTGTCGACAACTTCTTCATCGATCAATTCGGCATCGTCATCTGCGCCAATGTCGTCACCCACTACCTCACTACGCTCCTCATCTGAGCCGCTGTCGTTGTTTTCCACGCTAATAGTCTCAGATTCTGCTTCTTGTTCATCTTCTTGGTCGTCATCACTGGATGCAATGGGGGAGCTGTCGCTGACAACATCGTCGCTAAGCTCGATATCCATGTCATCTACCGAAGCGTTGTCGAGAGCTTCACCAGCGTCATCGCTTTCACGATTGGCGTCTCCGTCTTCACCACTTTGGTTATCCTCGCTGCCTGGGTAATCGTCGTTATCGTTCTCGCCAAAGTCATAGCTAAGATGTCCTTCGTCGGTGTAGGTGGCTTCCAGCTCAGCAGGATCCATGATTTAGGCAAGCCGAGATTGTTGGAAAGAAGGAGGAGAGCAGCAAGAGCCGATGATATTACGGGCGACGAGCATGAAACAGCGACCATACTAAAGTTTTACATCTAAGAAATCCTCCTGGGTAACGAGTATCGCGCGTACGTACCCGTTGTTGGGACATGTTTTGTTCCGCGTGTACCGCATTCCATGCATGCTGCCATCGATTTGCTGGCTTGGATGTGTTGACTTTGTGTTCCGTCCGGTGAGCCACGGCAACAGGACGGGTACTTGTTGTGGTACACCCCCTCTTCTTGCAACACATTCTGCAATCGGTATATTGTGACAATGCTCGTAACAGGTCGCGTATGACAGATGGTGATGGATCTCGGAACCTCCTGCTCCTACATGCAAGTTTGCATCTTGGAGCTCGGCCTTCAAACTTGCCACGCAGAAGAACTCTTCTACCGTCTCGCATCATGCGTACTTCCAAGTTCCCCGGTTGAAAACCACCGGTACACTGGGTGCGCTTTTCATTCTCGTTGGTCTCGTGTTATCCTTCCTTCTGCCCATGTGTATTGTGGCAGGGTCGGTCTTACGTATCACCTCGTGTAAGACGTGTGTCCTTACTGATCTACTACCTAAGCACCCAGCATCAGATACGGCACGACGTCAGTGTTTCTTCATTGTCGATAGGCCACCAACAAGAGTATTGTCTGACTTCGTACTTCGTTGCCGCGTCCATATATTCAGTGGTTTATCGGTCCTATCGACACCAGTGCAAGCACATCTATCCGACCGACTCCGAGAAAATTAGCGAAATGTTCAGTCATCAGGTGAGATCATGGCAGATGCCGACAGTTCGCAAAAGCAACGATGAGATCTCCATGGATGACCGAAAGGAACCGTGAAATGGTTTAGTACCACAATAGCTTTGCGCACGGTAGTGCAGTTGATTTGGGTTTGTCGCCACTCGTGATAGGGCCTCAAGTTAGATGTGCATCTGGGTCGTGAAGGTTTTGTCCAGAATTGAGGCCGAACCCTCGATCGCAGGTACAAAAATAGCAAACATAGCGTGTCGACGGAGTTCCTCCGACGCTGCGTCAGTGGTGTCGGTGCTGGTGTCGAGCTTTCCAGGGCTGTGTTTGAGCGTGGACCCTGGGCTCGAGCCATCCAAGTGATCGGCAGCCACACCCGCAACAACCGGCTCGATGATGCAATTCACTCCACCTGGGCAGATGTCACGGCTCAACCTTCCACCATCTCGGTTCAATCCCAAGCGATGTCGTATTTCGATTCTTCATTCACGAGAGATCTTCATGCTAGTAACTCAAGGTCACGGAGGGAACGCCGATTACTGAAATTACGCTCGCACTCGCACTCAGACCACATGATTTTGTGGACGATGAGGTCGTTCGGGAACGGATCGATCGAACTCTACGGGATTGCAGTGATCATTCGCATGGTCAAATTCCTCAGATTCACAGCGCTCGCGCTCGGCTTTTCGAGCGTAGAAATTCTCTCTATTACTCTCCCAGTGTGCGGACGAATTAGGGTCCTTCATGGGCACTCTTGTGTGTACCGAGCCGGTACTAACATCAAACAAGTAGTCGCCTACCATGACCTGCATGGCATCGCAAGTAACTAGAACACCTGCAGTCCAGGACGTCATGTGGCTAACGCTCGGAAGCGAGGTCTCGCACAGCCAGCCGACCGAACAGCGCCCAATGCTACTGTGCATACCTGGTTCATCCCACTAGACGTCACATCTCGTATGTTTAGTAAGGTTCAAGCCCCGTTAGGTTTACCAACTGCCCGGATAGGACATTTTTATCGCCCCATCCGGTCGCCCCGGATGCCGCTACTTGGTCGTGACACCGTTAGCAAGCATACTGAGGTTCCAAAACTGGGGGAAAATGTCTTTTCGGCGCCGTCGGCATGAACCGATGCTCGTGTTTCGGGAGAACTTTCATGGTACACTCTTCTCGTGTGCTCTAGTTGGTATGGCCAAGAGTGACGCTTGATGTCAACCTCCTCGTGTTGAACCTTGGGGCTAAGCGGACGCGATGATCATAGCAGGAGTACGACACTATAATACGAGGGAGATGACTATATAATGCCGAGTAAGCATCTCACTTTCCATTCATCATCAGACATCAACTTTTACACTCAACACCAACTTACTACACTATCCAACACTTCAACTCAACCCAAACCAACTCTACCAAGATGCAGTTCACCACCATCGCTTCTCTCTTCGCTGCCGCTGCCGTTGCCAGCGCTGCTCCTCTCGAGGCTCGCCAGGTCGATGCCACTTGCCCAGTCTCCACCCAGGGTGACTACGTCTGGAAGATCTCCAACTTCTTCGGACGCAAGCCTGAGGGCACCTACTACAACAGCTTCGGCTTCAACATCAAGGCTACCAACGGAGGTACCCTCGACTTCACCTGCTCTTCCCAGGCCGACAAGCTTGAGGACAACAAGTTCTACTCTTGCGGCGAGAACAGCTTCATCAGCTTCGCTTTCTCGAGCGACCGCGATGGTCTGATCATCAAGCAAGGTGTCAGCGACGGGTAAGTTCTTCCCACACCTTTAAATGCATGGTTTGTTCAAATGTGCTAACAGTTCCCACAGCCTCACCTATGTCGGTACTACGACTATTCCCAGCTACTGCCGTGCCGGTGGCAATGGTCCTCAGGACTTTGTCTGCCAGGGTGTCGCCGATGCCTATGTCACCCTCGTTCCGCTTCCCGCCGCCGCCGCCCCTGTGTGCCCGGCACCCAGCCAGTACTGAGAATAGGCTATGACTTTTCTCAGTACTCATGATTATCTCAGCGTTTCCTATATAGACATTCCTTAGAGCCTAGACCTAATTCAAACATTAATTTCCTCGTTATTTGTGCCTCTATGACTGCGACGATGACATCGTGCTATATTTGAGTCAGACATGTACTTGAGCTGCGAATAAAAAAAGACGACTGGATTTATCAGAGATGCAGGTTTCGAATTAAATATCGAACATGGGGAATTGTCACAAAAGAGGGACGAAGTCCTAGACGCGAAAACCTCGCGCTTGCCTTGAATAGCGCAGCACCACGCCGTAGGCGCAACAGCCTCTGACTCCATACAAAACGTATAGCCCACATCAAACCACCATCCACAGCTCGCACGAGAAAACTGATGCCTGAAACACACGTCGCGCGAAACCACCATCCTTGAAACCTCAAACCTCCTTCCCACGTGACACGCGACGCGAACTATAATACCAACGTTAACCCCCGAGCTTGCCAACACCCAAACCGCGAGCCACATACGCCGCCATGTCGCTCCTCGCCCGCGCAAAAGACCTGGCCTACAACCCCGATCACACAAGATGGATGATTCCGCACCTTCTCGTCGCCGACGCCGCGCTTTCGGGCGTGATAATCGACAAGATACCTTGTTCGTGCTCCTTTCTCACGCAACGAAACCGCACCACGTGTCCTAACAGCGAACTTTGTAGATACGGAGATAGACTGGACAACGTATATGCAGCACATTTCCATCTATCTAAAAGGCGAGCGCGACTATAAGAATATTACTGGTTCGACAGGTCCGCTCGTGTACCCTGGTGCGCATGTATGGATCTACAAGCATCTTTACAAGTGGACGGATGAAGGGCGAGATATAGGTCTCGCGCAGTACATATTCGCAGGAGTATATCTACTTACGCTTGGTGTGGTGTTTCAATGCTACAGGAAAGCGAGGGTGAGTATTTTCTCGTTCTAGCTATTGATGTTGGCGGCATGGAAGGGGAGCTGACATATTCACAGGTCCCACCTTACATTTTCCCGCTGTTGATTCTTTCGAAGCGCATGCATAGTATTTTTATGCTACGATGCTTCAACGACTGTTTCGCGGTACTGTTCTTCTGGCTGGCTGTATTCTGCTACCAACGCGATCAGTGGCATCTGGGGAGCGCGCTATATAGCACAGGGCTGAACGTCAAGATGAGCCTGTTGCTACCTCTGCCAGCCATGGGTATGCTCATGGTTATGAAATTGGGCGGAAGAGAAGCCTTGACTCAGGCCATGATCATCGTACAGGTCTCGGTAAGTACATCTTGGTTATAGTTAACCTCCAGTTGATACTAATTGAAGTGTAGGTTCTGTATGGCTATCCCTTCAGAAAGCGCGCGCCCAGCTACTTTGCCCGCGCTTTTGAGCTCACTCGTGCCTTTCTCTACAAATGGACCGTAAACTGGCGCTTCGTCCCAGAATCTACGTTCCTCTCAAGGCCCTTCGCCATCGGCTTACTCGCTCTGCATGTTGGCCTCCTCATCTGGTACGCGCGGACGCGCTGGATGAAGCCCTCGAAGCGCAATGTCCGAGGGTTCCTCAAGCTTTGTATTCCAGCCATAGAGCCCCGGGACCAGGACACCATGTCCAGCAAGATCACCCCAGATTTCATCATGACGACGATGTTGACCGCAATGGCCATCGGCCTACTTTGTGCGCGGAGTTTGCACTACCAATTCTACGCGTATGTCGCGTGGTGTACGCCATTCCTGCTGTGGAAAGCAGGCTTCAATCCGGCCGTTGTTTATGCGTTATGGGGCGCGCAAGAGTGGGCGTGGAATGTGTACCCGAGTACACCGGCAAGCTCGGCGACGGTAGTGGGCGTTCTGGCGATCACGGTCGCGGGTGTATGGTGGGGAACGAGGAAGGAGTACGAGGGCGTGACGAAAGGTATAATTGAGGAGGATCATGCGCACGCCGAGTGAGTGCGACGAAAAACTCAGTCCTCGTCTGAGTCGCTGGGCGGCATCTTGCCGACGGTCGATTCCTCGTCGTCGCTATCTTGGACGTACGTCGACTTCTTCGCGAACTCCTTGGGCCTGTATACTATTGTTAGCGCTCTGTACCCATACTACACGATACCCGGTTGGAACATACCAGTAGCTCATCTTCCTCCACGCCTTCTCATCGCGCACCACGTTCACAATCTCCCCATCCAGCTTGTTCTCACGGTCCGCCAGAGCAGAGGTATCCACGACCACATAGCTACCCCGCTTAATCCATACTGTTGATCTGAACCTCGCTTCTAGTTCTGCAAGGACAGGCTTGCCATCTGGCAACTCGGCGGCATAGATGTTCTTGCCTTCGGCCTTAGTGATGCGCGCGATAGCGTGATTCGGCGCCAAAGCGTCAGGCGGTGTGATTGTGCTGTCTATGGTGGCAAGGACATTGCGCTTTGGACGGGCCATGTTGGAGTTGAGCTCGGGTAAGCAGGGTGGAGATATTATCGGTTGTGGTAGTTTTGGAGACAGTATGGGAGGGGTGCTCGTGAATTTCCAAGCAGGAAGGTGTGGCCGAGCCCGGTGGGGAAGTTGTCCCCGCCCCTCCGAGCCCCAAAAGTTCGCACTTTCGCGACCTTCTGGGTATTGCGCCCTTTCTGGTCACGGGCCTAGACCCAATGTTTCTTCCAGCTGTCGGATCGGTTACTAGGAATGAACGGCTATCTGCAGAACTAGACGCGTCTGAGTCGTCAAACGGTTGACCAGCCTCATGATCGACTTGCTGACCGACCGTCCACCATCTCCACACTGCTGCAGCGCAACCACACGATACTTACCCGTCGGCTGTGATAGGTCCCAAGTCGGAGCTGGCGCGGGTTTATCTGGTAATAGAAAGTAATTGTGCATTGCATGATTTATCAGCGATAACGCCCTCAGCCTTTGGTTTGGCCAGTTGGGTTCCCGTCGAGGAGTTCGTGGACTACCGTATTCAGGGTGTTGCTCGGGCTACTTTCTTACTTATGACTCCTGCCTTCGCGTTCGCATTGAACTTGAACGTCCAACCACTTCCTACTACCTGAAGCACACAAACCAAACGAACACCTCCCAGCCACATAGTCCAGGGCTTTGCATTCTCTTCGAGTCCGCAAGAGGGCACCGCAGATTGGGAGCTTGCAGCCATGTCGTCCAAACTTCACGGTCTCTTCGACATCCAGCCTGTCTCCTTGACCAACCCGGAACCGACATACCAGAAGAGCAAGGGCAAAGCACCTCAAACGATTGGCGATGTAGGTGTACTACCGGACGTCGAACTCGCAGACTTTGCTTCTCGCAAAACAGACGATAGCCGACAAGCATCGTATTCAGAGCATGAATTGCCCAAAGGCGCGCAGACCCCGAAAACCCCCAACGAACTCGAGATGAGTCGTCCGGCCACGCCGAATCGAGAGGATGCAGTTGGTACAATTAGGACCTGGAACGCTCAACCGATGACCAAATGGAGAATCCTGTGCTGTTGCTTGATCTACTTTTCAAACGGAATCAACGACTCAGGTGAGTAGAAACAAATGCATAGACCTAACGTATACTTGTATTTCTTCTTTGGGATCAAGACTGACCAATCGCCAGTTGTTGGTGCTTTGATTCCATACATGGAGTCCTACTACCACATCTCGTACTCCATCATGTCTTTGGTCTTCGTTGGCAATGCCATTGGATTCATCTCCGCCGCATTCTTCACCAACACGATCTTGGGCAAGTTCGGAAGGGCAAAGACTCTGATCATAGCGGAATTGATACAGTTGTCCGCATACATTATCCTTGTCTGCACCCCGCCATATCCTCTTGTGGTAGTATCGTAAGCACGTACCTTCAAATATGAGTAACGCACCGCTAATGATGCCAGCTTCTTCCTCTTGGGATTCGGTGCAGCTATCAACTTAGCCCTCAACAACGTCTATTGTGCGCACACTCATCCACCCTCAGTCATCCTTGGCCTCGCGCATGGCAGTTATGGCGTCGGAGGAATAGTCGCGCCCATCATCGGAACAGCGATCGTTTCGCAAGGAATACTGTGGTCGCGATTCTACTTCCTCACAGTCGGACTGCGACTTTGCTGCATCGCCTTCGCAGCATGGTCCTTCTGGTCATACACGGAAGACTCTGAGGAGAGCCTGTTAGAAACTACGACTAGCAGACAAACTGCTGCAGAAGAAGCCGCATCCAAGATGAAGAACCTCAAGCTCGCTTTGAAGAACAAGGTCACTATCTTTGGCGCCTTGTTCATCTTCGCATACCAAGGAGCTGAAGTGAGCATCTCAGGCTGGTTCATCTCATACCTCATCAACTACCGTAACGGTGATCCTGCGAAGGTCGGATACGTGACAGCAGGCTTCTGGGTATGTATAATCGCTTTACACCATGACGTGTTTGCTAATTTCCGGATAGGGTGGTATCACTCTTGGTCGTTTCGTCCTCACTCACGCTGCACCCAAAATAGGCGAGAAGAGATTCGTCGTCATCCTCACTCTCGGTACGATAGGCCTCCAACTTCTGGCATGGTTGACACCAAACTTGATCGGAAATGCGGTCGCTGTATGCTTACTGGGCTTGTTGTTGGGACCTGTCTATCCGTGTGCGCAGACCATTTTCTCGCGTCTCATGCCTCGTCACGTCCAAACGACGGCAATTGGATTTATAGGAGGGGCAGGAAGCTCAGGTGGTGCAGTTGCGCCCTTCACAACTGGTGTTCTCGCGCAAGCCTCCGGTGAGTTATATTTATCCTATGCACAGTTATCAGAGCACTAACTGTCTAGGTACTTGGGTACTACACCCTGTTGCAATTGGCATGTACGCTGTTATGCTTGCTTGCTGGTTCGCACTACCCAAGGTGCGCAAGCGAACTGAGTAGACTTGTCGACTTTACGACAATGTCGGGGTTCGTATACGCCGTGACCGAAGTATCCGTCTAGTACGAGGAACGCGATGGCTGGTAATAGGCCACCATGACATCATTTGGAGACCACTAACCTTGCGGGACCCGCGGAACGCGTTGTTCACTAACAAAACGACCACATCAACGCCCATAGTATATAGAAAAGGGAGCCTGCTTCTCCTGAATCGCTCGCAAATTTGAAAACATCTATACAATATCCGAAGACACAATCTCGCACCACCCAACATGTCAGCGACACAAACCGTACAAATCTTGAGCACATCCACCGCGCTGTTGGCGTCGGGGGGTATCGCAGCATTATCGCTCTTCGATATACCCATGTTACAATCACAGCCAGCATCTCGCTCTCTTCCAATGGTGCGCTGGCTCTTCTCAAGAGGCTCTCACGCTTTTCCAACGGCCGCAATTACATCCGCGTCAGGCTTCGTCTACCTCGCTTACAAATTTCTCCCACAATCCTCCGTCCACTCACTTTCTTCGATACTTCAGCATGTCGTAAAGGGCAAACCAGGCCTTTATCTCGCCGCGGCCGCGCTTTCCTTCAGCATCGCGCCAATCACGAGTCTGGCCATGATACCCACGAACTTCGCCCTCATCAGGAAGAATGAAGAGTTAGGCGGGAGCCGAAGTAAGGCATCTGCCGAGTACCGCGAAAAGGCTGGATCAAATGAGCGGAGCGCTGAGGAATCCGTGGACAGCAAGGATGACGTGAGTCAATGGAAGGATTTGAGTGTACCGCAAGAGAAAACGGAGAGGGAGAGTACTCAAGCAGATGATCAAGAGGTAAATGAGCTGTTGGATAAGTTCGGCAAGCTAAACATGCTGAGGGCGGTAGCTATTGGCTCGGGTGGGATTGTGGGATTGATGGCTATTTTGGCGTAGGCTTTGTTCTGTTGCTACACAACCCGAAGTATCCGTAATCCAGCCAAGCACACCTAGCTCCCCGGAATAGGCGGCTCGCATCATGTTCAACGAATGAGATTGCATGCACGTTACAAGCACGACATTGATTGCACGGCTGACGTGAGCTGGCTGACTACCTGTTGTGTAAGATCGCGGGATGGATACCGTGTTAAGGATATACAGCGCGAAAGGTTCAGCTTACTTTCGGCTCTTCATGCATATGTACAGTCCTATAAGGCTTGAATGTCTTCACCATAGCCCAATCTGTTCCATTACTGTTACTGCAACTCGCGTCCAAGATGCATCGGATTTTCCTTCTCCCAGAACTCCTGATCCATATTGTTACTCCTCTTCCCCCTTCTGAACTCCCCATATACGCCTCTGTCTCCAAGCACTGGAGAGAAACACTTCGCCTTAATCTTCCTCCGCGCCTTCTTCCTCTTCGCGAGACTTCATCGCCAATCCAGTCTTCTACTACAAAGCCCCAGGTCCTTGACAAACTACCACAACCTGTCTCCTCTCTCGCCCAGGATATCCTCACTCGAACAACACAATGGGTGAATTCCGGCTTGCCCTTGGATATCTCGGATGACTACTATTTTTGGCACGAAGGTGCTTATGGGAATCTTCTTTCCACGCTTGTCCCATTCTTGCATCCTTGGCTGGGGAAGCATGTGTATGAACTGATAGGTGGACTGGACGAAATGGCTAGGGGGGAGATGGGGATCTGTTTTAGAACCAAGATGAGTGTAGGGGTGTTTGATGAGCTGTTCGCCAGATATGAGAACGAGTCAGAAGCGAGCAGGGTTGCTATGAATGCACACTTAACTAAACCTGTGACGCGGAATGTAGAAATTTACTGTGTGGAGGGTGCGGAGTGGGATCAAGAGTATCGCAATGTACTACACAGACACGGAAGAAGAGACTGGCAGCAGCAATGTGTAAGGATGGAGCGACAAAAAGGTGTTAGGATGGCGGATCTTGTTGAAGAATTGAGGGGTGTCTTGGAAACTAGTAAAATTGGAGCGGAAACTGGAGAGGCAATACAGGGAGAAGTGATGCTGGAGTGGAGATTTGAGGAAGCCGCAAGAAGAATGACATGCTTTGAGTGGTTCGACGCCACGGGGTAGGGAAGAAGGCACTCGGGTGAAAGCGAAAGGATTTGAGCAGACGATAGTCGATCTAGAATGATATCAATATAGGTTTGGGTATACCATGAAGTAACAGCCAACACCATGCGCCAAACCAAATGCCCGCTGATCAAGATATGAATCAAATAGATGCACCAATGAACAACTTGAGGACAAACATTCACCAGTTCCATGTCCTGCTTGCCGCCGAGAACACAGGTGGTTTCCAAATCAAACGATCAGGATCAATGCTCCTCTTGCCCTTTAGCTTCTCCTTCGCCTTCTGTCTCTCCCGTTGGGCAATAACCGCATCTGTGAGAACGACAACGTGCTGGTTCTTGCTGTATCGCAGCATGTTCAGATTTTGCAGGGTATGCAGCACGTCGTTCGTTGTCATCGCTGTCGCAGCACCCAAATCCTCGATGTTAGCTTCGGTTCGGCCAGGCTCCATTAGAATATCGACGAGAATCTCCTGCCAATAGGCACGGTATCCGAGCAGACCCAGATCAGACAACGGCTTCTCTGGAGATCCGAGCTTGTTTTCCCGCTTGGAAAGGAGGTAGGAAAAGTCGATGAGCAGTTTACCAAATCCCTTCCGTTGGTATTGAGGCAGTGTGAGAATACAGGCCACGTTGTAGCCTTCTGCTGATTCTTTCTCTTTGGAAAAGTAGCCTACGAAATGGCAGCCGTGTTCGTCGCGCGTGCACATGCAGTAGAACAAAAAAGGATCCACGTCGTAGTAGAGTGTCTTATGGTCCAGGAAGAGTTTCGAAAGCAGACAGAGGTTTCGACACCATGTCCGCTGCCGCCTCCCGTCAATCTCGAAGAAGGATACGTAGTCGTCTCGGTATATCTCGTTGCCTGGTGGGTGGAGCAGGTGGCACTTTGTGCGATGGCGTTCGAACTGCGTTACTTCGCCATAGTAACCAAGGCAGAATTCACAGATGTACACTACATCCGAGTCGACAAAGTCTACTGGATAGGGTGAGAAGTACCAAGGCTCGACCTCAAACTTGCCCATCTGAATCTTCTCCAAGTTACGCACTCGCGAGATCTCGGTTTGATTCTGGGTCATAGATCCGGATGTGCGCAGCTTCTCGATTTCGTCTTCTCTCGAATAATCTTGGGGTGGCATGGCCTTGGCTGCTGCGGCGGCATCCTGCACGTCGACAAGGTCCATCTCCTCATCCTCGGGTTTCGGTGTGCCTTCGGTGACTTCGCTTGTGACTATGAGTTCTTGGTTCTCCTTGCCACTTGCTTTGGACGGCCTCGGTGCCTTGCCTGGCAGGTTGCTAGACGTCGATTCTGGGGTGCCTGAAATCTCACGATCAAGTTTGCTGCGGGATCGCTTGAGATTCTTCTGATCAGACTTTGAAGGTGCCTTGTCGGTCTTAACGGCAGTGCCCTTCTTTTTGTCTGCTTTCTCGGGCGCAGGCCACTCGACTTCTCTTGATAGATCTATCCGTTCGGCTTCGATCCACTCATCTAGACGCTTGTTGAACTCTTCATAATGAACGTAGAACTTGGGCCTTCCCTGCCTGGTTTGAATCGACAGAACTTCAGCTTTGCGCTTCTCACCATCCTGTAACGTGTTAGTCTAGGTACTGACTAGGTATTGTTGTTGCTGTTTTGGTGTTCATGCGGCTGGGGTTTGCAATGCACATCGCGGTGTTGCGTGCTATTCACGTACCTTCTCAACCCACGCCTTCACGCCAGTCCTGCACGCAGCGCGTCAGCATACATATTCAACAAACTTTGCGCATGGTGTCGCACTTACCTCAGCTGCGCAAGAGTGGCAAAGCCTGTTTCTACGGGCGCCGGCGTCCCGGAGGGCTCATGCGAGTTTTCTCGAGGCGCCATGGTGATGCGACACGCGTTTCTCGATTCTGGTAGATTTTGGGACCCGTTGTGAGGTTTGATGTCGCGATGATGTTAGGGGTGCCGGTCTCAGTCGCGATGTTGCCGCCTGCCGATCGGGCCTTTGCGTCGCGTTCGAGCCGACATCTGGAAGGTGCTAGCGCGGTTTTGAACTTTTGCTCGCGGGGACTGAGCGGAGAAGCGCAAACGGCCAACATCCTCGACAACCACTGACAGGACGACATTCACACCGCTATGCCGCGCAGGTGACGACAACATGGCTCCAATCGATCTCGGCACTCTGTCCAGCAACTGGAAGATACTGCAACAGCGACTCAAGCCCTCAACGCCGGCGACACCTCCGAAGAAGAAGTTCGAAGACGAGCAGCAGTCTTCCCTCAAGCGCAAGAGACCTCATCACGCCAATGGGAAGCACGGAGATGCATCACCAACAGCTGTAAACGGCTCCCAGAAGAACACACTGCGAAAACCTTTACCCTCGAGGAAGCGACAGAAGATGGAGGAGCCCGCGTCTGTTGGCGCCTCAGCCAAGCAGCACAACGCCAAAACCCTCTCCAAGAGCATCTCAATGCCCTCCCTCAAGAAGACACCCCTTCTGAGCGATCCGAAGGATGACGCTGCGGCGGTCTCCATCCTCGAACCACACCCCGACTTCCCCGACATAGAAAACGAAGGCGTATCAGAGGTAGCGCTGCCCGGAAAGTACGTCGCATTGGATTGTGAGATGGTGGGAGTTGGGCCAGAGCCTAACCGTGACTCTGCGCTGGCAAGAGTGTCGCTAGTCAACTTTCATGGCCATCAAGTCTACGATTCCTACGTCCAGGTACCCCGAGGAATCGAAGTTACCGACTATCGAACCGCAGTCTCTGGTATCGAGCCTAGACATCTCCGCAAAGACGTTGCGCGACCCTTCGACGAAGTACGAAACGACCTCAAGATCCTCCTCACCGGGCGCATACTCGTTGGTCACGCGGTGAAGAACGATCTCGACGTGCTCATCTTGAAGCATGATAAGCGCTTCATCCGCGACACATCCAAATTCTCAAAGTTTAGAGAATTGGCTATAATACCGGGGCGCACACCAGGCTTGAAGCTATTGGCAGACAAACTCTTGGGTGTAGAGATTCAAGTCGGTGCTCATAGTTCGGTTGAAGATGCTAGGGCTACCATGGCACTGTTCAGGCTGGAGAAGGACAGCTTCGAGCACGAGATCAGGCAGAAGTACGGAAACATCCGCCTCGAAGCAACTGGGCCAGAAGTCGACGTTGGTGGTGGTGAAGAAGTAAAGAAGAAGACCCGGAACAGGAAGAAGAAAAAGAAGAGGAACTAGAAGGCTGGGATATGTACTTTCACAGTTCCTGTTCTTCTTGGTCTTGCTGCATTTACTTGGAGTCTTTCACGGCACGGATACCCTGAAAAGTTTACATGTACTTTTAAAGTTACTATTGGATCATGTATTGTCGGTAGCTTCCAAAGCTTTGGCTAAGGTTGCCCTTGTAGCTACCAATACATCAAATATCTTCTCCATGTGTATCTAGCAAAGAGTCGTCTTCTGATGCGCCTTCGCGTGTTCCGTGTATGGGGCAACCTCAACCCGAGACAGAGTGTGTTACACCAGAATTCGAATGTGCAATTGCGGCCAGGAATTCTGCACTCTGGCTCGTTATGCACGTCGCTGACAACGCTAATGTTCTTACATCCGCCAAACTTGTACGACTAGTACGCTACCTCCGTCAACTCCACCAGGAATTTCAATTAATTTCTGAGCTGGTCCAAAGTTACAAAGGTGACCAAGCTTGGCGTCGCCTACAATCGTCCGACACGTGAAGCTTGACGATGTTTTGCTCGGAGCTTAGCGGAGATAGCATCTGCCATGACCAAATATCCCCACATCGAACGTGAGAGACCTCGGGATGGTGCCCCTCCATGGTCTTAACGCCATCCGACGAAGATCGGCCCCGACAACCGTCGGTAGTCTCGACCTTGGACGCAATAGACGAAGAGACCGAAGATGGACCCTGAGGTACTCCAGCGTAACACGTCATACGCATGTAAAGACTCAGGAGATATAAGAAGAGGCCATGTCCTGCAATGACCCCCTCACAATAGCTCGCACATCATTCTTCAATTCTTGAACTGAATTACCCTTCCAAAGTTTACCAACCACACCTCCTCCAAGATGCCTTCTCCATTTGGTGACGCACCCAAGGCGGCGTCCCTCCTGGACTTCCACCGCGTCATGTCGCCCACTGCTGGAGTCCGCGTCTCCCCTCTTTGCTTAGGAGCAATGAACTTTGGCGATGCGTGGGAGGGCATGATGGGCAAGTGTGATAAGAAGACTGTGTTTGAGATCCTTGATTTTTTCCACAAGCAAGGTGGCAACTTCATTGATACGTAAGTCTCGGAGACGTCATGATGATTACAGAAGCTAACATTGATGTAGCGCAAACAACTACCAAAACGAGGAGTCCGAGACCTGGATTGGCGAGTGGATGAAGGAGCGAGGCGTACGACACGAAATGGTCATAGCCACCAAGTTTACCACCTGCTTCCCTGACCCCAACAACTCTCCTCGACAACGTATCAACTACGCTGGTAACAGCACGAAGTCGCTCCGCGTCTCGCTTGAGGCATCCCTCAAGAAGCTTCAAACTGATTACATCGACCTGTTGTACGTGCACTGGTGGGACTTCACAACATCCATTCCGGAATTGATGCAATCACTCAACGCCGTCGTCAACTCTGGAAAAGTTCTCTACCTAGGAATTAGCGACACGCCTGCCTGGGTTGTCAGCAAAGCCAACGAATGTAAGCATCATGATGTGGCAAGATTTGGCATCCATAACTAACGAGATATTTAGATGCCCGCAACCATGGCCTCCGTGGCTTCAGTGTCTACCAAGGTCGCTGGTCCGCAGCCGAGCGCGACTTTGAGCGCGAGATCATCCCAATGGCACGCGAAGAGGGCATGGCTCTCTGCCCCTGGGGTGCCCTTGGTGGGGGTAACTTCACCACCGAAGAGAAGCGCAAGAACAACGAGCAAGGTCGTAACTTTGGCCCCGCTTCCGAGAAGCATATCGCAATCTCCAAGAAGCTTGAAGCCGTCGCCAACCAGAAGAAGACTCAGGTCACGAGCATCGCCCTAGCCTATGTACGCCACAAGTACCCCTTCGTGTACCCGATCGTTGGCGGTCGCAAGATCGACCATCTTAATGGCAACATCGAGGCGTTGGCAATTGAGTTGAGCGAGGAAGAGATCGATGATATTGACTCCGCTGTTCCTTTCGAGATCGGCTTCCCTATGAACTTCCTCTTCGAGTTTGGTGGTAAGAAGTTCAAGAACACCATGACTAGCTCGGATGTTGGTCTCCTGGAGTACGCTGGACCTCTGGAGAGTGTGCCAGTACAACAAGGCCCTAAGCCACATCCGCTTCAGGGGTACGGAGGCAACTAAGAGTACAAGTTCTAGAGCCTAGATGTAAATGATAGCCAAGCCTAGATCTTCATATATGAATTCAAATACAATTTTGTAAATTCCACGTTCATCAGTAATACTCACATCTTGCTTTATGAACTGCATCTTTCTACCCGTTTCTGCTGTTGATCAAGAATCATGCTCACCTTGGTAGTGGGACCAATCAAAATCCAAGCAGGAGCCCCACTTACACACTCTTTGCACTTTCCAATTCGCTCGCTCAATGCAGCACGACACAAAGCACACACCATGGACTCTCAACTTATCCCGCTATCCAATTTCAGACTACCAGACCACCCAAACGCCACATTAAAGCTCGATGGCTCCCCTCTCAGCATCATCGACCCTTCCACTCTCACAGCCGAGACCACTATCGAAAGCATTACCTCAGCAATCGGGCTAGCAACAGTTCTGTACAAATGGCAACCAAACGCTCTCGCAGCCTTCTTGGATCTGGATGCCTGGTTCTCCTTCACATGGACATTAAGCATTGCCGAAGGCACACCCGAGGGATCTAAAATCGAAATTGGACGCATAGGCAACCAAATTACTTTCGGAAGCCTGGACAGCAGTGGCGATAACTGGACATTGATGCTTACCTACAACATCGTTCTGGAAGGTGAAGAGAGAGGCAAGTGGATACCGAATCCCAAAGAGAGCATGTTGGGCGAGAAAGACGTCACGGACCCGGAGGAGATTGATAAGTTGGGTAAAGAGTTTGCGGAGAAGATTGTGAGGGAGAAGAGGTGGGAGACGGGGAAGAAGATGAAGCATAGGTTTTTCGTGGAGTATGCGCCGATGGATGTTTGGGGTGATGGCATACCGATGAGTCCGCACTGGCTTTATGCGTCTCTTGACTTTTCGAAGTGTACGGCTTGCAAAAAGACGGGTGTTGCGTTGCAGCGATGCGGAAGATGTGGTACGTCGACGTACTGTTCGGATGTTTGTCAGAAAGGGGACTGGGCTGTGCATAAAGATGTGTGCACTATGAGCATGGAAGATAGAGGACAAGCGATTAAGTTATCGGAGAAGGGTGGGCTGATCAAGTGGGATGCGGAGAAAACGTATGCGAAAGAGGAAGGGGAAATGAGTGCGATTCCGAATTTTGAAACACCGCAGGTGAAGCGGAGGATTATGCAGGATACGGATGTTAGTGGGAAGATTGGATGAAGAGAAGAGAACGATGACTTTTTTTTTAGTCAACCCAATGTACCAGCGGAAGCAGTACCCAGCAAGGGTATACTTGTAGCTGCACGCATCATAACGTTGGCTTTGGTTTCAAAGATCATGTCGCCGACAGCGCGTCGGCCTATTCCAGCCTCAGGGGAAAATCAGGCGTTGCCTAGACGGAGAGATGAATAATATACAAGTACAATCCTTGAAAGCTCATTTGATTGATATCTCAGACCAAGAAAAATGTCTGATAGATGTTAGCTACTCCAAATACAATTACACATATTTCTAGACTAACAGCAACGCATACATGTGTCTCACATACCTTCTCTCTTGTTACTACCGCTTCTACTTCAATATACAGAGTTCTCCTACAGTACGTCCGAGAAACTCCGCCAGCTTCTGTTGGCCCTGGTATTCCCCAGCTCAATAAGGTTACATTGCTTTCTGCCCCTCCCATCAATCCAACGAGGGCACTTGGTCCAGTGGTAAAACACTCAAATGCAACGCTAGAGTCATAGCCTTGGCACTTAACCGTGCCAGTGTAGGGGTCAAGATGCCGAGCGCGCTAGGATCCCAAGCGTAGGCCCCAGGGTGGATTATCTGCCCTCAAGTCTATAGCAGACTAGACACGACAGCTTTCGAGAGGCATGCGTTCGACTCGCATAGAGCCCAGTTATTTTTGCGCCTGCCGTTGCTTTGATTGTAAGCTAACTGTCCCGGATACTGAGGCTTTTCGTATTCTATTGTGCTCAGTACAGCTGTAGTACTACTAATCTCCCCTCATTTCCCTGTGGCGAAAAGCCTAAGAAGAGACAACAGGTGATTAGATCCGTAACGCTGAGCATGTATATTGGGTGAGTATATTGCCTATCCTTTTGCGGCTTGCATGAGGAGTTGTCCATTTTGTCCATATACATTGAAGCGTGGAGTTTTCCATGTAGACCAACGTCTGCCAGGTAAAGGTAGGCACCTAACGTGATATCCCAGATTTGTCTCTGTTCTGTGCTTCGTTTGAGGTTATTTATACAGGCATTCCTCGGTCTTTATACATGAGATTGTTCATCCTCTCATCTGGTAACAGACCAAAGAGCATTTAGTCCAGTGGTATGACGCTCGTGCCAAATTTCCGTGGACCTTCTCAGGGGCGGGCGCTTAATCGTGCTTTGGACTGTTGATACTGATCTAGGTCCACTCTGTTTATAGTTCGTGCAAGTCTGAAGCAGATGCGGATGCAACCAGAGATCTAAGTTCGAGTCTTAGAATGCTCATCCTCTCTTTTGCTTCGTTGGTGGATGTAGCGCGTGCCAGTTTGGTGGTAGTTCGGCATCGTTGTGGTCCCTCATTTTTTGGCCTCCTTCTTCTTTTCTTTATCCCACTCTTTTTGCTCCTTCATGAACCTCTCCTTCTTGTCCACGTAGCCCTCGTGCAACTTGGCCTTCTCCCAAACCTCCCTAAAGATGATGCTAGCCTCCAGTTTCTCATCTTGCCCCTCGTGGCCCTTGCTTCTCTCTAGCTGCTCTCCGGTCTTCTTGTCGTACTTTCTTCCTCCAGCATGATTTGCATATCTCTTGGCCCTGGTCATACCCATCTGCAAGAACTTGCGGGACATGTCCATGCCCACGAAGTCATCCTTCTTGTCGTACTCCAGAAATTTAGCGTAGATTTCAGACGACGACTTTTGTGCGATAGCAGGTGTTTTGAAACGCCACAAAGGGAGGATTTCGGACTTGTAGGGCTCGAATGTTAGCACACCTTGTTCACCGCGGCCGATGCGGTAGCTCATCCGCTGGGATTTCGGTAGGGGCTCTGAAGGCATTTTGATCGCTTTCTTAATCATCGACCAATGACTTCGGCGCTGGTGTTGAGTTCAAAAGCGTGGGCAGCGAAGGGCGGTGGTTGGTGAGGGTTCATGACGTAGTTCACGCTACGCGACGTGCGATCACGTTGCTTTGCGTTGCACTACCCAACACGGGTCAGGGTCTCGCTGTCTGCACCAGAGCACTGCGATTAAATCTCCTGATGCACATTTTCCTCGCATTCTCACGAATTGCAGAACAGTGCTGTGACGGACATGTACACAGATAGGAGTGGATGCTGGGTTGTTCGATCAGGACCGGGTCCTACTTATATACAGTCTAATGCAGCCCTTTCTAATATCGCGGTATATTTACAGGTGGATGGGTGCGGTGGTCGTACTGGCGTGGCTGTCGTTTCCCACGTGTGTGGGCGCATGCAGCCGTGATACGTTTGTTAGTTAAATCTTCTCCCAAGCCTCCTGTTATTGATTGTCGTTCTTCCCCCGGGGTTTGCACACCATCTTCTCGACTCGTTGCAAGATGGTCAGTTGTTGCTCTTCTTTGCCCTCGTCGTCTTGTACACCCAGCACCTGCCCAATCAGACCACCAGGCTTGGGCACTGGGCATTCCCTCTTCGCCGCCAATTTCTCCTCGATCAGGCGCTGCCTCCTCCGCTCCTCACTCATGACTCCATTGCAACTCTCGTCTTCCGGCACTCTCCGCCGCCGTCTCCTCCTGTTCTCTGCTGTGGGGTCTGCGGAATCGGCGAGTGTGCGAGGGTCGACCGGGCAGGGTATCAAGTGGGGAGCAGCGACGACGAGAAATGAGACCATGAGCGTCGTTCCGAAGAGCGAAGTTGTCATGCGCGACCGCGGGTGGAGGTGCGGAGGCATGTTGTGTGTGTGGGTTGAGAAATTAGAGAGCGAATTGCGGAGGCATCACTGGGCCTGGAGAGTCGTTAACAGCTGGTGGATAGAAGTCGTGTAGTAGCCAATATCATACTGTGCCAATTGAGATGCCTCGAGCAGATGTGGACGGCGGGGGAGCGGGGTTGACGGTGGTGATGGTGTTCTGGTGGAGTGCACATGGACGGCGGAGCTAGCAGGTCGGGCTTGGACCGACATCCCTACGCATTCGCATGCCCGCTGTGGATCTCTCGCCCTCGACCTCCACCAGCCCACCACCTTGACTTGTTCACCTACCAAAGAGCTCCCGCCCTCCAACATTCGCTATCTTCAGCTTAATAGTCCTACACAACTATCACATAGCCACAAGACCCGCACATTCACTGCATCTGTAACACGCCACACGCGTACCGCCACCCTCCATACTGTTCGCGCCCACCAGAATCTTCCGTTACGAACAGCTTCCATAGCTGCAGACGCATTACGCACGCAATTGCCAACCAAAGACTTCATACGTCCCGAAAGCCCTGCGCGGGCGTATAGCGCATAGCTGTCGCCATGAGCGCCGGTGGTAGCGACCTCGACAAGTATGGACAGCCACTCAGCCGACTAGCAAATGTACGATATATGGGGCTGACACCAATCGCAGAGCTATCCAGCAGCTTCGCGCATGCCGTCCGATACCCGAGAACCAAGTCCGAGAGCTATGTTACAAGGCACGCGAGCTGTTGATCGAGGAAGGCAACGTGGTCGGGGTGGATGCGCCCGTCACGGTAGGCACTATACTGAGTTGGCATTTGGGCATAGCTAATCGCATGGCGTGGCTAGATATGTGGTGATATTCATGGACAATTTCACGACCTGATGGAGCTCTTCCGGGTCGGTGGAGACGTACCGGACACGAACTACCTCTTTATGGGTAAGCCAACCGAATCTTGCCATGCTCCTTCATACTGACTCCATGCAGGAGACTTTGTTGACCGCGGTTTCTACTCGCTCGAATCTTTCCTCCTGCTCCTATGCCTCAAAGTCCGATATCCAGACCGAATAACACTCATCAGAGGCAACCATGAGTCTCGCCAGATCACGACTGTATACGGGTTTTACGATGAGTGCTTACGGAAATACGGCAGCGCAAACGTCTGGAGGTAGCTCGCAATCCCACGGTCTGGATCTAGAGTCAATGCTAACATTGGCAGGTATTGCTGCGAAGTCTTTGATTATCTAGCCCTCGGTGCTCTCGTACAAGGCGCCGCAACATCGCTCCAAGCCACCGATGGCCCCATAGCCGAGTCCAGCAACGCAGAGAACATGCCCGACATTGACCAAGACATCGAGATTGAAACGCTCAACGCGAATGGCGAGGTTATGTACCGCTACGCGCGCAACTCAGACTCCCAGTCAAGCGCCGCTTCGCAAGTAAGCGCAAACATGGGCTCTTCGTCCCCTGTTGCCCCAACACCCGGACGAGTTGGCCCTGCAGGAACGGGCGCAACTTCGTCTGCCAACGGCTCAGCTCGAAACGACACCGGAGCCATTTTATGCGTACACGGAGGTCTGTCGCCACTCGTCGACTCAGTGGATAAGATCCGACTTCTGGACCGGAAACAAGAAGTGCCACACGAAGGAGCTATGTGTGATCTCCTCTGGTCCGACCCCGATGAGATTGACGGGTGGGGCCTGTCACCGCGTGGTGCAGGCTTCCTATTTGGAGCCGATATTGTCAAGACGTTCAACCATAAGAACGATCTCAGTCTCATCGCAAGAGCACATCAATTGGTCATGGAAGGTTTCAAGGAGATGTTCGACTCAACAATCGTTACTGTCTGGTCAGCGCCAAACTACTGCTACCGTTGCGGCAATGTAGCCGCCATCTTGGAACTTGGCGAGGATGGATCAAACGCTGGTTTCCAAAGGAGGTCAAACGGCGACAGAGCAGGTGGTGGTGGAGGCTGGGTCCTAGGCTCGAACGCTGGACCAAATGGCGAGAGGCGATTGAGTTCCGTACTCAACGACACTTATCAGAAGAATAGAGACGGTCCAGGACGGCGGTACCGGGTGTTTGAAGCTGCTCCCCAGGACTCGCGAGGCATGCCGGCGAAGAAGCCAGTGGCCGACTACTTCCTTTGAGGAACGGCAACATTACCGCTGGAATTGGAGTTGAACAAAGCTCGAGGATTGGATACCAGGCCTCGTCAGGCCATCCCCGCGTTGCCTATGGGCTTGCTGTAGAGCACATCCTGCAATTGAGCTTGGGCGTTTGGAGTTTGCAATAAGGGTGCAATGAAGCTTACGCGGCGAAGACACCTGGCGCTTGATGCTGGTTGAAGAGATATAAGACTCCATTGTTGCTATACCGTCACCCAACCAACGCTCATGTGCCGCCATATTTCTGTCATATCTTCATTTCCCCCGGCGCATTAATCGTACAACAGGTCTGAAACCACTCCGTCCATGCCGATAGCCACCTCTGATGAAACCCTGGAACGCTGTGGGATGTTGCGAAGATGGGATGCGACCACCCTCCCAGGAATAGCTACATCTGACGCTATGCATCGACGGCGTTGAGTGTCGACCTCATTATAAAGTCATCGAACTAACGCAAACATTCGTTAGCTTTCAGAGCCCAGGTTTTGCGGTATCGTTCCAGCACCTACCGTGTACGGCTTTTACGTATCCCAAAGTCTGTGAGGACAAGGGCGCAACCATGATTCTCGTCCGTGTTTCCAAGCTCAACATCTGGTATTTGTCAGAAGCAGAGTTAGGACAACGTTGAAGATCAATCAATATACCGACTTCCGAGCGCGCGATCTGACGACGAGGCATGAATTTGCGTAAGAAGTATGCCAGGAGAGGGATGCAGGTGGCTAGTAGAGTCACAAAAGCTATGATTGCTTCAACCGACCAGGAAGACATGGCGAATTGTTCCAAGGCTACTGATAACTGTCAACGCAGAGCGTGAGGAGCGATGCGACGTTTGAGAGGGATGTGCTTTCGAGGAAGAGCGCAACCTTCATCCCGTCTTTATCATATGCTCGAAAGCAGAATCTGCTAATGAAGCCTCTACAGAATCTGTAATGGTACTTTTGCAGATTTTGCATGATTGGACAACATGGCTGCGCCTCCATTCAGCCCAGCATTACAGGGTGGGCCATCTTCACAGAATCTCGCTTTAACCAGCCTTGGTCACTTGTTGTCATCATACAACCCAAGATTTTGTTGTGCGATGTGCTGGAGTTCCGTGCCACCCGCAGGTTTTGCACAATTGGTCAGTTCCGCCAAGGATCGTTGCCCCGTTTACAGAATCTTGCGGCAGCACCATGCAGCCAGGTTTTGCATGATTGGTCGGGTAGTACGCGGCTGACTGAGGTAGGGGAATCGAAGTCGTGTTGTTAGTGCACATCAGACGTGGCGGACAGGCGCAGCATGCATCAAGCACGGCTTGAAACCCAAGCTTGGCCGGTCAAATATCTAGGCATGCTCCAAAAGTTTCAGCCTGCTCGTTACCCTACTTCTTACTCTCTTCCCCTCAGCCTGACGCTTCGCTGCACAAGATGAACAACACTGTCAGGACTGACAGACTCGATGAAGCAATATGGAATCGCTATCGTACAACGATCGAGAGCCTATACTGGGAAAAGTCACTCGATAAGATCGATGCGCACATGAAGAAGCATCATGGTTTCGTCGCTAGGTACTTCCACTCCTGCTGCAGCAAAAGTAAAAGAAATTCTAACGCTCAGAAGTAAATCACAATACGAAAGGCATTTCCGCAAATGGGAACTACGGAAGAATCTGACCACGGCCGAATGGGCAGCCACTATCAGGTATTTGATGAGGAACTCAATTGATCTCGAGCAAGTCGAAGTGTTATTCAAGGGACGCGGAATCCCCCAAAATAGAGTCTTGCAGGAGATAGCACGGCGTAGCTCGTTTGCTAACACCCTACACCATGGTGAGTTATGGTTTGATCTAGATATTTAGTGCTCATCGTACCCAGGTCCCCATCGGCTTCCCAAAGATATCGGCGTACGACGACGGTCATGCGCCCCAACCATGGACACCGCAAACGGCCTTCAAATCATACCAGCTCCTGCCACAAGCTCGTCTTCTATGCAAGCCGAACTAGACTTTGGCCTATTCACGATTACCTCGCCCTCGATACACGGCCTCAGCTTCAACAAGCCCACCCGTGTTGCCGAGTATAGCTTGCCATTTTCCTGGACGCATTCTATCAATTTTGACTCCATCTCACAGAGCCTCTCTTCTTCCCAGCAGTTGGTGAAGTGGACGAAGCCTTCCAAGATGCAGCTCGATGCGATCTTCCATTCAAAACATTGGCCGCTCGTGGATACTACATATGGAAGCCACAGTACAACACTTCCCATGTACGCAATCGCGTCACTTGCCAACAACATATCGTCGGGCGACCGTACAACTTCAAATGATGCCTATGCACTGTTAAAGACGCTTCCTCTGGGTGACGTTTCACGAAGCTTGAAGGCCCTCCCGACTCCGATTCTGGATGCTATCAAAGAAAGGGTGTTTGCTACTGCTGTCAGGGTTGGGGATGTGGATCTTGTATCAACCATGCTTGAGTTGGACATGGACCCTCACGAGCAGGTCATGATGGACTGGCCGTCCGAGTCGAAACCAACCTACCCACTTCAGCTTGCTGTAGCTTCGGGTCATTTCGCGGTTGCGAAAACACTATGTATGCACATGTGTCGAGAGGCAACTCATGTACAACTTGACGAGCTGATTGACCATGTTGTCGAAGGATATGAGTCCAATCGTTCTCATTACTCCAGACATTCCGCCAAACTCAGCGAATCAGAAAAGACAGAGCTGATGTGCATCGCTCTTGACGCTGGGGCCAAACCTCATCAGAATTTCCTCGGGACTGATGATAACAAAGTTTCCGTGACATCTCTTAAGCAGCTGGTGGAAGCTTCGGAGGTAGGGATCATCGCATGGCTGGAAGCAGGCCTACTGCAACATTATTTCACCAAGGGAAAACACGGGACGCACTTGGAAGCGCAAAACTCCTTAGCTAGAGACGTTCTGCAATTTGTTCTGTACAGCCAACAGCACTATCTGCCGAGGGGAGACCCAAGACTCAGGACAGCAATTTTGGGCGCACTCCATGCTGCTCTCCGTCCGCACAACGAAATGGCTGTGGAGACGATTCTGGAAGCATTCAGTCTTCTGGGGTATCACCTTAACGACGGAGACCCTCACATAGGCAATTTCGGCGCATCCGGATCCATTGACAGATCGATTCTGGAGGCGTTTGACAACGCAGACTGGAGTCTAGTGGCGTCTTCGATGATAGAACACAAGTCTATGGCAAATACTGATAAAGTTGGCTCCTTTGTAGATCAAGAGTCAGCGCTCGACGATGCCATTGGAAAGAACGACTTAAGGCTCGCGTACCACAGGTACACCCTATTGAACGAAAAGCGAGCTCGAATTCGTCCTGGGCCACGCATTGTCGAACTCGCGATCAGCCTCGGCGACTCTACCTTTGCTATCACCTTCGTCGAACAGATGGAAGACTGCTCCCGTTTAGGTGTGTTAGGCCTTCTAGCTATGTTGGAAGGTACTCAGATCTCGACAGTCAGTACCCTTCTATTACGGAATCCCATTTGGAAGCCTGCATTGGAAGCTGCAAGCAAGGACGACGATCTTTGCGCCTTAGAGACACTGTATTTCCACGGTTTAGAGGTACCGTACATGACTTCAAAGAGATTTGGTGCTGTCCTAGACCAGAGTGAACTTCAGCTGTGTTTCCGAACTGTTGCTTATCATCTTATGGCAAAGAACGACTACAAACTCTGTAAATGGCTGCTAAAGCTTGGCATGGATCCTGATGAGCTCCATGCATCTTGGGATCATCAAGTGTACGTGGGGAAAGCACCGGGATTGCATTGCTCTCTTCCTGGGGGCATTGGCCCGTTATATCTGGTGGGTGATATAATCTTTACGTTGCCTTCCCTCCTTGCCGTCGCAGCTGAGAAGAGCAACATAGCTTGGATGAGGTTTCTTATGACAGAAGGTGTCTCTGTTATTGATTCGATGGCGTTATTGCGAGCAATCAAGTCAAGAGCGACTGCCGCCACGATACATCTCCTCCTAGACGCAGCCAAGGCAGGGATATCTTCAATTGGACGAAGCGTCTATGGTGTTGCGGCACTTCGCCAAGCGGTGAGGCACCGCGACATCTCTAGAATCGACATTCTATGCGATGTTGTCAATATCGATGAGATCGAGCCGTTCACCGAGGAGTTTCTGAAAGAGAAAGCGGCTATTAGCCCTCTAGGTGAAGCGATCATCGCGGACGACTCCGAGATGGTACGGCTATTGTTGAAGCGCGGTGCCAGTCCAAACGCATACGTATCCTTTAATGGCTTGAGAATGTCGAAGCACATCAAGAGTCACATACAACGAGTGACTCCCTTACTGGCCGCTATCGACATACAAAGTCTTCCCCTGGTGAAGATCCTGGTGGAGCATGGGGCGGAGCTGCAGTATACGCGCAGTATGGGTATCAGTCGCACGCCTTTGCAAAGAGCTGCCGAGACTGGTAGCTTCGATATTGTGGAGTATCTCACCGACCAGGATGCGATTATCGATACAGTCCCAGTATACTCTGGCGGCACCGCGTTGCAACTAGCTGCTTTGAATGGATTCTGCGGCATTGCAGCGTTTCTGCTCGAGCACAGGGCCGATACAAATTACCCGCCGGCCAAGGGCGATGGGCGGACAGCTTTCGAAGCAGCAGCAGAGTGGGGCCATGTCGACACGATGTCGCTTTTGATGCAGTGGAACGTCAACCTCGATGCACAGTTTGGAGAGCTTCCCGAAAGTCAGTACGAGCGGGCTCGATGGTTTGCCGAGCAGAACGGGTTCATGGCATCAAAGCGCTTCGTCGAACATCTCTATGGGCAAAGGACGAGAGACGAAAGTTGGCCTGCGGGTTTGGCGTTGGATTCGATATGATTTATGTGCTGATAATGCGGCGAACTGCGGACACCTCTAGAACGCGTCTTGTGTTAGTTCAAATAGAATGCGCCACTCATACCTTGCCCAGGTTTACAAGTTGAATATGCTTACTAACTTGAGCGTCGAGTATGGACTTGGCGATGGCTGATTGACCTTAAGTATGACGTCTCGTTAAAATGTAGCTATAGGCTCAGCTCACTAGTATAGCTATCACCTCGTTCTCTTGACGTCTTATCACTTAAATCCTCCATGTGGACAAGTTCGGCCTCCTCATCGTGGTCCTCGTGCCGGACTGCAAAAGTCCGGGTGTACGTAATGGTGTTGGGTTCAACGGCCAGGCCTTCTTTCCCACCTCTGTCACTCCTTAACGTGTCTGCGTTCTGAGTTGTGCCACGACTTCTACTTCTACTCGCGTTTCCGTTTGCGCTGCTTCTCTGTGTGCTTCCTTGTATCGAGCTGATGACCGTGGGAATTGCGCGGATGAAGATCAAGCGGAGAGTCGGAATGCAGGCGCATATTACTCCGACATGGAGCTCGTACATTGACCACAGAACGACTTTCGCTTGCTTCCATGTATAGTTCCTGTCCCCGTCGAAGAAAAAGAGTGACTTCAGGCGGAGGATGGACACTACTGTGACACTGCGGAAACGTAAGCTTGGAGCTAGATAGTGTAATGTGGGCTGCAAGGGTACTGACAAGGTACCAAGAGAGAACATCAAAGCCACACCGAACTTCTTCACCCACGTCATCTGGAGATGATAAACCTCGTATAGAGGAATGGCTATCATCCAGACGTCCAACGCAATGCCTATAATCGCATGCATCCATACTACCGCATCCATGTTGAGACATTTTGTTGGCCTTTCCATGTCCCATGCTGTCCAGAAATCACTGGCCTACATTCCCAAGGACTAAGTTAGCCGGGGTACCGTGCACCTCGCGAGTGGGCTTGACTTACCGGCAGACATGGGATTGAGGCGGGAATGAAGATGCAGAAGGTCCATAATCCAACAAATATGATAGTCCCCCACAAAAGCTTTACTGTTCGCCGTCTGAGGAATATCCGTAGGAAGAAGAAAAGAAGGGTAATCTTGACTAAGGCAGCTTGGATGAGGTATAGTAGAGTGACGACGTATAGCCATCGTATAAAGTTTTCGATGTGGTCAAATGGGACGTTCCAAACGTCGACACCAATGCCATTCGGAAGCATACACCTGTCGACAATAACGACAGAGGGTATGGCTAGAAGCACCGTGGCTAGTACAAAGAAGTCGTCCCAATTAAGCCCATTGACGTTGAAAAATGCGTGGTAACCAAAGCGTAAGAGGATGCAGGAACCTGTCACTACGGCCAAGACGATGTTTGCCACGCGTAAATGGGTAATTTCCGAGCGAACAGGCACGTCGCAGAGGGCTGAAGTAACGTTTTTGGTGGCTGGGAGAGTATTGTAAGCAAACGAGCAGTGTCTAGCTGGAATTTGAGCTTACTCAAGCTCTCCTTCACTGTACACGACGAAATTACGCATTTTTCCGCTGCACTCTGGAGCTCAGCGTTGGCACATACGCATTGCTTATCCGAAAGTTGGCAGGGTGATTCAACTACAGCTGTCGCCAGACACAATTGCTATAACGATTAGCTACATATCATTTGACCTATGTTGGATTACATACCGCGCAGTTTGGAAGCGAGCCGATCGCCTTAAGCATGGCGGCGTCCTGTGCTACCCCGATCGAGGCACATGCCGCGAGGACCAGTAGTAGGTACTGCGGCCATCTCATGTCTCGTCACGTCCGGCGAGACACAGTATCCAAGTCGAAGCGGTCTGGCAAGAGGTGGAAACAAAGAAGGAATCAACGTTCCAGCAAAGGGGCCTTCCCGCTTGCAAGGCCGCGACTTGTACATATGCTAGAAGGCCTTAGTATGGCTGATCCGATCCGCCTCGTGGCTTCCTGCAGCGTTGCGTGCTAACAAAGTTAAAATGTGCGGCACCCTTAAGTCTCCCAACCAGAGGAGCCGCACCACTCAACGTCGTCCAACGGTTCCGTGTTCTGCTGGACTGACACCTGGGCAATTCATTTTGAACGTGTCTAGGAACAAGTACACTCGTAGCTGTATATATGCTGTACAACATGCCAATGCATCGAAGATTGTTGTGCTGAAGCTCCATCGCCAACATTCGCGCCCGAGGACCTTGGGGACACATGCGCTAAGGATGTACCCTACATAGAGCTGGCTTATTAAACTTCGACGGTCCAGTCCATACGTCACAGACCAGCCGAGGCGGTGCTAAGGTCTAAGGGGAGGTCGGGAGGTGAACTAACGATGTCGCGCAGTTTATGCGATCATGCGCGATTCGTTCCTACTTCCACCCTAGGACAGCCAGATCGAGATGGTGAGGTAGAAGTCTCGGGTGCTTCTAACCGCTTCAAGGATTCATCGCCCTCTCCAACAGGTATCCGTAGCGCCCGTCGCAGTCCTTGCGCAATATGCTCTCTATCTGTGGTGTGACCCAGGGTTGTGTTGATTGTGGTAGCGCGTCCTTGTGGTGGCCGTCTCCGCGCGGAGTAAGCCCCGAACGGTGGTTCCTGTTGCTTCACTAGCGCACTGCACGGTTGGATAGCCCGCTCACGTCAACGCCTCGCGCTTCCACCACCGCTACTCTATATCGGTAACTGTTCGACGGTCGTCCAATTGCGGAAGGACTCTTGCACGGTGTCAATACGAAGCGAGTCAGAGAGGTGGCGAAGAAACTCTATAAGAGATCAACAACCCCAATACGGTTTCTCAAGCCGAGGGCTTGCCAGGTACTTTGGCGATTGGAGGACGAGTATGAGAAAGAAGATCATGATATTGAATCCAAAGCGGAAGACATTCATAGTGAAGGAGCTCTCGTATCCACGGGTGTATAGAGCAATTCGACTTCAGGGTCACCGACTCCATTGCTCTTAACCCCATCTTCGGATTAGACGGCGCCGTTGTCCATGCAGGAACTTCACCACGGCTGCTTAGTAGCCGTCAAACATCCGCCCGTAGCATGCTCATGGACTCTGCCTCCCCAGTACATTACTTCCATTCCATGAATTCTCAGGTACGCATGAATCGCGTACAGGATGCGGTTAAGCAACTCACCCTAGCTTACCAGGTCTGGGCAAGCTTTAGAAAGAACGGATTCCCAATCGAAGCTGCCGCTCAATGTATGTTAACATTGCGAGTAATCTAGTGGCCTATAAACAGGCTATGGACTGGGAGTTAGTTCTGCTGGGCTCGTCGGAGCCCAACCGTCCTCCCAAGAGCCTCAAACTGTATCTAGGTACCGGCCGGGTTGGTACTTTGACGCAATGCAGGCGTACCCGATGCCTCACGTCCCGTACACGTGGAGCCGAGGACGAGGGCCTGTCATTAGGTAGGCTCGTGCTTAGCCTGCCTCCAACAATGGTACAGCAAGGCGCATTAGGGCGCGATGGCCATGGAACAGCTCGATACCATGGCAATAAGGGAACACAACTTTCTTGGAAGACTGCCTAGGTGCTTTCCTGAGCTAGATTCACGCATATGCTAATGCAGGCGACATGTCGACATTCCTTCTTTTTATAGCAAACCAATAGGTACAGTAGGTTTAGAGTCCTGGCGAGTCCTGGTAATCGTGAAGGTTGTAGAGCAAACAAGCTCTACTAATGCGATAATGACGAAAGGTTGCAAACAATTTGATCGTGAGGCAGTGTACTCCTACTTGGCTGTTAACGGATTGCCAATATAGTCAATTGTTATCGCATAAGAACCTCCGGAAATTATTGGTCGTATAGAAAGAGAAACACTGCGAGCCTTGCATGTATTGAGTGGAGATGTTAGAGACGCGGAAGATGGTAAAAACTGGAGACACCATTTGGGGTCAAGTGCACCTCGCAGATACTCGCCTCTTGTCCAGCCTTACTCGTCACGCAATTCTTCAAAGTCGCCCGCCACTGCCTGCTCTGGGGGTACAAAAAAACGGGGCAAAAGAGAGCTGAAGATGCTCCTGCTCGAACTTGGTTCATGACAGATTGACCAGCAAAAACATACAACAGCGGGGATTCGCTAGTGGTCACCCACCTAACTACTAATCCGCCGGTATCTTGCTTGTATATGGCTGAGCGGACGGGAAGCCTAATTCTCAAGATCCTATGGTCGTATGTGAAGAAATAACTGTTCTGTGCTGTAAATATCGTGAGCTTGCGAGTATGTGGTGAAGCTGCACCGGAATGGGCGAGCGCGGTCGGATGCCCGTAGGGAAACCTAGGAACACGAACATGTCCTGTCAAGCGTGCAAGTAGGCAAAGACTGTAGGTCATGAGGAGAGGCATTCAGGCCCAACCAACAGATCCCAGCCCTTCTATGCATGAAATGCCACTGATTCGGGTACTCTGTCCTGGAGTTGAATGTGTCTCTATCCTAAACACTAGGAAATGTGCAAGAAATACACGGGTGTGTAGGCAACGAGAATACCAAACAGCACGATGTTGGAGAGACGAAGACGAGCAGTCTTGAACCTGGAAGAACCCCTTGGTCGCGCGTCGGCCAATGAAAGCGGGTATGACGTTTAGCGCGGGAGCTTGGCTGTGGTTCCCTTGCAACGTCTCGTCGCAAGCCGACATTGCGCAGCACCAACCGTACCCGCGAGCTCTATCACAACCAGCTGCATCTTCCATCTTGTCCCATCCGTCTCCGCCCCAGTCCGTTGCGCCAAGTCGTCAAAGTGCGTTTCCCACACCTCGCCGGTCAATCGTCCACCATGGATTTCTCAGACATCTTGTGAGTAGAGCTCGAGCTGTGCCGAGCTGTGCCGAAGCTAGGCAGCAGCTTTCCACAGAGCCATTGGGACTTGGGAGTGTTGGGGATCAAAGCTAACTGGGCTTGTAGTCGCATGGTGAATTTCGCCGTGGCTGTATTCGTGGTCCTCGGTGGTATCGCGAAGTTGTTTCCCTTCAACGACTTGTGAGTGTACCCGGCACCTCCATCAACAATCCAATCCCGTCGCATCGCCTCTCCTCGTCGTACAATTCTGGATCGGCGTACTATATTTGGCGGGCACATCTGTCAGGCGCGCGTGAGTCCTGAGCAGAGATCCAAGCTGCCAGTCGAAGGACACTCGCTAGCCTGGTTCATATCTGCCTGGGCATGCGATCGGCTTGAACACCATACATGCGAATGTGCGTGTCTGCGACGATGCACAAGCAGCGTACGAACTGCGAGGGTTGAACCACTAGTCATGCTACCCGAAGATGGCAGATCGAAGCCCAAAACCACATCATATAACATAGGAAAGCGCTGACAGTCTGCGCAGCTCTCATATCATCCTCGGTGTATACCTGATCATATTCGGTCTCGGTAAGGCTGAGCGTCCTCAAGCTGCCACATCCCGCTAACAAGCAACAGGAACTGCGCTCCTCGAGTTCCAGATCCCCCAGCAAGTGGCACGCTATGCCTCCTTCATGTTCTCTTTCCTCGGCCGCGGCATCTTCTACATCTTCATCGGCTCCGTCATTGTCGGTGAGCGCTGGTTCCGCATTGTGCCAGGCACAATCGTTGGCATAATCGGTGTGGGCTACGCTGCTCTGGAGTTCATTCCTTCCATTGAGCCCCCAGCGAACATGCGGTACGGCCCCAATACATTTTGACAACATGTCTTCCATGTTACTGACGATGTTGCAGTGATGCTGACGCCGGCTGGGGCGCTGAACAAGTCTAAGTCCGCAGCTCGTGAGCAGGAGGATGGCGGTCGAAGATTCCTCATTCGTAGATCGCTCGCCTTGTCTAGGCTCGGCAGAAACCTCGTCGCGCGCTTATCATGCATTAAACCAAGTATTACATGTTATGGACATCTGGCGTAGAAATGGTCTACGGACCTTGACGAAACGGGTTGGTTTTGTGCATTGTGTTGGATTTTCAAGGTTGGCTCGATGATCATACCCAGGTTTTGGTTACATGGGTTGGGGAGAAGCTTTTGGACAGTTGGTGTATGATAGATTATCTGATCTAAACGAGGCTGTAGTCCCTACACGTGTTCGCTTGCCTGTCTAGTGTCCGCAGTGCATGAAGCGAAGAGGCTACTAAGGCTTGCATTCCTACTAGTGCATCATGATGGAGCGCGTTGCGTTCCAAGATAGGGCTCCAGATCTCTTGCGATGTAGTTCCTGTAGCGATCATAGAATCAACGGCAGTATGGACGAATTAATTCGCCCCCCTTCGATTGGTGCAAGGCTGCGTGAGTGGCGTGCGGAGGAAGCAACCATTACAAATCGCTAGTCGCGTAGGCGAGCCGGATCCTCTTCCGCCGACAACTGGTGTGTTGCGAGGCTCAAGTGGAGTCCAAGACTGATAGAGCCGATTTTTCCTTTTTCTTGCCGCCGAGCCCATGTATCGGAGATAAGGACGTCCGACTTGCATCTTAGAGTGCATGTACCTGAGGGTTGGTTGGCTCCGCACCCAGGAATATGCAGGTGCGATGCAAAAGGTCGAATGCTCTTCGCCGTTCCTGAGCTTGTCTTATGGCTATGGCCGCCGTGGACGTGCTCTCAGGGTTGTCGCGCTAATTCTCGGCTTAGAATAGCAAAGTCTTGATTGGCCACCGCCGCCCATTCACCGCCTAAGAATTCCAGCTTGTACCGCACCAGCACCGCCAGACCAGTAGGCAACTTGCGCAGAATTATGACGACGGGGATCCCGAGCCCACCTGATATCCTCCCTTGCTAGACCCATCATTCTTATAGTCGTTTGCCAGCCATCACTGTGCCAGACCCTCCTAAAGGTTGCCCAGGTGTCTACAAAGGCCCGAAGACCCGCATATCACACCAAGTCACGTTAGCGCCTGCTCCAGATTGACCTTCACCCTGATCGGATATCAGATCTAGCCGATAGCAAAGTCCGAACACTTATTTGGATCGAGCAGCTCCAATTCCCGGGCTGTAGGAACCGATTCACGAAATCTAGGCAACAGTGTGTCACCACGGCCGTAAGCCCACTCTTCTTACACGCACACCCAAGGTCACCAAAGACTGGCCTCATGGCACATCCTCCAGGGAGCGGGGGCACCTCTTTAGCTCCAACTCCGACACATCCACATCATCTATCGCGGGAAACGAGCAAGGACGAGCTAGAGATGGCCGAGAGTCTACGATTACTTAACCAGGCCCACGAGCACCACAGACCGAGGACAGAGACCCCGTCACAGGAACAGCATCAGAGTCACAGCCAGGAAGACCAAAGACATGAGATATATCATTCACTGGAGGATGCGGTGCCCATCTCAGAGCAACCGACGAACCCGACAAACTCGACATCTCTACAACTGCCCAACATGAGCTATGACACATCCAACGCGCCCGTTGCCGGACAAGTCTGTAGGTACGTTGTCTGAAATTTTGCTGTGTGCTTGCCACCAGTCACCGGTCGCTCGATTACAGTTGAAACCAGATCTGCAGAGAAGACGCTAATGGACCGAAGCAACTGCAAGACAACACAAACGCCGCTTTGGCGCCGATCACCAGCTGGAGAAACTGTGTGCAACGCATGTGGCTTGTACATGAAAGCGCGGAATCAATCACGTCCAGTGAATCTCAAACGCAACACTCAGACTCAGCCGATTATGCCCGTGCAGCAAAGCCCAACTCCGGGCCCTTGTGACGGCAACCGAACGTCACCGGGGTCCCTTGCGGCTTCGCCCCGAGTCGCGACCTATGTTGCTGCAGATCAGATGACAGCTGGTACATGCCCTGGCGGAGGCCGATGTAATGGTACTGGCGGTCAACAAGGCTGCAGTGGTTGCCCAGCGTTCAACAACCGCGTGTCTAAAACTGCTAAATTTGCATTGGCTCAGGCGAATGCTGCATCAAGTGACGGAACAAACGGAGCAGATGCTGCATCCAGCGCAGCGGCAGCAGCAGCTTCTACAAGTGCTATTCCCGCATGCCAAAACTGCGCAACTACGATCACACCACTTTGGAGACGGGATGATGCTGGTCACATAATATGCAACGCTTGTGGTAAGTCTAAACTGTTAAGAAGTATTGACGAATGGGACCATCGGCGATAGCTAACTCCAATTTGCAGGGCTCTACTACAAGCTACATGGAACACATCGCCCTGTCGCAATGAAGAAGCAGGAGATCAAACGCCGGAAACGGGTCGTACCGGCTGGTGACACAGGTTCTCAAGCAGCGCCTTCTGTTGCCGACTATTCCCCACCGCAGCGGCCGTCTCAAACCCCAGCATTCGAGCATTCTGTTTCTCCAGACCCATCGACGGCGCTTGAGTCTCGAGAAGACTATACACCTGAACCTAGAGGTCCCATTGCCGTCGATTTTACCCACTATTACGGAAACGCTTCTGTAACCTCAAACCCGGTTGCTCTGGTACCGACCACACAACCCAACGCACCATCACCCCGGAAGCGCAGTCGTAGTGCTACCATGGACCCAGAAGAGACTGCCAACCCTGTGCCTCATCGACCGAACGCCATCTCGTCAATATTGAACCCATCCCAAGCCGATGGGAACGCCAATATCGACCCTTCGCTATCTGTGCCTCTACGTCCGAGTGCGGGCTCGTCACCTAACCCTGGAGTTTCGCAAGAAGAGAAGGCAGCTAGGAGGGAGAGATTGAAGAAAGAAGCGGAGGCTATGAGACAAGAACTAGAGAGGAGACAGAAAGAGTTGGACGAGTTGGAGAACGATTGAGGTGTTTGGCAGCTGTCATTCGAAATGCAGCAGCAGATCTGGGCACTGAGGTTTCGCAAAAGACACTTGCGCCAAAAGCGGTCCCGTTGGTGTGATGGCATACACAATTTCTTTATATGCACAAGGTGTGATGTCCTAGAGGGCGTCTAACGACGTATGAGGCCCAACTGTTCATTATCCCTATCGTCTAGTCATGGGTACAAGGCGTTAGTCTGGCGGTGGAGGAATACTCTATCTTTTCACGACACAGTTTCACGAATACCGCAATCATCAAGACACTGGGTTCTGCATCTCAGCCTAGTCATACTATTACTTCCTCAAATCATGTATCATTGAGGCTATACTGTCCAGACATACACGCTACCTGTACTAGTAATAAACGCTGTCCCACAAACGGTGACATAATCAACAGCAGTGACATCTTGTGCTGTTTGTGTTGTGACCTTAATAATAACGTCGGTTTTACTGTCTATTCCAACACCAGAGGTTACCTCTGACCTAGTTGTGACGGTACAACACGCCTCAGTAGCTACTAGATCAGCTCCTGCAATGCACGCGGCAGACTCAATTTGCCACTTCCTTCATCTTCAACTTTAACATGGTCTTGATTGACGTGATAGTAGCAGTAATGAAGACAAACCTTTGGGCTTTCAACCAATTATAGGTCTTGGGTCGACCGACTCGTCGAAACGCAGTCGCAAGGTAATCGTCTTGGTCAGGGTCAAACTTCCTCAATGAGACGCTTACCGAGACTGTGTCAAGATATAATGCGCTAATTGAAATTCCGACTGGCAGTAGGCTGCTCTGACTCCCTTTGCGCAGGCATGAAGTCAGTGTTACGTAGGACTCGCATTCGATCTCCAGACGTCTTAAGTCGACGCAGTTCTAGTATGTGACTCAACTGGTACATTAAATCAGACTCATCCCAAGGTCAGCAAACAGTAGGTTAGTGGTAAAGTGTTTGCTCTAGTCTGAGCAGGTAAGTCGTCGTTTAATCTCAGACTCAGACTCTTCTCCTTGCTGATGGTAGCTAGAGCGGCCTCAGTGAATCACGAGAGTGCCATATGCAGAGCAACGTGTAAGTAGCACTCGAAACGCTCAAGCAATCGGAAATGTGTATGTGTGACTTCTCCATGAACGTTGGTCAGACATATGGCATATAAGCACATATCGGCCCTTCTGCGATCTACGCTCACGGAATCTCGTGCCCATCGCTATTTCGCCTCCAGCCCTTATCGCGTACAATTGCGATCTTCAGATTCGCTAGCAAGATGATCGGAGAGACAATGCAGTCCCCTCTATCCGTCGTAGTGGTAGTACCGACGGGCCGTACCGTACGAACCAATGAGAAAATCAGCATATGCGTCGATCGTTTCCGAGAACAGTGAACGAGTTGGTCATAGTTTTTGTGCCCAACAATGGTAACATTTCTTTTTGGTGCTAGAGTTACGAAAGAGCTACCGTGTTTCCGGAAGTCGTGGATAATGAGGTCAATGGCGTACGCTGACGGAATTTCCCGAGTTTGCAAGATATATGCGAATCGAAAGCCGGATGTCGCCCGTGTAGAAGCATGTCTAGTCTGAAAGAATGTGTAGAACTATTGGCTACTTACACAAACACGCAACGCTGCAGTTATGCGTTCAAGAGGTAGAGGTGTTGAGTAAATTTGCGCGGTTTAATAAAGAGGAAGGAGGAAAAGACGTCATACCCGAAGAACGAGAACATGACCACGACACAACCCGCCAGCACAGACAGGCGAGCTAACGGTACCGTACTTCTACCACAATCCGTCAGCATCGTACTTTTCCGTACGCATCTCACCACCGCGTCGCAAGTTTCCGCCCATTGGCTGGCGCTCAGCACGGCGTTCAGCACCGCGTTTTGACCTACAATCCACACTCTCGAGCGGCAATTGCCAGAAGCAGCAATAAATCAAGCACTTTGATCTCGATACACAAGTATGAGATCGAGGATCGTGAGTTTGGGCCGTAAAGCGACGGCTCTACATGATGCCGTTCCAATCAGGCCCGAAGCTGGGGTGTCGACTGGTGTGGAATCGACGATGAGAACAAGCACTTGAGGTAGTAGCGCTGGGGCTTCGAGTCACGCAGCACGACAGATTGATGTTGATGTGGTGCATTGTGAAGATATATATCAAGGCATTCCGGCTGTAGATTTAGTAGACTGTCTGCGTCGACTTTTCAAGCTCTTTTATCGAGTTTATGGCGGGGAAGTTGCAATGTACGGGACGTTCAATGTCGTTCCCGCACTAGCCCTGTCAATCCGCTAACGTCAGGGTCTAGATCCCTCCGCTGAGTGCCGATCTGTGCGATATATGTATGTAAGACACTCACTTCCTCGGCGTACCTTTTACAGTTGCATCAGCTGCGCGTCATGCTGTCGCATTATTAGCCAAGGTTGCAGGGCCAGTCTGCGGGAGCTGCCACATGGGAACAATGTGTGCAGGTACGGGCCGGTAACGATAGTCTAGCGCGTGGACCGACAGCCTTGTTCAGAGATTTGGCTACAGTGAGACCTTGTGTTGGTGGAAATCCTGTGGCAGACTTCTTGACAGGAGGCTGTGTTGTGGGATGTGCGTAATATACCCGAGGCTCCAATCGCTGGCGATACAAATTACACGATTTGATCTGTTCAACTTGAGGATCGGAGCAAGAGTTCGCTATTCTGATGTAAATGGTGTAGAGCCACTACGGGCTCTTCTTTACAGGATCTCAATGCTTCATCTCTGGCATAAGCGTAGTAATTGATATGCGACATAGCTTGTAACCGCCATAATGAGATGGAGTCCAACCTGGTTTCTGCTTACATGGTCCAGCTCCGTGTGAACTACGAAAGGAGACAGTCACTGGAACCTGTGCATAAGCGAGCTATTGTGGGCATCCCGATAACGATGATCCGCCATGCAGTTTGCGCACGGATGGGGAAAGAGACGTATGAATCTAGGGCCCCAGGCACTCCACAGCTCGCCTGTTGACAATCAATCGCTATCCGTCGAACGAACAGTTTGCCCAAAAGTACAGTGAAGGCCGCGGGTTGCGTGTTTGCTACGAAGATCAGCGTACTACAGGGATAACGAAGTGGCCACATGAGTGGCTTTCCACCCGCAACAAGGCGCATGCAACGGCGTTGGAACGCTTAGGTGCATATAGCAGCGAGTGAAGCTGCAGCCGAACTGGTCTACAGCGAACTGGCCGAACAAGGTCATCATCCGTGCCGACGCGAGCAGGGCGTACTTCCCGTTTGGGAAAGCTTTGGGAATAGCCTAAACAGCAACGGGTGTAAATAATTGCTGAATATCCACATTGTCGGGCCGCGCCTTGATTGCAGTTGGACAGAAGGGAGGATATTTGGTAAGAACGGCCGCAAAGTGGTCAAGTGAGGCGAACGGATCTTCAGGACGTAAAGGTTGAGTTGACGTACTGGGCACGTGCCACACGTGTTGCGGATGCGGCAAGAACGGCGCATCGGATTATGCCAACCTAGTGTTTCACGAAATGATGGTGATCTGCGAGTTCTGGTGTTCGTCCGGAGAAAAGCTCCTTGGGTCAGTCGGCCCTAATCCAGTCGCTATCGCGTCGCTTTTGAGACACGCGTGTGCATTGCCGATGCCCACTTGCCTCTCTCCTGATCGACTTCCCCTCTTTCAGTCGGGGTGTAGGCCCTGAAACGGCCGTGCAGGGATAGCGCCATCTCTGTGATAATCTACATCCAATGGCGACGCCCGGGCAAGGCTCGCGAGTCGAAACACCACGCGCTTGTGGCTCCAAGCGGATGATCACTGCGATTGCATCGCCGCTGGTCGCCGAGGGATGTGAATGCACCACCAGCAGCAGTCGCCATGCAACGTGAGCTGGCAATCTGGATCAAATGTGTTCGTGCGGGGTGCGACAGCACGACAAGACGTGCATGAAGGTTGTATTTTGCCGCCATGCTGCAGCGAACAGGAAGTGTTGTGAGCAGAAGACGAGGCTGAGTGGTGATGCGAGTAGAGATGAATTATGTTCATAGAAGGTAGGTAAAGTTAAACGACCCTAAAAGCTGTCAAAAAAAAATATGAAATCTTTTGACTCTCCAAAGCGTGCTGCATGGTGCCTCGCATGGCATGCCGACAGGAGGGAATACAGTGTACCGATCAAAATGCCATAAGGAAATCGGTCTAGATAGATGAACGCGAACACGAAGAGCGCCACCAGATAAGAAAGACGGAGTCGATACCAGTAGTAGAAGTAGGGTGTTCGGAGGCGCATCCAGCAGACGTGAATCCGTTAGCCCGTAATGCGAACCCTAAGTGACAGTATCGAAAAGAAGAGGTGTTTGAACGACAGGCCTTCGTAGACGAAGGTGGGCTGACAGTACGTAACAGTAGCGTCGCGTGTTTTCTTCTGCTGGCCCAAGCAGCACCGCCAATGGCCAGGGCGGTCGACCGAACCCAGCGGTGTAGGTATCTCTCCACAACAAGAATCATGGCTTCCGTGTCCTTACATGACTGTGCATCCACAGCAGCCCTTCTTCTCCGCCTGGTCATCGGTGTCAAATGTCTGCTTTGTGGGGCCATTTCCGTTTGAGCCAGGGGCACCTGTGTAGGATGACATTTCCTTGTTGTATCTGCGGATCTCGCGTACGATGTCGTAGAAGGCGTTGTCCACGTTGATGCGGGATTTGGCCGACGTCTCAATGAATTTGCAGCCAAAGTTGCGCGCCAGAGTCTGGCCCTCTGTGCAAGGGTCAGCAAGTGCAGGTGGTCAGGGATGGGAAGCAAACGTACCTTGTGTCGAGACCTGCCTCTCGCCGTCGAGATCGCACTTGTTGCCAACGACGATCATGGGGAAGTAGTCCTTGTCCTTTACTCTCAGGATTTGTTGCTGGAAAGTCATAATCTCCTCGAAGCTCTGCCTGTCGGTTATCGAGTAGACGAGCAGGAAGCCCTCTCCTGTGCGCATGTACTGCTCACGCATGGCCGAGTACTCCTCCTGTCCGGCTGTGTCGAGCACATCGAGCAGCGCAACCTCGTCGTCGATGACGCACTGCTTGCGGTACGAGTCTGGCGCGGTTAGCTTGCTTTGGCGCATAACGCGGCGGATCGGGAAAGCTCACCCTCGATAGTCGGGTCGTACTCGTCTACGAAATGGCTCTGGATCAGCTGGATAGTCAAACACGACTTTCCGACTCCGCCGCCGCCGACTACTACCAGCTTGTATTCTCGGAGAAACTGGCGCGGGTTAGCAGGGGCGCGTGCGGCGCGGGCGGTACAGGGCGCCTACCTTTGATGCCATTGTGAATATGGGGGGAAGGTGCCGGACGGTTTACAGGTCGCGGGCGATGGGAATTAGGGTATAGGGTATAGGTCTAGTAGAGCAGAGCAGAGCAGAAGAGAAGAGAAGGAGGCTATGGGGGCGGCGATCAAGGGCGGCGGGCGTGGTGGCGATGCGACAGGCGTATCGGGGCGGTGACGGGCGCTGGAGGTGAGGTCGTGGCCGGATTATCAGCAGCGAGGGAGATGGCCAGGAGAGTCGTCGCGGTAGAGGAGGACGGGAGAGCAGAGCAGGATGGATGATCTCGGTAGCAAAAACGACCCTCTAGCTCCGTCTGGGGCTTTGAAGGAACATGGGCTGCGCTACGCTGACTTCGCTGACTAGGACATGGGCTCGCGCGCGGCCAGAGCGCTAGCCTGCTAGCCCTGCCAACCAAAAAGGACGCCCGCTGCAGCTGCACCACACCAGCCTGCCACTGCTGCACGCTCAAGACAGGCCCGCCAGGCGTTTGCCTGCACCCGTCTCGCCATTTGCTGCCCGCCGCCTGCGTGCCTCTGAGCGGACGCCTGCCCAGGTCCGCTGCCCGTCACGCCTACGCCCACGCCAAAACAAAGGCACACTAAAGCGGCGGCACATGGAGACAGCGCACTGCATGGGCGCGCCTCCGACGCTTCCATGCGATCCCAGCGTCCGACGCCCACCTGCACGGACGCTGCCCTCGAACCACTACTGTGCGCAAGGGATGGTTCGCCATGATGCGAAGGGGGAGGCGGCCGCAAAGACGTTGGCTGTCTAGCCGCACACCGCGTCGCTTTCGCGTTTGCACCTCTCGCCGTGCATGTGACTGTCCGAATATGCGGGTGCCAGGCGTGAAGCACACTGATGCCCATGTCCACGCCCACGCCCACGCCCACACGGAACCCTCCCAAGCGGGGTCGGCGGGTACCCTCTGCCACCATCCGCGAGCCTCGCCCCGACCACCACGGTGACCGACGCAATCATGACATCCACCGCCCTCGACTACGTTTGAGTGCGCACCTCCAGCGTGATCTAGCCCTCTGCCCAGGGTCCAGCGTGGCACGCGGCAAAGCTGCTTCGACAAATCTTCGAGAAGCACCCTAGCCGTCGTCTAGTCCCAACATCATCTTCACAGGCATTCTATTTTGACCAAAAGTCCCTGCGTCGAGACACTCGATATATACACTGTGGCTGCGGCACTCTTTCCTCGCCTCACCCTCTACGAGTCCTTGTCAGACGTGTCAGCGTCGTCCTCGCCTTCAACCGCTACGCGCCTCCCCTGAACCGCCTTTTCTACCTCAGGCACCAAACTTTCCATGAACTCGCGGTCGCGTCCCACTAGCGTTACCGTGTTGTGGTCCTTTCCCCACCTTGGGTAGCTTCCCACCTTGACTCCTTTCGGCTCTGCCTTGGCTGCGAGCTCGGTCAGATATCCAGCAACGGCACTCTCAGCCATCGGAGTCGAGATGAGGATCCGCAGCACGCCTTTGCCCTCCGGATCCGTCAGCCTAGGCAGGATGCGGGGCTTCAGCCCGTCCAGCATCGCTTCAAACAATCTAGGCACCCCGGGCAAAATATGGATGTTACCGTTCACAACGCTAACGGGAACCCAAAGCGACTCGCTGACAAAAACCACTTGATCTTCATCCGATTTAGAATCATCAATTGGCAGTTCCACCATGCGTTTCTTGGCTTTAAGCGCTGCAGACTCGACGTTCCAGTCAAAGTCGGGCTGAGACTTGTGCGGCTTCGACAGGCGCTTCATGCGCTGGAAAGCCGCATCGTGTAACTTCAATGGCAAGCCGAAAGCCTTCGCTATCGACTGGTAGGTGATGTCGTCGTGACTAGACGCCCATTAGCTCAGCGGCTGCGTGGTGTAGCCAACACCCTGCACTCACGTAGGACCAATTCCGCCGCTCGTCACAACCATGTCGTAATTCTTCGACATGCGTTGGACGGCTTCGATAATCTCGCCTTCATCGTCAGCAATGACTTCGATGCGGCGCAGGTTGATGCCCAGTGAGAAGCAGAACTTGGCAAAGTAGGCCTGTGTAACATTAGTCAAGGTACCGCGCCGTTGATGCGGCATAGCCTACCGAATTCGTGTCGACTGTCTATGTTTCACGTCAGCTGTCAGAATTCCCAATTGATTCCCACCCTACATACCTTGCCTCCAAGAACTTCATCGCCAATGATCAAACAACCCGCTGTGTGAATCAGACTCTTCTGTTGTGTCGAAGCCATGACTGATGACGTTATCGATGGACGGAACGAGGCGGCAGAACGATGAGCAAAGTTGGGGATAGGACGAGACAAGTGTCTGGCAACCTGATTCAGTCGTCCGAACATGGATCAAGTCGAGTAACTCAGGGGGAAGAAGGTATGAGTAGCTAGGTGCATGAGAAGAAAAGCCTTCTAGAAAGGTGAGGGTGTATCGACCTGACGGTAGTGCATTAGCTAGCGCCATCCGGCGACCTCAGGAACCCCCGCCCATAGACCCCGCTAACGAACGTATCCCGCCCGGCACACTTCCTCAGCCCTACACCACCCCCGATCATCCTCAAACGCCCGTTGCCAACCTAGGTCTGCTGCATCGTGCGAAATCATGGCAAGTGCCGCCATCACTTCGCTGCTGCGCGCGTCATTCTCGGTCGTCCGCTAATACCTCGGCCCAGTCTTCCGAGGCACGACTCTACACTTTCTCGGAAGAGACCAAGTCCAAGCTACGCAAGTTCCGCCTGGGCACCTCGCGCGCCAAAGACCCCCAGGCCGTTATCTGTTCGTATACCTAGGTCTGCTTTTGCCGCAGTCGTTCCTGTCACAGCCTGCCGCTACAATCTACAATGGCGCTGACGCCCATGCGCGCCAGACGAAATCGATAAGAAGACGCTCGAAGTACGACAGTCGGACGATGAGGTCTATACCGACGTACAGAGCCTCGCCGATGAGCTCCCTGACCACGCACCGCGATTTGTGCTCTTGAGCTACCCATTGACCCTCGTACGCCGCACCCATTATACACATCGCAACGGAAGCTGAGACTTGATAGGACTCGGGACGGTTATCGGTGCCATACGTTATGCTATACTACCTGCCCATCACATGCAACAGCGAGGTGAAGATGCTGTACGCCGGTGCAAAAGAGCTGATGCGGAACACAAGTGAGGTCAACCGCATTATCGAGATCGACAGTGCCGAGGATCTGGAGGAGATTGAAGACAAGCTGAAGGAGCAGAAGTAGAACAACACCAGATGAAGATGCGATGAGAGAGGGCATAGCACGACACATAAGCGCGCGCCGTCGACTACACAGGCTATAAGGACAATACTACCACGATGTCGTATCTGCACCAGATACCACACCATGTTCGGTTCGCACTGGCAATGCTTGGTATACATCCTTGCTCGTACTTTCTGACTGGAGAAAACTGCGCTTATTTCTTGCTTTCGTTTCTCACCCTGCAGTGTCATTACACATGTGGTATCCGTTTCGGGCGATCTTGAACGATCCCTGACGTCTCAGCTAATACTCGCATAGTCACAATCCCAAAACGTCGCTGTCAAATAGATGCGATATCTGCTTAAAGCAGCATCGAGCAAATGCAAAGTGTGTGCTGAAGTCTGGGCGCAACGCACAGTGAAGGCCTGTTATCGCATCGTCGGACCCGCACCAATTTGTAACACCTTTCGTCTATCTGTACCAGCCGTGTCCAATTCCTTTCACGCCACACGAGGCACTACGATTGGTCGGCGCCCCCCCCCCATCCTCCTACAAAATTACATGTGGACCCCCACCAAGCTCAACCACGGCAGAAGACCAACAACGGCAAAAGAAAATCTCCGATGTGCACACCACGCTGCAATGTCTGCATGGGGAAGGTACGCTGACCCTTTTTCAACTTTCATATGTATGATTGCAGCACGTTCTCGTTTGTAGGGATGTTGACAAGTGTGCCCCCTGTCCCCGACTTGTGTGGAGACGTCTTAGTCTGTCGCTTGCGCCGTATACAGCGCTTCGTACCGAACCCTGCAACAACAAAACGTTGAAATATGGGAAACGGAATAATTGCTGCAAATCGTAGGGATCGGCGGAGAAAGTTTGGCTCAGTAAATTGTCAGATGATATGTTAGAGAAGACTTTGCGCGCACGGGAGCATACTGCACGCGCGTTGGGCTCTGAGGATCGTGAGGACTGGGTTCAGGAGATTATGTTCGAAGCGATATGAGCACCCAACTAAAGCGGCCTGTCCCTTGAGTCAACGCGCACACGACTTCCAACGCGACTTTTGCGAGAGAACATCGTGGTACTGTTGCGTTCTCTGCAAGTATGTCGGCAACGCTGGCACAGGGTATAGGGCCTGTCTCCACCGCATACTGTGTGGTGTCGTTCGAAGGTATAGATTTCACTCGGCATCCGGGCGGGAGAATTGCCACTCTGCATATTCCTCCACGAGCGGGTTTTGAGATCAGTGATCGCTCTAGCTGACGCTGTCACCACCTTTGCTTTGCGAGCAGCATGTCTTGTAGTCCATCAAAGATACGTCATCCGTCGCGTCGCAGGACCACGACGCGTCTGTCCTGGAACTAGACTGGCATCGCTTCTGGAAGCGTGCCAGGGTATCGAGTGTGCGATGCGCAGGTCATGGAACGGCATGTGCGCACAGTAACCAAGAAGACCTGTATGTCTGAAACTTGCAGTATATTCGGGGTTGATTGATGTCGATCATCCTTCCCCAGAACGACGCGATGCCAGCAGTAAGGCCTCTTCATCCGAGCGTTTATTTTGGTATCGAGCCATGGCCTCTCATTACTCGAACTATCACGTCCACCTGTAAAAATCTGTGAGATCAAGCAGCAAGAACATGCCTGTTCAGAGGACTACTGTTACCCAAGACTATGCGTACTGTCACGTCTAGATTTGACACAAGAACCACCATCTCGCACACCTTATGAGCCTTATTGTACCGCCCACCTGCTGCGTTTCCGGAGGCTTGGCCCGAAGCGGTAAAGTACATAAGGAATCGGCAGTGCTATGACACTGATGATACCAAGCAAGGTTAAAGTCCAATGAGTCCCCAAATTCCTGTACATTGGAATTCCAACAACAGTCATCCCACCAGCTGCAATGTATCTCACCAGCGCGACAAATGTCAAGGCTGATGCCGCATATGCTTCATAGCTGTCGATGATGTACATGTACGCGGACATGAAGATGCAGATGTTGCTGAAGCCAACGAGCAATGACGCCGCTAGAGGCGACCATATAGAGACCGAAGCCTAAAGTTGGTTAGACTTCTGGACGGATATTGTGAGAGAGACAGGTATAGCGTATACTTACATAGTCAGTCCACCCCATCCAGAAGAGACCTACAGGCAGTGCAGGTGCTCCGATCATGGCAAAAAGCAGTCTCGATTCGCGGTGTATAGCTTTGCCAGAGCCATCGTCTCCATCTTTCTCGAGTTGTCGCACGGTTCGGTGGTATGCCACTGGAACAAGAAGCGCGGAAAGAGCTATGCCAATGAACAAACCAACGAAGCAGATGTTGGAGAGCCCCTCATTGATGTCGAAAGTTTCCGCAAAGATGTAAGGGTAGCTGCAAGAACGTTAACGGTACTCTTCGCATTTGCCGTTTTGCAATCTCTAAAAGGCACATACCCATCCAAGAATGTGAACAATATGATGTAGACTATCATCAAGTAAAGTGTAAAAGCCATGACGATTGGCTGCGTGCAGAGAAGGAACGGTCGAAGAAAAGACCTGGATAAGAGTTCGCCGATAGAGCCATGTGATGCTTCTGTCGCAGTGAGGAAACGATTGTTCCCTGTGAACTTCCGGAAATGATGAGCTTTGTAGTGCAAGAGACGCGGCGCGAATGATTCTCTTTTGAAAAGCAATATCAGCGTGAAAGTTACTCCGATCAAGATCAGTGTTATCCACTCGGTCCATCTCCAGCTGACATCCTGCTCGTAGCCGATGTAAGCGCCAACCACTGGACCTATTTTCATGTGTGGTTAGTGAGGCCGAAGAGAAGCATATTGAAAACGAAAGACTCACCCAAGACTGGTCCGCCGAACGCAGGTATAGCAAACAGTGGAAAGGCGAATGTCTTTTCTACTGGACTCCATAGGTCCCCCACAGAGCCTCCTGCAACCGTGAGAGGAGTACTAGCAGAAAAACCAGCTAGGAATCTGAAGACAATCTGGGCACCAAAATTCGGGGCTAAAGCAGACCCTAGAGTCCAACATGCGAAGACGAGGAGCGAGCCAAGATAGACTGGGTATCGTCCGAGGAGCTCCGAGAGCGGGCTATAAATGTAAAGATACGTCGTCAGCTTATAAGTCACATTCAAGTCATCAAGTCAAGTCTTACCTCAGTAGAAGAGCTCCAAGACCGAAGCCTACCAAAAAGAGTGCAGTAGCCAATGATTCCGCTACTTCCGAAACCCCGAATTCGGCAGACGCTCTAGCGAGCACTGCAGAATCGATGGAAGATGCGAGAGTCGCCACGAAAGCGACAAGGCATACCAGTAATGTCGCACCAATACGGTGTAGGGTTGAGAATTGCTTCGGGTTGTGTGAATCGTCAGGCCCGCTCCAATCAACCTGGTAATACAGCTCGTTGTTACAATCTTCTCTCAGCGTAATGCCTGGAATCCGAGTAAACGGTTCACCTTTTTCCAGCTCACTAGGTAACGCTGAATCCCCCAACCCATGTGCCTCGTTGGGCGAGCGTGCAGTACGAGCAGTTAGTGGGTCTGAGACTTCAGTTACGCGTTGTAATTCTTCCTTCACATGTCTTTGGAGAGCTCTGTACTGTAAAAAGAATGCCATGATAGGAAAAAAGGTAGCTAAAAATTATAGGGTCTAACCAGGAGATGGTTTCGCGACTTTTAGGAGCTTGAGAAACCGCCACGGGCTTTATCTCCGTGACGTGACGCCTATGAGCCATCACCGGAAAGTACAGGAACCCTCCGACACATAAGCAAACGCTATGTTTTAAAACTGGGCCCTTTTCAAAATGCTTGTGACGGGAGATGCGAAAGTGGGTTTTCGCTGGAGACTTTTTGATGTGTTCATGGCTAGAGCCTTGGATTTAGCGTCGCCCATGCTCCCCGAGACAGCGCTTTCCCTAAAAAGGCGACGGACCTGACGTATGCCATCGGGAATAAGTGTTCATATCGCGACCTTTTTTTTTTTTTGAAGGCACGATAGTATGGACGGGACTGTGCATTGTAATATTGGTTATGCTTGAACTATACTTTGCAAGAACCCCACCGATGAAGGTGGCTACCTTTACGTGATGTGCGCGCGAGAACGTGACCAACACTTGTTTTGAGAGTGACTTCATCAACACTTGAGTGTCCTTTTCTCCGTCTTAAGGTGGAATCATTGATCTTCTGACGATAGAGCCTTGCCATGGTGAAAAACCACTGCTCGCCTTTGGTAGACGCGTGCGTGGTCGTGACGGTGTCGGAAGCCTCGGTAGCCTCCGCGGAGCAAGGCTATCGGATGCTGCCTTATCATTCTCAATCATGGCCCCTGCTTCTGCTTCTATGTATTCCAACATGAGGTCGGGGCGAATTTCAATGTCACATTTGAACATGTCAACACCAAAACCGCCTATTCGCGTAGGGCTCATAGAAGTACCCATGTAGGCGATGGCGAAGTAAAGAGAAAAACACCAGAAACAGGTACATGGCAATGTAGGGTGACTCTTATTAAACCTACCAGAATTCAGAACCCTATCGCGCGAAGCTATATTCAATCCCCAGCACAACACGATGTGCTCTCTGCGACAAGAGCTTTGAGCTTCACATCGAGTATAAAATTGTCCTCTACCATTCACAAAGCTATGTAGCAGTCCAGCAGAGATGTTGAGTATTGAACAGTAAGCGATGCCCTTGAGATCAAGCTTTTTCCACGTTCTCAGTCTTCGCCGCGGTGTACTCAGCGTTAGACTGGAAGCCACCTTCTGGGAGTTTGTCAAGTTCATCGTTCTCTCGGTCCAAGCTTCGGAAGGTCCAGGCGAAACCGACCCAGCCAAGGAATGTAAGGATGGCAATGCTCATGTACAGCCACACGAGCAATGGATCACCAGCCAATGGCACGAAGGCCTGGGCGATGGCAGACGAGAAAGCATGCGTAAACCAAAACATGCCAGTCACCAAGGATCGCATGTTCTTCGGTGCTTTGGAGAACGCGTATTCAAGTCCCGTGATGCTAGCGAAGATCTCTGAGAATGCGATGAGAATGTATGCAGGGACCTGAGTCCACACTGAGAGATCCGGGGGCTGATCGCAGTCTGTTGGAAACTCTCCGCAAGGCGATTTCTGGTAGATGAAGTGTTGGATGACTGCTGCAACCACCATGGAAAGCATAGCGCAGACGAAACCAGCTTGGATCTTCTTCAATGGTGTGAAGTTGATACCCCAGTGGGCAAGCCTCGGGTAGATGAATTTGTCGAATATCGGAATGCAGATCAGCAACGTGAATGGGTTCTATGAGCGATTCGCGTTAGAAATTTTCTCTAGTGTATTTAGGTGTCAAGAACATACCAGGTTATGAACCACATCATTTGGTACACCATTGAGCTTCATGGTGGACGCCTGCGAAACCAGGTTACTGGTCCTTGAAGACGGTCAGCGCTTGTCTTACGTGCATCCAATGTACCAATGATACTCACATTTGACCATAAGGCAGCCAAAAGATGGGCAACCAGAAGAATACTTGACAGGCCTTGATGCCACGTCGAACTTCGTCCACCCACGCGTCATCGAAAGTCATCCATACTGGCTTGTTGGCGACTTTGCTTGGTTTTGCAGCGTCCCAAATGTTCGGATCAGAGAGATTCTTCCATGTACGCACGGGATTGAGCGAGAAGCGCCCTTTCAGAACCAACCCGTATGTTCTCATGGACTTGACCAGCACATCACCCTGTGGGGGTTTCTTGACGTAGTGCTTGCTGAGAGTGACCATTAGGAGCGGGCAAAGAGCAAAGAGAATAGTTGGTAACGTGAAGGAGAGCCAGAAACCGACATATTTCTCGGCATATACTATAATAGCCGTCAGCTACCGCATCGCACGGTTGATTGAATATTACTTACCCATAGAGACCTGGCCTACCAGCGCACCAACATTGATCAGAAGGTAGTAACGCATGTATACTCGGGAGTATGTGATGCCCGGATCGACTATAACCCGTTCACCATTGGGCTCAGTACGAATGAAAGCTCGCGGGTGACTGGCCTCATATTGCTCGGCAATGAGCGGAGAGATGCAGCATTTGAAAAAGCCTCTGCAAGTGGTTAATATATGGACTGAGTGCGTTCCGTACGGAGACACTTACACACCGGTGCCAAATAGGATCAGGCCCAGAATGAACGAGGCAAGAGCTCCTTCGGGGTTTGGCCCCATGACCTGAGGGATTGCGGCAATGATAATCAAGATATGGCCAAGTGTAGCAACGGCAATGGCGAAGTATATCGTCTTGAATTTGCCCCAGTATTCATCAGCAACCCAACCGCCTTGTGAAAAGAATCAGTACAATGCTTCCTCGGGAACAAAGATTACGCTTACCCACTAGCGGCATGATGTACGAGAAGAATGAGTTGAATTGAACAAGGCCTGTGCTAGCACGCTGGCCCATTCCAAGGGCTCCTGGTTGACCGTCGCCGGCAGCGCCAGCTTCAGGGAAGGGTCCTGAAGTGGGGAGGTCTCTTTGGATGAAGTTGACAAAGACCGCAGTCGTTCCGTAGTAAGCAAAACGCTCGCACATTTCTACAATACCGATGACGTAGACTAGTAGTGGAATGGTGTGTTAGCGCATGGTACATAAAGGCTCCGTAGAAAAGATGTACGTACTCATCCAGTTGACTTTACCATACACACGACGAAGCTTTCCCCAGTCTTCTTCGGTAGGGTATTGTTCGCCATTAGGGCCAACAAGGCTCTCGGAAGTTGACACAAACTTGTCGTGCTTTTCCAAGCTCGCACTGCCCCGTGTGTCGTTGTGAAGACGAGGTGCATTCGCCAATGCGGCGTCAACGATCTCGAGATTTGCCCCTGTAGACATGGCGGCAGCTGAGAAGGTGGTCGTCTCCAATACTTAGGCCTATTCCTTGGGTTATATAAACCTCTAAGTCATCTTCCTTCGAATTTCGAGCTGCCTCATTTAGCAAAGTCGTGGAACTGTATTACCATTCACAACGGTCTCGGCACCAGACAATCATTCCAGGACCTTGATCGCCCAGAGATAAAAGTCTGTGCAAGGCGCACGGCACTCGCTCGAATTCTATCTTACGTTCTTGGATTTCTGGGTATCTCGGATAAGCGGTTGGCGCCGAGCGATGCTAACGGCTGCGCCGTTCTTGAACGTTTGTGACCTGATCTTGGCAGGCATTTCGATGCCGGGCCAAGCAGATAGCACCCAATGAAAAGCAAAATAAGATATGAAGGGGTTGTTGGCCACCTGATAGTAAACCAAGACGGTCGAACATCCAAGATCTGACAATATCTTGACATACCCTACATCGCGACCTTCCTCATCAAGCAATGTGGCAACCCTTATCCTGAAGATCTACTCCGGTGAATACTGCCCAAGCGACCTCGAGAATGTTGAAAGCGCCCATCATGTCTTGCTACTGCTCCTGGGCATAACGAAGCCTTCATCACGGTGGTCTGGTTGAGCCGAAGTTAGCCTGTCAATGACCGACGCGTTCGGACGGCTGCGTCGCTCTGTATCATCAGGCCTTAAGACGCAAGGAAGGAGGCATGAAGGAAACCATCGGGATAACTACTACCATCCTGAAAGAAAGGCGAAGACTGGGGAGGTCGCGGTGCCCTTGTGGGAGCGCCCAGCACGCCCCGCACGGACTAAGCAGCTTTTGGCTTTTGGCCCCTCTCTTTCCGCATGCACCTTCAGGGCTGCGCAATGTTCATCTATCAGGCACTACTGAAGGGACATATCGCAGACCGATCATGAGTTCTGATCGAGAGTGGTGAAGTTCTTACGGCAAGTTTAAGTTCCTCGCACTCATGGCAAAGACTTAGGGCCATGTTCCTGACTCAAGGACCAACAGTGGACTGGGTGGTACGTCTTTCACTTCTGATAATTGCTTGGGAAGTTTGCGATCATACTGGTAAAGCTTACATGTTCGCTGTTTAACTTGATTCACGTTAAGTTGATTCGATGGTCCTGTGTTATCCGCCACTTCGCTCATCCACGGCTGCAACTACGACTGTTCCAGACTGGAGCGATAAGCAAGCAACTTTCGTTCAGTCTGCCTCAGCTTCTCCCTTTCAGATTCCAGTCTCTTTCTCCGCTGATCATTCGAGCCCTTCTGCGAATCCTTCTCCTTATCGTACGCCAAAGGATGGTTTACAAGCAGCCGAATCTTCCAATCTTCAAACAACACGTCTTTCGCAACTCTTTTATTCCAAAGCAATGCATTTACTACATTCTGCATGCGCTCTGCGCATGTAGCGTCAGCATCTGCCTCGAGACCCCGGTGGGGTTTCAGGGCTTTGTTGAACTGCGCTGGCCCTCGGAAGCCGCTCTTGCACCGGTCGATTAGAGCTGAAAAGATTTCGCGACACGTCGCCTCGAGCAATAGAGAGTCGTAAGCTTCCGGTCGAAACATCCTGGCTGCGCTTGAAGTTTCGGAATCTTTGATGTCTTCGAGATTTATCATGGCCAGGACGAGCTTTCGTACCCAGAATTCGGCATGCTGTTCTACATCTGGGATCGAGACATCAGAGCGAGGGTCTATTTGAGGCACTCGTTGCACCCTACGCCTATACTCTCGAGCGTTATCCCACCGGGTGCTGGTAGCAGGAACCGGTGCAGTGCGATTGGGAGTTACAGGGTTTTGGCCGAGTATTGAGTACATCGTAGGCAGAGGTAAATCGTGTATGATTGTGGAAGACGAAGTTGGCAGCGTCTCTGCCCTGCAAGTCGGCAACTCATATCAAAGCGGGGGCGACTTGTGAATGTTAGTATGTAACATGGGGCGTATGCTCATCATTGACACTTCAGCTGCTGCTGGTCAGATGCAGAATCTACAGTTAATATGAATGTGGTGAGCGGCAACTACATTCATGTTCTGGTGTCTGGAGTACTGGAACGCAGTGAATCCAATGAACTCGATGGTTGTGAATTCTATCATGTTATCAACAGCGCCCGCTTCTTTAGGCTTGCCACGATAATAACAGGCTTTCATGGTGTTGTCGCTGTGCCACACTGCCTCACAGTGCATTCGGTCCCCCAGCAAGTCGTTGTTCCGCGTACCTGATCTTGACCCTCAACTCAGATAATTTATGAGCCGAGATTTAAGACCGTTTCCGTCACCACGACAAACCCGAAGATTGACGCGAGCAAGACATGCAGTAAGGACAACGAAAACATCAAGCATGGATACGAGAGCAAAAGCCCCATGTCCCTCATCACGTACTAGTATACCATCGCGAGAAGCGCCTTTAGAAGGCTCTTCGTCCGTACAATCGACAGCATCACTTCCAGTGCAGGCATCGCCAACCTTCTCTGCTATCACTCGGCCGACTATGTATGCAGAGCAGCACACGTGGGAGTATACTTCTAGTGATGGTATTCGATCCCATTATCATCGGGAGACCGCCGCTGAGAACGACTTTGGCAAACCACAACCGCTGACATACCCATATAATATCTTCATGAGCGACATGCAATTTAGGGAGCAACAGTCTATTAATATGCCCGACCACAATGAGTACGTTGAGTCAATCATGGCTAGGAAAAGAAGAGAATATGGCTTTATACGAGCACCACCGTACCCCTTACACGGTCATGATACGGACGACCATTCCAAGGGCGCGATGCAGGGTAACAGCAGTGGTTCTCTTCGTCAGCCAACGGCAGAAGACTTCCTGCGTTCCAATCATCCACTCCCTGCACCACCGACCGAAGAGTACAACTCGGATCAAGATCTTCCAGTCATTGAGCCAGACCCATATCTCCCGGAAGGTCTCAAAGAGGGACATCTAGGCGGTCTGTCTCAGCAATCAATGGCCGCTCCCAAACGACACTACACAACTGCTGCTACCGCCGCCAAAACTTCACGTATATCACAAGAGAAACCAAAGCACAAACGCGCGCGGTCTGAGCTTATCGCCCCTTCACACGCACCATCTCTTGAACACGAACCATCAATGTCAGAGCATCACAGCACATCTGTACGTGTGCCGACTATCAGCAGTGACATGTACCAGCCGGCTCTAGGTGGTTTGCAGCGAGTATCAGGTGTGCAGCGTAGGAATTCAAAGCGCGATCGCGTCAAGCGTTTCGTGAAGGACTTATGTCCCTTTCGTCATGAACGAAAGTTTGGGCGTCCCCAGAATTAAGAAGTTTGCGAGCGGACAAAGAGGTTGTACTAGATGTGCTCTCCTTGTCGCAAGTAATCCTCTCTGACGCACCGAAGTGCAAACTGGTGATATGTGTCGGGCAGTTCCTTTATTGAGAAGCTATGGCTAGAACAAAGCTGAGGTGCCCTCGAAGGAGGAAGTAGCTGTGGCAAGCGCTGATGTTGTGCGAACACACCCGGTTTCTATACACAGTCTAGTTTGCATACCGAGCCAGCCAGAGCCGCGACGCGTAAGATAGAGATCGAAATGCAGGTAAATGCCCCATACAATCACGATGTGTGAAAATGGTGAAGGAGTCTGGTGACCTCACTAGCGCTCTAGCAATGCCTTCTCCTGTGGCTCAAGCCTCGACCTTCCATTTCCATCAGCTAAATTATAAACATTCATTGTCCGATCATTCTTGGTAGTTGCTATTCACATCGAGCAAAAGTCTTTGAAGTCAATGCTACTCTTACATGCATTATGCTACCGCTCACATAGCCCAGCCTGCAATGCTTGCGGCTGAACAGCTTTTACCCCTCCACATGCCATCTAAACGATACTGTTCTGCATACCACCATTGCGTGGGAGCCGGGAAGTTGAACGGTATCTCCAACTCTGACCTAGGTGCTACCAATAGCGATGAAGAATGGGACAGTATAACGTTTGGAGTAGTTAGGGGAGTAGCGCATCATCTGCAGAACCATGATACATGGAAGATGGGCGGAAAAGCAGTGTGGAGATGAACTGAGAGCTTGCGAGTCATCGCTTTCAGTGCTTGGGTCTCAGACGGTACAGTGCAAAATGTTTGTAGCAGTTGATATTGGAGGATATTATCACGTTGCTACTTCCCCGCTTGTTGCCCACGATTCAAACCCTCAGCATAACAGTATCCGTCTATCCAATGTCCAAGCCTAGTCTGGTGCTGGACGCGATCGTCGGTGCTTGCGGGGCGTCTTAGGTTGTGCGCTCTATGCTTCGAGGTTGTTCTGGATAGCGGTCTCGAGGGCCTTGGGGTTGGCACCAACGACCTCGGCAACCTTGTCGCCGTTCTTGAAAAGGATGAAGGTGGGCATGGCGCGGATACCGAGCTTTCCTGCAACCTCGGCGAGTTCGTCGACGTCGAGCTTGTAGAAGCGCGCGCTGGGGTACTTCTCGGAGAACCTAGAAGACGGTTAGTCGCGGCTAGCTGCCAGGGCAGTGCGAACACTTACTTGACGACCTGGGGAGCGATCACTTTACAAGGGCCGCACCATGTCGCGAAGCAGTCGAGGACCATGAGGGTGTCCTTTACAGCGAGGGCCTCTTCGAAGTCGCTCGTCCTACGATGCCGTCGCGTCAGCGCATGCCGATGGTCTATGACGTCGCGCATTTCATATGAGATACGATAGGAATGACTCACTTCATGAGGTTGTGTACACCCTGCTTTTCGTCGCTCATTTTGGCGGTGTTGGAGAAGAACTTTTGGGTAAAGAGTGGTCGGTAGAGGTTTGCGGTCGATGTGGGGTGGATAGCTGTTCGCAGGCGCGCAGATGTGAGCAGTGTTCTAGTGGCTCGGAAGGAAGACGGCGCAAACATAGTATATGTAGAAGATAATGAGATAGCAGGGGAAGGCGATTTCAAAGAATTCGGCTGATGGATTGAACTGGCCGCCGTTGCCGATAACAATTCTGATGCGCTTATTTTTCGGCAAAGCCGTTCGAGTCCCTGCGCAAATCGAAGATTCGCTGTGATGGCGGGCGGAGAGCAGGTGGAGATAGGAACCTAGTACTTACAATTTCAAATATCGGCGGGTATATCGAACGGTTGAGGGAGTAGGGTTTCTAAAGGATTCCTAGGTCTGGCGTTATGATGATAAAGCGTGGATTACTGTACACTCGCGGCGCAGAGGGGCTGCCATGATAGATGACGTGCTTGCCCGACCGCCCGATTTGCCCCACCAGGGTCCTGCCTTCTTCGTTTGGCAAGGCGACGGCGACGCGCATGTGCTTCCCCTGCTCTTGAACAATCTCCTACGTTAGATGCGGCAATGGGTACGAGAGAATCACGATTCACGGCATCGTGTTCGTCAAAGCGATCAGCTTTGTGTCGCGCGAAATGTCATGCCGGGTTAACATTTCCTTGCACCACTGCACTTGCAGTAGCCTACAAGGTGTACACGCTACGTTACAACACGATGGAAAGCATCATGCAGGTCTGATGATACAAAGTACAAAGCTGATACAGCTGATTTAAACTAAAGTCTCCTCATAAAGAGTGGTGAACGCAGCATCTTCTCGACGCCGTGCCCGTGGTATCTGCCCTAAACGTTATACAATGTGACAATCCAAATCCCGAATTCAGGCCTCAAGCCCGTCTATATACTACAGATGTTTCCTAATACGCCTAAAAATCACAACCGGAAATGGGGGCGTCACCGAAGCCGCCACAGGCAGCTTGTGGTAACATGCCAAAAAATAACTCTGAAACAAACACCAACGCCACGCTATGCAGTCTGGAAGACGATCCGAATGCAGGTAGGTAGTCCGAGCGAGCACATCCATCCAAGGGTCGATTTGTTCAAGAGACGCATGCAGCCAAGCCAAAACAAAACCAAGATATAGGTAAGGAAATCCAAATGAGTGATCGTAGTTGGAAGAGACATGCAAGGAAATGGTAAGGAGCGACAGAATACAAAAGAAAGCAAAATGAGTGGCGCGGCGTGGCATGCATGCGTGTTCCTGAAACATATCAATCATCGAAAATGGGAGTGTTACTCTTGCCCGGACAGCCTGTGCGATCGGCCTTGTACTGGTGTACTAGATCGCTTCTGAATGTCCAAGAGCCTAGCGGAACCAGCGCTGAGGTGACGAACGTGACCCTTCCCGAGATCGACGCTTTTAGCGCGCTGTAGCATGACTGGTTCAGTGTCCGACGTTGGGGACGTAGGTGAGTCCGGGTCTGGTGACTCTTGCCCCATGTCGGCAACCTTGGATGATGGATCCTCAGTGTCATCGAGAAACATGCTGAGGAGGCCTTCAGTCGATTTGACGCGGGGTCGGCGATGGATTATAGTAGGCTGGCGAACGACACTTCCTTGCACAAATTCTTCTTGCTGGCCAGACGGCATCTGCGCAGGTGCGGGCTCAACCTCCTCGTCCGACTCAGCAGCAGCGTCTAGCGTCATGAGCGTGCTGCTAGCCTTGCGTCCCCGATCATCGCTTGCATAAGGAGATCGACCTCTTTGGTCTGGCAGAGGCGTTAGCCTTTTGAAGTATTCATCGTCCGCCATGCCTAATTCCTCGTAGGACGCACTGAAATCGTCACTGCGTTGCGGGGCTGAGGATGTCAGACTGGCGCGCATCTGCGACCGGTTCGATGCTCTCTTGGGTGGTCTACCAGAAAGCCACGATCCCTCGGAATCGACAGAGGCGAGTGATTGCGACATGACATTGATGGGCGCCCCTGGACTGACTGGAGAATCTGAGCGATCTCCGGGCAGTGACCCAACACGGAGGTCAGAGGGTTGCTGGCTTCTGCGGCGAGCGGCGATGACGCTTGTGGAAGGGACTTCTGGCGACTGCACCCGTGAATCTGGAGGTGACAGAGGGAATTCCGGTAGGTCTTCTCTGAATTTGGACATTGTTCGTCGGGGTACGCTAGAAGGTCTCTTGATCTGAATTGGTTGAGTAGGAGGGGCGGTTCCAACCAGGTGAGGCGGGAGGGGCTGACGAGACATGGACTCTCGCGATGTGTTGGAAAATGAGATCTCTGATGGTGTCGGCCGTGCCTGGTCTTGTGAGTTGCGTTTGCCTCTTCGGAAAAGAGATGCAAATACACCCATACGTCTGCCCTCTGAGCTACGCCGGCGTGTGGAGGAACCTTGTTTTGACGTGGCAAAGGTATCGGCAGTTTCAACGGGATGTAGCGAGCCGCTTCGAGTAGGATCGTGCGCATGCTCGACAGATTCTACAGGTGTGTCATGTGCAAGCTTCTCCGAGATGAGTTCTGGCAAGATTGAAGCATTGGAAGGTCCGCGTGTGTGTACGTGTGCGGAAGCACTGCCTCGTGAATAACGAACAGCCCGGGCATCGGATACAACGGGGTCTTCTGTCGGGCTTTCCAACGGCGTCGGCAATTGACTGTACTCAACACGGGGTGTGACGGGCATCTCCAGTCGCTGCGACTGAGGCGGCGTAGATGGGCGGACATCCTCCATAGGCATAGGCACCTCTCGCTCGATACCGAGACCGACCATGCCAGTGCCCTCCTTGCTGGGAGTCGCAGGCGTACCTCTTACTTCCATGGCATTTTGTTTCTCTGCACGGCGCTCTAGTCTCCGGCGCAACCGCTCCTGATCGGCCTTGGCCTTCTTCTCTCTCCGCCTCTTGTCTCGTTCTAGGATATCGCGAAGTGCTCCGGCGTCGAGTTCGTCGGCGAGGTCGTCGATCCGGCTCGTCCTTCGGCTCGCTTTCTCATCTGTACTGCTAATGGGTCGGCGTGTGGATTTGTCGCTGTAGGTGTTGGGTGACATGCGGTCGCTGGCGTAGTGGTTGGAGCCGACGGAGACGCGGATAGTCGGGCGGGGAGAGAACATGTCGAGCGCGCTCACGCGGAAGGCACGGTTCTCTGAATTGCCAGACATGGATGAATGTATGGAGTTTTCGAGGGGCAGCGATACGTTTGACGTGGGACGCTCGAAGCGGTGGTTCAGGACGCCCTTGACCTTCTTGCTGTCTCTGCGGAGCATGCCTCCCGAGCTGGCGGCGGGACGTTTCTGCGGCATTGGGAATGACATGGCGCGGATCTCCTCTTCGCGGACGTGGTCATGTTCTTTTCGCCTCTTGCTCGACTTGCGGCGGACCAGGGAAGAGTCTGCGGGCGGATCCCTGCGCAGGCTGGAATGGGAGTGGGTGTGGAAGTTGTAGGGGATGCCGGCGTGGTCGTGGGTTATTGGGCGCAGGTGCGGGCTGTGAGCCAGGCGGTGCTGGTTGGGCAGGGCTGTGATGTCTTCGGCGCTCGACTGAACCCACATCTTTTCAACGTCGCGTACCGATGCGGTAGAGCGTGAACTGCCTCTCCGCCGGCGCTGGCGCTGGCTGGGCCCTCGTCGCGGCCCATTGCCCGTCTGAATCGTGCTGGTTTGCTCTGCGACAGGCCGCTTCCTGTCTGTAACCTCGGTGGGTCCGTCTCTGAATTTAGCGGCCTTTCTGCGTCTTCGCCCAAACAGCCACATGGAGCTGCGCGGGCGCCAGGGCAGCGACCAGAAGCAAAGCAGGGGGTGGATGGTTGAATCGCGGCGGTCGCGATGAAGGCGCGAGCTCGAGGAGAGCGCGGGCGTGTGCCTGAGGGCGATAATGCAGACTATCGGGGAGCGCACAGGCGGTTGGGCTGCATATTGAACGGGCTGAGGCGACGGGTAGCACTTGGCGCGAACGGCTGGTGAATTCGACGTGGAATGAAAGGCGGGCGTGTAGGTGTAGGTACAGTGATAGGGACGGCGAACGAACGAACGATTGTGAATGGAGAAGGGAGCTGCCACAGCCTGAGTGATGTAAGATCGACTCGTGCTCCTAACCGGCTGGCTTCCAGGCTTGGAAGCCTCGACCACCCACGCACCTGCCGATCTCAAAATAACTTCCTTCTGTCCCGGGGCAATTGCGACCCTGGTCCGACTACCACCACGGAACGCTGGCTACTCCGCTCGTCACGTCGTTCAGCGCGTGCCCCGATGCACCACGCCGAGCTCAAATCTGGGACCCAAAGCAGCTGTGCCAACTACATGTCTGATTGGCGAGGCCGATTTACTCGGCTCAAAGACCCTCACGCTCTGTCGTTAAAAGCTGCCTCATCGTCTCCTGGCAAACGCACCAACGCCACCCACACCCAGCTGCCTGGCTTCGCGAGGCCCGTGATTGGCGACCGGCGGCCTGCCCTCAATCTCTCGACCAACACTGCGCAACTGGTCCCGGCCTGTGAGCCACGTCCATGACGATGCCCAAGAAGAAGCATTTCTCGTCATTTCCAGCGAGGCCGCAGGAACAACACATCGGACGACGGTACGGTGCATGGCAGCGCGCTGCGGGAAGTATCGAATATCGAAAATGCAGCGGGACATGGACAGCCACGTCGGTCTTGCAGGCCAACGGCGCCATTGCTAGCCAGCGAATCCTCCTGCGCCCCTCCCAGCACATCCAGCGTCGACAGTGTCAGGTACCCGTGTCTCCAGCATGCACCTCTCCCATTCGTTATCCGGGGGTTCCTTATCATTGCGGACTGCACCGTTGCCGGGCGGAAAAACGGCCTGTCACATGCTTTGCACTTTTCGTCCTTCCAAGGCTCTTCACGCCGCGAAACCACCTCGGCGTGGCATGCCTGTGTTTCAAGTAGTTCATTGAGCATGTCTCGGCTACATTTCCAGCATTTCCAGGACCCAACGTCACGACTACGTCCAGCATCCAAGGTCGCCTTGTCTGGGGAAACGCACAGTGTGCCGTAGCCCAAACGCACACGCTTGCACGCGTCCAGATCTAGCACTATCGAGAGATCGGCGGCTAACAACAAGGCTTGGACAAGGCTAAACTTACCTACTCCACGTTCTTACAGGTCACCCGAGTCGTTCGAGCACGAAACAATCATTAAACTTCGAGCGTAGGGCCGGTGTTATCGATCTAGTCTGGTCCCTTATATCGTCCACGAGCGGAAGGTTTGCATTATATCTCCGATTTTAGATCGCAGCTGATGCAGGAAACGCGATCCCTTGCTTCCTGGTACCGAGACATCATTCCGTCCTGCCTGTGAAGTCTAACCCTGAGGCGAGATTTGGCCAATGGAGTTGAACTTCCTGCAATAATTTTTTTGGTAATGCAGCCATATCCACTACAGTCAGACCTCAAACGCTTAATGGCAGCTGTGGTAGCAAGACAACATTTACTTGCATCATGCGTAGATGCTGTGGGAGACCCGCACGAGCAATGTCGCACAGCTAGCTACCCCGCCAACAAGGCCTAACAATAGCACCACCTCATTCACGGGAAAGACTGAGCACCCTAGAGCCTACATTGACTTTATGTTACCTATCTTGATGTAGGCTGCAGACGTGTTTGGGTTTTTCCTTGAATGTGGCATCACGAAGGAAATCGAGACCCTACCAGTGCGTCAATTGAAGCGAGCTTGTGTGCCTGAATGATATGAGCACCTCGGATTGCGAGGTCATCCGAAAGCTCGCCAGTCTTGTACTCTGGTAGTCTTGTTTTTTCTAATGTGGGAGTACTTTCGTCCCTACTGCTCTCTACTTATCTATGAAGTTTCTTGCTTTCAAAACACACTGGTCACTTACGACCGTCGCCAACTCAACCTTTTTAAGTACTGTTCTGGTCATCCGCTATCTTTAGAGTCGGATCTTGACTGCCGAATTCACACTGTTGACGAAACACATGCTCAACGCTGACGACCAATTGCTCTTTGCGCTGTCATATGCCAGAGTCTGTGCCTGTATCAAACCCGAGTCCATGTGAAGAAGACGGAGTATTGACCAAGATATATTACAATTGATACCTATCGTCCGATTGAACACAGTCTGTACTTTTATGTACACCTAGGTAGATTACTATTGTGGTTGCACGTCTTCGACCACGGCTGATCATTACAATTTGAGTGCATTGCGGCTTATGCAATAGGAACGGCAGATGTCTTCCATTTCGCAGGCTAGAAGCGCATATAGCGGCTACGCGTTGCTTATCTTATGCAAACTGATGAGAAATGTGTGAGCTGTCGGTGGAGTTATGGATCGATGCGCTGTTGCGCGATACTGGATCCGGAAGGGCGGCACCCGAGGTCGCTCCTTCCATGCCAACAAACCGTTGGACCCTGTAAACAAACACTGCCCACCGCCTGAACACCACCACCCCACGATAGCGAACAGCCCAAGACGATACGACTGAGAAGCCCACGTCCAAATACCATCGCACAACGACCCAACATGTCTTATAATGGGCGCATGAGCATGGCGCGAACTACGCAGCACAGCCAACGCGCGCCGCCCGCAAACGAACACGACGCTTTCATGACCTTGGTATACGCGCAGCCCCCCTCTGACTTTGCGCATCACTAACAAAAGCAGCCCGATCACGAAATTGCAGGCTGCATCTCAGATATCGGAATCCAGTTCAGCGTCTCCGACCTGCAGAAGCCGAACCCCCAAATTATCCAGAAAGTCTTCGAATGGCTCGCCGAGCTACTCATGAACACGACGCGAGAGGTCGTTGCGCCGGCAATGCGCGCTGCGGCTGAAGACATGTGCGGTGGCGATGCGGAGAGACTCTATACAAGCGACACCAGGGATCTGATGGCCTTCTTCGTCATCCTGAGGAAGTTGCTTCGCGAAGTAAGTGACTTTGACTATCACGTCTTTCGGCCCGTCCTAACTATTCCAGTGTGGCATCCACGACTTCACTTTCAACGACCTGTACAAGCCCACGCACGGTCGTCTGGTCAAGATCTTCTCGTACATGATCAACTTCATTCGCTTCCGGGAATCTCAAACCGAAATCATAGACGAGCACTTCAACAAGGCAGAGCGCACGAAGCTACGAATCGAGCAGCTATACGACGACAAACAAGCAAAAGAGATGCAATTGGCTGAGCTCGAGCGCAACCGCGCGGCGACACAAAGGCTGATGCAAGAGAAAGAGAAGCGCAACAACGAACTCAAGAGCAGGCTGCTGGAGTTAAAGAGGGGTCAAGAAGCGGTTGCAGAGAAACTCGAGCGTGCCAAAGCTGAGCAAGACAGGTTGAAGAAGCTGTTGCAACAGAAAGTGGAGAACAAGGAGAATGTGCAGCGCGAGGTTATCAAGCTGAAGCCGTACACACAACAGAGCCCAACTGCGTTGGAGGACTCTCTGCGCGACCTAAGCGATCGACTGACCGGGGACAAGACTCAGATCGACATGCTGGACCGCCGTGCTCGTGCCCTCCAGACATCCACCGACTCATTTGCTGTAGTTGCGACTGATGTTACTTCATGCACACGATTACTCACAGATGTACAAGCCGATTTGTCGCGCGAGGAAGAGGAGTTGGCAAAGGCATCAAAACACCGAGATGCATTGGCAGACCGAAGCAACAACGTACGCGACGTTGAACGACAAGAACGACTGCTACAGAAACAACTCGGCAACATCAACGCCCGAACAAACAAACTGAAGACCAAAGGCGACGAAGAAGCGGAACGTGCGCGCAAACGGATGGAGGAGTTACGCGAGACTCATGCGAAGTTGACTGAAGAGCGAGGTGAGAAAGGACGGGAAATGGAGAGGAGGCGCGTACGCATCGAACAGACGGAGAAGAAGATGGCTGAGCTCAAGGACAACATTGAGAATGAGGTGCACGCTGCTCATGACGAGTATCTCAAGATGGAAAGTCACATCAAGCTCTACATTACGGAGATGGAGCAAAGTATCTGAGGTCGTTATACCCTATGAACGAGTTACGTCGGCGTTTGGAATTTGATTCGAGATACCATGATGTTGCAGGGCGGGAAAGTGATACCATGTAGTTTTTGACTTAATTACCGTTTTTTCGTTTCCCACTTATGGATTCCTATCATGATGTCACTAGTTCTTTTGTTCAAGACCGTTTCTGCTACTTGCGGTTTATATGAATGTCTGAACACAGCAGAAGTCACCTCAATACATCGGTCACAGGTACGAAGAGGCGCGCACATCAGGGCCCCACCGTAAGAGTCGCTAGGATTAGCACGCATAACGAGGAGTACCAGTATGGATCAGGGTCCTCCCTATACCCGATACCGTACGTCGAGCAGCAGTACCTGCATAAGCTTGGACAGGTGACCATTTAATCGGGTTGAAAACAAGACGTGCCGCTCACAGTTGCATTTAGATAGATCAGAAGCCGTACAGAAGCTGTACGGGGGCTGGTGGAATCTTATTGGTACACTAAGACTCCTGTGACACGCATCAACATGGAGGAGATCTGTGGTTGAGCCCCGAGATGCGAGTACCCTTGAACTATGTGAAGATATTTGCAGTATGAGACTGCAACGTATGCGAGGAGATTCTTGGTATTGCAAGAGCGCGCTGGGCAGCAAGTGTAGTGTACGTATCTTGAGGTAGCACCACGGAATTGGAAAAGGGACGACCCGTACCGTACTACATCAACCACTCGATTTTCCCTCCATGCCGGTCATAATTACCGCTCTGGTGCTGGATCATCTCGTACATACGTACATTCACGCCCTTTGACTCAAAAGCGGGGTTGTGACACCCACTGGCAAAGACTCATCTATGCTTATCATGTAGTAAAAATGTTTTCGTCTAGATTCGTGTGAAGCGACCCACCGCCATGGTTTCTTTTGCGTCTGTTCCTGCAAAGATCGATAGCATGTGGCAATTCAAGGTGTTGAGCATGTCTTGGTGTCGCGTGCGGCAAGTCCGCGGCCAATATCTTGACCGCGTCTGCGTAAGAAGGCGGTGAGGTGGGTCGCCAATGGCATGGTAAACCCGCAGATGCTTCAATACTTGACCCAAGACAGGCATCCCGTCTGGAGTCTCGGCCACATTTTCTCCAGGTTTGTGGAGAGAAAACAGATTGAGAGCGGAAAAACGAAGTCTACTCCGCCTTGTGTGCATCAAAGCAGAGTCATCTCGTTGGCCACCGCCCGACGGCAACCCCACATGTGAGCGAAGGCGGCTAGCGCAAAGCTACAGACCCGATCCCGGCCCTGCGCTTTCATCATCGCTCTTCGCAGCAGATTTTTGTCCTTCTTGACTCACCTTGGAACCAATCCTCAGCATTCAAATACCGCCCATCCTCCACCAACCCTCTTACCTCCTCATTCCCACATCAATTGCCCAACATGTGTCCTCCCACCGAAGACACACCCGCTACCAACGGCCATACCAACGGCACCAACGGCGCCAATGGCAGCAAGGAAGGCTTCACAGGTGTTACGACCAGACAGAACCCTCACCCTACACACAAGAGCCCGTATGCGCCCGTGGGTGACTTTTTGTCAAATGTCGGCAGATTCAAGATTATTGGTACGTCATAACGCCTATCTCCAGCGTTATCGGACGCACACACAGGCGGACTGAGGATTTGGTGTGGAGAAGAACGAAACGTTGCTGACTTTACCTGCGCAGAGAGCACACTAAGAGAGGGCGAGCAATTCGCCAACGCCTACTTCGATCTTGAAGCCAAAATCAAGATTGCGAGAGCTCTTGACAACTTTGGTGTTGACTGTACGGCTATGCTTCCCGGCGCTTGGCGCGAAATTTCCAGAGACTAACAACAGACGTAGACATCGAAGTCACCAGCCCTGCTGCCTCTGAGCAGTCAAGAAGGGACTGTGAGGCGCTTTGCAAGCTCGGAGTACGTACTTCATCGCAATGATCTAGCAGTGAGAACGCATGCTGACCGCCTGCTAGTTGAAAGCCAAGATCCTTACCCACGTACGATGCCACATGGACGATGCGAGAATCGCTGTCGAGACTGGTGTTGATGGCCTTGATGTCGTCATCGGAACCTCTGCGTACCTCCGCGAGCACAGTCACGGCAAGGACATGACATACATTAAGAACACAGCGCTGGAGGTGATCGAGTTCGTCAAGAGCAAGGGCAAGGAGATTCGATTCAGCTCCGAGGACTCGTTCCGATCGGACCTGGTTGATCTTCTGTCCATCTACAGCGCTGTTGACAAGGTTGGAGTCGACCGTGTCGGTATTGCCGATACCGTTGGTTGCGCGTCCCCTCGTCAAGTGTACGATCTCGTACGAACTCTGCGCGGTGTCGTTTCCTGCGACATTGAGACACATTTCCACAACGACTCTGGCTGCGCCATTGCCAACGCTTTCTGCGCGCTAGAGGCAGGTGCCACGCACATCGATACCTCCGTCCTTGGTATTGGTGAGCGTAACGGTATCACACCTCTTGGAGGTCTGATGGCCCGCATGATCGTTGCGGACCGCGAATATGTTACCAGCAAGTACAACATCAAGGCGCTCAAGGAAGTTGAGGACCTGGTTGCCGACCTTGTTGAGGTCAACATCCCGTTCAACGTAAGTGCCGTTTCTACTACCAGAAATCAAAAGACAACTTACTGACTTGGACAGAACTACATCACTGGATTCTGTGCCTTTACCCACAAGGCTGGCATTCACGCCAAGGCCATTCTCAACAACCCTTCCACATATGAGATTATCAACCCGCAAGATTTCGGCATGTCCCGATATGTACACTTTGCTAGCAGGCTTACCGGATGGAACGCGATTAAGAGCCGTGCTGAGCAGCTTGGCTTGAAGATGACGGATGCGCAGTACAAGGAGTGCACGTCCAAGATCAAGGCCATTGCAGACATTCGCAAGATTGCTCTTGACGACACCGACTCCATCATCCGTACCTACCACAACAACCTGCATGCCAAGGAGGAGGTGCCTCTGCTACCGGGTATGACAGAGGAAGAGAAGAAGAAGTTTGCCGAAGCTGAGGCCGAATTGAACGGCGTCTCAGAGAAGCGGGAGCTTGATGCTACCGCAGATGCACAGGCCGAGGTGCCCGTTGCCAAGAAGAACAAGACCGCCACCGTGGCATAAGCGCAAGACGCTGTGTAAATATGGGATTTCTGGAGTTGGTTATTTCCTTTACTACTGTCAGGGGTGTCTTTTCCGAGCATATCTGCATGTCTTCCGGTTACGGAAAAGTTTCTGAGTTTTGATACCTGGACCGAAAAGCCCAGTGGCTTCGGCAATGTGTATAGCATTCTCAAATGATAGACAACGAATTAAAAGCGCTTGCAAGCTAAAGGTATCTCCTCCAGCCTCGTTGATTTGGCGCGTTGCCGTTTGCCACATGCCTGCCACTTGACCCAGACCGCGGAGGTGGAGACCCTGCATGAAGGGGCGCGTGCACGCTTTCTTCATCGTCCCGACCGCCCCCTCCAAAATACCCCGAGGTCAGGACTTAATCCAGACGCCTCAATTGCTTTCTCCTACACTATTGTCACGATTCGCAACCATGAGCACTATCGAGACTGTTACTCAGCAGCCTGAGATCACGGCGGAAAATGTCCTGCGCCTCTTCCCCGAAGTTAGCACAGCACTCATCGGGGGATCGCACAACTCGGCCACGAGCGACAATGCACTACAAGGCTACGACGAGGAGCAGATACGGTTGATGGACGAGGTGTGCATTGTTCTCGACAACAACGATATTCCCATTGGCAGTGCGACCAAGAAACTCTGTACGTGGCTCTGCGTGCGCCTCGTCGACGGATGGCGACTGACAAGCTCCAGGCCATTTGATGGAGAACATTGACCGTGGACTCCTCCACCGCGCATTCTCCGTCTTCCTCTTCGACTCCCAGAACCGCCTCCTTCTGCAGCAGCGCGCGACCGAGAAGATCACATTCCCGGACATGTGGACAAACACCTGCTGTTCGCACCCGCTGGGCATACCCGGAGAGACTGGCGTAGGACTAGAGGAATCCGTACAGGGTGTGCGTCGCGCAGCAGTGCGCAAGCTCAACCACGAACTGGGCATCAAAGCTGAACAAGTGCCTATTGACGAATTCAAATTCCTGACACGGATACACTACAAGTCGCCCAGTGATGGCACCTGGGGCGAGCATGAGAGTAAGTTGTACAACAGGGCCATCGTCATACGGGATGAATGCTTACCATATACTAGTCGACTACATCTTGTTTATGAAAGCCGATGTCGACCTGAACGTCAACCCCAACGAGGCTCGCGACTCCAGATGGGTGTCTCAGGAGGATCTCAAAACTATGTTCCAGGACAAGTCGCTCAAGTTCACACCGTGGTTCAAGCTCATCTGCGAAAGCATGCTGTTCGAATGGTGGGACCATCTCGACTCTGGCCTGGAGAAGTACATGGGCGAGACAGAGATTCGGCGCATGTAAGGCATGCGAAGTAGCTGTCATCAATCCCTCCGCCGCTATTCGAGCGTACCGATCCCAAGATGCTTGGCCGAGACCTGCCCCCATTTCCGAAAGTGAGGCGGTACGTGCATGCAGGCTCGGCCTTTTAGATACCACCACTGCCATTTAATCCAGTCGTTGACCATTGCATTGTTCCCCACGCTCATTAGTCGTCATGGCTTTATCGTGCGGACATCAAGACGCGCTCCTCTTCTATCGTTGCGTTCCGATTACAATGCGTGACAGTTGATCTATGCTGACCCCGCCTACTGGTATTCTTCAGCTGATAGACTAGTGGGATCAAGCCAAACGCAGATAACCGTGTAGCGGAAGAGTTCCGAATGTTTGCTTTATCATTAGCTGTCAGAGAGAGTAGCCTTAATGGTGGTCTCACTTCTGCGCTTATCCGTTATGAGGAGGTCCAGCCGAGGTGTGCAGCTCAACCCTTCCTCTTCACCCCACAACCGCTTCCCAGGCGCCCCATGTCACAGCGCTGCTCTATCGCTACGTCTCCATCGCTACAAGAGATTCGTAAACAAGCTGTGGGTTGTGTCGCCAAACGATTGGCAGGCAAGCAACAAAGCAACATCTTCGTTGAGCCGCTTCGGCCCGACACCAAGTTCAAGGTCACAAGGCGGATGATAACGAAACTTGCATACTTAACGGGCTAAGCGGTTGGTCCGAAGATAGCTCCCGCTTTGAGCTATGTGAAGCGTGACCTGTACCTCCACCCGACGGCGCTTGGTACGCCGATCCAGCAGGGTAGGTGGAGGTATATCAAAGTCCCGCTCTCCCATCTTCATCTCGGTCACAGACACACACAGCTTGTCAATCCTCATCACATACTACATCAACTTACTAGCCACTGTGCCCCCACGGCATACGCATCTTGCTGCAGCCGATCTGTGCTTGCAATCCTTCACGATACGCAGCTGCTGCCGCTCGACATCAGCCAAGCATCGTACTGCAGTGCTGTCACTGGTCTTGTGACAAAGCTGCCAGCGAGTTAAAAAGCAAAGCCCAAACTTTAAGCAGCCATACATCAACTGCCACCAGTCCACACACACGAAGATTGGTACATCGATAGCCCCAGGCGCCTACTATCGACGCAAGACTACCTCATCGGACTCACACTCTACGACGTATCTGTCAAGCGTGTACTCAAAAGGGACCTCTGTAGCCTCACACATTGATGTCGGTTGATCTACGTCAAGCCTTCACTTCTTTACGCTACCCTTCTCGAGTCGATACCGTCTCGAGATCGCAGCTCTCTAGAGTTCATACAGGGGATCTTAATCGTCCGGCTAAAACATAAACATCCAAGCTCAGAAAAGGTATACCATTATGGCAGGCAATCGACGGTCACGGCTCCTGCTCAGCCCACGACGACCCATTGTCGCAACCAGACTAGACTAATCACAATCTAGTAGTGTTGTTTGAACTCAAGGTCGTCGTCTAGATATACCGCAGTTCAAGTGACTAACCTCCACCCACGCCGAATCGCGTTCAAGCCCTGCGGGGAACACCTCACGCTGGCGAATTCCACGACTGTCCCTATTATCAAACGAAGCGGCAGATCCCATCTGAATACTAGTAGAGGCTTACAGTCGAAACCACAATCATGGCGAAAACGTTCTCCCCTGTTGCGCCAGTCAGCTGTAATTACACAGTGGACACGAAGTCTTCAACCTTGAAGTCGGCTAACATTAGGGTCAATGAAGTACCGGCTAGCTTCAGGATCTTGAAGCCGAAGCCAACTTCTGTTGGTGCTACTGTTCTGCCTCCGCTCACCGACGGCGTTCGCGTCGTTACGGCTGCGGAGTACAAGCAGGCTGCTGAGTGTCTGGCGGAAGCCTTCGGTCAGGACGATGTTGCGAGATACTTCATAGACGTGCCCGATCGTGCGCATTGGACTGTGGAGCAAAAGTGGGCGCTACATGTCGAGATTCTCGAATACATAACGTATGCTCACATCCTCAAGGGACTAGTGACTACGGTGGGTGACTTTGAAGCAGTTGCTCTATGGTAAGTCTTAGAGACAAGGAAGGCGTCGTGACTATGAGCTCACGCAACTAGGATGCCACCCGGCCAGAACATGGACGACTACCTGACTATGTTCCGCTCTGGCATGTGGCGCCTCAACTATCGCCTCTCCGCCGAGGGGAAACGGCGCTTCTTCGACGAATTCTTGCCCCTCCTCCACGATACCATGCACACCACGCTTGGTGAGCGAGAGCATAACGCCTGGTACCTTGTCTACCTAGGCACTAGGCCCAGTGGCCGTGGCAAAGGTCACGCTCGTAGCCTCATTGAGCATGTAACGAAGCTTGCGGACCGCGAAGGCAGACCATGCTACTTGGAGTCGAGTAACGCCACGAACCCTCCGATTTACAGGAAGTTTGGTTTCGAAGAGACGAGGCAGATCAACCTTCAGAGGGGTGGAAGAAACATTCCGCTGGACATCATGGTCAGGGAACCCATGGGCATGGAGAAGAAGAGTGGCACGCCAACCTAGGAAAAAACTGAACATCCTAGAGCCTACGTTGACGTTAGGTCACCTACTTTGCATGTTTTCGTTTTGATGTAGTCTGCAAATCTGTTGAGGTTTTTGCTTGTACGAGGTGGTGGTTTGTAGGAGACTGGTAGGGCACTGAGGGCATAACACCATTTCAACATGCGTGTCGCGAGGAAGCATGTTATTTTGTGTATTAAGACTTTGCAATATCCTTCAACAGGATCATGTTTAGAAGAGGCGTAGGCCGTAGTTGTCGATTTTATTCGCTCATTCTGCCTGGGAATTCAAGGCTGTAGTCCGCAACTGCAATCATGATTTTCTAAAGTGCGACAAGTAATCGAAACGTATTCAGCTGCCAACGCATCGGTATCAGAAGCGAAATCAGAATCATTGAGCTGCAGCTCTTCCAAAATAAGCTCGGGCTAGAGAAGACACAGTGATAGTTCCAACATAAGCAAAACTCGTTCCACCTACCCAACAGGCCGTGAAAATATGATGCGCTGACATGACGCCATGGACTGCGGATCGCAATATCGTGATAAGCCAGATTCGTAACCCATGGTTCTTCAAGGCCCGTCAGTATTGCGGGATATGGAATATTGGTTAGACGAGAGATTGGGGTGGAGCATGATAATCGGCGGGTGGGCAGTGCAGCATTGACGACAAATTGCGGTGTCATGAAACGCGGCATTGTTGCCCAGTTGCCAAACATGCTACGCCCTTCATCTCCTGATGATCCGCTGAGGCCGACTCTATAGCTCTGTCCTCTCGCGCACACTGTCCATGGTGACTGTTCTCTAGCGACTGTCCTCTAGCTTCATCTCAGCACCGTAATCGATAAAAAAGTGGTGTCGGCCCACTCGCGCATCCGCTTCTCAGTCCACTCGGCCGCATCCGCAGCGCTACTTAACGCACCCCGCAAGCCTCGCCCATTGCCCATTGCACGCGTCGAGGGCCTGCAGAGGGTCATCGTGCAGCCTGCCAGCACATCCGCGCTCAGAGGGTTTGCTGGAGCCTGCCACCCAACACCACGTAATACCACTCGCCCTCGCCCTCGCACCAAGTTTCCCCCCTTCGCAATACCGCGCCCGCCCATATACCATGGTCACCCAGCGGCGGTACTCGGTCACGGGTCAGACGCCCCCCGACGATGCGGAAGCCATGAAAGCGCGCTCTCCCAAACTACAGCCTCTGGATACTAGCGTGCAAACACCGCCGTGCGGGTACTGTGACGGCGCGCCGGAGCTGAATTCAAACAGCGAGGCCAGCGCGGCCGGCCAGCGGAGAGGGAGAAACATGGCCCAGAAGGGCACTATCGTACGCACATCAAGCAAACGATCCGCTACCCAGCTGCCTTCGCCCAGCTCGCCCACGCATCAGCTGCCGCCCAAGATTCCAAGATACAGACTCAACGTGGATATAGACATAGGCTCCGACACAGACCCCGACTCGGATGACACGGATCTTCTGGGCGACGGCAGCGAGCACGACTACTGCCACGGCTTCGAGAGTCAGGCTACCTCGTTCCCATCGACGCCTGAGCATTCGCAACCCTACGGCGTGTCGAGCCTGCCCGATGCCACCCGCCTGGAAGGACTGCAACTGTATGCAGAAGAAAGGCCCGACGACGATGAGCACATGGACGACTACGCGCTCTCGCCCTCCCATTCCAGAAATCACAGCCTGAATCGTGTTCAACTCGATGGGTCCAACGACGTACAGAAGGATTGGGCCGCACATATTGCATCTCACAAAGAAGAGGCAGAGACTGTTCATATGGAAGATGTCCAGGTTACGTCTGTCCAAGAAACAGGCACGCCTCCTGCCGAAGACATGACTCACGCTCCGCCCACCTTCGTAACCCTCCCTCCTGAGATCCGTCACCAAATTTACCGAAACTGCGAGAACCTCGTCATCGATAAGCCCCTCGTATACTGCATCTCTACCTTCGACGGCCAAATGCAGCATGCTCTCGCTTCCGTGTCGCGCCTCGTCCGCTCCGAAGCCCTCGCCATCTTCTACAGCTACAACCTCTGGGTCATAAAAGTCGAGTTCAAGATGATGTACGAAGCCTTCCGAGACTGGATCATTCGGCTGGGCGATGGCGCAGGGCTCTTGCGGCTCGTTAGCTTCTCAGTGCGTGGTGCGCTGTTCAAGCCTAGGCGGAGCCACACGCAGAGTATGCTGATTCACGGACATCTTGTGCAGCTCGCTCCGGGTGTTATCGGGCCTGCGCCAGCATCGCAGGAGGACTTCTACTGCCCGCCAGACGGTGACGCGAGCTTCAAGATTGATCTCAGTGAGAAGTTTGCTGGTGGAAAAGTGCAGCTCGTTAGGAACGATGGCACCAGTGAGGCGGGTGAGCAGGCGAGACTTCGTTTGGGCAGGATGGTAAATGTGCTGTGGGAGAAGAGGCAAGCTGGGACACTCAATGGCCAGGATTGGATTGACATGGTCGATGGCTTCATCACCTTCATCGGTGGGTGGTAAACACGTCAACCTAGGAAAAAACTGAACAGGTCTGCAGCCTACATCAACATGAAGACATGTAAAGTAGGTGACCCAACGTCGATGTAGGCTCCAGACCTGTTCAGTTTTTTTCTTGTATGAGGCGGTAATGAGAAAGATAGTCTTTCTTGGTGCACACGGTGTTGGGTTATATTGGTTATGTAATGGCGTATAGCATGAGATTCACGACGTTCTGCATGGGCTGGGCGTTGTCTGGGATGGCAAAAGGTTGCGGCATGGTCATTTATCGAACATTTCGTATCAACTCAAAGGGTAATGATGGGGGTGGAAGAGGAGGTAATACTCTCGATTTTGTAGACAGCTTTCTACTTGTAGAAATATTCCTATACCCCTTTACAATGGCCATCAACGCTCGAAATACGATTACCAACGCACCTCATACGAGAAAAAAAAACTCAACGGCTCTGCAGACTACATTAAGATGAAAACAGGCGAAGTAGGTAACCTAACATCGATGTAGCCTCCAGGGTGTTCAGTTTTTTCTTAAGTTGACGTGAACGTGTGTTCGGGCTAGCCAAAATTTGATCATATCCACTCGGAAGACGGAAGCCTTTCAGCAAACAACAGCCCATCCTCTATCTTAGATGAGCTGGCGATCCGGGGTCTCGGACTTCTCCTATCCCGGCTGGCACGTGCGTCTTGATAATGAAGAAAAACCTCACGATCCTCGCAAAGTGCAGAGTACCACCAAAAAAAAGCAAAACACTCTCTCTTCGCAAACGATCTATAATCGGACCGAGTCACTCTTTCAAGTTCTACTTCTTGTCTTGATACGTTGGCCATAGAGGAGTACGACAACGCCGAAAATGCGCGTCCTTCTCACCCTCGGCGCCATCCTCGGTGTCCTAACAACTTTCATGTACACGCTAGACTCACACCTCGAGAAGTTCTACATCTTCACGCCTTCCGGTCTGCATGCCCTCTCTCAAGAAGCCATTTCCCTGCACGGCAACGACACAGCTTCTGTCGTCTCACACATTGTCTCTTCGCTATCTGCAATCCATGGACCTCACATCAACCTCGACGAAGAATGGATTTTCAACAACGCAGGTGGTGCCATGGGCGCCATGTACATTATCCACGCGTCTATTACTGAGTATCTGATTATTTTTGGTACCGCGATTGGAACAGAGGGTCATACGGGACGTCACACCGCGGATGACTACTTCCATATTCTCAAGGGCGAGCAGGTGGCTTATGCACCTGGCAAGGGGGTTTATGAGGCTGAGAGGTACCCTCAGGGTAGCGTGCATCATCTTACCAGGGGCGATGTTAAGCAGTACAAGATGGAGGGCGAATGCTTTGCGCTGGAGTATGCGAGGGGATGGATCCCGCCGATGCTTGGGTTTGGGTATGCTGATAGTAAGTGTCTCTCCTTTACCTCACCAACATCTCAGCGCACTGTGCAGTTCAAGACTAATTGGTGGACAACAGCCTTTTCGAGTACGTTGGATTTCCCGACACTGTGGAGGACTACAGTGGTTACCGGGCGGGAAATGATCGGAAACCTCATGATGGGGAAGATGTGAGAAATGGGGAAGGCTATGGAAGGAGTGTGTGGTAAAGCGCAAATGTCTTTTGAGATCGGGTCATTGTTCATACTCGTTCTACTTGGGACATTGGAACACGTCAGGATGCTTGCGCGATAGCACTTAGCATTAGGCACAGACGTTGGACGCTCCACACCCAAGCGGCTTTATGACATGTGTATAGCTGTCTACTCCGGAGTAGGTTTGACTCACGATGTAGTTCCCTCACTGTCAGTGCTCTCTATACGTCATACCGATCAATGCCGTGTCGGAACTACGGCACTTTCGACCAGACTATGCAACCAAGTTTCTTGATCAGAAGAGCGGATTTGAATTCCCTGCATGGAGTGCGTATAATAGTCATCTGGTAGTTGCAGCTAGAATGCCGTATTCCAGTAGTGTACTGTGTGTGCAAGGGTGGTGGGAAGACACTGCCCAGCGCGGGGGATTTTGACCGTCCTTGCAAGCGACGTCTACCCCAACATGTGTGTTGTGAGCATCCTGATTGGCATAGACGTGCATTTACAAAAACCGCGAGATCCGTTTTACCAGCTGCAAGTCTACACCGAGTATGGCGTCAGTTTTGGCTGAGGTATGGACACAGGGTTTCGGGATGAGGCGGCTGGAGCCAAGAAGTGGTGGGCAACGGTGGACGAGAATGGCCGGTAGACCTGCTCGAGACCCGATGCTATTATAGGGGGTGCAGAGAGCTAGATGATGGCAGACGATGCTAGTCGTGTCAAACTTTGGGCTAGCAAACGTGCTATCGAAAAGGTTTTCTCCAGCGCGACAGATGGTAGACGTAGGTGAAAGCCTGTACGGCTGTGACGAAGGGGTTGGGGTGGAGAGCTGGAAGAGGCTGGGCAATAAATCAAGCATTCCGGTTTGGAAGAGCCATCGTCTCAACGGGCCAATATGGAGGCAGCGAACGGGTGCAGGGGTTGGGCCGTGGCTGTGGACGGAACGCGGGTGCAATTATCGAAATACGATTATCCAAACGCGGTGCGTCGGGGCGTTGAGTGCGTAGGAGGCGTACCGCGCGTTCTAAGGTGGACAAGCTGCCGCGAGGATCCACGTCGTCCTGAACAGGCCTAAGGTCTACACTAGGCCAACAATACTCAGATGAGAGGTCGTAGCGTGAATGTAGGCTTCAGGGTGTTCAGTTTTCCCTTGATTGACGTCGAGGGCCATGACGAGGCCTGGCTCGAGGGTAAGACGGCATAGGATCGAGGGAAGGATCATGATGCGGATTCGGGGCCATGGCGAAACAAGGCTTATTGAGCCTCCTGCGGCGGATCATTCGTGGCTGCTAAGGGTTCGGTAGCCGCTCAGATTGGCGTGGGCGCAGATCTGAGGCAGCCACCACAATTAGAAACGGACACTTGGTCGGAAGAGCTGACGCGTAAATCCTCTTTTCCCAGCGCAACGCGCAACGCTGCTGGATGGATGAGAGAGCGACGTGGGATGCCATGGCCAGCGACCCACTGCAGCGTTTGAGGTCGCGCGTCTCAGACGGGGCTGCTTGGTGTCGCAGCGTCCGGGAGCGCGGCGGCTCGTGATGTCATGTGTTGTTGAGTCTGGTGGTCTGGCGCGTCTTCTCTGGCCTCGCTCGGGCCGGCGCCACTTTTGGCCCAGTTAGTGACGCATGTCTGAAAGCGTTGACACCCTGCCGCCGTCCACTCATCATCGACCCTGGCTGCATGTTCCTCGCTCTCGTTTCCTGTGATAACCTCCCCTGCGCTCGCTTTTCCTGATTGCTAGTTGACTTTACTTTCCGCTGTTTCTTTACTCTCTGCATTCGCTTGCTCCGGACGGGCTCCCCTCTGCCGCCATGTTGCCCTCGTTATCAGCCAGCCGTCTAGCCCTACTCTCGCTACCCGCCGTGCGCATTGCCCTCGCCCAGTCCATCTCCATATCGCTAGGGAACAGCCCGCCCGATGGCGCCTCCGACTACCTCGACCCCTCGTATGCTGGCTTCGGCATCGAGCCCTCGAACCTCTTCTCTTTCACCGGCAAAGAGGAGGCCAACCAATTCACCATCAAGCTGCTCCAGAACCTCGCAGACTACTCGGGCGCGCCGCCGCACATTCGCTTGGGAGGAAACACGCAGGATTACATGGTCTTTGAGTCGAGCAACACAAACTATGGCTGGACCTCAAACCCGGACTCGACGGCACAGGGCGCCATTGCGGCCGACTCCATGATCATTGGACCCAACTACTTCACCGCGCTCGAGCGCTTCCCCAAGGACACGCCCGTTACCTTCGGACTCAACATGGCCTACATGGACGACGACTACGAGGACCAAATCACCGCACTGGCGCAAGCCGCCGTCGACGGCATGAAGAACGTCAAACTGTACTCGTTCGAGATTGGCAACGAGCCCGACCTGTGGCTCCAGAACTCTTTCCGCTCTGCGCCCTGGGACGGAAAGACATACACATCCCAATGGCTGGACCGCGCCGAGGTCGTCTACGAGCGCGTGCTCAAGGCTGCCAACCTACCGTCGTCATTCTTCGAGGCTCCTGCGACCGCATCCACCATCGGAACCACCTTCGAGATTGCGCAACTCGTAGACGATGGCATCATGGAGGGCAGGAACGGCGACAATTTCCTGGCTACCTGGAACCAGCACGATTACTTCTATTGTATGTCCCCTTCTTTCTAATTCACTTGCTGTACTAACATGCTGCAGTCATCGGAGTAACTCCCACACCCCTCACCCTCGACGACCTCATGGACCTCGACGCCACCAACACGCAATTCAAATACTGGGAGAAGCAGGTTGGAATCGCCCTCAAGACAGACCACCCTTACGTGCTGCGCGAGATGAGCTCCGTTGGGCCAATAGGCATGCCCGGCGTCAGTGACACCCTCGGTGCTTCTCTTTGGACGCTCAACTTCTTCCTCTACGCAGCCTCCATTGGTATCTCTTCGGTCCAGATGCACATGACCGACAACTCCAACGCCAGTGCCTGGTCGCCTATCCCCATGTACGGTCGTGAAACCTCATTCGTACGACCACAGTACTATGCCCATGCCGCCGTCGCGCAGATTGTCGGCAACGGCAACGGAACCACGCAGATTGCAGCTCTTTCTACAAGCAACGTAGGTGCTGCGTACGATGGCCGCATCCGTGCTTATGCCGCCTACGCAAACGACCATCTGCAGTCCATCACTATGATCAACGCTAAACAAGCCAATGCGTCTTCATCTGACAAGGGCAGCTTCACGTTCAACCTTAACCTAGGCTCTGCACACGCCAACAAGGATGTCTTCATCTCTTACCTCACGGGCCCTGGCGCCGAGTCGCAGACAGACATTACCTGGAACGGCATGAAGTACGACGACGTTACCGGCGCGTCCTCAGTCACTGACAACACTGTCACAACCACCAAGGCCGATGGTAACGGTAGGATATCCGTCCCCGTCCGCGACAGCCAAGCTGCAGTAGCAAACATTGGCTCCCAGCTAGGCACCAACGCCGTCCTCAAACCAGACGGCACGCAGGCGAAGAAGAGTAATGCCGCTTCGACCCCAACCGGCGGGGCCAACTACGCCATAATAAGCGGTCTGTTGGCTATGATGGCGGCATTCATCGCCACGTAATGGCAGGTGTAGCGAGCCAAATTTTCCTTTGTCAAACAAATCAAGCATCATGGAATTGCATATGCATTATGACGGCGTTCTTTTTGCGATAGCAGGCTTTTCATCTGCATCATTCATGGTCAGAATATTCCGCCTCATTCAATCATCTGGGGTTTGGATTAATCGGTCATGCGAACGGGATCGTTAATGACACGCGACACAAAGACTTTTCTTTTTTGGAACAGGATATATAGGCGCGATGACGGCGCCTGGAGTGTATATACACGGTTTCTATTGCATCAAGCCAGCACACGCTGTACCCTGATAGCTAGATTCTAGATTTCTAGAACTGCAATCTCATACCTGATACCCTTTCATGATCAATGTTCCTTCGAGCGGGCGTATAGCTTCCGAGCAAACAAATAAGACGTACTTGTATTGCAACACCTCGTGTGAGATCGCCATGAGACGCAAGTGGAGATGGAGGTGCTAAGCTTTTCAGGCTTCCTGCCTTACCGCGGGGTCGGGATCGGAATTGCAGCAGGCACCGCTGCCGCGCCGCTTCTGGCGCGCGTTGGTGGCGAGCATCGTGGGACGCCCTGCGTTTGACTTTTTTTTCGGTAAGCTCGGGGCAGGGGATTCCCAGAGGCAGGGAACAACAGCTTTGTTTTATGCAGGCCGAGCTACCTGCATAGTTTCGGAATTGTCATGTAGTGTATTTATAATTAGTTTGATGTGAAAGAAAGAAGTGTAGAGGAAGCTGCGACTCAGTCAAAGGGATACGAAGATATGGATGCGCTCGAAACTCGCTGTTGGTAGAATCAGCTCAGACGATGCGAAACATATGTCTTAGTTGTAAGCGAATGCTGTATTCGAGAGCAGTCTCTAGCGTGATGGCATCCTGTTTAAGAGGAAAACTGAACACTCTAAAACCCACATCGACACTACGGCTTCTCATTTGCGTATTGTTGTTTCAACGTAGGCTTCGGGTCCGTTTAGTTCTTTCCTTGTGCGAGGTGATGGGAGGAATGTATCCCTGACATGTATGTGAGCCTGTTGGTACATCTGCGACTGAGCAAACATATTCTAAGATGACTTGACACTTTTGATATGGCAAGGACGGTGATGGCGGAGCGGTTGGGTCGATCAAAGTATGATTTGAGAACTACTCCCAAGGCTCTCTTCACGTTGGCACTACCTACCAGCCTTGTGCGTTGACACATGATCAAATCCGCCACGACGTATGTCATACGTGGTGTACCTCGATCGATAGCCGAATGCTCCTTCCACGGTCCCAATACATTGGTCCAACTTGACCTCGCCAACGTTGTGATCAGTGCGTGATTAGGCCTACTATCGAAAGATGGACATCACTCTCTATTCCCTTAGAAGCAGTCCAAGGAGAATTAATTCTAACTCTAGCGATCTGCAGTTGGAAGACCACCTTGTCTTGCGACAACTCACCCAGGCAAACATCCCTTAGAACTCTGATGACTTTCCTCTGCGGTAAGATCGTATGACTCTCCGGCCTTGGTGCTGACCAGTGTGGAAGTGAGACAATAGACATGGAGATCGTGATGCCATGGTTTTTTGGATAGTCGATGTTCATCGAATTTCCCACAGGATAACAGAGACAGGCGACCGTGCCGCGCAATCCCCAGTAAATTCACCATCACATGTCTCGATCTTCGTAGGGATCCGATACATCTCGTCCCCTTCAAATCTTTTCAAACTGAGCAAGAACTGGCATAGATACGCGTGTTCGATGCGCAGAGGCCAGTCACAAGGACCCATGACGTCAATGCTATCTGTGCGCCGAGCCTCAACCTCACATTTTCTGCTTGACGCTTGCGTGCCGAATTTCCGAGATCTAGCTACGGGCAGCCCGTCGTTCTCTCATTAGGCGCGTAGCTACCAGGATCGCCACTAGTTCTAGTGCAAGTATGACGAAACGTGCGGCACTCTTTCCGAAATGCTTGGGACGAAGGTGTCATGGCAGGAATCCTGTGAAGACTATCTGGGCCCCAGTCGACTCAACACCTAGTCGCGTACTTCTTTTCTATCACGAAAATGCGATTCCGCGACAGAACCCACGCCACGTACGAGGACGAGGATGAGAAGCCACCAGCGGAGGTCGGGCTGCGCGATCGCCTCGTACATTTCACATGGTATGTCGACGCGCCGAGAGTATTCAGATAACAAACTAACAATACCGCAGGCCATGGTTCGCATGCACCATGTCGACAGGAGCGCTAGCTGTCGTTCTCGGGAACACCCCGAACAAATTTACTGGCCTACAGACCATCGGCAAGGTCGTCTTCATCTTCGACCTCGTACTCTTCACCATCTTCAACCTATGCATGTTCACGCGGTTCCTACTCGTCCCTCGGAAGCTCCTCGGATCGCTACATCATCCTGTCGAAGGTCTTTTCTTCGGCACGTACTGGGTCTCCGTCGCGCTGATACTCAACTGCACGTATATCTACGGCAACCCATCGACCGGGACATGGCTCACCAAAGCGCTCGAGATCACATACTGGATGTACTGTGCCGCAGCCTTCCTCGTTGGCATCATCCAATACTCGCTCTTCTTCCGTCTCGAGCGCCTCAACGTTGGCGATGCTGTTCCTGCTTGGATCTTCCCAATATACCCTTTACTGGTTGTAGGTACGCTGGCTGGCACCATACTTCCTGCCCAACCTGAGACGCCCAGCTGGAAGATATTCGTTGGGGCGGTATTTTTTCAGGGGCTCGCGTGGGTTGTCTCCTTCCTGCTCTATGGGCTCTACATGCAGCGTCTGATGACGAGTTCTCTGCCCTCTCCCACCACACGACCAGGAATGTACGTTTCCGTTGGCCCAGCAGGTAAGTCCATACCCGACAGACGAACGATCCCTTGGAAAATTCTAACAGCAATAGGTTACACTGCTGCCGGACTCCTCTCCCTTGCAAACCAAGCGCCGTCGCTCGTTGCCGAAAACTACTTTACGAACACCGTAGTCCCAGACGGCGAAATCGTACGCATCATTGGCATCATGTCAGGTCTTTTTATAATACTGTTCGCATACTGGTTCTTCATCATAACAACTATTGCGGTCATAGTGGGATCACGTAGGATGTCGTTCTCGCTAAACTGGTGGGCATTCATTTTCCCGAATGCAGGACTCACGCTTGCAACGATACAAGCAGGAAAAGTGTTACACAGCGAAGCTATCAACGGTGTCGCGAGCGCATTGACCATCCTACTGGTCATCATGTGGTTTGTCACGGCAGCCTTCTGCATTCGTGCCGTATTCCTCGGACAAGTCTTGTGGCCAGGAAAGGATGAAGATAAGACCATGGAGAGATTAGCATGGGGCTGGCAGGACAACAGAGGAAACCCTGAGGCTGGTAAGATCAGGCCTTAATGTATAATTTTGGACGAAGTAGTTTTATTGAGCGTGGCGCAAGGTTGCTGGAGCGTTATGATATAGCATGATACCCTTTTTTGGTTTGCTACCTCTTTTGTAATCGTGAATTCACCCAGCTGTCAGTGAGGTCGCACCACGCAAGCTCGACAAATTTGGGGCTTACCATACGAAGTGCACAAGCTATACTCTTTACGCCGCTGACCATGGGGACCATGGGGACTGGATATTCCAGGCCGTTCGGGATCTGGGGTGCGTTGGCGCGTTCTGGCTTCGTCTAGTAGCCTTGGTGCACTTACCACATGACCTCGTATTGGACAATTGGCGTCGAGCGGGATTGCTTGGATCCAAGGATTCCCGCCCTCATCGCTGCTGCGACAGTAGGCAGTCATCCTCCACAGGACTGAGGTTGCATTACAAAGCCATGGTGCCCTCGCGCGAACGGCTCAGAGCCATTAGAGCCTGCGGAACCTGGATTAGTACCAAGTTTCACTCCCATGGAGGACTGCCAAGATGTGCATTTGCTTAGTGCACACTCGTTATCGTGAACCACTTTGTCCAACGCTGGTGGTTTCTTCCCAGAGGCAAAATGTGTCGTGAATCGTTCTAGCCGAGTGCCACGGTTCAACAGAACTACACAGAACCATACAGAAGCTCTCGGCTGCATTTTCGGAAGCGCCCAGGATTTGCCCAGCCGAGGCGTTTAACGGGCAAACACCACCAGCCGTCATCGCAAACCGTGCACACGCCATGGTCGTCCGCATGTTTGCGATCGCTGCAAACATCGACTGTCGAAGCACTCGGTCAATATTTCACTGTCGGTGCTATGCAAGTCCCGAACGCGACCTTAGTCACCGGCCGGACATAATTCTTAAACTCTAAAAAGTGAAGAATCGCGAGATCTGTAAACGCCGATCTTCCGAAACCCAGTGTCCCTCACAATAATTCCTTATCACCCTCCACTTCAACACCATGCATTGTGCGCCTGGCTAGAATTACACAACGATAACCATCGCATGGTCTAGACCCCGCGGGCAAGGCGACTTTGTCTGGCTAACTACTAGTAGCGCTGCCTACGCGCTGCTTGGCCGGCTGGCGGAGAGGAAATTGGTGCGGGGCTTCCTTGTCGACGCACGTATCGACCACTTATCGCCGCTCGTCGGACACAACGGAGCGGCATAGTAAGCTGCTCGGGGAGACTTGCCACGCGTTGCGCATATCGCAGGCCGAATCAGCGCCTTGGGCTGACACAGCGGAGCTGGCGTTGAGGCACCCTTGTGTGATAGCGTGCTGTAATTGGCTGCGGGAGTGACGGGTGGACCATGCGATACTTGGGTGTCGGGGATAGGGTTTTGGGTTGGTGGCCTGGGTGGGTGCATGGGTGGAGTTGGGGTTTGGGATGCCGCATGAGCAATGGCATTCTCAGGTGAGCCGTGGGATTCTGCTACAGTATATAGGTAGGTGGTATCCCCACATGAAGGTAAAGACACAACATCGCAGATTTCCTGTATCAGACCTCCAGACACCATACCACTTCACATTACCATCTACTCGAGTCTATCAGACACTACTACTCTACTACTACCCTCATACAACCTCGCATGCAACCCATCCTACCAACAACCATGTCTTCACCCGCAACTCAATACGTCTACGTCCCCAACCTAGTTGGCGGACAGATGCTCAGGATCCCCATCGAGGACGTCGAAGCCGAGGGCCAAATCTCCATTGCCCAACAGCCCATCGCGAGCCCAACGCTCTCTTCACGATACGTCCGCGACTCGTCACCGTCGCCAAGCATGGAGAGCGTTGACGACACCGACGAGTAATAAACTCATACCAAGGCGACGCACGAAGACGAACAGATGACGGCAAGCCTTGCACTGGTCTGCAGTCCAGCAAGGCGGAACTAGCTAGCAGCGGATGTCGTTGCCAAGCAGCCTAGTCGCAGCCTCGAATTCCCACGAGTCGAACTCAGGGAGGACTGACATCATCGCCCCCATACCCTCACTGCAATCGCAACATTTCTTCCGAAATGACGACAGTCGGTGCCGTTGGCTCCGAGATGCCACCGGAGAAAACTTTCAAATTGCGTGGAGTTGGCGTGTGGGGAACACGGCAAGCAAGGAGAGGATCTTTGGCTTGGCTGGAGTTGAAGGAAGCTTGGGAAGGTGCCGATCGGAGATGGATAGGGCAGGCAGGCACGTGTTGGCTTGGCGCGTGTGGGGTTCGCGATTCAGATTGGGACTGGAAGGGGTTGATCGGTAGTCTTGGTTACTTAATGTCTATTATTTAATTTTTTGTGGTACTTTCGGTCACTTGACCTTTTCCACGCTGCATCAGGATGTGAATTGTGAAGTGCGGTGTGCGTGCGTGTGCTCTGCATGCATTGACTTTGGGGTGATAAAAGCAAGCAGAAATGATGTTCTGTTTCTTGCATATCTCTCATTTCCGGTGTGCATGTGAGACGTGGCATGTATTATGTGCATCACGATGTTGGGGAAGAGTAGCTGTGGTGCAGAGCCAACAGATGACAATACGTTGAAAGCATCCAAGGACTCCTCTCCTGTATCATTGTGGATCTGGACTCAATGTACTCTGGATATGTTCACAAAACTTGCGATCAAAGTAGGTGAAAAACAAGTAGTACACTCATCCAGAACGAGCTTCTGACTGAGCTGAGCCAACTTGGAAGAACATGTGCTTTCTTTTACACGGCCACCGGCGCTTTCATGCATGGTCAGATGACAGATCAACTCTCTGTGTTGGTCTCCACGCACCATGTTATCCTTCATGAGTGACGTGTTCATCAGCCGTGAGCTCAATCCAAAACTCCAAATCATCCGTCGCTGTGGATCTTGCCGGCATCGTCGCTTTACCTGCCCACGTACCTTCCTTTCTCTCCAGAGGCTTTTCATCTTCTGATACACACGAAACACTTATGTTGAATCGCCTGTTGTATCTTTCCCATATCCGCGGGTGTGATAGCGGCATTCTCGCAAGGCCGGCGAATGTACTGATTCATGCTCAAGTCTGCACTGAGTGTGTCTTCCCAATCGCCCTTTTCCGGGTCCAGGAAAGCCAGCTCGCGTGGGGATACCTTGAAGTAGATGGTTAGTCGTGTGAGATACTGATGGTACCGTGGCGCGGGAAAGAAGATACCACCTTGCATGGCTAGTGGATCGCGGAAGAACTTGGGCGATATGGGAGACGCTATGTGAGGTAATTGCATGTTTGCTGTCGATACTGACTGTGCTAAGACGCTTTTACGAATGTAGCACTGAAACGAATTTTTTGCGTAGAAGAAGCTGGCAGCTTCATCGTGGAGTTGCGTGCATGTTCTCAGTAGTGAAATGCCCGTGATTTTCATATGTATCATAGGACATAGTACGATGCAATCTCGGTTTTTCAGCAGATGCGCGTAAATGCAGTTGCGCAACTCTGGTGGGATGCTAAGCAAGCTGTGTTTCTGAAGATCGACAGGGACACTCTTCAAGACAGTGCGCGATCGTCGTGCCGATTCCCTACTATGATATTTGTTCGAGCAACGGTGTGACTTTTTACGGATCTGTCCGGTCAGCTGTAATGGCGTCGGCTGCGCGACTGCAGTTGGGCGTACAAGACCGAGTGCTAATGAGGGTTGGTTTCCCAGAGCCGTAGATTTGGAGATCAAACTTAGTATGGACACTGAATAAGAGATTCGCGTGGATCGTTTCTTCTCTCGAGCTCGAAAAGAGCGTATGGGTGTCGCCTTCCCGCGGACCCCTAGGTATGCGCTGGAGGCAGTCACCAGGGAAGCATTTCAAGGCGGTGAGTTGGATCCATTCATAATAGCGAAAGTGGATTTTGTAAGCTAACTGGGTATTCTCCTGTTTTCCCAAGGATGTGAAACATCCGTTTCTCAGTTTTCGCCGTTGCCATGGTCAACTTGCTATGAGCTGTACTTTCCATGCTCGACGAACAAGCCGGGCGGTGACATCTCAAAGCTTCGCATTGACGACTGAGAGCGCTTTTTGCGCGATCGGGGATTCAGCGCAGACATACGACATAAAAGACGTCATCATCAATGTAATGAAGAAGTTCAGGATGTGAAGGGCTAGAGAAGCCGCTGGCTGGTTGAGCCGCTCAGATAATGCACGGACGGCTCACCAAAACACTCGTCATCATGACCGGACCCCAGTCCGTCAACTCCCTGATTTCACGGCATACAGCGTTGGCAGAGCAAGTGCGTACCACCGTACCTCAAGAAGATATCTTGCCATGTTCCTTGTTATTATCAAAGACAGAGGCATCTCCATCATACGTAAACAGAATGAAGCCGACACTCACATCGGGATGTGGGCCATGTAGCGTTCACACCACCCGACGTGGAGACCAGGTCGCTCGGGACAATGCGACCCATACGGATAGTGGCAGAGCATATAGTCGCAGCTCGGGTTAATTTTCCTAGAAGACCTAAGGCACTATCATGCACCCACAAGATGGCGCCAAGTCTGGGGTCAAGTCCGGGGTGGAACCTGGGGTAAATTCCTCGTCAGTTGTACAGCCATCAACGGCTCTATGTCTTGAAAGGGCTTGAGGCTCGCTAGGCCTGATCATGCTACTATCTTGGCTCTTGGACCTAGCTAGGTCGGCCGGCTCCACATTTTACCCTTGACTTTCAACGTCGCCATGACCCGAGGTCGTGGTGCATATTGTACTGGACAAAGAGGACAACAAGGGGTGTACTGATGAGCTATAAAGACCAGCAACAACATGCTTAACAAAGTCCAACCTCAGCCAGGAACGCGGGCACCACGACATCAACCATGATCGCCTTCAACACCATCGTCGCATTCCTCCTCTCTGTCTCATCTCTCACTACTGCCAGTCCAACAGAGCGCCAGCAACCCAACTACCTCAACTGGACGACCTTCAAAGCCAACGGCATCAACCTTGGTGGATGGCTTGCCCAAGAAGCCGTTATTGACCCAGCCTGGTGGTCTCAGAATTGCGGTAACACGACGGACGAGTGGACCTGCTGTGCGAAACTGGGATCGCAATGCGGCCCTGTTCTAGAACGCCGCTACGCTACCTTCATCACACCCGCCGATATCGATAAGCTAGCCACTGCTGGTGTGAACGTCTTGAGGATCCCCACGACGTATGCTGCATGGGTCAAGGTTCCTGGCAGTAACTTCTACAGCGGCGGCCAAGCGCGGTTCTTCAAGAGCATCGCATCATACGCAATCGCAAAACACGGCATGCACATCATCCTCGATATTCACTCCCTCCCAGGTGGAGTGAATGGCATGGGCTTTGGTGAAGGCGAGGGCCGCTTCGGTTGGTTCGATAATGCCACGAATCTGGATTACTCCCTACGCGCTGTCGACGCTGCGCTGGCCTTCATTCAATCCTCTGGTAGTCCGCAATCATACACGCTCGCGCCGATCAACGAACCGGTGGACAATCGCGACATCACAACCTTCGGTACACCAGCCGCGTTGACGGACAATGGTGTCGCATGGGTACAGAGGTATATTGACGCGGTTATTGCGAAAACAGTAGCCGTGAACAAGAACATACCCGTAATGTTCCAAGGCAGCTTCAAAGGTGAAGCGTTCTGGTCCCCCAAGTTCCCAGCGTCGACCAACCTTGTTTTCGACGTACACAACTACTATTTCGCTGGCCGCCCAACAGATTCCGACACTGTGAGCGCAGACATCTGTTCAGATGCCAAGGCATCGGCAGGAGATGGCAAGTTTCCTGTGTTTATCGGTGAATGGTCAATTGAGACGGTGGCGGACAACAAATTCGCAAATCGAAGGAAGAACCTGAACACCGGGCTGTACGCCTTTGCAAAGTATACAAGAGGGAGCGCTTATTGGACGGCGAAGTTTACCGGGAATGTGCCCGTTGCTGGAGAGGGAGTCCAAGGAGACTACTGGAATTACTCGGCTTTCATCGATATGGGTATCATTAAGCCCGGAGAAGGCGCAACGTACTGTTCCTGAAGAGTTAAGTAGATGCATCCGCATTGAGATGACCCCATACAGGAAGGAAACGGCACTAGGGGTGACTACAATTTGGGTCGCATTTCTATCTTGCTGCATTCATATTATCATACCTTAACAATTAGGTAGTATGCTAGGTAATGTATACTTCTACTTACACTTTCTTTAGGCAAAATGCGACCCAAATTGTAGCCACCTCTAGTAGCGGGGCATCAAGTGTTACGGGAGATATCAATGTCTAATAGCCGGCTATGTCAATAGATCTGTCCATCTCTTGTTCTTATCTTCAATCTTTTCCATGTCTTTGAGAATCCAAAGTTCGTCACTACCACCGACTCAGGATCTAACCTTATGGTGATGGTGATAGCGGTCGGACAATCCTCCGTCACCAATACCCAGCCCCTGTTCAAGCATCAGCATGCTGTGTTCGCAATAAGCAGATGCTCAGGATATTTCACTTACAGAATTCAACGTCAGGTAACCTGGGTTTAATCTCCTCAATGTTCATATCAAGTAACAGCTCCCATAGCTCTATCACGCTATCCGCCGTAATCATGAACCAGCCAAAGTACGGTCGTGGACCCTGGCCCCTTCTCCTGGGATGGTGATCCTCGGCAACATAGTCTGCTTCGACACACTTCAGCCATTGGCGCTTAATGCTCGAAGAGCTTCTGTGGCTGTGGTATTGATACTGCCATTTCTGCACACTTTTCGTTTCTGCGGCATCGCTTGTAGCATCGCCCACGGCCTCCTTTTGCGTTGCGTTCTCCTCTGGCAAAAAGTAGGGATCCATTAATACATCTGCATCCGCGACGAGGAAGAGACGATCGCTTCTGTCGAAGTTGGGCGAAGGTTCACAATTCGCGGGCGGGTTGAGATACACCTGGCGAAGTTGTTCGACACCAAGGCCATCGTATAGAGAAGCGTCGGAGCGGAAATCTAGGCGCAAGCGAGAGCGCAAGAATTGAGAAGTCGGCGGCGGTTCATCGTCTTGGAGCCCTGGGATTGATTCTACGACCCCTGCTTCAATGGCTTCAGTCAAATATTCCCATTGCGATTGCGACTCGGGAGTGTAGCAGGTGCGGTAGATTGTGTAGCCCCACAAGCCATAGGAAAACGGCTCCTCAGCTTGGCCATCTGTCGTTATGATGAGGTCTGATATTATGTCGTTGGGAAATTGAATCATGACGTCTGAACAGATGATAGTATTGATGACAAAGGTACAGTAACAATGACCCATAACCTGTCAACATACTCGAGTTATGTACCTGCCAGATACATTGGGAGGATCGCTCAGTTCAAGGCAGCAGCGGCACTAACCCTTTACGGCTTTCGCGCTTGCAAACTCATTTATATTAATATACATGATGGATACAAGAAGCCCGATACATACCCAAGCTTTTAAGACGTAGTTCCTCCTCTGCCATCTAAGTTAAGGCCTTGCGAGCCAGTAAAAGCCAGCAGAATTACACCCTGCCACTATACAAGGTTGTGACACTTTCGTAGAAGTCCCTGAATTATGTCTATAGAGCGGAGGCGGTTACGCATACATAGGCAGGTAGCCGGCTGCGAACATGCCTTGTTTCATCAAAGCCTCCCGCGCCGCATTCTCTTTGCGTATCCTCTCTTCCTTCTCCTCTTTCTCCCTCGCCTTCCTTGTCTCTTTATCAGCCTTCTTCTCTTCCTTAGTCATCTTTGCTTGCTCCTCCTTCATCATCTTCTGGAAACTATCATACCAACTACCATTCCCACTATCTGGTCTATGCATGCTGTGCTTGCCCAGCACACGATCAGTCTTATCTTGTTGCCTTGTACGGCCGCGATCCCACGCTTGCCACATGTAGGGATCCTTTTCTGGTACTAGTACTGGTGGTGGTGTAAGCTGGCGCGGCTGTAGATTCTTCTGGGGTCGGTTCGTGCGCTTGAAGTACTCTTTTGGAGTGATATCACAGCCAGGGAAGATGAGACTGGAGGTAGTAGAAAAGGCGGGTGAGATATTACAGGGTTTAGGTTGAAGGAAAGTGGAGGAATGCTCTTGCAGATAAAGGTTTGGATCAGATTGCGTGGGGGCGGTGGACTGATAAGGACCAAGGAAACTGTCTGATTGAGTGGTGGCGGGTGTAATCTCGAGAGGTGGAGGCGTGCTGCGTCGTGAAACAGTATTCACCGCATTCCATGCGTCGTCGAAAGCCTCAATTTGCTGTTGATCCGATGTGGTTGCATTTGCACTGCCCTCTTCATTCCCGTTTCGCTTTTCTTTCACCCAAGACAACGGCCTAACGAACCGAAGCGGTAAGTAATTTCTCCCCGAGGGCTCTGAGTTATGGCGAAACACTCTCTTCTGGAGCTTTCGAGGCTCTTTAGAATCTTGTGATGAAAGTACAGCGCTTGGCGTATCAGATTGGGATGGGGATCCATGAGAAGATCTGCTTCTTTTGGAGAACTAGATGATGTAGAAGACGTAGGAAATGACGAGGATTGTTGCCCTACTGGCTGGTAACCAGCGCGTTGGAGAGAGTGATGTGGCACAGGTACGTGCCAGTCGGATATGTCGTCTCCAATAAAGCGGGATACGTTGCAAACATGCATGCTGGTATTGAGGCTGCCAGCAGGCCCTTGGCAAATGTGTATTGAGTTCTCACAGTCTTCTAAGCTCGGGATGTGCGGCAGATGAAACTGCTTATTGATGGCTTGATCTACCTGTCTAGGTTCATCAGCTGCATATTTTAGTCTCTTCCTGATGTTTCTATATCAGAGAATCGCTTACGTTAGGGCTCTCCACCTCCAACTCAGCCTCCTTATCAGCCCAACGCACCCAAGCTCTCTGCTCTGTCATCCGCGACATTATGCTTGCTGCATCGTTGATCTCCTCCTTCTCCCTGATTTTGTATAGTTCTTGTTCCGACCGTTTAGTCGTCTCCCTCTGCCACAATTCCTCGAGAGTCAACCTGGGAATGTCCCCAACCATATCCCCATGTATCATCTGCGTCCTGCGCCGTCTCGTTTTTATCGCCTTTTCGACCTCTTTTGTAGCATTGAGGTAAGTTGCATCATCGTGGAAATGCACAGAGACTTCCCAGCCCCAATTCTGAAAGTTTTTGAGCATAGAGATCTCGGAAGGGATGGGGTCGCTGAGCGCGTAGGTAAAGAGCGGGTCGCAGGCTTCGATGGACTGCGCGGGTGGTTGGACTAGATATAGCATCTTCTTTTTTCTTTTAGCGTTGTGTAGTGTTGATAAATTAGCAGATGTCATGAGGCTTTGTACGCTGGCGAGTGCATTCATCGTCGAGTAAATGGCTACTGATGTCAACACTTTCTCATACTTCACGCTCAGTATTTCCACACTCCAGATATGTCATTACCGGAAGGAAGATCCTTGAATGTTCAACAGGGCGAAGACATGTTGCCCTTGAATGTGTCTATTGGGTATCATATGCTGTTATCGTCGGCGCAACACCATTCCATGGGACGGCGTTGTCGTTGGCCATTCCCTCGTTCGACAGTCCACTTCTGCCATGGAGCAAATTTCTAGACGCTCTGAAGCGAGGCTTTGAGGCGCGCGATATCTTGCAACGCGCGGTCCGCAGTCTCAAGACGTAATGCGCCGGTTACAGCGAAGGCGTGAAGGTTGCAGAGTCACAGATTCGCTTTCCACATAATTCCTATCACGGATGTGAGCATCCATCAGACGCGTGTATGTCCGGTGCGTGCGTCGCGATAGAGGACTTGTATTTGGTGTGGGATGAGGAGTTGATGCTCAGGGAGGGCTCAAAACCATATCTTGATCAGCTCCTCTGACACGGCAGACGGAGTGAGAACGCCAGACTCGGTGATGATGCCAGAAATGAGGTCGGGTGGCTAGTTCACGTTAGCGGATGGGGTCATGATTGAAGTGAGCAGAGCGTACCGTAAAGTCGACAGCGTCATGAGCGTCAAGCGGAGCGACGGTCGACCCCTGCTTCGCAGTCATGTCTGCGATGGCTTCGTCAAAGACATTCCGTTGCTCTTCGTCGCTCTTGGGCTTGTGTTCCTCCTTGTGTTCTTCTGCGACCTTGAAGTCGAGTACTTTCTGCTCAATGGGCAGATCGAACTGGCTGAGTGGATATAGCCTAACGAATTTGTGACTCTCGGCGACGACGTAGAAGGGCTTTCCTTTACTCTTGGCCAGTACGCCCAACTGGTATGTGCCCATGCGCGATATGATACCACCGTTCTCGACGACGCCTTCGGCTCCGACAATGACCATGTCGACCTTGCCCAGTGAGTAGGCGACGGCCGAATCTGGAATCGTAGCTACTGGCACGTTGTGCTCTCGGAGATCGGCGACAGTCTGAAGGCCCTCTTTTGCGTCGGACGAGCTTGACGAGGGCAGGACGTATATGACCTTGAAGCGCAGAGTGCTCGACTCAGCAGCCCTTCGCAGTAGCGCACCCACTACTCGCGATCCTCCATTTGTGAGCACCGTGCCGCCGTCCCGGATGAAGTGCTTGCCGAAGCTTGCAATCTTCTCCCTGCTCTGTTTCGCGCGGTCCACAAACAGCTTGCCGTTGGAGAGGAGGTGGTTGCGTATCGCGCGGAAGTCGTCGTCAGGGCCGAGGTTCAGACTCGCGGGGCGGTTGAGCGTGGTGATGAGGTAGCGCTGGAAGAGATCGGTGCCGGCGGAGAGGGAGATTGGATTCGCGATCGAGGCCTTGAGGGCGGCGGTGTGGCGTTCGAGCAGGTCGAGCGTCTCTGCGACGGTTGAGACGGAGCTTTGGGCGATGGCTTCTACGAGCGCCTCGATGGCCGCGACGGGCATGGTGAGTTCTGGATCATCTTTGAGGATGCGGCGGTATGTCGCTACAATGTCGAACGTCGACTGTGTCTTGACTCCTGTTTCGGTGCTCATCTTGGCGGTTGGTTGCAGCGTGTCGGTCCCGTCAACTTTTTGGCCTGAGATATTTTGGAGGGGTGCTTCGCGATTGAGTCATTCGCCAAGATTGGGGGGCTAGCTCGTCATCTCTCCCCAGGCGTTCACCCTTCCACGCGCCAAACCACTCTTTGCCATGACTTTACACTGCTGCATGAGTCTAGCTGCATCTATCCCACACTTTGCTGCGCTAGAATCCAGGAACTGCCAGACGTCTGCTTGTACCCACTTCAACACCATGGCAAGGGTCTATTCGCAGTCACCTTCACTGCTTTGGTATGAAGCGGTTGGTGTAATGCTTTGTTTGCTGCGAGTATGCAATGACGGGATATCATCATGGCCTGATTTTTAGAACAGGTCGACCAAAATTACCTTACATTGTGACTGGACGTTACTTGAAAAGCTAGACTCACTCAAAGCCAACACGTAGTTTCCGATCATCGTTGTTCTCACTGTCCGTACTCTCAATTCAGCAAACAACTAATTACATTCGTCTACGGTCGTCTTCTAGCAATCGGAAGACCGCAAGGAATAGCACCGGCGAAGCCACTCCTACTGATTACAACAACAAATACTTCGACCGAAAGCTCTGATGCCATACATCATTTTTGTACCTGGAGTCCCGCAACCCTACATCACCAACGATCCAAGGATCTACATGGACTGTTTCAAGATCTTCGAGTGGGAGTGCGAATCACGACCCTCCTGCGATGCATTTTGCAAGGCGTTCCGGCAAGAAGAGGATGAGCAGTTTCTTTCCGACAGGCGTTGTGGCCAACTTGAAGCCTATTGGGCCGAGGAGCTCGAGCGGCGAACCAAGTCGAAGAAAGGGTCTAAACCATTGGAGGTGGACGAAGAAACGTTAACTGAAGTTGCAGTCGAGAAGTTGGCGGAGCATAACATAGATGGGAGGGCGCTGTCGGAGATCAAAAACTGAGAGGAAGGTGCACTCTGATAGTTGGTGGGTCTACATGGCAGTCACAACCCTCATCACTGACTGCCATCCATGGTACGTCCTCACCTTCTCGTTCTTGGGCCTTGCTAAATCAAGTAGTAAATAATAATATCAACCTTCTGCGCTTGTACCCCAACACGCTTGACGAACACACTATACTCCTTTCACATTCTTTAGTCTCGACTGAGGCGGGGTTGATTTACAGTTCCCTTCTTAGCACAAAACACAACAGCGTACTATTACGCCAACCGAAAAATGCCCTCACTTAGCGAACCATCGGAGCATACCCCCAGTGAGCAGCTGCCACCGAGACCACCTATCAACTTTATCTCCTTTGACCCAGTTTCCATTGAAATACCTATGGAGGCCTTCTACCGCGAGCACCAGGTAGATTCACCGGGAAGGATAGTGAAGTATCGCTATGTAACTACGCCCTCCGCTGTGGCGTGCAGGATAACAGTCGTTTCGCTTTCTACCATCATAAATTGGCGAGCGGACATCCCCGAACTGGCACCTCCGGGTACTCTCTTCAACAAAACAGATGGTCTGTACTACGAAGACGAGGTCGTTCCGTCACAGAGCCAAACGCCACCCGGCGACAAGCCAACATTCGAGTCATGTGTTCGACGGGTAAACTCGCATGCTCCTACTACCGTACAGCATCCACCGATGTCTCATGACGAAACTCAGTCCGCCGCCGGCTTCGTAGCGGGTCATGCTCAACGCACTCCGGAAGGTCCCTTGCCCGACGAGCAGCCCCACATGAGTCATTCAGACAAGGACGAACGCTACAAAGCCACTGAAGAACCTCCCTCAAGATATGCGTCGCAGTTGGCAGGAAGCTCTCTCAACGAGGAAGTTATTGGGCACAACTGGGTTAAGCCCGGGGTGGAAAACAGACGGGCACATGGATCAATGACTACACCACCCGGTTTACGACGTGGCAGGAGTGCAGTCGGTGGAGTATGCCGCGAATGACTGGCCCACGAAGCAACGTGCATCACATACAAATGATCTTGGGGGTATGGATTCATCGGAAGAAAGAAGTTGCATCGAGACGAAGCTGGGCGAGCAAGAAGTCGATCGAGAGTGTTATGATCAACGCCTGGGCATGTCTCGCATACATAAATTTAAGCGTCCACATACTGCGTTTTCATTGTGTGATGGTCTCTCAGCCCTCTTTTAACGTAGACTAACCGTGCTGTCGATGCGGCGGTTGTTCACTATGTGCAGTAAGCATACAATTCGCCTCTCAAACGCTCAGCTAGATGGAACAGCAATCACGTGGCCTGGCCGCAGATAGATCAACAGACAAAAAGGGCCGGCATAGGGTGTCAGTGAATCATCGCGACATCTGATGCGGCTGTGTCTGGCGATGACGCACCTTGCACGGCACTCGCGGGTCTGTCCGTGGATCCACAGCACTCAACGTCATATGCATGCGCCAATGGAGCAGGAGTTTCCAGAAGACCCTGAGTTTGTCCGCAGCGAGCACGCGACCTCTTACCTAAACGAACGTCACCAAAACAGGACATGAAGCCTGCACCATATAATCTGTTCCAACATAACAATGATCTAGCGTACGCAATCGTCCATATCAGAGCCGTCCTATCTACACATCTTCCACCAACGGCTTCAACCGCAATTTGAGTGTCGCTTTCATCTTCAGTCACCCTATCATCGACAACATGGCCGTACTATCAGACATCGCCTCAAAAATCAAAAACACGCGACTCGTTCCACCCACCGAAGACGAAATATCCGCTGCCAAAGAAAACAATCAAGATTCAGCTCCCTCTCAAACCAAAAAAAGACAACGACCGATCCTCGAGATAACTTCCTACGACCGCTTCACGCCACCATCTCCCAAGCCGGACCTGGAATACGACTGCCGCATAACAGAGAACCCATCCAGGCAAATACGGAAAACATGCACAGGGCTCGATTCGACGCTGCAAGATGAGCTGATGCAGCGCGAGTCTTTCAGTGATACAGTGGCTCGCGCCGAAGACGACATCAAACGGCTCATGGAAATCAAGGATGTAAGAGCTAGTAGGGAAGACGAAGTAGCGATAGTACGAGTAGGGTGTCTATGCGGGAGTGGACATCACAGAAGCGTGGCTTTTGCGGAGCAGTTGGGGAAGGTGAAGTGGAGCGAGGATGGGAGTTGGGAGATTAGAGTTGTGCACAGGGATTTGACAAAGGGAGTGGAGGAGATGAAGAGGGTTCGAAGCGACAAAAGAGAGAAGGAGGAGAGAGATGTGGACGTGGATAGTGAGAAGGCTGGCGATTAAGATGTTTAGGCGGGGATGTAAATAAGGGGTATCGTAACATAACATTGTCATAGCGTTGCCTATCGCTAAGCATTCTTCAGCAAAGCTCAGCTTCGAGATGACCAAGAATGCCGAAGAAGTACCGCAGTGAACGCTTCAGTCTCTCCATCTGGGGTCGCCTTCCCATCAGCACCGTCAGCACTGTCAACACCGTCAACACCGCCGCCTCTTAGCTCTCCCGAAAGATACTCCTAGTCCTCGTCCTCGTCCTCATCTTCTTCTATGACTTCATGATCATCCGAAAAAGGATCAGAAAGCGACGACAGAAGTCTCTCCTTTAGCTGCTCTTCGGCCAACTTCCACCTCCTCTCGTTCTCCCTAGCAGCGTCCTTCTCCCTCAGCCTCTGCTCATCAATACAAATCCACCCATCTTTACCCACAAGTTGCCAATGCGCTTTCTTCACGTTCTGCAGAACAATCCCCAGCTTACTCTTACGGGCAGCCGCCTCGGCTTGTTTCTTGTCTCGATCCTCCGCCGCAATCCGAAGGCCATGTTCTCTCTGCCAAATCACCCAGATATCGTCATCCCAGGTGCTCTTCTTTGCAATCTTTTCATATCTGGTGAACCAATTCTCCATCTTAGGGAGTGAGCGTTCGGTGTTGTAGATGCGCCAACCCCAGGACGCGACGTCTTTTGCGATGGCGGCGTTGCGGGTTGTGAGATCTTCTGAAGAGGCGGGAGTTAGGATGATGTATTGTGCTGTTGTTGTGGGGTGTTTGTTGTAATGCATGACGTAGGAACTGGTTCGGTAATACGACGGGATCTTGACTACGACTACCATGGTTGCTGTTGTTCGTGAATTTTGGGGATTGAGGAATCTTCTCTGGCAGCGAATTATAGAGAGAGCAAAGGTAGACGTGGGTTGACGTTAATAGTGCTGCAGTGGACAACGAGAGGCAATAGGAAATTTTACTCTTCGCCGATTAAATGCCTACATCGTCAGAGCTATCTTGTCACGCACTCGGGGCATTCACACAGACCTGTGCATCCTTTCGCTTCTGTCCGCGCACGGATCGACATTTCAAGGGAAAGTGCATTGTGCGTTGTAATCACCGCCTCCGAAAGTGAACGTACAGAGAGGAGATGGAATCAACACCTACCCGTATTCTTCCACTTGCCTACACAAGTCACACCACTCCCCACCCTGTACATGCGTCTACTCAAAATGGTCGACTCCCATTCACGCAAAACACGATACCTCCTCCATACCTCCTCCATACCTCCTCCATCCACCCCGAGGAACTGTCGTCTTCACCACAGGCAACCCCACGATAGCGGACGTCTTACGGCGCCACAATTGGCTTGGCCTCGTGACAGAAAGTAGCACGCTTCCAGCGTGCATCAGCACTTTATGTATACGGGAGCTTGACGATGGTAACATTTTGATCGATCACGAGGTTGCAAATGGTGATCTCCTTGCAGAAGAGGCACGGTCTCTGCTTATACGAGATGGGTATTTGGAGCCGGATTTACGCTTTGTTGGACGCATGATACGGCCTAGGCGGTCACGTGACTCTACATAGTGCCCATCATTTTGGTGAAATGGAATGTATTGTATGTTTTAGGCCTTTCAAATGAAACGAGTAGCCGGGAGGTATTCATGGATCTGGGTATCGCTGAGACAAAGAATAGAAGATGATGTAGTTGGCAGGCCTATATGGACCAGCCAGCTTTCTTCTTAGCGGCCTTGGTGGTCATGGTGGGCTCTGAGGATGGGGGCGGTTTGATATCCTTGAGATCTGGTAACGGGTCGTTGTCCCTTATCTCGAGTATAGTCATCTGTGCAGCTAGAGTCGGCTGCCCATCTACAACCATATCGCCAGAAGCAGACACCTTGTCGCCTACCGGACCACCTTCAAGCGAAACACCGCCGTCTTCTTCATCCTCAACTTCTTCATCATCGCCTGCCTCATCACCATTATCGTCGTCGTCCACCTCTTCTCCGTCTGCTCCGGCGGCAACATCTCCAGTGTCGCCATCGACGCCATGCTCTTTCATGTACAATTCCAATTCCTTGGCCATTTTTTTGCTGAAGCCAGAAGCTTGAACATCAACATCTAATCGCTTGACGAGCTTCTTTGTGGCGTCCTTGAAAAAAGGACCCGGCTCGTCGCTCGTGAAGCCAAAACGGCGATCGAAGAAGCGCTTTATGCAAGCCACATCGCGGTCAAAGTAGTATTCGGCATTGGCATGATCAATGGAGACCATTTGCGGGAAATCGATGAGGGTTGGCACCAGTGACAAGCTGCCGTCCTTTTCCGTTCTCTCTTCAACTAGGATGTTGAACTCGTTGAAATCACCATGGATGAGACCGTGCTGCGCGAGGCGGACGATAAGGGCGAGTAGCTCACCGTAGAGTTCCTGTGGGTTGCCGACCTTTGAGATTTGGCGCATAGGGAACGCATCAATGAGGCTCATGACAACCGTATGTCTGTTCTGGCCAATCGGCTCGGGTACAGGGAATCCCTCTGCTCGTAGGGCCTTCATGAACTCGTACTCTTTCAGAGCAGCGAGGCGCGACATGTACATCCATGAACCACCCTGACGGTTGCGGAGATAGTCGCGGTTCGCCTTGACGGTACGGAAAGAGATGCGACCCAGACGATGGATCTTGAGGACCAGCTGCTTGCCCGTCTCGTCGGCGCAGACTATGATGTCCGACTCTTTGCCTATGCCGATCTGGTTGCCGACGGAGTAGACCGTCGAGGCCTTTTGGTGTGTGTGGAGGGCGAGGTAGTCGAGGCCGCCATACGTGAGTCGGTAGCCGTCGTACTTTGCGTTGCGGACTTTGGCGATGAGACCGATCTTGGCGAGGTTGGAGATACAGCGATGAACACCGTCGCCTGAGCGAATGGCCGCGATCTGAGCAATCAGAGGGGTTGGTACGACTTCATGGTTGCGACTGCCCATTTCTGTCTGTCATGGTCTTCATCAGCGTTAGTCCCCCACTACACTACATTCGAAAAGACTGCGGGCGCGCATACCGCAGTGAGGACGCGCCAATCATCGGCGGATAGGTAGCGGATATTCTTGACGTTCAGCTTCATGGTAATTGCCTGGCTGGCCTATGGGCGTGGTGTGGTGGAGATTTTCGGGGTTGTATGCGGCAACAATAATTTTTGGCGGGAGGTTCTGAGCGGCGGCGCTCATCATCGGCGGACGGAGCTTGGCCCTAGCGCGGCGGAAGTGGTACGCGAAGCAAGAGCTGCCTCATCGACATCAACCTATTACCACTCCCCACTTGACTTGCCTCTCGCTCTTTCGACCCATTTGAGCGCCGCATCTACATCTCCCAGCACCCCGAATCCCCTTCCACCGTCGCCGTCGACGCCGCTTCGCCCCGACACATACACACACTTCGCCGCTTGCCCTAGCTACACATCATCAACATGGCGAAGGACGACGAGAAGAAGCCCACGGCCGCCGACAAGGGCAAGGGCAAGGCGCCCGTGAGCAATGACGCGGATAAGAGCAAGGACGCAAAGCCAGATCTTGAGGACAAGAAGGGCGGTGTTGCGACAACTGGCGGTATGTTTGGTCCCCGGCACAGCGCTGATGGCTATCGTCATGGACTTGCACTGATGACAATCCACAGAGGAGCTCAGCGAGGAAGACCAACAGCTCAAGAGCGACCTTGACATGCTGGCTGAGCGGATACTGGTAAGCTGCTGCGACGATTGCTGGTCCCCGCAACATGCGCTGACCTCATGTGTTTACTAGGGTTCCGACACCAGCCTCTACAAGCCCGCGCTCGAACAGATCAAGGAATTCATCAAGACATCGACGAGCTCCATGACAGCCGTGCCCAAGCCGCTCAAGTTCCTCCGACCACACTACGAGAACCTCGAGAAGGCCTACGCATCATGGCCTGCAGGCGAGAACAAGGTGCGCAGGCACGATAACACTCTATATACGCCACCATGCTAACAAACACAGCGCTCGCTCGCCGACATGATGTCTGTTCTGGGAATGACATATTCGGATGAGGACCGCCTAGATTGCCTCAAATACCGCCTCGAGGCCCCCTCCACAGATCTCGGCTCATGGGGCCATGAGTACATGCGCCACCTTGCGCTTGAGATTGGCACAGAATACCAGAACCGCCTGAACGATGAGAAATCTACCGACGACGTCACCGACCTCGCCTCGAACCTCGTCCCCTTCTTCCTCAAGCACAACGCAGAGGCTGATGCCGTTGATATCCTGTCTGAGCTGGAGATGATTGATCAGATTGAGCAGTACATTGACGAGAACACATACTCGAGGGTGGCTCTATACATGGTTAGGTAGGATATGCCCGCATTTTGCTAGCAGCAACGACGCTAACACCAGCAGCAACGTGCCCCTACTCACCTACCCAGACAACGACAAGTTCCTTCGTACCACCTACCGAATCTACGCCAAATACAAGCAGTACACACAGGCGATTGTCATCGCGATACGACTACACGAGACCGATCTCATCCACGAAGCTTTCAACGCCACCAAGGACAAGTCGATCCGGAGACAAATGGCCTACCTATGTGGCCGACAGCGGATATGGCTCGACGTCTCCGACGATGACGATGCCGAGCTCCAGGATTGCATCAACAACACGCGACTACCCGACCACTTCAAGGCGCTGGGCAAGGAGCTCAACATTCTCGACCCCAAGACCCCTGACGACATCTACAAGACACATCTGGAGAGCAGCAGGACGGCCGGCCTCACCAATACCGATTCCGCCAGACACAACCTTGCTTCGGCCTTCGTCAACGCCTTCGTCAATGCCGGTTACGCCAACGATAAGCTTATGCTTAACGAGAACACAAAGCAGAGCTGGGTGTGGAAGACCAAGGAGGAGGGCATGCTGTCAACAACCGCATCTCTGGGTATGCTCATGCTCTGGGACGTAGAAGAGGGTCTCGATAAGGTCGACCCCTTCACCCACGTCGAAGATGACATGGTCAAGGCCGGCGCCATGCTTGCTACCGGTATCTTCAATTCGGGCGTACGTATGGACTCAGACCCTGCCATGGCTCTATTGGGTGATGAGGACAACATCAATTCCAAGAACAAGAACATCCGTTTGGCTTCTATCATGGGTCTCGGTCTTGCTTACGCGGGGTCTAACAAGGAAGACCTTTTGGACATTCTGCTGCCGATTGTCAGCGACACCAGCCTCGACATGCAGCTCTCCGCTATGGCGGCGCTGTCGCTTGGTATGATCTTTGTTGGTTCGGCCAACGGAGACGTCACTGATGCCCTGATGAACACGCTCCTGGATGAGGACCGGACGAAGCAGCTCAAGGACAAGTGGACCCGATTCATGGCTCTTGGTCTTGCGCTACTCTTCTTCGGTCAACAAGAAGAAGTTGATGTCATTTTGGAGACCTTGAAGGCGCTCGATCACCCCATGGCCAAGTCTGCCTCTGTGCTTACCGAGGTATGCGCATGGGCAGGTACTGGTGCTGTCTTGAAGATCCAGCAACTGCTCCACATCTGCAACGAGCACATCGAGGATGAAAACGAAGAGAAGAAGGGTGATGAGCTCCTTCAGTCCTACGCTGTCATTGGTCTATCATTAGTCGCCATGGGCGAGGACGTCGGTCAAGAGATGATCCTGCGCACTCTCGGCCACCTGATGCACTATGGCGAGGCTAACATCCGCAAGGCTGTGCCGCTCGCTCTAGGTCTCATTAGCCCTAGCAACCCTCAGATGAAGGTCTACGACACTCTTTCTCGTTACTCTCACGACAACGACAACGATGTCGCCATCAACGCCATCTTCGCCATGGGCCTTTGCGGTGCTGGTACCAACAACGCCCGTCTTGCACAACTTCTCAGACAACTGGCTAGCTACTACCACCGTGATCCCAACGCTCTCTTCATGGTTCGCATCGCTCAAGGTCTGCTGCACGCAGGCAAGGGCACGCTGTCTTTCAATCCATTCCACACCGACCGTCAGGTCTTGTCTCGTGTGGCAGCGTCGGGTCTCCTC